CCACGAATGAGACGGGGAGGTAATTGGGCCTCCGCGGATGAATTCTTCATTGTTGGTTTCAATCAACGCCCATTCAGATATTACCGGTCGGCGTATTACGAACGCCTTGTTTTATCTTTCCTTCTGTCCATATTTCAACTTGTTTGGCGTTGCTTATAATTAAGCAAGCATTACTACGCGCTGCTTCTTTTTGCGAAAAAGGCAAATATACAGTCTCACCCAAGATGACATCAGTTACAGGCGATACTCTGTTTAAACAAGGCAATTAGAATTGAATGAAATCAAGAATTCTAAGATACACCCTCCCTCTCTGATCGTATTTTCCAACCAACAACAATTGAAAACGCCCTTTAGTCCGATTTGATGACATTCAGCAACATGACATCGACTCAAACGTGGCGCTATTCCGGCTCGTTGTCCGGAGTGCGGATCTGTTCCCGGTCGCAACTCGGCCACCAAAGATGGAGCCCGGCGCCGGATCTCACAGCCCGCCTTCGGTCAGTGATTTCAGCGAATGGCTTACACGTGCATTTTCAGTTGACTTGAGCTGACCAACATGCTGCGTACGCGCGTGACGAAGCTTCATATGAGGTAAGCCGGTCAAGCTTTGCCCAGTAAGCAGAATTAATTAATTAGATTATTCGACGAGTAGCATTTCTGAAAGCTTTCTATCATAACGCATATCTCTAAATTACCTGTCCATCTGCAATGTTCAACTCGTGACCGTTCACATGGCCAGGCCACAGCCCGTTGCAGCAATGGGAATCCGCGGGAGCAACGCAAACACAATAAAGCTTATTCTTAAGTGAGACTTCTGAAATAAGGACACGAATAATAACTGCTAAGATGGCCATCGCGGCATGTTGCTGCCGAGATCAAACGAGATTCTCAGCGGCGTTTGCTGTGGCGCAAACCGACAATCAAAGGGTTTAATGGGAATAAAATCACAGTCATTGAAGAATAAAAGGTTGATTTTTTTGCCTCGTTTCGGGCGCCACTCCGACAGCTCTACCGAGATCAAAAGAGGCTGAGTTCTTTTGGTTCGGAGCAGCTACCAAAGCTGGCTCTCGCAAGGCTGTGTGCCTCATCTCCCCTCTTCTGACCTCGGTTTATTCCCGCCAATCAGACGACCCAAAAAGGTTTCATAACCGTACGGGTGTTGTCGGTTGAATCCAGCACTCCGGGACACCTTCAATTTTTGGTCTTTTCAGACGAAAGCACATGAAATGTAATCTATCTGCTGTCATTTCAGGGGAAACGGGAAAAGATGGCAGACGCGGCCTGGCCCTCGGCGCTGTGCATGCATCAGCATGTGCTCATCACTTAATCGGCCCAGTCACAGGCACAGAAGCGCATCCCTGCACTTCGTATTACTTGTTTTCTGCTTGCTGTATTCTGCATGCGCTGGCCCTATCGCATCGTACCCGCGTTGATTAACTGCCAGCCCTACGCTGCAGACATCGACGGCGAGTGACATTCGACATGAGGGACCCATGCTGATTAATCTATTATACCTTCATCCCGCTGCAGCCCATCGGCGCTGTCACTTGATTGACGATTTGTTTTGATTTTGCATGGGACAAACGTTGTTTTCTGTCGCTGACACATGTCGACTGGGAAAATAGTCTTTGAGCGAGCAGAAGCTTGTGTCGCGATGCATTGCGCGAAGCGGTAAGGCGTCGATCAGCCAAGATGATTAATTATAAATAAATAAAAGATTAAATCCTGAGTGTGTCGGGAATAAAAAATAGAAAAATAATAATACTAGCTAAAAGCTGGAATAAAATATTTAGGTAGATAAAATGCGACCGAAACCTTGAGGCTAGCAGCCAAATTAACCACCAATACGCGCCATCCCCCGATCTGGTGCTAAAACGAATATCCTCCAGTAAGAAGGGCGACGAGACCAGAAAATTTCACCTCTCATGTGATTCTCTTTTCGTCGCCCCCCAAGAGAGCGGGGGAAGCGCGACGAAGCGCAACTGGGCTGTAAGGGGACCAACAGATTTGGTGCGAGGAGGGGGCTCAGCACTCGTATTACTACTGCCAGCTCCAGCCATCTACGATACGCTGGGGGATTTGCCTTATCATATTCCTGTGCCTCATTGTCGTTGCTCACCTGACGCGTATTTTTAAAGGGAAGCAAAACCTTGTTTATACTGGCTCTTCAGCTGCTCACTGTCTGACTTGCGGTTGTAGCGGTTCGCTTCGGTTAGAGAATGAATAGAGCTGCGCCTGTGCCGCAGTGGCAAACCACATGAACCATTGGCCCTGTTAGCAGCAGGAGGAGAGCCAAATGTCATCAATGATGCAGCGCTCGACACCTTTCGGGCCTATGCGATGGGTGCAGCTGTTTTGGGCCAAGAGCAGACAGAGATGACAATGCACGTAGTTATGTAATTCTCAGGGGGCGCCTAGTCCGTTCACGTGTTTTGTTGTTGGCTGATCCAGGCTGCCTCTCCATCGTGAACCATGACATCATGGTGTTGTTCTCGACCTGTCTCCCCCCTCCTGCGTCAGAAAAGCTTTGCTGTTTGCTTGTTGCTTGTTGCTTTGGGCAAACGGACGGCTCCCTGGGCTTGCCTCAATTGGCAAAACGGAGGGGAAATACGGCAATTGACAGAGTAAAAATAACGTAAAGTACTGTAAATCAAATTCCAGCAGAACCAACAGCATCAAATTGCGACGGGATATCCCAGCCACAGCAGTAATAACAATCACTGACACGAGGGGATCAAGGTTTTGCCTGGCGTGTTGACAGCCAATTTGGGAGACTTTCCTATTTAGGCAAACCCGCTCTGATCCTGATGATCGCTTTACCGCAACCTGACGCCATGATTCAGTAAATCTGTGCGCAACAAGCCGCTGATCGCCATTATATCGAGATTTGGCGACAGTAATGGCTGCAAGAGCATTTACTGTATATCGCAGTCTCCGGAGAAATGGAACAAAGTCGAGTTTGGGCGTTCATTCGGCGGTCATACCGAGTAGTTTAGCGAGTACGCGCGCCCGCTGGAAGACTCAATATCGGACAGCTGCGTCTGGACCTGCATTGGACGGGAAAAATTAAAATTAAATAAAAAATAACTAGATAAAATCAAAAATGAAAATCAATGATAATTCTCCGAGAATTGCCAGAGCCAGCACGCCCAAGCCATTGCGCCCAGTTCTCGTATTCTACAGTTCCCGCCTCCATATATAAATCTGCACACAGCATGCCCGCCGGCGATTAGACTACCGACCGCTCCAGCACGGCTCCTCTTCCCGATCTCCCCAGTGAAACCGTTGAAAGGCTGTTTTGCTGTTGAATATGGCCGTTCAGGACCACCCCCAGACTTCTAGGCCCATAAGCGCCAATTGAGCGTTTCCTGCTAACCTACGAGGCAAAAGCATGTGTCTGCGAATCAAGGCACGCATCTTCGTTGGCGCCGCAATTATTAGACTTTTGGCCGAAGCTACTTGGCGGATCGCCGGAGGAGCTAAAATCGTAGCACAATGAAACAAAGACGCAAGAAAAAGGTACCGTCAACGATGCGGCTCTTTTCTTCATGCAGCCTCGGTGAGCTATTGAATGAGATAAATGAACATGGCGTCTTCGGGCGATTTGATCTTGGCGGATAATGGTCTAGCGTTACGATGCAATTGGTGCGAACTGGGTTTGTTCTTCCATGTTGACTTTGAAACTAAGGTTGACTTGCATACGCTTTGCGGCACTCACGGTGCAAAGTAGTATTACTACCATTTTATCTTAATTTTATAAGTTGCTCTATCTGCCCTCTTACTGGCCGGCTTAGTTCTGCATCGTAGAAGTTTGGTTTTGAGAGTGAGTAATTTTCACATGCCATTCTACACTGGACGACATCTTACAGCACCGTGAACCACCCTCCGTTGACGAAGACGAGTTCCAACACCGAAAACCCGAGATAGCCATTTTGTATGTAAAAGATGCCGAGGATAATTAACAAGGATAGCGGCATTCCGATGATGCCGAAATGCCCTTGCCAAGGTTCTCGATATTTCCCTGGCCCGCGTCTGCATATGTAACCCTATCCCTTCGGGCATTCACTTCTAATCGAGAATGCGCATCTTAATTACTCCGTGCAGGGCGGAGAGATAGATATACGAAATTGTTTCACGGCAGCTAAAAGTAGAACTATAGCCCTGAAGGATTGATCCGCGAGGTCTTTGGATCGTCCATCACGAGACCGTATCTGAGAGGGAGTAGCCGGGCTTAGATTTGATTGCCGATGAGGGAGGGATCTTTTGAATGCAAGACAAGGAATTGAGAAATGATGATGCTGCATAATTAATGCAAGATGGAAAAAGAAAAAGAAAAGAAATATAATAAAAGAAAAATAAATAAATAAGAATAAAAATAAGGATAAAATGAATTAAAAGAGAGGACAAATCTGAAATATTTTGATCATGAGTAGACTGCTTTTTTGATATTAAGCTTGTATTAGCATCGTTTGCCCAACTCGGAATCTAGATAGCAACGGCCACGAGGAAGCATCAGCCCTAATTCTAGAACGTGATAAACTATCTTCAAATGACGACGATATTGTCTAATATCAGCCTCGAGTAATATGGCGGCCAGTTGTTTTAGTAGTTCATGATGTTACATATAGTGTAACTGAGCACGCCGTTTGCTCGCTTTTATATATGCAAGCTTGTATTATATGCGTTTTGAATGCATGTCCGTTACCATGGATCATTTGATACTGCTAATGTCACCGTTTAGAACGTCGCCTTCTGTCCTCCTGCGACATCCGCCGGGTGTTATATACTCCCTGCGTTTCATGGTGATAATCCTCCACGTATCAAGGATATATATACACTACTCAGCTAGTGCTTATAATCTATTTTATGAGAATAGATTGGACTCATCGGTTGTTATATTTTTGATGTGTCTTCAAAGAATGGATAGTTCATCGCCTTGGAAAAAGTTCGTAAGAATAGTCTTGTACTGCAAGGCTCCCTTTTATTGCAATTTACACATTCAACCAATGATTGCTAGTGATATTTAATTTTACTACGTATACAGATAGTTCCTATTGGATACATGGCATTTTGTGTGTTCATTCCAATACATCTAATCATATACAATTTCCATGTTCCATCATGCTTCTCCAGCAACCGCCAATCCCTGGCGAGCCACCAGAACCGATCTTTGAAAGGGCTTCGTTTCCGACAACTCTGGCACTGACACTTCCACCGTAGCCAGGTTTAACTTCCGTGCATCTGTGTGATCCTGCTCAGGTTCGGCTGCCAAAGGTCGAATCATCCGTATAAATGCCTCCGTCACCGCCCGTCGGTCGTCTTTAGTGGAGCGGCACTTCTTGACATGAATGAGGGCTTCGTCGAGCTTGAAGAGAGCATCCTTGTGGTCATTCTTTTCTTTGGGGTGTACCACTGCTCGCATCGCTGTTGTCTTCATCGCTAGCTTGATGCTCTCCTTGCAAGCCCGGCTGCCGCGCCACCACTGGACTTCCGACGTAAACTTGGACAGGATAGACTTCAAGGCGTTGTAGCTGGCAGAGCCGGTGTATGCAAAAACAAGGTTGGAAAAGTTGTACTCGCTGTACAAGAGTTCCCCGTTGCCATTTTCTCTCGCCGCTACCTCACACATGGTGGCAGCTCCTTGCAAGTCACCCTTGGCCGAGAGTATTTGAGCAGCTTTGTTGTACACGCTGTCGTGGATGCGAGTGCCTCGACGTAGAGCCTGCCTTACTAAATCCCCAGCGTCATCACCTTTCTCAAGCCTTGCAAGTAAAAGAGGAGTCAGGGCTTCCGTCACATCTTGACCTCTTCCGCGAGCTTCGTCAATAAGTGATGCCGCTTCATCAATGCTTCCATCTTGCCTCCTAATATGTCCTATGACTGCTAGACGAAGGCAGCGGACTGATGAGGTTAAACCGCTTGACAGCAACTCACCATACGCCTCACAGACGCGCTCCCACTCGTTTCGACCTGAGAACCACTCCATGCACTCGAAAGCATCCGCTTCAGATAACCAGCGGCGTGACTCGAGAGAAGTGGGTGGCGCATCATTCAGGCCCTTTCCATCAGCTTTACTGAGTGAAAAGTTCGAGACAGCCGGTGACAGTCCTTGGAGGTTTTGATGTAAATCTGTTATAGTTTTGTCGGAGAAGCTCCAGTATTTTCGGCATCCAGAATAGAATCGCTGCATAAATGTGTCGTCCATCTGAAATCCCGCTTCATTGCAAAACTGCAACCATGAAAACATCGAGTCAAGATCATGGCGGCTTGCATGTCGGTCCAAGACGAGGTTGACCCATCTGGACCTCAGGGGTATTTTGTAATTGCGCACAAATTTCCTCAGCAGAGCCTCAAGTCCTTCCGAAGAGCAAGTCTGCACAAATACATCTGTGATCTTGCTAATCATATACCGTAAGTCGTTTGCCTTTGTGTTGTCAGAACCCTCAAGTGCTTCTATGCCGTTACGAACAGATTCCCAGTGTCCAAGTGCAGCCTCCCGCACTATTATCCTGCTCTGGAGCTTTATATCTGACTTGGCTGCATCTGGGTCCAATTTGCAAAGGCTTTTCATTTCCTCCTGAGCAAATGCGTCGTCTCCTGCTTTCAGAGCCTTGGAAACCATTAGGCGACGTATTTTGTACTCAATATTGGACGGCACGGCAATTTCATGGTACAAGCCAGCACTTTGGAGAAGTCGATACAAGTGTTTGATATCCTTGAAGCTCCCCATGACCTCATCAAGACCAGAGAGCACTCGATAGAGCATCATGCCATGCATCCAGAACCGCGTTTGTTTGCGGTCAGAGAGAAATTGAAGAAGTCGCTCTAAGCCTTTCTTATCCTTCTTCTCCCACAGCCACTTTGTTAAAGGTGATAGGATCTGAATAGGGTCTTTAAACTTCGGAAGTAAGGTTGTAAGAACGGTATCCATTTTTGTAGGGTCAGATTCGATGGTGATTTTCAGCAATCGTAATCCGTTTGATTTGACAAGGCTGCTTAAGCCAGGGGTTGTGTGCCGCGATGTTGATAAAGTTTGTAGCTGGGTAATGGCCAGATCTACCATTTCAGATGTCAAAGTGCTTGTTGACTGGCCCATCTCTAAATCCTGCAGCATTCGCTCAAGCTCCGCAGCTTTATCGACATGGTGGGGTTGAGTTGTTCTGTCCTGGGTCGGCATGCTTGTCAAGGATAGGCGAGTCAAAGCAGAAGAGTCAAACTGCAGTAGTTCATGAAGAGATGGCGAACCGTTCCTCGTGTCTGGAGAGCGCAGGGTAGACATATAATCTCTATGCAGAGACACCTTCACCCGTGTACCAACATCCGTCCTATCTTTGTGAGATCCCTCCTCCCTGGAAAGAAGCGGAAGAACTGGTATTGTAGAAGCTGCCAAAGATTTGAACGATGCATCCAGCTGCCGGCTGTCAGCCAATGGGAGAATAAGCCTGGCCGCATCTAGCCCAAAGTTGGATATCTGTGCCTCTTGGGTCCTCTGCTCCACGCCGGAAGCTGGGATCCCACTAGCAGGTTCACGATGTTCGGACGGAAATCTGTTGGAATCGATGCCACTGCCGCTTATGAGAGAATTGGAAGAATTGCTCCGGCGTCGTCTTCGATAGGAATTCTTCGGACGCGAGGCTGATGGAAGGGCTAAAACCTCATCCCCAAGATCCGCCAACCTGTCTTCCCAGCTTTCGCTCAGCGCAACGGCGCCTCTGTTACTTTTGACGGTATGCAGCTTCCGCGCGTTATCAATGGCAGCGCGAGCAATCTTGAGTCGGCGGCGACGCTCTTCGGCGAGGAAGACGACGGAACATGATGTTGTCAAAAGAACGCCGCGAAGGGCATTGAGAGCGGCCTTAGAGGGTACGGGAGGGGTGGAGGCCATTTCGACGGCCCATAGCTGCAGCTGAGCTTGTGGGATTCGGCGGATTGAGCGATTCTGGGCGCATCCAAGGTGGTGAAGGGCGATTTGATCTTTTCCGGAGCTATCGTAAGATTTCTGGACATGGCATGATGGAGCAAATATTTCGGTTATACCTCGTAGTGGGAGAATTTGGTAGCTCTGGGGTACGTACCTACCTCACCCCGCCAAAGTGGGCGGTACATAGTACGTACCACCATTGCTCGAATGCCGTCTGCAAAACACACATAGGGACTCAGTCCCTACAGCTTTTCAGAAAAATTCACAGAAAATCGCATGGCTTGCTATATTGGAATAAATTTACAGACCATGAGGTTTGCTACCTAATGTGCAGACCGTGGCGGTATAGGGATACTGAAATTTGGATGCGCTACATGCCCCAAAACGAACAGCTCTAGCATAGACCAAGCGCGCATTGAAGAAGAAAGGGATTGTCTCCTACCCGCATACAACCTGGATGGTATTATTTACTCTGTGATGTTTGGTGGCAATAAGGGGCTATATCGAGGCATTTTCTTCATACAAAAATTCGAAGCTAACAATGTTGTGAAGAATACATACATGTATGGGAGTGTCCTGTCGGCTCTGTTCATCTCATTGATATTACTGCAGGTGATGCATGATCTAGAGTTTAATTTTGTACAACATGATAGATTCCACCCCTGAAGCCAGTTATATTGTCCAAATATGAGAATGTCACCTCGGGATTTTTTATACCTTCTAATATTACTGTCCATCATGCAGGTCGGGAGGTTAATCATAGTACAACACACTCTAGATGCTACATGTACTACCAAAATTCAGGGATACGGTGGTCTGTCCTCCCCGTGATATTACGAATATCTTGTTGTACTTGCCTTACAATATTCGAACTGAGTAATAAAGATGTAGTAATATCGCAGACTCTAGAGATATATATAGAGCAGTGGCTTCTCTTGTCTTTCAGTTCAATCAAGCATCTCAACTACTAGCCCACGCTCAAAAACAGCAACTACTCCAGCATCACCACTCATCAACTTTCCAACACTTTCAACAATGGAATTATCCAATCTCGCAATCGTTCTATCCTTCCTCACTAGCGCAGCCTTGGCGGCACCGCAAGTCCGTGTTTGCAAGCACGTCAACTTCGGCCCCCCTTGCGCTACAGTCAGCGCTCCTATCAACTCATGCGGTAAGTTTTATTTGATCTAACTCAATGGCTACCGCCTCAGAGGCACAAATATCTGTATGGTTTGCTGATCTGTTTCGAAGTCAATGTTCCGGATGGCTACAATGACAACATTTCCTCCCTAGAGCCAAATATCGACGCTGGCAACTGCCGCTTCTACGTGTAAGTCATATTCCCCATTCTAAACCGGCTCTCCGTATTCTTTATACGTGTAAAGAACAAACACTAACCCATTTAGACACTACAACTGCGATGGCCCATCCTTCGATTCCGAGTACCCTGGATATGACAAACTCACTACTCAGCTTCCCGAGTTCAATGATGCCATCAGCTCTTTCAAATGCTTTGGCCGGCTGCCCAATGACCCTTAAATCCAATCTCTCTCCACTCTTGTGAGAGAGATACAAAGGGCCCCTACACGTTATCACGACCTGGCGTTGATGGCCACAATAACGGGCTTACACAGTAGGCACTGGCACACTGCCATGCACAGAAAGACCCATCATGCCAGGGGGTCCAATATTCAAACAGGGAGAACTCGCTCCCGAGCATCCCACTATATTTACCCTTCTCTACGCTCATTCAAATAGCTTAGCTAGTTCTTTACCTTTTCTACACTCATTCAGGTAACTTAGCTAGTCAATTATTACCGAGAATTCATTGTATCATGAATCACCTTAATCAATATATAGTAAACAAAGCTGCGACGAGGACCCAACCTCAACGCTGATTAACATGCGTAACGATGGGAACAGCGTTGAGACATCGGGCAAACTATATTGCACGACTGCTACTCTCTGGGCACTGTGATGCTTGAGATTCGGTTCGAGGAGCCTACCTCCAACCTTCTCTTGGCGATAGAAGACTATCGGAAATCGACATGCCGAAGGGGGAGCCCGAAAGGGAAATGTGTTGTCAAAGTAGGTAATCACTTGTGATATGGGATCCTTGTATTAGCGTCTGGTCATTGCGATTCTCGATTCTTGGCTGGAGAACACGGGCGACTCCATATGAGATTGAGCCTCTCTAGGAAATTCGTGCTAGCTTGGTCAACCGATACGCACCCGGTTCAGTCTGTTGCCCTCAAAACGTGTCTGTCACAGCAGAAATCGCTCTTTGCAGCAAGTCGAGTCAGCCACAGCCTTGTATCCTAACAAAATTCGAAAACATCGTCCATCGTTGGCGACATATTAATCGGCAATAGAAGCGCATGCATTCACCCCAATTGAACACTCTCTTTGTCACGCCACGCTTTTCCGCCGGTCGAATCCCCAGAAGCTCTGGCTTTTCCGGTGACGGAATTATTGTTGACTTGACGTTTGATGTGTGTATGGAGTCGATCGTTAGTAAGCATGCAATGTTATCCGTGTTGGGCGAGTTTCGATGGTGATAGGCTGAGGGGATTCCTTGTCTTGCGATTTCGTAGCCGCCTGGCCCCCACAAAGATGCAAGCTTCGTCTGTTTTCCGGACATAGTCTGTTAGATAGTGGTTGTATGTACTCCGTATATCTCTAGAAATAGGCAGCGGGCAACATTGGCTATTTAGAAACTGATTCACCTGAAACCTGGTGTTGAATAATGAGGACAGTGTGTAGCCTCGGTTTAAGTTTCTAGTAGTTCGTGTGGTGACATATAATATTGATGTTCGAGGGCCTCTTACATGCGATCCAGCCTAGCATTAGCATTGTAGATCCATGACAAGTCGATACATACGCCATAGTTTGTTCAGCGGCGGAGTTTCCCCCCATGAACAACGCACCACCTCACATCTCAAGGGATCGGGCAACAAGCCTAGGGCCGGGCAACTCGGCCGCTGCTATGATAGATAGTAGCATCTCAAGCATCCTAACCTGGCAACCTAGTAGTTGAGACAGCTTCTGCCACCGCAACCCCGCTTCTTGAATCCGAAAAATTGACCATGTTCCGGCATCTGGCGGACCTAAACTCCATGGGGACGGCGATTTCGAAAAATCGTATTTCTAATCGGACTTAGGATGGAGCTGAAACGCAACCTATCGCGTGGAAATAAGAAGCTTTCGGCCGAGGTTGATGCAAGCTACATTACCTATGGGGACGCGGGCACCTTGCCTCGAATTTGGGACCGGGCACAACTGCTGTACATGCAATAGTACATGCATGCGATTGGTGATTTGCCGCATGTGAGGTGCCGATGCGTGTACCTGCTGTCGCATCTGGCGATTGGCACCCGCATCAACTGCCCCCCTGGATCGCTTCAACTCGTCGCACATCTGGAGTGCGATTGCCTATTTCGCGTGCTCAAGTCCGCCATGGCTGCAAGGCGAGGCATTTTGCCCAGAACACCGCCTTGATTTGGGGGGGAAGCTGTTCTATCTTGCGTTTGCAGCTATAAAGCGCCGCAGCTCCTCGCCCTCAGTTCAACACCACCTCTGATATCTTGCGCTCTGCTACTCTGCTACTCTGCTAGAGCACACTCCCAGAATCTGGTCATCTTCTGCTACTAGGTGATAAAAGAAAGGGAAAGGAATCCAACACCCTTGAAAATATCCAAAAGCCGTACCATCCTCTCGTCAAAATGAGCTACTTCCCTAGCCCTGCTGCTCCCGTGAGCCCGCTCAACCGTTACCGGTTGCTGTCACCAACAGCCTCCGTCAGAGTCAGCCCACTGTGTTTGGGTGCCATGAACTTTGGTTCAAATTGGTGAGTCTTTTGCCTGGTGGTAAAGGTGGGAAAATGGGTTGGTTGCTGACCCTGCATTATAGGAAGGACTTCCTGGGAGATTGCGATAAGGCAACTTCGGAAGGCATCTTGGACTTTTTCTACGAGCAGGTGAGCCTACTAGGATTGTTGATTTCTCCTTTGCCCATCATACAAAAGGCTTCTTGCTCAAGTACTAACATCTCGCCAAGGGTGGCAATTTCATTGACACCGCAAACAACTACCAATTCGAGGAATCTGAGACCATCATTGGTGACTGGATGAAGAAGAGGGGAAACCGCCATGAGATGAGTGAGTCGCATTAAAAACCGATCTGCTCATCGTCCAACATCAACTCACTCTCTATCCTATCTAGTCATTGCAACAAAGTACACTACCTGCTACAAGCTGGGCCCCATTCGTCCTCATATCGCAGCCAACTTCACCGGAAACGGAACGAAAAGTCTTAACGTATCTGTTGAAGCCAGCTTGAAGAAGCTGCAGACTGACTACATCGACTTGGTGAGACATTTTACGATGTATTACGTTCCTAGGTTATGATACTAATTCATCATAGCTTTATGTGCACTGGTGGGATTATGCCACTTCTATTCCAGAGCTGATGCAGTCATTGAATAGCCTTGTTGTATCTGGCAAAGTCTTGTATTTAGGCATCAGCGATGCGCCCGCCTGGGTGGTGAGGTACGTATGCGTAGAGCTCTACCCTCAGAGCTGCAGTTTTGTCGTCCTGGCTACTAACATTCCGACTATAGCAAGGCAAACGAATATGCCCGAAACCATGGGTTGCGCCAATTCTGCGTTTACCAGGGACGTTGGTCCGCCGCCAATCGTGATTTCGAGCGCGACATCATCCCTATGTGTAAGGATGAAGGCATGGCTCTCGCCCCTTGGGGAGCACTCGGCGGCGGCAGATTCAAGACCGAGGACCAGCGCAAGGCCGAAGTCGGACGCAAAGTACAGGCTACTGAAGTCGACATTCAGGTCAGCAAAGTGCTTGAAAAGATTGCCGCACGTAAGAACACGGTTATTACGAGCGTCGCCTTGGCATATGTTGCTCAAAAGACACCCTACGTCTTCCCCATTGTTGGCGGAAGGACTATTGAGCATCTCAAGCATAACATTGAGGCCCTTACCCTGCAGCTGACTGAAGAAGACATTGAAGAGATTGAAAGCGCTTACCCCTTCGATATTGGATTCCCGAACAGCATGCTCTGGGGTGGGAAACAAGGTCCATCTCAGCAGAAGATTTGGCTCCTTGAATCTGCTGCTCACTATGAATATCTCCCAGAACCCAAGGTAAGAGAGGTTCTCTCATCCAAGGCTGCCGAACAAAGAACTTTGAAAGCTAACGACTGTCTGTTTCCATAGCCCATCGCACCGACAAAGATAGGAGAGTAGAGCGTCCGCTTTAGGTCGTCGTGCTGGCGATGGTTGCCGGGACGCCAAAACAATCAGCATATCCATTGTGATCACGGCATGCATACTGGTACCGGCCCTGGCTGGTGAATGGGGGGAAAAGCGAAATGGTTCTAGAACCGTTGATGCAGACATCGTTGACCATTATTGCATTATTTGGGTAATGAGAAATGGAGGGGCCAAGGATACGCAACCTTGAACTAGGTGCTACTTGCTTAGAGCATTTGAGTTAGTTGTATTAGCATATGAAACAGCAATTCATCGCTTCATTCTTACTTGAGAGCTGATGTTTGACTTGGGCTTGACGATGAAGCAGAGGAGATGACCCGAGTTGAGATTGGTAACCATCTCATTGTATTAATGGGTATCTACATTACCTATTTCGGTCTGTGCATATCAACTGTCCCATGGCTGTCATCAAATACAAATATCCTATATCCTACCCGAACGCCGACTCGGACTGGGCTTCCGTTCGCGAATCATGGTCATTTATTTAGTGCCTTTGCCCTTTGCCTCGTTCTCGCCTAGCTCTCTGATGAAAACTGAGGTCTGTCCAGCGCCACTGTAGTCGTTCTGCCCAGTTTCGAATCCCGGACACACCCCGACAGCTAGATACTTTCCGTCGTTTGAGAATGCCAGGGCGGCAACGTTGTTGGGGAACTTCTGATATTGTTTTAACCTCCTCTTGGCTTCTGCATCCCACAAGGCCACCGTTCCGTCACCGCCTCCCGACGCAAACGTTCCGTGGACAGAGTGGAACGCAAGTGCATTGACGGGATAAACAATATCTCCATCGCCATCGGGGGCTGCTTGTCTGTGACACTTGAATGCGTATTTCCTAGCCTGCGACTCGGCGGTATCCTCAAACCACTCGACCGCAACACGGCCCTCAATGCTGCTGGTGGCGTAGCCGGCATCGTTGGGCATGCAAGAGACTGAACGGGTGAGGTATCTGAGAGATGACTCGCGCTGTTGCCAGGGCTTAAGTTCGGTGCCGCCGGTACGGAATAGCTCGGCGATGGAGTCTACGTCGTAGATGTTGATGATGCGACCCGTCATGGCAACGACAATCTTGCTGGGGCTGCCGGCAAGAGCTTGGGGTTTGCCGGGGAGGGCAATGGTAATTGGGGTGCTGGAAGGGTCATTGAGGTTGTGCAGGTTGAGAGTGCTGTCCCAAGAGGCAGAGACGAGGATGCCGTGAGATTTGCTGTATACGACGCGGCGAACGGGAGCGGTGTGCTTGCTCAGGGGAGTCAACTCTCCAGTCTCAAGATTGAGGCTGTCATTCCATGGTCAGCGGATAGCTCAGCTGTAGCTTATTCGTGATCGGGGATAGCAAATACCGGTTGACCGTCCAGTCCATGCCCGCGGTGAAGGCCTCATTGTCGTCGGCGCCGAAGCAGACGTCTAGAACTGGAGCTCGGTGTTCATATGTATTGACGAGGCTTGAAGCCTCTGGACCGTTTGTAATGTCATAGTGGTAGACCTTGTTATCCCAGGATGAGACGAGGAGCTTCGTTCCCGAGTCGGGCGCGAATGCGATGGACGATACCGCGTCGCCGGGGGGCGGTGAGAGCTCGTATTGCGTTGCTAGCCCTTTGTCAGCTATCCATTGCGAAATATCAAGCTGTAATTCTTAGACACCGCCGTGAACGTACCTGGAGCCATTGCCAATGCCCGCTCTCTCTGCTATGACGATTCATAAACTTCCCCCATGATGGAAGCTTTGGTTGTTTACTTTGGGGGTCACGTGGCGATAAGCCAGAAGCATGGCTGTGGCGTGGGAATTGGCGTTATCGACCGAAGCATGAGCCACACCACCCCGCCACGAAGGTTTGGCTCAAGCGCAAAATACTATCAAAATTGTGACTCCTCATCCCACTTCGAATCTTTTGGAATCGCAGCGTATACAGAAGCTCTCTCTTTCCTACATATCGACAGCGAACGAGCCGCGTAGACCTGGAAGTCTGTCCGACCGTCGATTTCGAGCAATTCAGCAATTTCCAAGCGATCAGTTTGACACTCGCGTGAGCAGCTACGATATAAAAACCAGCCCCCACTTCCTATTATCCTCTTCTCGCCAACCGACTCTCATTTCCCCAGATTATCGTCGAACAACACCGCCAAGATGTCTTTAACAAACTGTCGGTTCTATGAGGAGAAGTATCCGGAGATTGATAGCTTCGTGATGGTCAATGTCAAGCAGGTGGGTTTTGCTTCAGATACGAGGAAGTGCGAAAGAAATACACGGAAATTCTGACAAAACCGAAATAATGGATAGATTGCAGAGATGGGTGCCTACGTCAAGCTGCTGGAGTACGACAACATCGACGGCATGATTCTGCTCTCTGAGCTGTCCCGAAGACGTATTCGAAGTATCCAGAAGCTTATCCGAGTCGGACGTAACGAGGTTGTGGTTGTCCTCCGTGTGGACAAGGAGAAGGGTGCGTCATCACCAGTTCACAAACCAAGGAAAGCAGACAAGTTGAGGCTCATATTGAATTGCAGGATATATCGATTTGTCAAAACGACGTGTTTCGCCCGAGGATATCGTCAAGTGTGAGGAGCGTTACAACAAGAGCAAGATGGTCCACTCCATCATGCGACACGTCGCCGAAAAGACCCAAACTCCGATCGAGTCTCTATATGAGAGCATAGCCTGGCCTCTGAACCGCAAATATGGCCACGCCATTGACGCTTTCAAGCTGTCCATCACGTACGTGGCTAGCATCAAGTATTTTGTATTTCTATAGGAGTAGTAAACTAACCAGGATGCAGCAATCCCGAGGTGTGGGAGGAGATTCAGTTCCCCAACCAGGTTGTCGACGACGAGCTGAAGCTCTACATCAGCAAGCGACTTACTCCTCAGCCCACCAAGGTCCGTGCCGACGTTGAGGTTACCTGCTTCGGCTACGAGGGTATCGACGCTGTCAAGTCTGCTCTGCGAACTGCCGAGGCCAAGAACACAGAATCGATGCAGGTCAAGGTCCGACTTGTTTCGCCGCCACTGTATGTGCTTACCAGCACATGTCTCGACAAGGCACAGGGTATTACCCGCCTGGAGGAGGCCATTGTTGATATCCGAACGAGCATCGAGGCCGCCGGCGGTAACCTGACTGTCAAGATGGAGCCCAAGGCCGTTACCGAGAGCGACGATGCCGAGCTGCAAGCACTCATGGAGAAGAGAGAGCGCGAGAACGCCGAAGTCAGTGGCGACGAGAGTGTCAGCGACAGCGACGACAACATTCCCGAGACGATCTAAGCGTCTCACAGCTCTATGCCAACAGCGATGAAACTGCGGTTCTACATTTGGGACCGGGGAAAAGCGGATACCATCTTTTAAAAAACAAAAAGAGGAAGGAAAAAAGCCGTCAGCGCTCGTATTGAAATGAGAGGCATAAGCCTAGAATTTGGTTTAGGAAGCTTTGGTGGCGGGTAATGGCGTCTTTGTGCGTGATGGACGACCGAAAAGCCGTGGATTTCGGCATTTTGTAAGGGGTAGATTTTGGCAGACTCTGCGACGTCTAATTTACGTGGAGAATCTTAACTATTTGAAAAAGCCATAAAAAGAATCAACAATGTTAAATTGCGCCATGTGTTCTGTGCGTAGACGTACTGAGTGAGGGTTGATTTTGATTCGGAATACCTGATGCCTGGTGTTTCAATGCGCTTGTGAAGAGGTCACTGAGGCTCTCTACTGTGGGATGAGCTAACCCCACCACTAGGCAACTTTTTTTCCAAAGCAGTATTGGCAAAGGGCTCAAGCTATTCTGAGATTGTCAAACATCTTTATTATGGAATGATCTACTGAGCTGCTCACTGCTCCACGACGACATTTCATTTGTATTTTACATCTAGTATTTCCATCCTATTACAACAATCTCCGCCAGCACCTCCATGGCACTCAATTCACTATGGGCACGAATAAGAGGTAGCGCAGCAGGAGGCACTCCAAGCTTCACTCGGACCACGGCGCTGAACCTCATCGGCTTTGCGACATGGATTCCGGTGATTGCGTGGTTCAACCTGCATGTGGCCGAGCTGACAGTTGTGGACGGATCTTCCATGTATCCATTTATGAATGAGGAGAGAGATTCGTCGCTGCGGAGAGACATGGTGTTGAATTACAAGTGGTCGCCGCAGGAGGATTTGCAGAGGGGGATGGTGGTGACGCTGAGGTAAGTTGCTGTGTTTTTGGTTCACGGGATGAAGATGACATCAAAAGCAATGCATTATTATTGAGGGGTTGGAGCATACTGATGAAATTGTCCATGATAGGAGCCCTTTTCATCCCGAGGTGATTGCCGTCAAGAGGGTTGTCGCCCTAGAAGGCGATGTCATCAAGACAAAGAAGCCATATCCCGTTCCAACGGTGAGGATACCGCAGGGACACGTGTGGGTGGAGGGAGATGGACCTCCAGGTTCAAGTCTGGACAGCAACACGTATGGACCAATTTCAAAGAGGCTATTGACAGGACGAGTAACGCATATTGTGTATCCGTTGAAGAAGTTTGGGCCGGTCAAGTGGTGGGAGCATGACAGGCCGTTGGTGGACTAGATGCGGATGCTATGAATCAATGCTACAGGGGGTGCAACCGGCGTTGTGTACATGTATGATAGGAGCTGCTACATATGCATTTGGGAGGCGTCTTTGATAGATGGGTGTATCATTAGAAATACCACTTGTATCAATTATCACGGAATGAATAGACCTGGACGTCATCACAAACACGGCCTATCGTCAGCTCGTTGCCCGAAGCAAAACCCCGTAAATTCACCGGCCACGCCACAGCGGATCAGCACGTGTGGCGCAGCCTAAGCCGGCGAAACGGCCTATCAGGAGCCTCAGGGCAAAAAGTTCTCAGCGAGCGTCGGGAGCCCACGCGACCGCCCAAGGCATCGAGGCCCTGAAAAGAGGTTTTGCCGTTGATTCGAACTTTCTCGCCATAGCATTTTGCCCTCCTGGTTGTTTTCGTTTTTTGCCGTCAAACAAGGGGAGACGTTTTTTTTTTTTCTGAGTTGCGACCATTGCGCTGCCGTGCGCCGGCTGTTGTTTTTCTCCGAGGACCCTTTTTTTCTTTCTTCCTTTTCTTACTTTGTCTTTCCTCTCTCTCTCTTCTCGCATAGATAAAGCCGAAAGTCTCAATTAGGCGCTCTTCTCTTCGCAAATGTCCGAAGGACTCTCCAGCTCCTCGCAATTCCCCCTCGCCGGCTTCAACTCTGCGACCGCAAAGCCCGACGGCGCGACAACCAGCGATCCCACTGCGGCGGCAGGCCGTGACGCTGCCCTGGAGCCTCGCCATGCCGGCCATCACTCGATAGCCTCGTCCGACAGCCATTCTGCTCACGCAATGCAGAGCCAAGATGTCGAGGCTGAGGGCCGGCCGCCATATATTCACGTTGGTCTTCCACTGATTGTTTTCTCGCTGTTCGGGGCTATGACGTTGTGATTTATTTTGGGGCTCTTGCAATGAGGGGTCCCTTTTTTTTTTATGCGTATACTAATAGTCGGACTTTCATAAGGCAATGATTGCTGGAGGTGTTGGAGGCTCGACGGGCGACATGCTGATGCATTCGTTGGACACGGTCAAGACGCGACAGCAGGGTGATCCGCATTTCCCTCCGAAATACTCTTCCCTGGGGCGATCCTACTACACAATCTGGCGACAGGAGGGCATTGCGAGGGGCTTGTACGGAGGCTGGATACCAGCGCTGGGCGGCTCGTTCCCAGGCACGCTCATGTTTTTCGGCACATACGAATGGAGCAAGCGGTTCTTGATAGATCATGGGCTTCAGCACCATCTCGCCTATCTCTCAGCAGGTGAGTCAAATTGGAGCAGGCCTGCGATTCTTCGCTGTTAAACTAGGCTAACCTCCCCTCTTTCCTAGGTTTCCTTGGAGACCTTGCGGCTTCCATTGTCTATGTACCATCCGAAGTCCTCAAGACCCGACTACAACTCCAGGGACGATACAACAACCCCCATTTCGTCTCTGGATACAATTACCGCGGCACCCTCGACGCCGCACGCACACTCATCCGAACAGAGGGCACCTCTGCGCTCTTCCACGGCTACAAGGCCACTCTATATCGAGACCTGCCCTTTTCCGCGCTGCAGTTCATGTTCTGGGAGCAGTTCCAGGCATGGTCACGAGTGTACAAGCAGAGCCGCGACATCGGCGTGCCCCTGGAGCTCTTGACCGGCGCTGCTGCGGGCGGTCTCGCCGGCGTCATCACATGTCCTCTGGACGTCGTCAAGACTCGCCTGCAGACCCAGGTCAACATCCCGTCCGAGCCCGAACCTTCACATCGGCCCAAGGATCCCAACCCTCAGAAGCGGCTGATATCCACGTCGTCTCCAAGCACGCATAGACCCAGGCCCGGCGCCATCGCGCTGAAGACGTCATCCGTCCTTACCGGACTAAGGGTCATCTACCATACCGAGGGTATGAGCGGCTGGTTCCGCGGCGTTGGGCCCCGTGGCGTGTGGACTTTCATCCAGAGTGGCTGCATGCTTTTCTTGTATCAGCGGTTGCTTCACAAGTTGGAGGTTTGGATGCCTCTCGAAAATCCCGAGAGTGAAGCGGCATTGTAAAACGAGAAAAGAAAAAGAAAAATTCTCGGTTGCTCAATTTTCTTCGATCCCTATATTTAATTTCTTTTTTTGTACATGATAGTGAGCATTATGATGCGAAGACATACATCCAGCGTTGCAGAGAGGAGGAAGAGAGAATATCGGGAGGCGATATTACCATGTACAGATTCACTAGATGGAAGATGGAAGCGAGGGAGACCAGGACTCAAGTTTTACACAAAAAAAAGAGAGAGAATGGAGGAGACTATGGGGAAGGACTATGGGAAGGACTTGGAGCGGACCCGGTCAACTTTGTGTGAGGCGTTTTATGGGGGTTTAGAACTGGGATGATAAGATGGCATTCTTTGATATATGATATAGATAGAGGGCATGGGAAGGAAATACGTGCCAAATCTCCAACATGTGTTATTACTACTACCTGCTCGCCATTCAGTCTTTGCTGTATTCTAAGTTGACACATCGGAAAGGGGGGAGCTTTATTTATACCACTATCTAACTCATAAAGGGAAAGGCATCAACCCAAGGTATCTCACCTCAAACCAGACCAAAAACGCAACCAAGTGCAAACAAGCTCGTATCAAGCACATATCGTCAACAGAAATCCCAGGCAATTACAGCAAACCTTCTCTTCTCTCACCCCAGCTCCCCTTCCAACCCCCAAAATCAAGCATCCGGATCGCTCTCCTCAACGTATATTTCCTCCTCGAAATCCCCCATCCTCTTCATCATGTCGTCTCTCGCAAGGCACGTCGCAATCGCCACCGTCAAGGCATTCCACACGCCTAGGCTGCGGTTCTGAAAGTCCAAATCTACGTGATAGTTTAACTTCATGTCGGCATCTTCTTTGGAAGAGTCGGCGGTAAGTAGAATGACGGAAGTAGAAACTATAAAGAAGCCGAAGACGACGGGGGGTGGACGAAGATACGATGTTGTTGGTGCCATGGGAATGTCTGCCATCGTAATGTCGTCGTCTGAATCGTCAAAGAGCTCCTTTTTTATGATGGTTTGTTTTTCTTCCTCTTCATCCTCTAGCTTCACGTATACTCTGTCTCTTGCCTTGTTACCTTGTTTAGTCGTCGGCTCATCATCCCCGCTGTCAATGACCGATGTCTCCCCGTGAGACTCCGGCTTTATGACGGGCCGCCGCAGTAACTTGAACAGTCTGCTCATCATCCGCGATCCAAATGTCCTCCACGACCGGCTTCTGTTGCCGCTGGGCTGTTGTTTGGTGGAAACCTCTGCCTCGCTCTTGATTTGCGTTTCGACCTCTCTGTCTATATCCATATCAGCCGAATTCTCCTCCTGTTCTGCCTTGATAGCGAGCAGCTCGCGGTGCGACTGTGCCAGCTGTCTCATGCGCATCCCGACGAAAGCTGTCAGCTGATGCTCTTCAAGCCCTTCGCCGGTCTTATCGACGATCTCGACGGTGATGTTGGGGATGTATTTCAGATGGCTGTAGCCTCCATCCTCGGCAGCCCAGCTGAGGTACTTATCCAAGGATTTTTTGATCATCAGGGGCGTCTTTCGGCGCAGACCTGACTGGCAGGACGTGCGTACGTTGGCCGTGAGATCGATGAGTCGTGACAGTGCCATGGTTGCTGCTTCATGTATTAATTTGAAAGTCTCATTCAGCAGATAAAGAAGGGGAAAGAGGGAAAGAGAAGAATTTCTCACCTCGAAATCCACTCGTATGCGCATAAACAATCGGCTTCACCCCCGTCTTCCAACAAAACAAGTCCCCCGACATAGGAACCGCCCGGAAATCAACCCCCCAGTGCAGAGGCAAAAGCGGAATCTCCTGCCGCAGGAACAGAATCTCAAACAGCCGCTCCTCCAGCTCGTTCAGCTGGTGGTTGCCCAGATATCTCCTCTTCTCCGTCTCCATGCTTTCCAGGATCCTGCCGCTGACGAGCTGCCCGCCACCGCCGTCGCGGTCGTCTCCCCACAGCTTCATCGGTGACTGGTTGGCTTTTCGGGGCGACTTTGAGCAGCGGGTGGGCGAGCTTCGGGGGGTGGGAGTGCGTTTCTTTGGCGTTGTTTTGTGGTAACGACGGGTTTTTTTGCGTCGAAGGGGGGTGCTGCTACGGCTCTTTTGAGGCGAGGCCGGACTGTTTGCTGGTTCTATCTCCATGATTTGATATTGAGGTGTATGTAAGGGTAAGAGGATCGGAAATTTTGTGCATGCTGCTCGGAGAAGATGTTAAGACTGAGGTTGACGCCCTCTTTTTAGATGTGGACAAGGTGCGTTTGCAGATGATGTTTGGTCAGGTTTGGTAACTTGGCTGGTTCAACACAATTATAGGGCGTCATGGACACTATGTATGTACTGCGGAAGGCGGTTTCGCAGTGCTGGGCAGCTGCGTTGATGCAGTGAGGATGGCAGCATAAATTCCGGCTGTAGAGTGCCGAAGCCTCCAAACGGGCGGAATATATGCAGCGAGTAGAAGCATTTGAGCAGCTTCCATACGTTTAACGTGGATGGTTGCTTTCATGATGTAAAGCTGTTAGTTTCATTGTATGGAGACCAAGTCAGTGTTCGCACAAAGGGGCGTGCGTCTCCCTCTTTGACATCTATAACAGGACTCAACAAAGTCCCTTTATCTTTATGAATGAAAGCAGAAGCCGCAATGCTATGACTGTTCACCTCATCACTCTTATCCATCAACCTTGTTAATGGTCTAAATGGCTCGCGGAAGGGCATCAACATAAAGCTGCAGTTAATAAGTGCAGTAAGTTGGGCAGCCAAGGTATGGCGTTTGTAGGAAATCCTGGTGCTTGCTCTGCAGGGACTCACGTCTCAATTTATCTATTGCAAAAAATTGTTTCGCATTGCTTAGTTAAAAGTCCTTCATCCACCGAGTGAATCCTCGACTCATCTACAAGACGGCTCAGTCTTTTTTCTCCATGTACGGCAGACACGCCTCATAGATATCCTTATAACCAGGGCACTGCACACTCCTTTGGAACACTCCCTCGTCAATCACCTTGACAGATTGTAGAGATCCCGCAATGAAGAAATCGCTGTAGCTCGGCTGTGCACCGAGAATAAATGGTCCAAGAGCCTTGTTTGTCCGCATCAGCTCTCCAACAGCATGTCGATCGGCATCTACAGCCTTCCAACGCTCCTCTTCGCCCTCAAGCAATTCTTCCAGCGTTTTCCCGAACCGAGCCTCGCGAGAGCTTCGGAAATACTCTTGCGCTCGCGGCGACAAGATGTTGATCTCGCGCGGCATTGCCGACCTGTAGAAGGTTGGCGCAACCAAGGAGCGAATCTTGAGCTCGATCTCGCTGCCCAGCTCCGACGTGAGCTGAACCGGCGGGTCTGGGTACGTCGACTCTATGAATTCCGCAATGGGCTTCGATTCCATGATGTACCTGTTGGTCGCCAAATGGTGGATGGTGGGAACTGTGTAGTCGACTCTATTGCCAGAAGCAGGGTCATGGGGGGCTACACCGCTGTGTTTATGTTAACGGAGGCGCTTTGAGTTGCATATTTGTATCAAGAGGGTAATTAAAAGCCCAACAGGGGATCAGGTGAGAAGCGCAGCATCAGACAGAGGAACTATTAACAAGGAGGTGACTAAAACTCACAGCTCCTTAAGCGTAGGCCCGATATCTGGCATCTCAAGGAAAACTGTCTTGTAAGAAATCTGCTTATAATTGAGCAGTAGTCTAATACGCCAGACGACGGGAGAAAAACAGACGCCCTTGGTGCAAGCTAGGTCGTATAAGATAATCTGGGGTTCGGAGTTTGAGGCTGCCATTTTGAGCTCGATATAACAAAGACTCGATTAAAAAGACGAGGTATGTATGATAGTTACAGCTAGAGTAGACGGTCTACCTAATTTCTAGCTGGTGGCTGTAGACAGGGAGAGAGAAAACTGAGCTACAGGCTTCGGGTGACAGATATAAGAAATGATGTCCACACAATTACTCTTCTGCTATGAGCAATAATCACAACAGATGATGTCCCAACAGAAATGAGAGGTTATGTCACTTAGATCCTTCGTAGGACGTGGCGATCATGAACGGCTGCTATTGGTGTAAATGGAGGGATATATTGAGTCAACGGACAATTGTCATTGGTCTATTGTATCAAAAGCTGCATGGCGACCGCTCGGAATCTTTTTTAGGAAATACCCGGCTATATCATGCATACAGGTATTTTCACTTCGCATTAGACGATATCGCAATATATGGCTCTGTTCTGGACAGCAAAACAGTGCCAAGATACAGTGCGTCATCATAATATATCACTGTGTTGGCCAATCCAGACCCCACATGGGCAAAACTTTGGATATCGAAATCCGATCTGCAAACTGATCTGATATGCCTGTATAACATTATACCAACCAGATCCATTCACGCTGCAGCCATGGCCGAGGCAGTGAAAGCGGCCGCGCGCCAATTGCCCGCGTTCAAGCTGGGCCAGAAGCAAGTTTTCCTGTGCGTCAATCTCTGCAGCCCGTAATCCCCAGCGCAAGAACTCACCATGCCATGTCATAAATATCCAGACCGAACCATGTCATCACGATGCTGCGAAAAGAGCACCTCCCGCCCAACGAAGCCTGCTTCAAGGTGCCGCTTCGATTCACAAAGTTCGACCTGCGAGACTACCTCTGGAACCTGTACAACGTCGAAGTCACCACCGTCCGGTCCTACGTCAAGCAGCAGCCTCTCACCCAGCGCAGCACCAACTCTCGCTCCTGGTACCGGCCGCAGCCTCAAAAGATCATGACGGTCGAGCTGGCCAAGCCGTTCCAGTGGCCCGAGGTGCCGAAGGATCTGGAGCCCTGGAGCAACGACCTGTGGAAGATGCGCGAGGAGACGATTGAGAAGAGGAACGAGGAGCAGCTGGTGCGACAGCGGTTCCAGATCCCGCTCAAGAGCCAGGAGCCGCTGCCCAAGGAGCGGGTGGAGCTGGGCAACTTGGCCAAGAAGATGCTGTCGGGAGAGGTGAAGTGGGAGAACAACGTTGTTCTTGATCCTAGGTGGGATCAGATCCTGGGCAAGGACAAGGCTGTGAAATCAACAGAGACGACAACGACAACTTCATGAAAAGAAATCAAACTAAAAAAGGGATAACGGAAAAAATGGAATACCAAAAAGAGGGAGCAAGCACTATGGGTTTTCTTCTCCTATCGGGAATATACAGGGAGGGGGGAGATTATGGCTATTGGCCAGTGTACGACTTGGACGCATAGCATGTGCATGTATGTATGTATGTATGTACCTTATGTATATTACTCTTGATCTTGAACAAAACGGCTTCAAAGCCAGCCTTTTCGCTTTAGACATCGGGTTCACGGCATTGACAGCATATATCAACGGTCAAGACTGAATCCAATGCTCCGTCCCCTGGAACTGCAATACCTGATCCCCCCAGCTCCACCACCCAGACGTGAGATTCCGCGCAAACACTTCCAAAGCAGCGTAATCCCGTCCAAGGACACCCTCAAACAGCTGCCGGAGATTCGGCTTGCGCGAATGGACGTCCGGCACCGCTACAATGACCAAGGGCTTAAGCGTGCTCGGAGCTCTCGCGCCGATGCGCTTCGCGATGAGAAGCGTCTCCCACGGCTTCCTCCATGCGGACTCCATGTCGAAGATTGGGCCGCCTGACGAAGTGACCTTGAGCAACGTCCATTGTGTCACCAGCTCGAGACCCCACGAGGCAAAGATGCCCCTGGGAGAGGTGACGAGGTCGAAAATACTCGACTTGTTTGTGATCCAGACGGCGACCAAGCCGTCGGGGGTAAGGTGTAAAGGCACGGGGATGCTGAGTAGAAGTTGCTGGATTTCCGTGAGGTTGGAGGCAGTGCTGTAGCTGCCAGTCTTCCTCTTCCTGCGCACAGATCGATTAGGCCATGAAGGATCCAGGATAACGAGGCGGAACTGCGGCGCCGTGTCAACGAATGTCTGCCGCAGGTCGTAGATCGATCCATGCAGGTATTCAGCCCCAATGGGAATCCTGATGCGTGAAGCCTCAGAAGATTTAGCACCAGCAGCATCAGCATTAGCAGCACCAACACGGACACCAACATCGCCATCAGTAGACACCGCCTCCTCTGCAGGACGACAAACCCGGTCCAGGCAGAACGGTCCCAAATACCGGCTCCGAAGCTCGTCCAGCGCGCTCTGAGCAGCCGCCGCGGCCATCAACTCGGCAATACGAGCTCCCGCAGAGGGTGAATGGCCCTCTGATGCCCCATTGCGCGGCTCCGGGATGGCAAACGGGTCGAGCGGGGGAGGCCCGGAGACGATGCGTGCAGAGGGCTGGTGGCCGGGGGGGACTTGAGCTTCTTCTAGGGATCGGGGGATGTCGAGGAGAACAAAGGAAGGAGAGTCATTGTTGTTGGCGGTGTTGCTCGACTGGAAGAGGATTGAGGATGGTGAGGATGGTGGTGAGGATGATACGCCAATGGCTGCTGCCTCACATGTGCTGCCAGAGGCCATGTCGGCGCATGAAATTAAACAATCATTATGCTATTAACAAAGACGAGTATATTTTGTATATCAAAAATCAAGAGACAAAGCCATATGGTGGACAGATGTATGTACAGCATGTCAGGGCCATGTTCCAAAGTGATCAAGATTTACTTGGCGCTAGTACTAGCAAAGGGCCAATAGGATTACATCAATCAAACATTGCAAACACTCACAAGGTTGATTCTAAACGGCAATACAGGTTCTTTTATTTTCATTATTATTTTTCTTTTACTCATCTTTCCACTCTTCTTTTCTATCAACGGCTAGAAAAGAAAAAGAGTGAAAAAAAAAAAAAAAAAAAACCAAAACGCCGTCGCTCCATAACGAAAAAGAAAAAAATGTATACGTGCTGAGTTAGTTGTACATTCTCTCCCAAGCAACCAATAATCCCAACTATACCGTGACAATGCCTCGCTCTTTTGAAGCGTTCTTTGCATCTTTGATCCTCCTTTCCGATCCCTTGATTCCATGTGGCCACTCACAAATTCCCATTCTTTTTCAACCTTGCCCAAAGAATAGACAAGTGTTTTAACTTATATCGACGTCGGGGCAGCGTCTTTCCTCCATCCCTTGCTTCGCATGTTCATCTCAATAGACTTCCAAATATACTCGACGACCTCCTTGTCTCTGAATCGCGAGGCGACGTCGTCCTCACCTCGCCAGCGGTCCACACTCGTGCTCATGACACGATGGCCCCAGCCGCGGATATTATCCGGCGCCAGCTCACCTCTCCATCCGACGAACACGCCCATGGTGTGCTTGAACAGCTCGTTGGGATTGCTCCACTTGTAATTCTTGAACTGCCATGTCTGGCCCGTCGTAAACACTGCAACAATGCGGTTCCAGTATTCGGGCTTGAACTGCTCCGACCCCTCAACAAGGATGAAACGCATGGGTCGGTTGGGGTCGATGCTGGGAATGATGCGTTGGACGTGAAGCATCGAGGCAGTGGACGCTCCGGCATCAGGAGGCATGAACTTGCCATCTTCGAGGAAGGATCGAGCATTGGACATGCGCAGCAGCGACGAGGCAGATGGAGAGAGCAGGATAATGGGATCGGGGCGACGGGAGGGGCCCTTTTGGTTGATGGAGAGGGACTGGGTTGAGCCAATGGCGGAAGAAGACTGAGACTTCTTTTGAATAAAGGGGATGGCGAGTTTTCGGACGTGGGAAAAGTCCTAACAGCAGCGTCAGCCAAATGTCCACCAGTACACGGTGTAAAAGCAGCTTCAGATCAAAAAAAGTTCGTTTCACTTACCGTGGGTTTAATGCCCCTCAGGACCGTGTTCCGGTCACCCATCCGGCGCTCGCCATCATACACACTGGCCAGCCGCGGGTCAATTGTCCCCTTGCCCGACCTCGCTTGCGCAGCCAAAGCCGCAGCACCAGTCTTTGAAGACGGAGCCGCTCCAGCAGCCGCCGCACTCGCATCTCCAGCTAGAGGCTTGATATACTCGCTTTCCTCACTGGCGCCTTCTAGCCAAGTAATCAGATCCAGTCTCTCGATGAAGCCCAAGTTCTGCACCTTGCCGCTCGACCCGTTGGCGGCAAGAGCGTCGTTGAGCGTCGTCGCCGAGGCATTGTATTCCGGGATGGCAAGCTCGCGGTTGAGCCAGGCGAAATAGATACTGCGCAGGTCGACGGGCTTGTCGCTCGAGATGAAGCGCGTGGGCGAGTCTATCGGCAGGGAGAGCGAGAGCCCTGTGAATTGCAGGTGCGTGGCCTGGGAGAGGGGGACTTCGGGCGCCGACGCATCGGCAGACGCGCTCGGGATGAAGGCCTGGCTGCTCGAGATGGACTGTCGAAGGACAAGGAGGGGGTCGTGGTCGGTGGGCGCCATGGTGGACGCGAGAGGCGCGAAGGTGGAAAAAGGATTCGAGCTTTGAGAGAGAGGCGCTCAGCTGGGGGAGATGAAAGGGGGGAGTGCTGTCGATAATTGATTATGAGAGTTCAATTGATACGCCGCGTTGCATTGAAAGAAGAGGTCCGCTAGCGATGAGGCTGTTGGAATTGCGATGCCTCGTTGGGAGATTAGAGTTGGTGAAGAGAGGTTGTAATGCAGCAAGGCTGAGAGAGGCTAAAAAGCTGTAGGGCCGTGTCGGCCAATGAGATGACAGCTTGACTCTCAGCCAACAAAACCGAAACGACGTCCATTAAAGGGCTATTTAAAGGCTGATTCAATTCTGAGGATCAGATGAAATGATTCTCCTTGTGAAAAAATAATGATAATTCGTTTCAGCGACATGTCAGTGCATTATACATGCAACTCGAGGTAGCCAACTCAAGGCTACCTCGCACATTTTTCTACTGGTAAAACTAATTACAAAACCCAACATCTCGCAGTACCAGTACAGTACAACTAAATACATTGAATGCAACTCTATTGCATTCTACAGTATCGCTCTGAGCTTGTTTTACATGTAACCAATCCCACCGTGTCCCGAACTCTAAGCGGGCTCAACCTCAACTCCGTCCTTTCGAGGTACCCTTGGAGGTTCAATAAACCAAATGAGAACCGAAAAAAAAAATACATGAAAAATCTTTACACGTAATGCTTTGCAACAAAAAACAATTCGCCAACGCCAGTACAGCCGTGCCTTCGTTTTTCCTCTTTCTTTATATACCAAAAACAAGCTTCATGCGTTCGTAGGTGTAGAAGCTCACCGCCGCCAGAGGTATCACCTTGACATAACCAATCGTGAGGCCGACGAAAAAGCCACGGATCCCCCGTTCCCGCAGGATCATGGCCGCCGTCTCGCCGACTCGCAGCCGTCGGCCGTCGCCAACAGCGCCGCCAACCTGCATGCGTCGTCGGACAACCTCCAGAGGGTAAGAGCTTGTCTGGGAGATCATGCCGGCTACGCCTCCGGCTGTAAGTTCGGCCCAGGATCGAAGCGGCGCAGGCTTCCCCTCTGGGTGGTTCTTCTTTTTCGGCAGAGTCGTGTGCGCCGCAATGGATGGATGGCGTAGTAGGTCGGACATGGTGTCATGAGTGAGGAAGGACACGCCAGCATACGGCAGCATGCCGAGCATGGTGGGAGCAAATCCTCGGTAGAAATTCACAAGCCCGACTCGTGGCGCAACGGACTCAACTGCGGTGGCAGCAGAATCCACAGCTGCCGCAATTCCAGGCGTGTTGGGCAGTTTTGGAGTCCGGGATTTTTCAACAGGGTGTTCATTGTAGATTTGGCGGCAAATCGATGTCAAGGATGACCGACCATCCCGCCTGGTTTCAAAAGCAAGGCGGACTCGAACAACTTCTAGGGGGTATGTGAAAAAGACGGACGTCACGCCGGCAAGACTGCCACTGATCAGCCGTCGGAATGGCGTCTCGTGGTGTTTATCGGGAATGATGATATTGCGGATCTGCTCATAGGCGAGGAACTTGATGCCGGCATAGGGGAAAATTCTGAGGAGCGTGGCCGAGTGGCCCCGGAAGAGCCCTCTGCCGCCTTCTTGAAGGTATATGTCTTTCATTGCGGAAGCGACTCCGAATGAGGAGCCGGTGTATTTTGCGAACTGGGGGTTGCTGGTTTGGAAGAGGATTTTGACGCGATCGAGAGGCGCCACCGTCGTTTTGGCCTGCCCATGGAGCGGTTAGCAAACAATGCAAGCAAGCACACTTCGACGAATTCAGTCGTCTAGACGAAGAAACTCACAGCGCATCCTGCGATACCCCCGGCGACACCGGATCTCCAGACGTAGTCCCACGTGCGAGTCTTTGCGCGCGCGGCCACGACTTCGTCGCTCACAGGGGAAATGGCAGATTCTTTTCTTCTCGGCGCAGGAGCCGAAGCCGCAGTGCCAACCACAGTCGCGCCATGCTGTCGAGCCTTGTCGCGTGCTATGTCGGCCATGGAGCCCGGATCCGCATAGGCGGACGGCATTGCGGCGCAGTGGCGGATAGTTTTGCGAGGACCAAACGAGTCTATGGAAACGACATGCCCGCAGAAGTCGAATGGGGGGGTGTTTTCAAATTTCTTGACGCAAAGTAAGGAGGATGCGAAAAAGGAAAAGGAAGAAGAAAAGGAAAAGGAAACACGCAGGAACGATAGAACAGTTTGGCGAGGCCAAATGCTAATGCTAGGGGGCAAATGATTGTACAGTCAGGATCACGGAAGATAAAAAGCTGGTCAAGAATCGATAGCGGATCGAAACTCCGGGCCCCAGGGACGTCATGCGCCTGTGCGCACTTTGGCGATACCTGTGCGGTACCTGTGTGGACGCATGTGGCCTGCCCATGTGACCAAGTCACTCAGGGGTTACTCTGAGGGGAGCTTTTCGGGGCGTGGGGTTCTCCGGACCGCTGGAGAAAAGCTGGAGTGCTGCCGAGCCGAGAAATACCGAGTGTAGAGCCGTTGTGCCGTGGACAGCCATTGGGGGAGAGCATCAGGCCATCTAGACAAGCTCGGGTCTTTGTTGGTCTTTGTTTCGGGTGACAAATTGATGGTGATACCAATGCGTACAGACATGCTTGAAGTGAGGCAGAATTAGACACAGGCTCTAACAAGTAAATTAGATGGTAGATGGATTGCCTGATTAGCTGGTCGGTGGGCAATGCCTTGATCACATGCCAACGCCTCCATCCATTCCCGATTTCGCAGCGATCAAGGGTTTGTTCTATTCTGCCCTTGCTAAGCACAGCATCCCTCTTCGCAGTACAAGCGGCGTCCATTCACCAACTTCCTAGCCCCTTACTCCCCAAGCAATAGAAGACTCTCGCTTCAGTGATAAATATTCACAAATACACTACAACCACCCACACGTCTTGTGCCTCGGCCAGGGCGTGAGCTGGTCGTACGATAAGCTGGGGTCTAATAATGAAGTGCTAGGAACGGCGGCAAAAGCCCTCCAAAGAATTGGCCCACTTCCCCAGACTTGTGTGGAGTGTTGAAGATGCTTATATATTTGAGATTTCACGCCGAAAGAAGCATCTAGCATGTCAGGTTATATATGCCGAGTTCGCACTTGTGGCAAAGTATTATTACCGAATTCGTCGGGTTCTTGCAAAACGCCATCACAGGGCGAACTCGGCCATATGTCTAATAGTTGCATGAAAAAGAATAAGAAGTCGGAATGGGCGGCATTTTTTGGCAATTGAGAGGCTGAGAATATGCCATCACTCATAGCATCGTTTATCTGCCACTTCCTCCACCAGTCATCGGTATGGTCTTCTAATTCACTTTGGGCTTGTCTACCGATATATGCACCAAGATGGCACCTTGTACATTCATTCTAGAGAGGTATCAATCAGCTCTTTTTTCTGTATGAATGAACCGAATGTTCCTATTTTCTTCTACTGGGCTCTGTTGGATTGGCAGTGGTTAACGAGCAACAACTCAAGCCGACATGTTACCTGGCGATAAGTCTTCATACTAGAGCTTTTAGAAGAGAAATGCCGCTCGAACTCACAATCCTACTTGATCGGATAAAGCGTCTATCCTTTCAGGTAGCATCGTACTTTGGACATCTCAGCTGCTATGAAAACATAACGTATCACTATCTTTAAAAGCTCATTGTTTCCCAGCACCATCATGAGCGAGCTGCGCTCGTTGCGAACAAGACAAGTAGGCAAAAGTATGCATAGTAAGAAGAGACCAATTGATCCTTATCAAAACTTCCCATTCATCTGTAAAAGAGCCAGAGACAGGGAGCTTGCGGAACTTCTGAACTTCTACAACTGTATGACGAGCTCGGCCATGCATCCAAGGGCATACCCCAAAGCTTACACATAGCCGAGGTCGAAGATATCTCGACTGCGAGAGAATAAGGAGAGCCTTGCTTTCCATATGGAATAATCTTCTCGACTTGGCAGTGATAATTGAATGGCGGTGTCTTGCTATATAATGAAAGGATGTATTTCCACGCCGCTTGAATAGGTGCAACAAGAGGTGTTATTTCAAAGGAAATGGATGATAGTTTATAAATATGCGTTCTATCTAGGTGTATTGATCACAACAGGTCACCACAGTACCTCTTCACTCCGGTGAACACTTTTACTGTGCTGTTATGGTGCTGTTTTATGTGGCAGGATAGCTTACTCTGCTGTAATGAATTACTCAGTTCCTAAAATCCGGAAAAGAAACCCTTTGCCAAGAGGATCTCCTTCACGCTCTCGAAATCCTGGGTCGCTCTTAATCAGCCGATAATTCGTTAGGTCGTTTCCCAGTAGGACTGGTTCAATGATCTCAAAATGGTTCACAAAAGTCGTCAAAATAAAACCGTCGAGATGTATTTCAAGATCTAGCCGTTTATAAACTCCAAGATCTCAAGGCGGGACGAGCTCAGATTGAACCAGTCACTGATATCTATTATTGCCAAGTGACAGCCATAGTTGAAATCTTGTAGTTCATAACACTATCTCGGCTCTACCCGTCATAATAGAACGGTTAGCTGCTATCCTCTTTGCCATCGTAGTACTAGATATTTAGAGCAAGAAAAAGTAGGTATGTATAGCATTAAAACAATTTAATTCGAAATGGCCCAATCTCGACTGTTAAAGTAGTTCTAAGAAGCAGATGGCGGCTAATTTCTCCCAAGATATATAGGCATATCATAAATCCTCAAGCGCCATCGATCCTCGGCTGATAATCGACTTTCCATGAAATGCAATAAAATATTTGAATCAACGAGAATCGTTCCCCGCCATCTCATAGAGTTGTCAAACGTCCCCGAAGCTTCTCAATGCCTTCTGTTTCTGAGCTTCCGTACGCGACAGAACCTTTGCAAGCCTACAACACTTATAATCTCAGTTCTCCATCGGCCTGAAGACCATCGAGTTATCAAAATGCCATTGTCCAATCTACAGAAATGTAAACAATTCGCAGAACGTTTTTTTAAACGTCATCCACAACGTCATCAACCCGAACAGGAGCCCGCCCTACCAACCCCTCCACCCCGTAGTCTCTTTCACCATTATCTTTGGAGGTATACTCTCATCTGTCATCAGTTGCACATTCACTTCTCCGCCTAGAGTCTTTCCACAAGCAACTAAAATTACATTATAAGCCATTCATAAGCCCCTTTTTTGTAAGACTTTACGACAAACAGACATTGGATAGGCCAAACACATTGATAAATGATATGGATATACAGTCAGGGCGCAATGGTTTTACCAGTCTGATTCTGTTCAGAAATCTTCTAAGAAGGGACTTTCTTCACCAGTTTCTCGACCCATCACATATTAGGCTTTCATACACCCTTCAAAGGAACCTTTCTAACTGTCACAGTGAAATCTTAACCCAAGACAACGACACACTAGATATTTTATCGAGGAGACTTGTGACCTCAAGTAGCTCTACATATGGGCCACATTTTAAATTAAGCTTATAATAAAGCAGCTGAATCTCTAATTTTATACTCTTATAGCTCAAATAACTAGCCCTGATAATGTATCATCAAATAGATCGCTACGCTCTATTAAATGGCTGCTACAGTCGCTGTCCTCACGTCAGATGCTCTCACTTCCATAACAGTCCCCATCCTCTGAACTGGATAACTCATTACAAACCAAACACAAAGCCATCGCCCAGGAAGAGAGAGAGAATACGCTAGTAAACAAAGCCGCGTCCTCAAGAGTAATTGGTAAATACCATATTCCCGGCCAGTAACCCTGACCGATAAACGGATCCTGTCACGATGCTTATCTTACATTCGGCATGGGATGACCAGGATACCGGACTAGGCCGGTGCCATCACGAATCATGCGACCAAATCCTTGATCGCGTTTCATGACAGAGCTGTGATGCTCTTTGCTCAATCGTCTTCGGTGTGACTTCAAGGAGACCCTCACAAAATACACAGCAATCGTCAACAAACTCCGGGCTTTAATCTTATTCTCTCCATTATCCCCCTCTTGCTTCACGTTGTATTCACGAGGATCCCCCGCACAACGCTAACTTGGTACGGAACACAAAGAACAAGCTCTACATTGTGTCCTCATTGGGTAGTTGGCCAGTCCGTGATGAGGTCGTTTTTGGCATAAGGCCGCCCTTCTTGGCAATGGATACCTCGCGGCCAGTGCCTCCCGATGGGTTTCTTCTTCACTGTTTTCCCCTATTTGGGAAGCCAAAAAAAAAAAAAAAAAAAAACTCTAAAACGCATCATGCGCGTAGGGTATGATCACAGAGCGGCTCCGACGTCTACGAGTCTCGGCCGGAGATGATTCCAGAGAGAGAAAAGCTTCCGGCGTGCCGTGCAAGTACATATACCAAGTGATGGATAACGGCCTCGAGTGGCAACGGCTGTCATTACACAGTCTCGGCCGATGGAGGCTTTACTGCCGATGCTACTCGCATGCCCAGCCGAGCGAGGTGGTATTAATACTCCATAGGGAGCATGCAGACAGGTACGCGTGTCTCTGTGTGTACTAGTGTATGCTGTGATGCCCTTGCCCATGGGAATCGAGGCCGGGATCGTGCAGCATGAAACACGAACCACGTTGCGAGCAAATGCATCCGTCCGTCTTGTAAACGGAAAAGTCTCCTCAATCTCGATAAGCCCGGTCCCGCCCTCTTGCGCGTGCACAGGCAATCCAGACCGAGGGACATATAAGATGACCATGCGGAACTTTACCGTTGCAAAGTCGTATTGATGCGGCTTACATGTACTCGTATGTCCGAGCCTGCTATCAGGGCTTCGATCGTGCCTGGAGGACCCTGCCCGGGATAACAATAATTCTAGAAGAGAAAATCAACAAGAGGGCGAGGTTAATGACCTACCTATTGCAGGCCGTGAACGCATGCACGCACATATACTCGTATGTAGTAATTGTTGCTTGCTCAAAACGACTTTGACCGGGGGCATTGGGTTAGGTCCATGTATTTTGATCCATGTATTCTGACCCTTGCATATTACATGCCATATAGGTACGGAGAATGAGCGCAAGCGCAATGCGTATGGCCACGGCAGATCTGCGTCAGACGGCACGTCGTGGTCTGAGACACCTACAGTATCCAGGCTCGGCTGCGAATATGCAGAGAGCGCCTGCAAGCCAAATCATCGCAAATGCTGCATCTGAGGACAGCCAAGGCTGGCTTTCCTGCCAAGCACCGCCACTTAGCAAGGCGCAGACACGAGAAACCCAGAGGGCTGAAGCCACACTCTCCAGTTCGGCTATCGAGGAGAGTTTGTCGAGCATCCGGAACAGCCACGTAGCGGAGTGGCTTGAAAATGTCGCCATGTGGAAAGGCATAGGTAATACTTTGCAAGAACGAGGCGTCTGAGCCGCGGACCGCGCTGGTCCTCCGCAGTGCCCAAAGCAGAAGTAGCCATACATGCTCCATGTCTGTATTTGGACAGGCAGGTGGCGTCGGAGAATTTTCAACGGCATGTCCGGTCAAGGTGAAGGAAAGGTTTTCGGGGGTGTCCGAATAGGCAGCACTGATGCTCTGACAGCCTGTTGACGGCGATGCGCCAGTATTTCGAGAGCTGTCGGTGTCGGTTATAGAAGCACATGGATGTCTCTTGCTCTGCGCGGTGAGGAAACGTTGCAGCATATACCATGAAAGCCCCCGAGCCCCAGGGTAAAGACAGGCATCCATATCGCTTCTTGTCTCTCGTCATGCAGGACATACCTGTACTCGTAAGTGCTCATCCAAGCACCAGCGCAAATGCGAGCGGCTTGCCCTTGTTCTGGCAAGTGGAAACCTGTATCACAATGGCATAGCCGCCATGGCGTTGAGCAACATGGATCAGTTCCATATGACGAGATTGGCAACTCCGGCATCACAACGCTTTGGCCGTCTGGGGATCTGTGGATGAGTACAGGCTCTGCTGCAGACACGGCGAATCGGCATACTTGTACCGAATACTACACTTGACGCTCAGAGAGCGAAGTCGCCAGTTCCATAGGCGAGAATGAGGCGGGAAGTGGGCGGAGTATTGACGGGGGCTAGAAGTTCGGCGAAGTCCTGAAGAACACACATAATATTCCAGCCGAAAAAAAAAAATAAGCATGAGGAGCTCGAGCCACATACGTCTTGAGCTGCTGATATTGAATCAAGGACCGACGGCAGCTCTGCACGTACGATACCTCTGCATGTTGTAAATGATGGTGCTGATGTCTATGTCAATGGAAGACGCCATCACCATCCACATAACATATATTTCGCACTGTACCTGTATTCCGCATGCGGCATGAGGCGCATAACTGTGTATGTGTGTATGCAAGGCAGGCAAGATTTTGTACTCATATCGTGACGCCCCCACGTGCAGAATCTCATGAATCTCGCATGGCTGAAAGTTGGGGGCCATGGAAAAACTAGATGGAGCAAAACCCACATGAAAGCCACGGGTGAGAAAAGCGAAAGAAGAAAAAAGTTGAGAATTCTCCTAGCGGCCTGGTAGCAGGCCCGGTACGTACTTGACGGTCTGGCAAAGCTGAGGTGCTAGACCTTTTTGTTGATTGTCTTTGACTCAGGACAGTGGGGGTCGTTGGTAGTTGGATGTTGTTTGCGAAGATGGGGATGGAGAGAGATCCATGATATTCGACAAAGGCGGAGTTGGGGGCGGTCTGTACCCTACTGTACTATGTAGCAAGTACAAGTACTGCGGCACGTGTGTGGAGATGGCGGAGTGGCCTAGTACCCAGTACTCGTACTTGTACATGTGCCCGGGTATCCATCACGTGTGATCACGAAGCGTCCCAAGACACCGCTGAGACGACTGACTTGTACAGTAGTGCAGTCAGAGGAGATGGAGACCAGAGTATGGGGCCGAATATGGGGCCTTATACAGGCGGCAAGACTGATTGCAAACTGCCGAAGCAAAGTGCATACTCGCAGCAACAGCACCGGTGATGCGACCTGCAAACGCCGGTCTCACGGATGAAGCTGCTAGTCCTTGGAGCCGTATCTGCGGAACTAATGTTTCCTTTCATGTGCTGGATGCAGCAGCACAGCACAGACCGACACCTGCGTCGCGCCCAACTGCAGCATTACATTGATGCATTCCGTCGTCGCAGCCAATGAGAGGCTTCCAGGTGCCGCAATAGGGAAGTGCGTGCCCTCTCCTAACGGTTCCAGGACGCGGGCAGGGTTTGGCAATCACAAGCCGTCAACTGCTTTGGGTGGTCTGTTGCGACTGGTTCAGAGTTGTCCAATCCTCGTACTTGTACTATTACGCGCTGAAAACTAAGGCACCCGCAACTCCTCACTAGCAAACTAGCAGTGCTCCCCAACCACTTGCTTTGCTGCTGTATTGCACATAGTACTCGTACTATTGTACGGAGCACTGGGCTGAGTCGGGAGCCGAGCAGGGTTCTGCGTGCGTGAGAGCCAAGTGCAGGTATCGCGTACAAGCACTCTGCAGGCAAGGAAGGGCATTCGACAGGGGGGCGTGGGCGTACATGTAAACGGCCTGGCAGCATGCAGATCCAATAACGTGTGCTCGGTAGTGAGCCAAGCCAGGTTGCCAGGTTGCCAGGTTGCCAGGTTGCCAGGCTCGTTTCCTGCCTTGTTTCTTGGCCCAATCTCCTATTTCCTCTCTTGCGGCAGAATGCGCTCTCCACCCTCTTGGTTGCGGAATCTGTCGGCTCCTGGAACGGGAGAAGCCCTTTTGGAAGGCATTAGGATGGCAAAAAGAAGGCCGACCGATTCGTTGCAGGGGGCGTGCGTGTGTCTGCGAGACAGGGTTGCCAGGGGTTGGCCTCCTACGATTTGGGGAGTTGGTGGGCGTGCATGCGCAACACATGGCAAAGTACTCGCGACCTTGCTGCACAGGAGCGGATCTTAGTTTGCTCTCGAACTGCCATTTAGGCGGCGGTACGAAGCTAGCAGCCCAGCTCTTAGTAAGGAGCCGCAGGTCTCGTGTACAAGTGCTGGGGACATGGATATGGCTGGAATAAGGCGGCTTTGGGGATATGGCCTCAACTGCTGGCATCGCCGTTTCAGATGAGATGCGTCAGATGGATCCTGATACATGTGCGCACCATAAATAGATCCATTGGCAATCTTGGACCCAAATCCATTGAGCTGCTAACGGGCGACTACTGCGTGCAAGCGCCTTGTCAACACTTACACAGCTCACCGCCGAAATGCGCCAGGGCCTGGATGGATGGATGGATGGACGGATGGACGACGGGCTCAAGACTGTCATGCCGTACCAGCGCAGTTAGCGCTCGTGTAGAATCGAATCAATTGCAACTGATGCGGTGTGCTACCGGAACCAATAATGAAACCATCGGATGCTCCGGACAGGCTCAACGCCAGGACACAGGCGTGTCGATGTTATCGACGTTGCATTTTGCAACCAGCAGTCCATGTGAAACCCGACTCATGGAGTGCTTTTTTTCTTTCCTGCATTTCGATTGCAAGCCCGGTCCACCGACCAGAAACTCGACCATCACATCATCAGGCCATTTCATTTACCGACCGTTGCAACTGATTCACGATCCATGGACAGTTGGAGTTGGGGAAAAAAGCAAAACTGGCCCGCGGCCCACAATAAGCCCAAAAGTCTATTTATTGACACGCCATTTCGCCCGCGTGCAAGGCGAAAGCACGTCACATTTGCGGATTATTGATTATTGATAAAGCTGTATAATATTCATGTAACCGGCACTATTGACGGCTCGGTGGTTAATTTGTGGTGCATGCCGTAGGATTTGACAGCATAGTGACCGTCAGCGACGTGATGGAATCATGCTAGTGGTGCCAGGCATTGTGTGCTCTGTACGAGTCTGTAGGTACTTTGTACATGTCGCTGGCGATTTGTGCCATGCAGCCCTTGTGTTGCGTATCACTTGTTGGATGGCGCACATAATCCACATCCCACGGCTGTTGGATGTACGTGCAACGAAGATCGCACGTGTCACGGCAAATGCCATGTGGCCATCTTCGGATAATAACGAGAGGGATCAAAGGCGAGATTCGGCCGGCATAACAGAGCCACGAACAGCTCGCACGTCGGGACAGGATAGCCCGGCCACTGCTAAGATTAAAAGAAGCAAGAAAAAAATAAAAAGCCCTAGGAGTACATGGCGCACTCCATACGCTTGCATGCAGAGTTGCCAGGTACCGCTGTCTATCTGCTCGTAAGGTTAATAGAGATGTGACTAACAACAACGTTGGCTCGGAGTTGTGTCCGCAATTCCCGTTGCTGGGCTGAAGAGAGAAGGGTTCAACCAGTTTCTGGCAGCCAACTAACCAAGTGTTGTCGACAGACAGCCGAAGCCCGGCAGTTCAGGAGCAGCCTGCTTGCAAGCTTTGCAGAAGCGAGCAACCCTCCATTTCCTGCCGTGCAACCACCTCGCGTGTCTGTTGGCGCTGCGGCTACCCTTTTTCGACTGTGTGAGCCCTTTTGCTCGCCTCGGCAGGCAGATCGTCAAGTCGAACTTGTTGAGATTAACGTCATGAGCCGATGCAACTGCGGCATCTTAGTACAGAGCAGAGTACAAAGTACGAGTACGCGATAATGGGTACAGTATTACCTCCATCCATCCACCCGAAGCGCAAACAAGTACAAGTAATAGTACTCCGTAGCAAAGCTGAGATCCAATCGAAGCTCCCTGGCATCCCGTCCTTCACACGCCCCTCCTTCTCCTCTTTTCCCTAGGCCGACAGGGAATAACTCGCTTTTGGGGCTGGCTCGCTTTTGCCAGACCCCATCATGGCGCCTCGTGGTGCATCTTCACAAAACACGTGGCAAAATGCGATATCCACCAGTTCAAGGTGCCTCCCCTTTTCCCCTTCTGCCGCCCTCCACCGCCTGTTCCCTCAGCAGGTCGGGCACAAGAGCTTCTCTTACGTGCATAACGGGGTCCGAGGGAGGCGAGATGACTGGCTGCACGACCACCAAAACCCTGTCCAGCACAGCCCCGTTACTGTGGTTGCTTCCTTTTGGCTCAAAGCACGTAATTACGAGTACGTACTGTAATAGTGCGTTGAGACCAAACAGCCGCCGTTGACGATTTTGTCGGGTTAGCAGCAGAGGAGATGTTAGCGCCCTTCACTTCCCGCCACGGCCTTGCGTCATGGAATGACATATCCCGGCAAGGCGAGGCTCGTCAGTGGCATCACCTACGAAAAGCTCGAGACGCTGTTGATTACCGTTTCTCGTTTCTGAGCGGGAAGCTGTGTGTTCCCTCAATTTTGTGTTCTCTGCAATTGCTGCTTGCGAAAAGTGGCGTCAAGTAGCCGAGCGAGAAGCAAAGCCCGTTGTCATTACAATTGAATAATGGCAGAGCAGGGTTGCCCTGGAATTCCAGCTCTTATCGCGAGGAAGAACTGATTCATTCACAGCCCACAAGAGCTCGCAGCTTGGACCATCTCCCTGCTCCGTCTTTTTCATCTTGCAAATTTTTGCTTGCCGGAGACAATAGCAAAAAAGTCGCTGTTGCACCAAGGGTGTCTGTGCCCAGACTGGTGCACCCTCCGTCGTGCCTCGGAGTTCCAGAATCGAGGCTATCGTTCAAGGTTCAACGGAAAGTGGCAGGATTGTTAGATCTGCCACGTGGAATGCACACATGAAGCCAGGTTTTGCATCTAACGGGAACCATGGGCGCTGTGGCAGCGCCCTTGCAAGGTTCAGAATCATTGTGGCGCCCGTTCCACAACCCACACAGGCGCATCTTGGAGCCATTGAGAGTCGGTGAGGCGTATCCACCTCGCCCAAGCTTTGGCCCCGGGCCAGAGCCATTGTCTCAGCATCAGAATTTCTAGCTCTCGTCTCTGTCCGCCCAGCCTCGGTTCGGCTGTCGGTGCATGGCTTTGCTGTTGGATCGCAATGTTGCTCCTTTTTGGCTGGTTGTGAGAGGCGAGGCCGAGAGAATAAGCTCCTCGTCAGCTGCTTGGCATACAAGTATGGCCAAGCAAAACACTGGCAATGGATGGCGGCTTATTGCATATTCAACTACCAGCTACCTGTAATGAGAGCGGAGTTAAAGCGGAAAGCAGCTCAAGCCAAGGAATCCATCCATATCCACCCGCAGTGTCGGCCGCAAACGGGCTTTTGGAGCGTCACGACATCGGCCGCTCGCTCATACGGCCGATACCCGCCCGGACCCGGCAGAGGCAAGGGTCGCACTCGACGCATGACTTCTCGTTCTGGCGATGGAAATCATGCCAGATACCAGCATGCAGGTGTGTGCATACGGGCTTACATACTATGTACAAAGTATTGGAGACGGACGGTCACGCTGTGGGGAAGCACTGCCGGGGGCGGAGGATTCGCATGCAGAATTCAGGCCCGGGACACGTTTGTTGGCGGCTTCGCTGCCTCGCCTCCTCTCCCGAGATGAGCCAAAAGACGCAGAGACTCGCGTGGCAGTAGCACGGCTAGCCACTTGGCCGCCCCCGCAATCCGCAGTCACTTCACAACCAATGCCGTCGACAAGCTTTGCTTTACTTTGCTTACAGTATACACACATACGGAGTGGTATTCGTCTCATTTGCAGACAACCGACCGATGATGATACTCTTCTCCACTGATGTGACATGACATGCCGCCTCCATCATCTCAATCCGCGGACAAGTCGACAGCGAAGAGAGTTCTCAGTGGCAATGCGTTTAATTGAGACAGACGGAACAGCGCCCGCTCGGGTACGCTGTCCAAGGTGGCAGAATGGTTCGTTTACTAACAGCGCCAAGTGGCGAGCCCAAGTTGGATTTTGAAGCTTGTTCCTGTTGACAACCGCCTTGGCCTCAGCATCCGCATACCTGTCCAGAACGCCAGCTTTCGGGAGGTGGATTGATACATTGCATCCGATTGCCCGCCTCTGGTATCTGTCACACGATGCATGATTCACGAAGGTGGCAATGTAGATGCAACTTGTTCCCATCATCTCATCGCATTGGGCAAGTGACCTACCCTACAAAGCTTGGTTTCCGAGAGAAATCCGGCTTCAAACTGCACGAAACATGGCGTTGATGCGTTCTCGCGCGCCCCGAAAAATGCATATCCATTACATACCAAGTCTCCTACTTGAGCCTAGCTCGGAAAGAATCTCGGGAAGAATCCAGAGCCCGACTCAACTCGTCTTGGCATTATTACTAGCTACCGCTAGCAGCAGCATGCCTGGTCGCATTTCAACAGACAAATACGAGCTCGGAGCCGCAGCACCTTTTCAGCCCGTCAATAAGACAATAGGGCGCAAGCTGCAACACGCCATGGCTTCGATGCGCGGACAAATATTGGCCCATTGCCCCGGGTAGTCTGCGGTTTAGGATGCAAACGAAGCTACCACGCGTTCTGCTACCGAGTCGTTCCAACTTGGCCGTTATCAGATGGGGAAAGCAGAATACTCCGTAATTTGTACACGCGGGAACAGGAAATGAGCTCTAGATCTTGCGCTCCGGGTTCTTGGCAGATCGGCAGAAAAGGACGATCTGATACTTAAGGCTTAGCTAGCTTATGTCTGGCGCGCAACGTGGTAATAAGCCTTGAACAAAACCCCGTACAAAGTAAGCGCATCTTACATGCCCGTACATATCAGCAGACAGGCTTCCAACGTGCGTCTTGGCTGGCGGTGCTTAATTGAAGCCCGAACCCCCTCCTGAAACATCGCCAAATACGTGTTATTGCCGGTTGCTGGCCAAAAGGAGCTACCAGGGCCAATGAACTGCGAAACAGATAGGGCTGGGCTCGTCACACCGCTGCCAGATTATTATCTCATCCATCTATGTAGTAGTAGCACACACACTCGAGATAGCAGCGCTCTGCGAGTGCAGGTTGATTAGCAATGATTGCCCAATTGCATGGTGTATAAGTCATCCCGGGGCCCCCTCTTTGGGAATCCTCAGGGGAAAAACATGAAGCTGTCCCTGGGTCAAGGAACACGACAATGATGCCGCTTGCTCCGCGCCTCTCCTGATTTTTTTTTTTCTTCTTCCGTGTCCCCCCTTTGACTGCACTCCAAACCTTCCTCAACAATTGCCGGGTCCTGTTTCGTTTCAGCTGCCGCGCTCTCCGAAGTTCCCTAAATAGCCTCCCTGATCTGCTGTGATTTTAGGGTTCCGAGGATTTTCTTCCATGAATCAAGCTTGACGCCTCCGGTCATCACCTTTGCCTGAACGCACGTCCACTCAACCCGCCCCCTAGCAATATACGAGCAAGTTTCGTTTTCGGTTCAATCATCATCGCTTTGCTTGATATTTCCCGTCCAACACAGTTGCCCTTGGATTTACTACAACCGGAGATATCCCGGATTCCGACGGCGTATATTGCTTCCTGGTTTCATGCCGTTATCAGATTCTTTGCAGGGAGAACGCAAAAGTGAGACTTATTCCCGAAAGAGGCATACCCCAGATTATCGCCAAAAAGCCAAGAAAGCCGCTCCCAGCCAACCACGAGAGAGTGTGCGTGGCCATACTGTAAAGGTGAATACTAATAAGATTCTCTCTTGTCCGTCTGTCTATCACATCACCCCCCTGGCATCTATCATATCGCCATGCTCGGCGACCATGATCCTCCGTCCCCCCTAACAGCGCAAACTTGCGTCCGCTTCTAGAAAATCCATGGATGGCATCTGCACACCCACCCAATTGGCCCGTCCAGAAGAAGACTGGAGCCTCTCCCTGTGGCCACATGACAATGTGAAACCATCCAACTAGCTTCATGGGGCGTCTCTGCTAATGCGAATGTGGCTGATAAGAGGCGAGACCCAGACAATAAACTCTCCAGACTTGTGCAGGAATGCCGAGGGAATGTCGCGCGGCCCATAACGCATAAACAAATCCACGACGACGCCCTCTAACAAGTGCCCATTCAATTGGCAAATCCGAACCGGCGAGCTGAAACACGACCAGGGACAGCCGGAAAATCATTCGGTCATCGCGAAGCTGGTCCAAGTTTGCTTCATCACGGCGTCACCGATCTTGCACGCCTTTTCTTACCCCGGCCCCTCAGCTACCACCGCTGCGCCGTACTAGGTAGCTTCGGTAGGTGGCAAAGTTTCTGCTTGTGTCTCTCCTCTCTTTTCTTCTTAGTTTGGCGCACCCTCCTCCAAACCGCTGCCCATTTCCGGAATACCTTGAGAAAAAAAAAAAAAAAAAGGCTGTGTGATGGGGTGGCCCCCTTGTGGACACTATCCAGCCACTAGCTGGCCTTTTTTTTTCTTTCTTTTTTTTCTCCGTTGGCGGTGAAGTTGCCATGACGGGTCGAAACACATATCAAATCACATTTGTCACATTAGGATAACCTGCCACTACTGTACTTTCTACCCTGGAAGACGTGCATGAACCTTCAATTTACTAGGAGCACGCCGTTAGTCAGTGGTGGAATACGGAGTTGTTTATGCCCGCCTAGAGAGTGATAGGGCAAACGGAAATAACATGATTCACTGCGCCATAGGGCTCAGGATGACGACTGTGGTTCGGATAGTCACCGAACGGACTCTTCGCGAAGGAGAAAAAGAAGGCAATTGGAAGCATTTGTGACAAGGGATTGGGGGCGAAGAGGGGAGAATCTTGCCCCAGGGAGGCCTGGTTAGTGCCTTGGTCGACCGATGGAATCCAGACGCTGCCTTCTTCTTCGTCCTGTTCTCTCTGCTGGTATGACACAAGTGCAACATGTTAGCAACATGTTAGCCTCTGTGCTCGGGAACATTTGTTCTGTCGAAAGCGCAAGCCCGCTCTCAGCGCCAGGACGAGTAGTACTCGTGCTAGCAGCGTTCTTACCGCTATTGCCCAAGTACCAGGGTCAGCTGCCCCACGGCAAAGCTGGGCAATGGATGATGCTGATGCTAGTCGTCGCTGTACTATGTATAAGCAGCGAGCACGCACAGCGGCCCGGCGCTTGGAAGCCAAGAGTTGCTCCATGGCACGCAAGTGGCGTGTACTAGTACCTCTCTCATGACGGCCTGAGGATGGGCTTGGATGGGCATTGCGACGAGTTGACGGCGATGACGATGCTGATGATGCTGTCCCGTCAAGCCCGTTGCCGCTTGGAGAAGTTGCTCCTTGCTGCTGCTCCGTCACGAGCATTTAGCACCACACCCGGTCCCTTTGCTGGTGCTACCTGTGTGAACCCGTCCAGTATGAACCGATTGCTGCCCTCTGCCCTTGTCCCTGTACCTTGTACCTTGTACCAGCACTACACCAGTACTACCTACTTGTATATGTGCGTGCCACGAGCACAGCGCCAAAATCATACCCTGGCCGCTTTGCTTCCCACAAAAACGTGGTTCTTGTGGGACTTGCAGAAGTGCGACGACTCGTCAGTTGTCGCCTCAAGCAAATGTAATAACCGGGTCGTTTTGTGGACCTGTTCCTGCTGGCGCTGCCCCGCTGCGTCCATGTTTTTTTTCTTCCTTCTTCTTCACAGAGTTTCAACTCGGATTAGTGCATACCCACATCCCGCCCTCTTCAGAGAGCCAGCCAGTTCTGGCAGCAAATCGGTACATGTACGCCATTGATTGCGGACTTGTATGGAGTACTCGTACTTGGATCCTGCATTGCATTGTCTTGTCTGTCCGCAGAGAGAGCGCATATACATGACAGTTCGAAACACGGAACCGCAATCATTCAGTCAGTCAGTCCGCCAGTCTGAGTTCGTGCTCTGCTCTGCGTCCCCTCATCTCGCCTGCGCCGTCCCACTGGCCTGCTCCTATGTCCCTATTATTGCAGTACTGTGTACTATCCCGCAGCTGAAGCAATCGCGCATTGAAGTCAAAGCAAAGCGAAGCAAATCAAAGCAACGCAAAGCAAAGCAACGCAAAGACGACGCTCGGCTTCTCCCGGGCCTTGTTCTCCTTGTCGAAGCTCCCTCAATCTCCCCCATCAGCCCATTTTGGTCGCTGCACGGGCTCTCGGAGCGCCAGCAAAGTACCTGGTACTCAGGCCCGCGCTAGAGACCCCAGGCTCATGCGCTGGAGCCACTCCCCCCCAAACCCCCCCATTCCACAAAGAACGAGGGTGCAGCGTCCCCCTGCTCTGCAAAGTACCCTCTACATGTACCTCTCCCAGGCCTGTTTTCAGCGTACACACCCCCAAAGGAGTTCTAAGGTCACCATTGATCTTTTTTTATTCAAATCTCCCCAAACTTTCTAACTCTTTTCTCTTGTTCCCACAGATGGCCGCCTTTTTGTCGCAACCTCTAAACACAATCGTCGAGCCTCTGCCTCCTTCATCGAGACAGCAATCCGACCGAACCCAGTCTCTCACGAGCGCCTCACGAGCCCCAGTACCAGCAGAGCGTCGCTTCGAGGCCACCAAATCTCCGCCACCAGTCTCACAGTCACGCCGCCACGCCAGTTCAGTCTCGATAGGCTCATCATCACTGCCACGCCACCAGCGGACCTCGAGCAGCATTCTCTCACGTGCGGCTGCCGCCTTGGATAGAACGCAAAGCGCCATTGCCAGCATCTCAGAGCCCGTCATCCGGAACCGCCAGTCAACCTCTACGCTTGCTCGCCTCTCGCTCACTGCGCCCTCTCATCAATTGAGGGACGAGCCCGCAAGCCCTGACCGGCCAACCGCCTTAAACTACCCGTCGAGCCAGTCTTTGCTGTCCAACCCGGGAGACGGCAAGCAGTCGTCCTTTTCATCCGCCCAGCACTCTCCCACCCAGCCTTCGACTGGCCTGTCCTCTGAATCCTCATCTCCAAACAAAATGCACCAGACATCCTCGCGCTTGTTGCGCATGACCGACGATGACCGGCCTTTCACTAGAGTACGTCTTATCTCACTTGAAGCTCATCTCACCCTTAGCTTTCCCCCTCGTCTCCTTTCTCTTTAGCTACTGCTGCTGCTGCTGCTCTCAAGACATGCTGCTTGCCTGCATCAATTTTTTTTTTTTTTTTTAGACAGACTGAACCATTGACGAGGAATCCACCAAGCCTCATCATCGTCCACCTTTCCCCACGTCTTCTCATTTTCGTTTTTCCATTTCCTCAAATGTGCTTTTTGCATCTAACCCGAGACACAGGATTTCAAGGATCTCTTCTCCACACTGATTGTCAGCCTTCTGCCTCTTGGTTCCCACAGAGTGCGATTGACCAAAGTGGACTACACTTTCCTTTCCGAGGATGCTATCAACAACCTGGGATCGCTCAAGTTCTCTCAGTCCAACCGCATGCCTGACCCCAAGGACCCCTCAAGGATCGTCACTACAACAACCACAACCACGTTTTCCATGGCCAAGGACATGGCTCGCTCAATCTGCCAGAGATTTGTCGACGCCCGCTTCATCGAGTCTGCTGACGGAAAGTTGCAGCCAGTCTACAGCATGAAGGGCTCCGTATGGCAGCTAACGGCCAAGGGCGTTGCAATTCTGGATCGATTTTGCTCTAGGAACGGCATTCAGCAGAAGCAAGTCGCCGAGCTGGTCAGCCTCCACTGCTGCTCCCTCGTCATTCTGGAGCGAGAGCAGCACAGCGACAAGATCCTCAGCGACAGAGGCACTGTCGAAGTCATCTTCCGCCGATTTGTTGGCGCCGAGACCCGCAATGTCAAGCCCAACGTGGCTGCAGCCGACTCGGATTCGTTGCACGACTACGAGGATGGCCTCACCGGTGTCAAGATGGCCAGTGAGCGTCGGGTAAACGGAAAGGTGCACAAGGATACCTTTACGGGCAAGGCCACCTCGGATTGGCTGGTGGACTGCAGCACTATTGTGGATAGGCGAGAGGCCATCGAGATTGCGTCCCTCTTCGTCGAGTTTGAGTTGATAGATACTGTGGTCCAGGACAGATCGTTCATGCTTCAGAACCCAGGCTGCCATCTGTTCCAACCGACCAAGTATTCTGTCTACCAAATCTCGCAGCGAGGAAAGGACGTGATCAATGGCACCAGCTCGCGAGGTCGCCCGTCCGAGAGCGAGGCTGGCACTGGCTCACAGCGCAACGGCGTCGTCCGTGACTCCAACACGCAGCGTCTCGAGAAGATCCTTAATGACCCCGCTCTCCGCCTCCTGTTCCGTGAGAACCTGAGGGAGACACACTGCGAGGAGAACCTTTCCTTCTACAAGGACGTCAACGACTTTGTGCAGAGCTGTAAGACGGCTATTCGACAAGCCGAGTCTATGCCCTCCAACAATTCCATGGACATTATCAAGGAGATTATGGCTCAAGCTTACGGCATCTACAACGCCTTCTTGGCTCCGGGCTCGCCTTGCGAACTCAACATTGACCATCAGCTGCGGAACAACTTGGCAACAAGAATGACCAAGGCCGTTGGTCAAGAGAATGGCATGATTGAGACGCTGCAAGAAGTCACTTCCCTATTTGAAAACGCGCAAAACGCCGTTTTCAAGCTGATGGCTAGTGTAAGTCATCTACTACCCGCGAATATTAATGTATTCTTATTGTATGCTGACAATGCCATCACAGGACTCTGTTCCCAAGTTTTTGCGCAACGCCAAATATGAGCAGCAACTGCAAAACTTCAACCTTGACGGCTCTTCACGAGGCGTCGAGCGGAGCCTGAGTCGCTCCAACCGAAAGTAATGGCCCTCCTCCAAGGCACATGCTCACGACGGATGACAGGCGTGCAATAAACACGGCCTCTCACGATTGCGACGATTCACCGGCACATGACTCGATATTTTTCCCGCATATTTTTCCTCTGTTTTATTTCCCTATCTGTTACAGGGTCGATATATTTTGCTTTGTCAAAGGGCGGCACGACTTGATACCTACTAGATTTCTGCTCTCATATCTGCATCGAACCGGTGTTCATAGTGTCATTTGCCACTTTTCATTATTTTTTCTGTTATTGTCTTGCTCTCGTCCTTTGTTTCCCCCTGTTTTTGTTCCCAACATGCTCCGTACACATTTTGTATGTACGGCATGCTGCATTTTGTCTCAGCTTTGATTTCACCGCCAGGATGGATTCTTAATGGTTGCTACGACCGGTTGAGTTGTTTTTTTTCTTGACTTTATTTTGATTTGGACAAAAGAAAAAAAAGAAGCAAGAGTGGAAGGCGTTCAAGGAAACCTGGTATAGAAGAGAGGTCACATGGCAACGAATACGGCACAACATGGCGGCTTGTTTAGTGTGTACTCGTTTTTTTCTATTTTGCAGTTGACTTTGCATTTCCGACAAAGGGGAGGGATGGGAGGACTGATCGGAATTTGGAGGAGGAGTGATTTACGGCCGTGATGAAGGATGGCTTCGGGCTGGTCTGCGCGTATCGACGCGCGCTATACATTACCGAGGCAGGGAGATAATCGTGTGCCTCTACCGGCCTGCGGTGGAATCTGAGACACTGCGATGGCAACGGCGATGGCATCAACGATGGACAATTTCTGAGAGCCTGCCGGCACATGTATGTTTGAGTACCATGTATGTATGCTACAGTCCTGAGGACTGCAATCAATGGAGAATAAAGGCAATAAGCCCGAGTCATTCATGACTAGGAAATAAACCCGCACGCGTCAAGAGTTTCAAGTATTGCGCCATACGTGAATGTTTTTTCTCGTTATTCGTGAGGGAATGGAAGAAATGAGGGGCTGGGGGGCGGTTGCGGCAACGAAGCAAACATATGAAGACTGGCATGATGGGTAATTTGCTTTCGGCGGGAAGAGGAATGTGGAAAAAAGCAGTAGCATCATCGCATTGCTGGAGTTTTTTTAGAGCATTCGTGAGGGGGCTGGGGTCAGACGGAGGCGACTAGGAAGGGAAGGGAGAATGGCAAAAAAATGTCTGAGGCTCAGAAATGGGGGGAGCGCTGTAAGTGTGGATTGTGTTTTTCTTTTTCTATTCTTGTCTATCTTTTTGGTTGCTCTCATCTGCTTTTGGATTGTTGGTAGCCCATGTCTTGGCTGAAGACGGGAGATCTTCCTCATTCGAAAAGCTTGGGCTTGGAATATGTTGTTTTGTTTTGTTTTGTTTATGTTTCTGATGCAAGTGGAGAGGAAGAGAGAGCAGCAACATCGCGCAGAATAGCTGCGTTTCGCCCTGGTCCCGAGCATTATATAAACCCCCGTTGGAGATGGCTTCAGGACTCTTTTCTTTCTTCATCAACATCATCGGCTTCAGCTTCACATTCGCTTTTCGTTTTCCCTTCGAAACATTCGTTTTCTCTCTTTCTAGAAACCCGAGATTTTCTACTACTGTCTTTTGTAGTGTCACTCGCTTCTCGGCACCAAATCAAACACACAACAAAAAAGCACAACAATAAAATCCATCAAAAATGCGTACCGTCCAGGCCGTTCTCGTGTCCCTCGTGGGCTTTGCCGCCGCTGGCAACATTGGTCTCCGAACTCCTGGGGATGCCGGCGTGCAGGGGTATTCGGCTCCCAGCCTGCCTTCGTACCCTATTGACCCGCCTAAGGAGCATGAGTGGGAGCATGATGAGCATGATGATCCTGAGTGGGATGACAAGGACAAGGACGCCAAGGAGTATGATGATGAGGAGAAGGACTATGACGATGAGAAGGACGCCAAGGAGTATGACGATAAGAAGGAATATGACGACAAGGACAAGGACGCCAAGGAGTACGATGACAAGAAGGAAGGTGATGACAAGAAGGAGGACGACAAGAAGGAGTGGGATGGCAAGGACAAGGACGACGACAAGGACCACAAGTGGGATGGCCACTGGGACGGCCATGAGCAGTACCAGAACAAGTGGAATCACACCAGCAAGGCGTGGGAGGCGTCCACCACCACAAAGGTTGTCTCCCACTACACCACGTACTGCCCGGAGCCAACCACCATCACCGTCAACAGCAAGACGTACACCGTGACCAAGGCCACCACCCTCACCATCACCGACTGCCCCTGCACCATCGTCGAGGTAAGCTCAACTTCACTCTCCCGTAACTCAACCCCAAGATGAGAATCATGAATTGCTAACTCACCTTCCTCCTCCTTCACAGCCCTGCCCTACCGAGACCGTCAAGCCCCCTCCCAAGTGGGATGGCCAGAAGCCCGACGATGGCAAGAAGCCCGAGGACGGCAAGAAGCCCGAAGACCACAAGGAGTGGGACGGCAAGAAGCCCGAGGATGGCAAGAAGCCCGAGGGCGGCTGGGACAAGCCTCACGACCCCAACGGCCCTCCCCACCCTCCTCCCGTCGTCGTCAGCGGTGCTTCTTCCGGCATGGTCCACATCGGCGCCGCTGTCTTCGGCGCTCTCCTCGTCGGCGTCATGGCCTTGTAAGGGGCCTCTTCCTCGTGCTAGGAATTGCAGGAATGAGAAGAAGTACTCTGTGGATGTGAGTAGAGTGAAGAAGAAGAGCATAACGTGGAGATGGACGATGACGATCATGACCATGACAAGCAGGATCAAATGCGGCGAGTAGACACGAGGGACGGGAGGGAAGGGAATGGAATTTGGAAGATAAAATACGGATGCCCTCTGCTATTTTTTTTTTTTGGAGATGTGTTTTTAGGATTTTTTTCCGATCTTCTCTGGGGATAGAAATTTTTTGGCTTGTGAGTTTTCTTTATATTCAGGGGGTGATACTTTTTTTCTTTTTAATTCAGCATAGAAGGGCATCAAAGTTGGTGTTGCTTTTGCCGAGTGAAGACTTCATTTTTTTTTTTTGGTATAGTCCAAAATGCAATCTCATTTTCTCATTATTCGCCTTGTGTCTGTCCACTGTTACGAGAATGTTTTGATCTTGCTTCCCCAACGTCAAATTGAACCCTAAATAAAGAGAGCTTCGCATCGCTATTCAGCCCTGTTCGAAATAAAAACCAATCTCCCTCTTTTGCCGCCAACGCCACGCATACAATTCAAGGTAAATTCCAAAACGGGAACACCTGTCGCTTTCTATTACTTCCAGGCCCCATCATGTTATCCAGCACACGACATGGGACTTCAGGAACTATGCCCTAAATATATTACTTTCCAACCTTGAAAACAATTAAACACAACCCCGTCAATCGGTGAGGAGCATCCGATATTACAGCAGCTCAGGGACATATGCATGTGGAGGCGTTCTCATTGTGCGGGGAGCCATGGACTCCTGTGGATATCCATAATTGACATTTGACACATCCAGTTCCTGATCGCGATATTGAAACGCCTCTGTTGAAAGGGATGCCATCGGTGGTGTGGGTGGTGTTTGCCATGATGTTGGCCGCGCAGGCAGGGGCTTTCTGAGGTTTTCGACTCTTAGCGGCCTCAGTTGCTGTTCCTGTGCGCGCTGCTTGTGCTGCATATGCCCTGTCTGTTGCATATACGGCATCTGTGCTTGTCCCAGCTGAGTATCTGACATGGCAGCCTTTACGGATAGCGCCTCCATCAGGGTGCCATGGGCCTTTTTAATAGTCTTCTTAATGAAGCTCGCCATCATGACATTGCAGGTTATCACGACGTCCTCTCGGATGTACAGGCCCGTCCGCGGCGCCCCCAGGCCTAGCTCCATTGGTTCCGGGTCTTCCCCCGGCTCGGAGCCTCCCACTGTCCACTTCTCGCGCAGGTCAACGCCCATGGGGGCATGGCAGTGCGTCTGCAAGCCCAGGGGCAAGTCGTGGAAGGCCGCCGTATATGAGATGGCGCCGGTGACGAGGCTGCCTGGTAGATAGGAGATTTTGTCGGTGATGGAGTACCAGGTGCAGACGTGCTCTTCCGGCAGAGCGTGGGGAGGAGGAGGGATGACATGGCGGTCGGTGACTAGGGGATTTAGATCGATCATCTCGCGGTGGTTGTGGAGGAAATCGATGGCGGTTTGGCGGGAGATGCCCGGGGGGAGGGGAGTGATGGAGGTGAAGACGGTTCGTTTCGACATGTTGGCTGTAGTTTGTGTGTGTATTGTGTACCTGAATGTGTACTGTCTGTTGTCTCTTTGTCTTCTGTTCGAGTAACCTCGCTCTGCAAATCGGCTCTGTGCAGCAACAAAGTCTTGGCGACACAAATATTCGACAGTTAAAAAACCAAGGCAAAGAAAAAAGCGGCGCTAGGTGGGTTTATTTGTTTCGGCCTTGTATAAAACGGCCCGGGTGATACTGTGGCCTTGTGTCTGATATCACGAGCCCAAAGCAAAGGCGCGGGGCGTCTTTTGGTGGCGGATCGAGACTAAGCGGTGTTTCAGAGCTGAAGCAAGGGACACCAACAGCTGACGCTAAAACCAGACGTCAAACGTGGTGATTAGGAGAAACGAAAGAAGGAGAAGGGGATATCGAATGAAATAAAAGAAAGAAAAAAGAAGAAAAAAGAGGGAGAGGCGATGAATAGAGTTTAGCTGTTTGACCGCAGCCAGCCCAGCCCAGCCCAGCCCAGCTGTCGATGCGTCGTGCCTTTTCTTTGTAATGCGGCCTGTTAATAGCAGCGCTAGTAATAACCGCGATCCCGTTAGACTGGGACAGCCGCCGGAAATTGCTGCCCCGAAACGAACAAAAAAAGAAAGCGCTGGCGATGACCCTTTTCGGACGGGCAAAGCTGGACGGAGTGGCGCTTGTGCTGACAGGCGTCAGCCCGGGGGCTCTGCTGTGCTCTGCTGTGCTCTGCTCTGGTTTTGACAAGGGTGGACCAGGGTTTGGGAGACAATACAATATGATATCGTCAATGCTCTCTCTCTCGGCCTGTCCTAGAGTCTTGTTGGTTGGTGCTGTATGGATCTGCTAGTCTTGACAGCGGGTTGTTGTTGGTAGTAATAGGCAGTTGGGCCTACAACAGGTGCATCGTCGCTTGCCTGCGCTGTCGCCGCTCGCTCGGCTAGTGGTTACACGCGGCAGGGCTGCTGCCGTATCGAGGTAGAGCCGGGCAAAGGACTGGCATGCGCATGCAGGCTGCCAATAGACGACGAGGTAAATGGCCGTTGCTGCTGGGGATGAGACGCTGTGACGAAACGGGGTTTTGAGAAGATGCAGCCTGCCGGAGTGGACGTGATTGGTGGAGAGAGTCGCTGTCAAGAATGGCATCGTACATACGAGTACAAGTAGTAGCACTCCATAGAGGAGCCCGGGATGTGGGGAAGCCGTTGCACGTGAAGCGGCACATTGCAGTAGGTACGGAGTACATAGATACAAAATAATATCGATCAATTGGAATTAATCAACTGTAAAGTACCCAAACAATGTAACCCTCTTTCGAAAAATCATCCAACGCCGGCAGCCATGGCAGTTACTCGTGCTTCTCTGACCGTCATTTCATTTACTCTCTCTCTCCTCAACTCTTCCCCACGTCAAGTCACAACCCCCCCCCTGGTTGGCTTTACCGTTTCGTCCATTCTCACACAAAACAAGCTAACAAAAACCCACCTCCACTTAGTCAGCCGTTTATTCTTAGATCTTCTTTGCTGCCAAAATTGAATTTATTTTTATTTTCGTCTGTTGGAGGCTTAGCCAAAGCCAAACGAGACTAAACCGGAACCAACAAGGCCTCTCACAGGGCTGAGCCAAAAAGCTTCGCTCTTTTCTCTTTACCCTTTTCCCCTCTACGTTTCCCTCCATCTTTTCTCGGTCGTTTGCTGTATGAAAGAATAAAAAACCTCCGCTTACTTACCATTCGTTATGGGGCAGCTGCATGCAATCCCAACGTTGATTGATGTTGCGGATGCTGCGGGTGCTGCGGCAACGAAGAGTGCTCTCGTACAATACTTACTCTATCAATACTTCCCCATACGGCAGTAGTACTTACACTTTCGTGCATACATACTAGTACATCTATAAGGCCGAAAGAACTGCAAATCTGGTAGCATCGTGGGCAATGAAATACCGCTCTGGGCAAATGCTACTCCCGCTAGCAGCAAGGGTCGCCTTTATACGAAATGCCCCTTTTGGAAGTTCGAGATTGGGTTGCACCGAGCAGTCGGGTGGGACATCCGAGGCCGATGCATTACAGTAGTTCCTGTGCAGTTTCCGATATGACACATGCTTTTGCTGTGTAGGTATGCAGTATTCGTTCTCTTATTTCTCATTCTTGTTGTTGATATGTCATTCCGCGTTACATAGTATATGCAGAATACTGTACAGAGCAGACTCGGCATCTAGATTCATCCCGCCCGCCTCACCCATCGCCTCCGTCTTCACCTGTACATGTCCAATCCTAGCATCAACAAACAATGTAGCTGTAGCTGCCAAAAAGCAACAACAAGACAAAAACAAAGAGTCCCTGTATCGTAAAATTCGATCTTCAACCACTAACCCCCGAAAATGTCACATCTCAGTAATACACGTAAACTGGCAATCAGCCCGGCTATCGCCCAAACCCAATTCACAGCACCCCCAAAAAAACAAACATTTACCCCGACGGCCGCATTAACCAAGCCGCGCCTCTCCATATTCACTAGCCTCCCCCCCAATCAAACTCCACTGATAAACAAAAAATGCAAGGCTTGCTCGTATATTCGGCATTTCGTTTTATTATTCCAAACACGAAGGAATCAATATGGCTCTTCTCTTCTCTCTCTCTCCACTCCACTTTCTCGCCCCCCTCCTTTCTTTCCTTTCCGATTCCGAATAGACGCCGTTACATGTTGTTGCGCGAGTAATCAGATGTTTAATACAACCTTAAACAGAAACAGTGACATGGGTTTGTCGAGATATCGGTTCCCTTGACCGGCCTATGGATGCATCAGTTTGTCCGGTCGAGCCAGCACGGAGCAAATCTTTAATGAAAGTAACTCTCAAGGGAACCCAGAGAAAAGGAGGAATGCCCAACTATGCTTGAGCCGCGGCCACGGCAGAGATTAGCAGTTCTCGTTGTTCTAGATGTGCGGCATGCGGCAGCAGGGGTCTTTAGACTTAATCATTCGGCCGAGAGCCGTGATGCTCCGGGCCATTTGGATGCTCTGCCGCCACAGCTTCATCCTGTACGAGTACCTGTGTAGTGATTAATGTATTTAGTAACATTCTTGGGGTTTTGTTCCAGGAACGGCCCGTTCCCTCGCACCCCTTTTGGCTGTCTATCATGTGTGTATCGTCCTGCTCCGTACATGCTTATGAGTGTCCTCACTGGGTAAAGAGGAACAAAGAAAAGAAAAACAAAACTAAAAACAAAAACAAATCTCTCTTGGATCGTGCCTTGGCCGTATAGCAAATCAAGAAAACATACAAGGACAAAAACGGCGTGAAATCATATCTCCTTGCACCACTTGGCCAGAACCGTGCTCAGCTTCGTAGCAACCGGAATCTCCTCCAGCGCCACGTCCACTCTCCACATCTTTGCTTCCAGCCCCCCGTGTCCTTGATTTCGGCTGCCCGCGCCCACGCCCGCAGGCACCAGCAATCCCAGCGTGACGAGTCGCTCCCATGCCACCGCTGCGACGCCACGACTCCAGACCCTCGCGTTGCCGCCCTGCGCAAGCATGCCTGCTGTGGCCGACTGCACGCGCTGCCGTCCCGCCAGCGTGCTGTACTCGTCATATGCCATGGCAAAGTTGACCGTATCCGTGTCGGCCACAATGTCGAGCCGAGCGGCGGCAATCAACAACCCGAGATCCAGCTCCGACAGTGTCGATAGCAGGTGCAACCGCGAATCCGGCGGCGCCAGCGACGTCAACTCTGAGCCGACGGCCGGAATGTTGAGGTTTGGGTTGCCCGCCGTGAGCCATGAGAGCGGCAAGATCCATTCGTTGAAGAATGCCGACGGCGACTTGGTTGTGTAGTAGTGATATTGTAGCAAGTCTTGAAATGCTCGCTGCTTGTAGAGATCCTATACGCCAAGCCCTGGTTAGCACATGGAATCGTATGTAAAAAGCCTGAGCGGTGAGAAAGGCTACTGACCTCAATCTTGTGATCCCAATATGCCTGGAACTCGGTGAATCCTTCGATGCTCCGGTCCAGACCTTCCTCCTCCGCTTCGACATCCCCGAGCATGAGCCCCTGTCGGCAGACTTGCCAAAAAGCGGCTAGATTCTTGGGCAAAGATAAATAAATATATCGGTGGCTGAATCGGCTCTTGACCCTCTTCTCTAACATCTCCACCACATCGAGGCGCGTTGTGCAGCCCAGGACTGCAATGGGAGCTTTTCGAGATTGAGCAATGTCAAACAAGTTGTACAAAAGTGTCTGCCTGGGATGGGTCGCGAACAAATCGAATTCGTCAATGATGAATATGACGGATTGCGACGTGACTCCCTCATCTAGTCCTAGAATCTCCGAAGGGTGGGACAGCAGTGCCAATAAGGACGCCATGGTATCGGCATAGTTGGACTGTGAATGTTTAGCAAGGTTTGAGCATTTGACGGGGAATGTGGTGTTGCTACTCACCCGGTTCAGCAAGTCGTCGTCAACCTTCATTTCCTTTCCAAGCTGCCTCCAGATTTCCTTCAGCGCGAGCTTGTCATCTGTATGAATGAATCCGTTAAGCCTAACGATATGAAAGTCCTGTCGATGCTCCCGTGACATGTCTTTAACGATGTTGTTGATCATCTGGATGGGCGGTTAGAGTCAAACATCTTAGCAAGCAAATACATGCACATACCGTTGTTTTACCACACCCCCTTGGTCCAATAAGGAGCATGGAGTTTCCCTCGCCCGCCACGACAGTCTGCTCGATGAGCTGATGCGCCTTTTCATATTGATCTTGCTGGCCAAACATGCGAACCGTCCTTCGGCCGTTGCACCGATCCAAGAGGACCCTCTGCAGGGCACGCAAGTGATGATCTAGGTTGGGAATATCCGGCACCTCGGTGGTAGGAGCCGCTACTGGGTTGGCGGCCGCGGCGGCGGTTATTTCAGAAACCTCCTCAGTCGATTTCTTGGTCAGACCCAGGACATCTTCCTGTGCGCACGACTTGCACAGCCAGTCGCCCTCTGGAATTTTTCGTACTCCGTAGCACATTTGATGGACGGCAAAGTCACAATTATCGCACAGGATAATCTCGTTGGGTGCTTGTGAGTCTGGTCTGGAGCAAACGCCACACACAATCTCATCTGTGGCAACAACAACAGGTTGAGCCTGCTTCGGCTTTCGACCAGGCTTCTTTTTGCCGCTGGGCTCCTTGGGTAGGTCCTCAAAGAAGACCTCGGTGGTGGCTTCGGCGTCGATGCTCTTGTTAAAGGAAACATTCTTTTGTGGCCGAGGTCCCCTTTTCTTGGTCGGTGATAGGATGCCCTTTGGCGACGCCGCGGCACCAGTTGACTCAGCTAACCTCTGGTTTAGATTGAGGTTTCTGGATTTCAGAGGGCTAATGGCTGGGTATTCGTTTGTCGAGAGCTCATCCGCTGTAGTATCGAGCATGCCATTGGAAAGCGGCATCAAATCGAGACGCTTGATCGAGCGCACCGTTGAAGGCGATTCGTGAGGCACAGTGACGGTTTCCGGTTTGGCCTCGTTTGCAATGGCATTGATATTGTCCTCGTCGTCGTCTTCTTTCCTTGCCGTGGCACTAGCTCCGCCTCTCCCTCTTCCACCTCTGCTGCCTCTCCCGCCTCTGCTGCCTCTTCCTCTCCCCCTTCCCCTGCCTCTGCCTGAAGGCGCCGCCGGTTCTGTAGCTGAGCTTTCATCTGGCACAGTCGCCGCTTTCCGTCTCCCCCCTCTTCCCCTTTTCGGTGCTGACGGCTTGACCAAGTCTCCAGTATCCCATTTCGTCCCAATGAGAGCCGCTAGCTTGATAGCTGGCCGAGTCCTATTCGGCGATGTTGTAGATAGCGGTAGCAGTGGCTTCGGCAGGGAGACGCCGTTCCCAGCGGCCTCGGTCTGCGCCTGTGTTTCGGCAGCCTTTTTGCCGTATCCAAATACGCCCGAGATGGCCGAGGCGATGGTGCTCAAGGTGCCTGGTGTCGGCGGGTCTGTGTTCTCTCCATCGATCTTGCGCTTCTTTGAGGCCGCTGTGGGCGTTGCAGCTGTATTGGGATCGTTTTCGTCAAGGCTTCGCTTTCGGCTTCCAGAAGCTGCATCGAGTTCCATCGTTCGGCCCGTGGCGAGAAAAAACACTTAAGAAATGCACAGCCTTGACAGCAATGCGCTCATCAAAATTCCAAACGGTGCATTACGTTGTTTGAAGGCAAAAGGGTCGCGATGTTTTGCCTGCCCTTCGAGGAACGGAGGTTGGTGATGGTTAACCTAGACCTGTCAATTAATTCGAACGCGTGTAGCGCGTTTTCCAGCTGGTGGGCGCGTTAATTTAGCGCCGTAGTGCCGGTTCGGTACGTTCCTCTCGCAATGCCGAATTAGGCAATTGTCGCGGTCAGTGTGTTGACAAAATGTCACTGCCAGCCACTCGCAACTATTGCTGTCAACGCAAAGATATATATTCTCTTCATTGCATTGGAAGCAAGTGGTACTAATACACTGAACTTTTGACTTCTAATAAACGGTTTGCGAGCCTTACTAATTTATACCAGTGCACACTAATAACAGATAATCTTAGGAAAATGGACTCTAACAAGGAGCGTTGGAGCTGAGAAGGGCCATGTAACAAACAACTGCTTGCCTCTCTGCTTTAACCAATGTCCACCGATGAGTATTCTGGTTCTTCTACTCTTCTCATTTCCTCTCTCAGAACAGACCGGGTCTTCCTCCGTCCGTGATACACACACACACCCGTGCCGCCGCTCTTGTGGCGCTTGTTGGCTGGGCACATTGGGCTTGACGGTAGATGCTCGGAGACGTCGAATTCAAATTTGCTGGCCGAGGTGCCGATAGTACCTGAAATATCGCGGCGGCTTCCCCGTTGAGGTGTCTGCTCCCACCACTCGCGAGGCTGCGATGCCATGCTTCTACCATGAACACTATAGCGTTTCGCAGAGCGATTAGATGGCGAAGCAGCCTTAGAGCTGATCTCGCCGTCCGGCATGGGAGGTGTCAATGACGTGAAAAACGCCCGCGGTCTGCCGTCGGCCGTGTCTTCGTCCAAGGGAGGTGTGCTGACTCGAACGGCTTCCTATGGGGCGATGAGTTGATACAGACCACAGAACAAATAATGGAAGCCGAGACAAGAGAGATACTCACCCCTCCAGGGAATGTGCCATGGGATAGATTATAACGGCCTGGTAACTCAGAAATTAGCCCATACGTACACTCACGTTTGACAGAAAATGCACTCGCGTACTCGTGTAGCTCAACCCGAGAGTTGCAGGACTCGCAGGAGGTGTCTTGCCCTTAAGAACTGCCCTGATGGAGCTGGATACGCTGGCAAACGAGTCCCCAGACTCCTTCCGATGCCATGGTGCTCTTCCAAAAAGCTTCCGGCCTATCTTGGAAGTATGAAACTCGTCTTTGAACCACGTTCCTGTCTTGCTGATGCTTTGAGAAGCAAGGAATTTTCTGGCACCTTCAACTGTCATTTGCGTACGGCAATCCTCACCAGGGGCTAAATCATTGCAGGAACGCTTAGATCCCAAGCCAGCGTCTGTTTGATGGCCGGCGTCTGTTTGGTAATGGATATACGAATCTTCATGCTGTTTTTGCTTGAGCTTGGATTCGATTTCCTTTTTGGCCTTTAGATACAAGACCCTTGGAGAGACCAGGGGGGTTGGTAAGCTAGTTTTCATGGCTGGTTGAGTAACGCTCTCAGGTGAGGTGTTTTTGGGGGCGTCAAATAGGCGGTGATTTTTTGAACCGGGCGAGACTATTATGCTTTCACTTGACTGCTGTGACTTTGAAGAGGCCATTGCAACAGCAATAGGTGAGACAGATGGCGCAGAAGGATGTTGCAACGAGAATACATGATCAGATTCGGATAGATATGGGGTCCAAACTTGATGGACGGCTGGCAGATCGTGTTTTGGAGGCCCATATCTCGATTTAGGCCCAGGCACGGACGTCACTCGGGGGGCATACAGCCCATAATGCAGTGCATCCGTCTCACTGGCGGATTTGGTCGACCGTGACCGCCATTTCTAGAAGCGGACATTGGAGCTGGCATTGCTCTTTCGGGGAGAGGCTATCGTGACCTGTCTCTCTGCCCAATATCCCTCTGGGAACCAGACCTACTCGTATCCCTCACGAGGCGGCCGTGGAGGATCGACGCTAAATTTTGTAGTTGAAGTGTATAAAGACTCAACTCTCTTTCTGTCTGGTGAACCCGCAGGAGAGGTTGAGTTTGTAAACGCGCCATCTTGCATAGCCCTCTCCCAAGGCGTAGATCGAGGCGGCTCATGAGAAGTTGTAGACGGCGGCGCAAGGGTGAGGAGCAGGAACGGCGGACCAGGCAAAGAGCGGACCGACAGATCAAAGTAGCTGCAGAGTATAGGTAGTTAGCACTGTCAGCATGCCTAACAACCATCAAAAGATCTAGAGCCGTACTTGTCATCATGGGAAGTTGGAGTGTTGCATGCTGCTGCTCTCGTTGGGTGTTTTTCATCGGACATGATGGATGGCTGTCGTGGCCGCGGGGATGGTGAAGCGGAGGCAACAGCGCTTCAACTGGACTCTGATGAATCGGCAAAGGGGGTATTTAAATGGTGGGTCGGAGAAGAAGAGAAAAAGAGGAGAGGAGGAACGTCGCGACACTCCTCTTAGGACGTAGGTATTGGACGGTTGTAGGACTTAGAAATACTCGAGATCTGCTAGGTGGGAGTAGATTGTTTGGTGTAGATGTTTTCAGAGAGGCGCGAGTACGAACCAAGACAAGATAAGATAGCCTGAAAAACGCACAACTCATGGAAGGTCCAGCCAGGAGAATGAGACTTTACCGTATCTGGCTCCGTCTCTGGGAGTTTTAGCATCACATAATGATATAACTTTTTTTATTGAACTTGAACATGAAATGAAAAGAAAACTGGTATTGTCGCACTTGACATGTCTCATGAGACCTGATCCATCTGTCCTCATTACTCAAATATACATTTTGGTGGCTTCCCAATCCAATTACGCCGAAACGCCGTACATATTCCCATCAATCGCTATGCAATTATGCATCCATTTCCATGGTGTCATCGCCATCCAAGGCCGCTCCTTGAGGCTCCAGAGGGATTCCACGGCCTCGTCCGGCAAGCAGTTCTCGTCTGACTTCGGGGCCAATGGCAGAGTGGCCGTGCGTTAGCAGCAGATCCAGCAGTGCCTCACGCTGATCTTCGGTGATATCGCCCTTGTATCTCTGCGCAAACGCCAGGAGACTCTGGTGCCAGATAACGGGCAGCTTGGCCCTGTAGTCCGATCCGCTCATGACGACAGTCATGCTATCGCCAGCCCTGGCGGTAGCAGGGTCTTCGGCGCGGAATCTTAGGAAGTGGAAGACGAGGGCATCGATAGCTTGGTAAGGGAGAGCGTACTTCTTCTCCAGCAAAGTCTTGATGAAGATGTTGGTAGCTCCGCCTCCTTCGCTGCCCTGAGAAGCCTCCTGAGCGGCGATGTCGCAAAGACCCTTAATGGCCGCGGCAGAATGGAGGACTGGGATGGAAACTCGCGCCAAGACGGCTGAAATGATGTGTGCCTCTCGCAGGGTGCAGGTGCCGCTGCCGATCAGAGGGAAAAGGAAGCCCTTGAAGAAAGCAGCAGGCTTGTAAAGGGCTTTCTTGAGGGAGTTGAACAGGTGGACGTTGAGTTTCTTCGTATCGTAGATATCCTCACGGACCTTTTCCAAGACTACCATCTCCAGGAACCGTTGGACCACACCAGGCTTGGCGGAGACGAATATCCTGGTCGCTTGATAGGTGGCATTGGGTGTCCAGTTTTCGGGCTTGGTGACATCAATAATATCCTCCCAATGAGGGATAGTTGGGAGAATCTTGAAGGGCTTGGGAAGAGGTCCGGACTTGTAGCGGGAGAGGATTTCGCCAATCCTGGTGCGGTTAGTGCCGAGCCCGTATCGGAACGCATTGTCGAGAGGCGGCAATACTTACTTTGTGTATACCTCCACAACCTTGGGGGGGAGTTCATAGTCATCATCGGGGGCACGCACATTGCCCCCGCCAGCCTGAGCCGCTTCATGCGCGGCAATCTTCTTGAGAATTAGATCGGCCAAGTTGACGGACTCGCCCTGGGGTTCCCCAGATGGCTTGAGATCCCAGCCGTGCTTCAGCAGATCATCCTCCTCCTCGTCTCCCATGAACTTTCTATAGGTATCGAGGTCTTCAGGGTCGACCTCAACATCCTCCACCATCTCATCATCGTCTCCCCAGGCCTCGTCATCGTCGTAGCCCTTGTGACCCTCTTCTTCCTCGCCAAATCTTGAATCGTAACCAAAGTTGTCCACTGTGGGCTTCGCTGCTGGTTTCTCGGCATTCTCCTCCTCCATAAGCTCACGGCCTATCCGCAGAATGTTCTTGGAGGCCTTGGAATCCACAAACGCCTCCTCGGATTCCTCGACATCCTTGGACTTTCTCTTGGTCGGCTTGTTTCGCAGAATGCCGGTCGCCAGAACGTCATCTTCCAGGGGATTGTGGCGCCGGCCGGGGCGCGCCGCAGTAGGAGTCGTTGCCTTGGGCATCTTGAATTCCAATGCTGTAGTCTGTGGTGGACTTTTTCTGTAGATGCGAATGTTGGGTATCAGAATACGATTTGGTTTCTGCCGGGGACCAGGCAAACTTGGTGGGCAGAAAATCAAAAATTTGTGTCTTATCGATCTGCCACCCCTCTCATCGGATGGGGCTTAGCGCGCCGCACCAAAAGTCCATCTTGCGACTCACCGCCTTTGCATTGTGAAGTACCTTCGTACATCTGCACCTCGAACAGTACTAGGTAAAAATTGATAAAACACCTGCTCTTTATGCTTGAAATGCTTGAAATGTAGGTAGACTGTTTATGATACCTATGAAGAATGGTTTATAATGAAGAGATGTTGCCACGAATTGAATATTTTCGAATAATCCGTCTTATTACGTATTGGTACGCATCTTCGTCGTATTACAGCACAATTAATCATTGCCTACGCATCGTCTAGTAATCATAGATGAAGCCGCATATCTAACAAATGATTTCAATAATTATTCAAATATATTCCGGACCAAATCACTTTGCTTTATATGATTATCACGTGTCATCTTCATTTTGCAGAATCTCAGTCTTCATCTCCATGAATGCTGCCTAAAATGGTTAGTAACGGCCTCTGACGCTCGCCCCGAAGCCATTTTTTCACCCCACTATTATCAAAATCCAAAAAGCTGCCCCTCCAAAATATTTCATACGATAAGAGAGTCATTCTCTAGGCACAACAGCAACATCATTTATAAGACGGTGATATTTCTCAAGCCATTTCATATAGAACAAAAGACATCATGCCTACGGAAATAGAAGAGGTATGACCCATATATACTCATGAAACGTGTGCCTAGACAAAATAGAGATGCTGACTTATACATAGCTCGTGGGCTTCATCGCTCATCCAAACCCCCAGATCAGGGCCCTCGCAATAGAGAACCTAGTCCCATTTTCAGAGTCTGAGCCGGCTATTTTCAAGACCGAGCAGCTTAAACCAGTCAAGCATCTGAAATTCCTTGTTCGAGATATTGCGGTAGGTATCTCCAGGAAAGAAATGACCGGTTTCCTTTGCGCAGAAGGGAGATTTAGTTCAGTGTCAGGACCAAGGGCTGATCCTGTTTCATGTATAGAAAATCGCCGAGCATGCCTTGACTATCCTTATCAACTTGACGGGAGACCAGGAAATCCTGGAGTTTGTGGCGACGGATGAAAAATTCCTGGAAATGGTCTTCTCACACATTGTCGTAAGTCTCATCATCCACCTCATCGTCACAAGTTCGCCCAAATAACACAAACACCCCCGTGACAGCATCCCGAGGAGCCAAACGCAGACCTATTGGCCATGCTGCTCGCCAACCTCTCCAAATTCGAGGGCTCAAAAGCCTTCTTCCACAGAAAACAAGAAGCGCCCTCACAACTCGGCTCCGATGACCGCGTCATCAACCAGCTCATGGACCTCTTCGTCAAGGGCCAAGACGGCGCCTACAACAAAAAGGCAGACTTTGACTATCTCGCCTACGTCTTCGCCGACCTCGCCAAGCACACCGAAATCCGCCAATACTTCCTCGCCGAGCAGCCCTACGACGGCGTCATCCCCCTGACCAAGCTCAAAGTCTTTACCGAGCACAAGTCCGACATCCGCAGGAAGGGCGTCGCAAACACCATCAAGAACGCCGCCTTTGAGATCCCCGCCCACCCGTCGTTCCTGTCCGAGTCGGACATCAACATTCTTCCTTATATCCTCTTGCCCATCACCGGCAACGAAGAGTACGACGTCGATGACACGATGGACATGTTGCCTGACCTGCAGCTCCTCCCGCCGGATAAGAAGCGTGACTCAGACGCAACCAATATTCAGACTCACGTCGAGACGTTGACATTATTGACAACCACGCTGGAAGGCCGTGAGCTGATGAGGAAGGTTAAAGTATACCCAATCATTCGGGAGACACACATGAGAGTCAATGATGAGGCTGTTCAAGAGGCATGCGATAGACTAGTACAGGTCCTTATGAGAGATGAGGCAGATGAGGCACCGGCAGAGGCAGAAGAACACGTGGAAGCGCGCGTGAAAGAGATTGAAGCAGATGAGGATGATGAGCTCGTTGAGGTCTAAAAAGTTATCTGTTCATTGCACTTTTTTTCTTGTTTCTTTTCTCTCTCTGTGCGTCATGGATCTGGGAAATTTTTAGATTAGGATACACACACAATGTACAATGGCATGCGGAGTAGATTATGCAAAACTGCAGTATATATCATATTTGAAAAAAGGTGGGTATACAGTCATATATAACAATTTTGGAACGCGAGACTCATGACAATCATTATAAAAAAAATATAGAAAAATAACCACCTGCCATCCAACGCCGATTCTGAGGCTATCCCGCCTTTCAGCCTTCACCACCCTAATCCTCATGGTGTTCCTGGAACACACTTTTCCGGGTAGTTGGGCTATTTGAAGACGACTTCTTGACTGTCAAGTAGTCATCCCCAGGATTCTCCTCTGCTGTTGGAGGGGAAACAACAAACTCCTGACCCTCTGAAGTTCTAGCTGAACCATCCGATGCCTGGGCTTTGTCCTCTGTAGCCGGGGTGGCTATCGGGTCAGGAGTAGGCAGCAGAGACTTTTCATCGTTCTCGCCGGCTTCGGGTATCCGAGGCGAAGGAGAATCGCTCAACCCAGTTTGTGATATTTCGCTGTTTCGGTCTCTAATTGGGGAAATTGTATTCCGTGGAGAGGTGCTCTGCAGAGAACTTCTCGTTGGGCTGGGCAAGCCATCGTTGGCCCTACCATGGAACCAGTGAGAATACCGCTCACGGATGTCCATCGGCGAGAGTCCGGTATCTTGAAGTTCAACCCGGGTCGTATCATCTGTAACAAAGTTTCTCTAGTTAGTTTATGTACATCATGGAGTAAATGGGGAGACAGATTACGTACCAAGTTCCACCAACTGCGTATCGTCCATTTCGTGAGCCTGAGGGGGGACAGATGCCGAATTTGATGGAGTAAAGCTGGGGTATATATACTCTCGCATCTCTGGGCTCGCTGGTGTGTCCTCGGTAGTTGTTTCCGTGGCGGCCTTATGAGGGGGAGGTTGTCCTCTGATCCAGGAGAGGATTCTCCGGCCGTTTTCCTCGCTAGTGTTGGTGCTTGTTCGGTTTTTAAGGTTCTTTCGTCGCCGCCAGAGACAAAATAAGACGATGATGCAGGTGAGGGCAATGAGGCCCAGAATAACACCCAGCACTGGCCCAACCCACGACGGTAAGCCTCCGGATTTAGGCGGAGATGGTGGCGGCGATTGTGCTGGAGGATTGGTCGTCTGAGCTGCTGGATATGGCCAGTAGGTCGTGATTTTCTTTTGATCATAGGAGGTAGCGAATACTTTGCCAAGGTCTGGGTTTACCCAGCCGGAGACAGCGGGTTGGGTAGCCGTTGCACTGCCGGACGCTTTGCCCCCAATAACGGCTTGAACTTTGTCAGGGACGCCATAATTGCCATAAACGGTGGGATCATAAGAGTCCATCCATTCTCCACTGGTCAAATTGAACATGACAACAGGTCCGTTCTCTAAACATTCTATCGTTGAGCCTGCGAGGGTTGTATCCCCACCAATTATCATCATCTGATCTGGGTACGGAGTGAAGCACTGGTGCCCTACTCGCCCGTGGGAACTCGTGCCATTGTTAATCAGAGTCCACGTGAAAGACGGGAGAGACAGAACCCAGACATCATCGTGATAAGGTTCTGAGCCACCAATAGCCTCGTAGCCACCATAGTAATATATGTTGAAGCTGGTGCTGTCGGATGCCGTGGCCAGGACAGCGCATCCACGAGCTCGGGCGCCAGGTCCTTTCTCGGTTGGTTGCGAGTACCACTTATCGCCGGCGACGTCGTAAACATCAATAGTCTGCATAAATTTCGGGCTTTGAGCTTCCTATATTTTCGTCGTTAGAATCATACATCAAAGGATGGCAAATCCAACATGGCGTCTTACACTAGCTTTGGCATTTTGAGACTGTCGACTTGCATTGGCATATTCTGGATAGACGACTCCTCCAAGGGCCACGAGTATGCCTTTTGCGCCAACGGGAACCCATACCAGTGCAGGGCTTGCACGGCCTTTGACCGAGGGAGGTAAAGTCTTGTTGCTCCACGACTCGTCTCCTTGAATCGTCAAATTAACCGTTATGAGGGAGTTGGATATCAATGATGGTCTCGTGGTATCGTTGAAATTAGAAAAGATTGACTTGCCAGACTGGGAAGTCTCCCCAGAAAAGTACCAAGCCAAGTTCTCGGAAGGGGCACGGGCTGCACCACCATATGTGACGAACTGGCTGACAGTTTTTGGCAAATTGTCTAATCTATGAAGTCCTGGTTCGAAAAGCGGCTTATTGAGCCCATACTGGTAGGCCTGATAACTATACAGGCCCTGGGCGGTTGGATCTGCATACTGTATGGTATCTTTAAATGGTAAACCTCCATAGAAGAAGAATTCGTCGTCATTACCAAGGAGGGCACCGTCGAGGTAGTTTGGTGACTCGCCGTTTGTTCCCTGCCCTCCTATTGCTTTGGAAAAGTTTTGTTGCAGCAAGAGATTCGTGACGTTGCTGCTTGAGGTGAATGGGTAACTCAGATTGTATGTGAGTATATATCCCTGATAGTTTCCTATGTATAATGTGTAAGTAATTGAGACCATTTTCATGCTTGTACAACTGGAGGCTCTGCATACCGTTATCTACAGGACGTCCGTATGATCCATCCTTGAATCCCGGTAGCCATTTGATACTGCCTCCATCTAGATAGATTTTATCTCGGAGGACGGCCGCTACGATAGAATGTTAGCAACGGTCTGAGGTGGAAGTATACTGGCGATTATTGTATTACCTCTAGGCGCTGACCATGTACAGATTGTTGTGTTGATTTGATCATCAGCCCAATTACTGAATTGAGCATGGACAGGACGTAATAGAAGTGCCAGCAGAGCGGCCTTCATGGTAGGGTTAGGTGACATGATTCCCCAGCTAGCTGTGGGAGTCGGTAAGGTGTGAGGTAGAGGTCAATAGTTGTGGTGAGCCAGACCGGTGAGCATGATATGGTGATGAGTGAACGCGGACGTTCTCCAAGAAGAAAATACAATCTCGGAATTTACTAGGCCATCGGGGAAACTCTGAACAAGTGAGATGATACTGAGACGGTACCCGGACAACAACCAAGGTGAGGAATATGAAACTGTCTAGGACCGCCGCCGTGTGCAGTCAAGGGCAGGAGTTGAAGAAGCGGGCAGTTAATACAATGGAAGCACCGGAAGATAGATCTGCTGTGGCGTGTGGTATGCAGGGCGATACTTGAGGCACAGCTACACACGAGCTGAGGCTGGTTCAGATACGGTGCCTACCCGATTCTGTACGATTAACGAGGTGATCGTGGGCGAGGGGCACATCAATGCAGGCTTCAGGAAGCTAGAACGCGAACGACCGGCCAAAGCTTGGTTAAGAGGCCCGGAGACGTGGTACGCAAGGCGGGCCACTAGCTGGAGCCCGGCTGCGGATGGCTTGAGGCACAGATTCTCACGTTGGGATGGTAGGCAGCCTGTGGGCCACAGAGGTCGCACATGACGAGAAGAGAGAGGCAGCAGCGAGCCGGGATTCCCAGTGGCAATGCGAACAATTTCTTCTGCTCGTCCTAGTCGTGCCGTGTACGGAGTCACCGCATGGCCCAGTCCCGACGGCTCAACAGGCTAAAGGCCCATTGCGCCGATAGGTACTCCGTACAGTAGTATCATTGGCAATGACAAGCTTGAGCCGGGAATTCCTGCAATCAGGCATAGCCACCATGTAATAATAATACTGTATTCCTCAGCATGGCGACAATAACGGACGAGAGGTCGCCCAGAGCACCTAGGCTGGGATAAGTAAGGCTGGTTTGTCATGTTGCGTGATGGGTTAAGACCGAGATGTTTCCTGATTTGTCTACTTATTCTCGTCTGATACCCAGCAGTCAGTCTCGTCGGTGACAAATGACGGTGTGGGTAAGATGAGCACAGCACTAGCAGAGCATTCTCCGAGAATCTAGTTGCTTACGAGGGCCTTTGGTGCTAGCAGACGGACCTGAGGGAATGAGGTGGGATGCCTCGTTCTTCGCGGGCGAGTAAGCTGGCAAGGCTGGTTGACAACTCATCGGGATTGCAACTCTTTTCGGCGTGGTTGCGTCCTTCGCCCAAAGACGAAAAGCATACATGGACATGCATAAGGCAAGCCCCGCTCGGGTGGGTTTTCGAAGGATCGGCTATGTATAGTAGCACCAGCTCCAGGATACTGCGCATGGAGTTGGAGTTGTGCGATGTGGTGATGCCCAAGTGCCGGCCAATCGAGTCATTCGCCAAGCAGCCTTTTCGGGAACATGCCTAGCAGACGAGATAAAGCACGAAGGCGACGAGCACAGCATTCGGGTTGCGGTACGGTAAAGCGGGATTGAGAGAGCGCGGGTTGCTGCTGATGGTGTTGTTGGTACAAGTAGGTTGTCGAATCAAACGGTCTGGTACTTGTGCTGGGCCTGTAGGGATCAGAGCTTTGAGAGCTCAGAAGCTCCAACTCGAACTAGAACAGGGGTCCGGCCGTCGAATTCCTTCGGAGGAGCCTTAGCGGGCCCTCTAGCGCTTCCTTAGTGGGCGAGAACACCTGAGAGCCCTGGGCCAATCGCCGCGCAGCAAAATAGATTGGTGAGGGGTTTGGCGCGCAAAGGCAAGCCCACGTAGCTGCCGCTTCGGGGCAGGCACAGCTCACTAATCGCTACGTACTGTTGCCGACTTCAGGCTAAGCCCTGTTGGAAGCTCTCGCCAAACCTCAACCTCATTGCTGACATGTCACGACTCAAAATAACAACAGCAGAGCCGCCATCAGCAGAAAATTTCTGTCTCTTCCAGCGCCCGCGACTCAGGACAGAGCCCTAGCGCGCCCCGCATCCGGCCTCTTGGTAATCGACTCGGTGTTTAACATGGAAGAAGCAGCTCTTTGCCAAACCGTTACACTCGCCACAACCTGGGAGTGCTCTACATAGCGCTTCTCGGCCCTATCCGCCCTCTTCCCGTTTCGAGTACAACTCGATGCAATGTAACAGCGGGGTGGCACAGAGACGGGCAGCTCTTTCTCGTTTCTCGTTCCTCGTGTTGGAATTAAGTGAGGGCGTCAGGGCGTTTGCCGAGCCTGAGATCGAAGGATCACTCACCAGATACAGGTCCCGTAACCGCGGAGAGGCTGGAGAACCCAGCTCATTTCCATCAGCGGCAGCCCGGAGCATTCTCTCTGTTATTTTCCCGTCTCGACTTCGCTTTCGACACAAAGTACTCGTATCTGTCGTATTTTCAATCCTCAGTCTGGAAACTCGTCCGCGTAAGGTCGGCCATTGATTTCCCCGGATACAAGGACCTAGAGGTGCAACCCCTGCCGGTGGTGACATCCAGGAAATATCTGGCTCCCCTCCATTCGCTCTCCCAAGGCTTGGAGGCTCTTGGAGGGCTACATCGCCACAACCTTTGTGTGTGCTTGCATCTGCTCCAGCCACTCCAACACTTGAGATCCCTGTCACTCGCATATCCTGTCTCTTTGCGGTTAGTGGCAACTATGGCAACTCGAGGAGGAAATTTTCTATCAATCAACCATTAGCATGGCAGCTTTGTGGGTGGCCGGACACAGCTCGGGGAGGGGTTCGTGGAGTCCTCCAGGCGCTTGGCGCACGGCCTGCCTATCGCCGGTCGGATCCCTGCCAGAGCGCGCTACGAAAATCAGCCCAGTTGGGCCCTGCTTCCTGGCACTAGGCCTTACGAGGCTTGTCCTTCAGAGGAGGAAGGGTTGTGTTGTGGCCGTTGACGATCCCTTTGTTGTTGTTCTCGCCCTCTCTTATCCGATCTCCCGGTCAGACATGACCCGTTTGCCGGGGGGGTTCGTCCAACTTTGCCTGCATGTGTTGTCGCCTTCACTGACAATTGGCCCATGATGAGAATATCTGAATTGGCTAGGTTGCTTTTCCGTGGACAGAGCCTGTTGGCTTTTCCTTTCCAGGGGTTCGTCCCTATCAGATGAGTCCCCCACGGCGCCAAATCAGCCTCACCCTCTATGGAGCACAGGTACAGGCGGTCAATTTGATCCTAGGTGAAGTGAGGTGAGTCTTACACGCGCACGCCACGCAATGGCCTAGCTGAACTAGTATCCCGTTGACCAGGGGGGGATTGCACCAGCTTCGGCTGCATAGTATAGTACGGTATGAGTGGTAGACGCCATATCTATTCCGTACCTCCATAAAGAGCCGCCAGCCAGGAACGAGGCTCGCCTTCTTTCTTCATTGTCACAACTGGTGTCCCGTCTTTGTGTGCTTTCGCAGCCATTCTTTCGCTCTCCCTGTGTGCTGGCCCATCTGCTGGCCTCGGCTCGCATCTCTAGCCTTCTGGCTACCTTCCATCGTTTTAACATAACCAAGGGACGCACTCGCTTCTTCCCGTTGTGTTGGAATAAAACAACCCAAGATGCGTCTGCTTACGTCCATATCGATTGGAGCTTTTGCGGGCGCAGCTACTGCCGCAGCCCAGCCCAGCCTCCAAACAGTATATACAAAAGAAGTGGTTCGTAGTTCGCAATCATGTGTATTGACATCAAGCTGATATCAGAGTTTCAAAGATTGAGCACGGCGAATATGTACCGACGCCGACTTTTGCCTTAGAGTTGAGAAATGCGGATGCGGCTGCTACAACAATCGTTGCTCCTCCCCCGTTTCAAGTCACTCTCTGCGCACAACCACCAGCCGGATCTTATAAGTTGTTGAGGACAAAGCCAGACAAGCTGTATGGATGCCCGGTTGGATATGTTTGCAACCCTCCCAAGCCCGCTGGATGCAACCTCTGGCCGGGACCCCCTCCCGCAGGTTTTCAGTGCCAGCCTGAAAACTGTGTTCTTGCTCCTCCCGTGAAACTTCCGCATTGGAATGGCAAGCCAGGCTACTACCCACCGCAGCATGGCTACTTCAACTTGAACCCTGAAGACTTTGGCCTGTCTTACGACATCTTTGAGTATAATGTCGTCCGAAAGGCATCGGGTGGGCACACGACGACTTACACCACCGGCAACTGGGAGTCCCAGGCTAGCTTAACAAATGGGCCAGTGCAAACGCCTCTGCCTGGATACAAGAAACGTCACGATCCGACCAAGCAGCAAGCTCGCCGGAGGATTTCCACGTTTGCAAAGCGCGACGATACCCTGCCGGCCATATGCTTTGACCCATGTAACGCAGCATTCGTTGCTCTCCAAAAGGATGCCGCTCTACCAACACTTTGCGATCCCGGATCTGAATACCTGACTGACTTGGCTGGCTGCACTACCTGTATTACCACGAATCTACCTGGTGTCCCAGCATCTGAATTCCCGGCAATACTGAGTGAAGAATTCAAAGCGAACCTCTTCGTCTGCGATTCAACACCCCCGTCGTCGACAACGACTGGGCCCGAGTCACAAGTGACGACGACGCCTACGCTGGGATCCACTACGCAAGTCTCTGCGAGCCAGACATCCTTCATTGAAACGACAACTTCGAGCTCCGTGGAGTCGACAACTAAGCAGTCCACCACCGCGCCCCCTCCTCCTCCTACAAGCACTTCCAGCTCCAGTTCATCTTCAAGCAGCCCTCCGACAAGTAGTTCGCCTGAACCGCCAACCTCTACGCCCCCGACATCGTCATCATCGCCACCACCGGCTTCGTCGACCAGTTCCTCTTCGCAGCCGCCCTCGTCTTCGTCAGAGCCGCCCTCGTCCTCTTCAGCACCGCCATCGTCGAGTCTTCCTTCTTCAAGTTCAGCCTCGCAGCCGCCCTCTGGCACAGAGTCATCTGCCAGCAGCACCTCTGGGTCAGCATCCTCAAGTGCATCCGCATCAGGATCTTCCTCTTCTGATATAGGTACGGCATCCAATAGTGCGAGCAGTGAAACGGGGTCAACGTCGGCGTCCGCATCGTCACCGGCGTCGACCTCAAATGGTGCATCTGCCACTGGTCCATCAGCCTCCTCACCTACCACGGGGGAGACTGGAACCACACCATCCTCGACAGGTACTAATTCCCCAACCGGCACCGGTTCTTCGACTGGCGCCGGCTCCCCAACTGGTACCGGTTCTCCATCCGGCACTGGCTCCCCTTCGGGAACTGCTGTCGGAACGGGCACCAACGTCGGGACGGGCGCTGGTTCCTCGACGGGAACCACTGCTGAGACCGGTACTGGCTCCGTAACTGGAGCCCCTACCGGGACAGGAACTTCTATCGAGACGGGCACTAACCAAGCAACAGGCTTTACCCCTCCCGTGTCGGGATTCACTTCTCCCGGGGCTTTGGAAAGAGCAAGCTCAACCAACCCCGGAGCCGGAGGTGCTGGACCAACTGGAACAAATGAAGGCGGCGGCTCAGGTGGTGCTGGACCAACTGGAGCACCCGGCGGTGGTAGTGGCGGAGCCACAGGAACAGGCCCCATCACTTCACCAACAAGCGGGGTGCCGATTTCGAATGACCTCTCTCGACCTAGCGAGAACTTTGGTCTCCTAATTGCGGCCATTCTGGGCCTGTTGGTGATTTAAATGCGAGGGTTTACCCTTGCGTATGTTCGCGAGTGTGTGTGTATGGCTGGGTGCTGGGATTATATGGCCATGTGCTTTGGTTACTTTATGAACTCTCCTTTACGAATATTTATACCCCTCCTTTTTTTTTCTGTTTTTAAAGGGTCTATCTTCTTTCATCAGATTGTGTCGGAAGAAATGAAGGAATTATTTAGTAATGTATAATCCAGGAATGCTCTATGTAGCGTCTTCTCCCCTGGAATTATTACATTCGTTATCAAACGGGTTAGGTTGGGATATTATCGGAGGGCATGGATGGAACAATTAAATCATGAAATGTTAGGGAATAATGGAAGATACCTGGTCACTCTTTTAACCAGTTGTTTTGCCTACAGAGAGGGGGATAGAGCAGACTCTGGCGATTTGCAAAAAGTAGATATTTAGAGGCATGCCTAATTTTTTTTTCCGGAGACTGAAAACAATCAGAATGAAAAAATTCACAAAGAAGCATTTGTATCCTATCCTAATTCCATCGTGCGGCCCCCCTTGGATATCCGAAATGTCAACACTACTCAGCATACATGGTTGGTCAACATGAAACACAGTACTCCATTGCCAGAAATCCGTCTAAGTAGTTCGTATCCAATTGATTCCCATAAATGATAGCAATGGCAATGATGGTGCAACGAGAAGAAAACAAGAAAAGGGACAAGAAAGGGGGGGGGGGGGGACAAGAACAAAATAAAAAAGACAAGAAAAGGCTGTGTCTCGCTCAGTACCACCTCCCATTCATCGGGTTGTCCTGCAGGTACGCATCCATGGCACTAACGCCGTCCTTCTCCAAGTCCTCCATGAGCTCCAGCTGCTGCGACTGGGATAGGCTGCCTTGCCTGCCGGGCGAATAGCCAAACTGCATGCCGCCGGCCTCGAGTTGTGCAGTGATGTTGTGAAGCCCCAGGCCAGGCCCCGGCGATCCTCCGAACCCGCTCATGCCCGCCATGGCCTCGTTGAAGTAGCCGCCGCCCGAAGTGACGAAGTTGTACGGCGACATGAATTGCGACTGGGGGGCGAACCAGTCCGATGCGGACGTTGGTGCTGGTGGTAGCGGTCGCTGGTGGTGAACTGGCTGTGCCATCCGTGCGGCCGCGTATGTTGGCTGTGGCTGCGTCACCTGCTGCGCAATGATGGGTTTTTGAGGCGGTGACATGTTGCTCTGCGCTGAAAGGGGCGACGGCGAAACTGGTGTGACGCCCGATGTCTGCTTTATCGCCATTGCTGAAGGCGATAAGCCTGGTCTAGAGGTCGGTATATTGGATTGAATGAATGAATCAGGTGGTGACTGCAACTGATGGGGGATATGGTCCGGTACAGGGATCCCATGAGAAGGATCCTCCAGGCCGCCAGCCTCTCCCATGTGAGTGACGTCCGGGGGGAAGTAGGAGAATCGTCGATTGCCATTGTCTGTGGCCGGGTTGCAGAAGATTGAGTTTGAGCGGAAAGTTGGTTGCGGAGGAGGGTAGTTGGGATCGAAAACGTAATTGTTCATAGACTCAGGGGACGAGTCAAAGACGTACCCAAACGTCGGAGGGTTGAGGTAGGGCAGAGGCCGGGGAGTAGTAGCGTTTGACTGAGCGTAGCCTTCGGGAGAGGAGTGAGACTCGCTTGTTGCGGGTGGGCTACTAAAAGAAAATGGTTCCTTTTCAAGTTTCACTTGTACGTCGTAGCTCTGCATGCATGCTTTGGAAAATATGGTGTAGAGCTGTGAAGTGGCTGTGGTCCCGGGCCAACGCTCTGCACATCGGTCCAGACACTCTAATGCTGTGTTGACCAGCTCCTCGACCTCCTCCCGAGGGTGGTTGCGTCGGACTTCGGGGTACGATATCGTCCATAGGAGTGTGCTGAGAGCCAGGTTTAGTGTCAGGAGGAACACCCAAGTGATATCCACATTATCGGTCCCTATTTGCTTCTGCGCCAGATCGATCGTGGCGGCAGAAGATTCATAACAGATCTGCGCTGCACGAGCCGATGGCTGCGGGATTTGAGGGGACGGCCTATATAGCATAGCCCTCATTTGATGATAAAATCCAGAAATCCTATCATTCGAGTTAGAATATGAAATGGTTATTACTGAAAGTCGGCTTACCAAGACTTGGCCCATGGAGGTTCTTCTGGTGCAGCATCCAGCCAATCCCTCAACGTCTTTTCCATATCGTGGAACCATGGGTGATCGTCATTTCTGGGCTCTGGCCTCTTTCTTTCGTAAAGGGTCCTCTTAATTTCGGTCTGCGGGATCGTCATTTTGTAAAAGTGTATGGTTGCAATCTTTCGTGGATTAGGTGGGCCAGGCACAATCCCTTGAGGCGTAATGTTTGCATCATCGACGACGGAAAAGAACTCGACATCCAAACGATCGCTATTGACGGCAAATGCACTGGGACGACCCATATAATAGGAAAGCCCAAACTCCATGGTGGTAATTATCCATACAAGCCTCCGGCGCATATCGATGGTCTGAGGATCCAAGTTGTAACCCGAAGTAATTGTCTTTTCATCCGTCAATCCTTCTTGCTGGCAAATTCTGGTGGCAAGTCCAATAACATAGTAGACGGGCGTTCGCGTCGGGGTAAGCAGCGAGTACTGCCCGATGAGAATGAGACACTGCAGCGTTTTGAGGTCTTTGGGGCGAATAATGTCTTCAACGTATTTCATTGCCGCCATGTAGTATCCATCAGCCAAACCAGCATATTGCGTGTCCAATTTCTGTAAGCTAACGGCGATAACCATGCGGACAGTAAAGTTTTTGTACACATCTGTATCGCCATTATAGACAGCCTCAAAGTCTGCTTGGAATACCTTCTCGTGGAGCACAGGCCAGTGAAGTTGAGCTGGGAAACATCAGTACTGGGCATAGACAACGCGTTGGAAAGGTAAAAATGCTACAGGCATACCCTTTTTGAAGTATATTTCTACCAGCCTATCGGCCACCGCCCGCGTGGGAAGACCCTCGGCTGGGCATTCACTGACCATGGGATAACTCTTCTTCCTGTTACTAGCCGATCCCGTCATTTGGATGGATTGCATTCGAGCTTGGCTCCTGGCTCGAACTTCGGGGATAAGGTCAGAAATCTTGTTGGAATCGGTAAACCGCTTGGCCTCGGCCATGAGCAGCCGTGTCATGGCGATGCCGCTGGTCGGTCCCAAATATCGGGGTGTCTCGTCATTGCCGTATAAACGGATCATGCCACCTGGACGGACTAATTCTTCGCTTGTGGGAGGATGGTCGCCATCCTCATCGGTGTACTGGCCCAGTTCCGCCTCGAGAGCTCTGACCTTGTCTTGTAGTGTAATCACATAGCGGCGATTGATCTTGCGGCCCTTGGCGGTGTCGAGATATTCACATACAGATCCCGATCTCTCGCATGGGAGGCAGCGAGGCAGCGTAGGATCGCATCTCGTTTTCCGCTGCCATATGGTGTTAGTATTTAGTATTCATTCTATTATTTCCGGCTGAGATGTACAGCCCGCGCAGGATAGATGGAGCGGCACAGCTCTCCCGGGGGCGGGGTAGTCGTTATATCGTACCTGGCGACAACGACAGCATGCAGTCAGCGTGTGAGCAACGCGGTGGCTCGAGGAATCGCCGTCAAAGAAGTCATCGGGGCTTTGAACCAAGCTTCGAGGCTGAGGATAGACGTGGTTCTGACGGGGAGCAACGGTGCCCAGCCCCTGGCGGAAAATGTGCGCGGCATCCATGGGATATGCTATCCCCGGCACTGCGCAGCCAGCTCCCTCGCAGTCTAGATGGTGAAATTTAAAGGCTCTTGCGCTCTGTGAGAACTGCCACTGCCCCTAGAGCTCGGCACTCTGTGTGTTTGGTCGTTGCGACGGCTGAGTTCGCTCTAAATAGCCCCGGAACGGAAGCCAAGCCGGGGCTCTGTTGACACGGATCGCCGACAACGAGGATGAGGACACGATGCTAACCAATTGACAGCGGCGCAGGCTTCATGACCGTGAAATCAGAAAGGCGGCAGTCGAGGTGCTAAGACGAAGACACAATAAGCACCCTGTCCGCCGCTATGCTTGACCTCGACCGCGGGGCAAAGGAAGAACAAGGCCGGGGTTGTACATACCTTGTGGTGGGCAGATTGTCCAAGAGGCGACGGCTGTCTCAACGGTTTGAGGATGAGGCTGGCGCAGGACAGATGCAGATGCGAGATCTGAAACAAACGGTCAAGAGCTGGGACTTGTTACGGGACGAAGGCAGCTTGCGACAGGAAGCGAGTTGGCGGAGCGCTAGTACTGCTGCAGCGGCTCAAGTAATAATACAGCACTGTACTGCAGCGTATCAATCATCAACTCACGGTTAAGCTTTGGGGTTGGTGATGACGGTTGACTAAGCATGTGAGAATGCGTAAAAGGGATTTGGACTGGATTGGATTGGATTGGACTGGATTGATTGGATCGTATGCACGTGAGCCGAGCCCAGTCGCTGCCGTGCCGCCGGCGGAGCTCCCTCATGTCCCTGTAGCGGGCAGGCGGGATAACGCTGAGGGAATCAGGAAAGTGGGGAGGAGAGCGGTCCGTGACTAATTCCCAGCTCAGCTTTTCAAAGCAGCCAAACGAAATTTAGTAGAGGCGATGGTAGGTACTTAGGCGTTTAACAATTAGTGCAAGAAGCTACTGTAGCTAGCGGTGTACTCGTAGCTGTTGTAGTTGTTTGCCTACTACTAAGTATTTTACTTGTTTATCCTAACTAATATGTACTATAGATACGGGGGTTTCAGCTATTTGGTACCGACCAAGGGACGGGTAGTACCTTGAGCATTGGCAGCTAAAGCCGGGCCCCCCAGGGAGGCTGTAGCAGAAAGTGGGGGCTTACGGCGCCAGGGTCCAGTTCTCGATTGGTATAGCCTTGAGTCGGTCTGCGTAGACCTCTAACGACCGAGACAGGCTCTGTGTGGCTGCTTCGTATAGCGGCAGATAGCGAGTGACTTGTTGCCAACCACAGAACACATTCAAGACTCACTACGACCTTCCTCTGCATGCCAATGTGCATATATGGATCATGTATGTGCCTTTTGTTAGGATGTTTCAGGTGTCACAGCTACTAGGTAGGTGGGTAGGTATGTATGTAGGTACGAGTTCGTTCTGCTTTTGCGGTGTGATGTGATATGGATGATACAGGCACCGGAAATCCGATGGCTCGACAATCACACGAAAAAGTTGGGGGCCACGGGGCAGCCGGTTCGCTCGCGGATGACGTTTGGATGGATGGGCAGCCTGCTAATGGCTTTTTGGATGTACTGTGTTCCTCGGAGGTTGATGTCAGCAATCCATCACTGCAGCTGAATCGAGTAATTGGATCCCCCCAGTCCCATCTTGAGTGGTGTTTGATACAGCATAGATGATAAGGGAACAAGCCACTGATGACTTCATTAACTTAACACCAAGCACTACTACTATTTACCAGTATCCGTACAGTATGTGCCACGGCTGAGTGTGTTGCCTGGATGCAAGTCGGGTAACGGCAGGAATTACGAACCGTCGACCCAATGAAGCAATGATGCTCCATCATCCAACCCCGTTTTGTAGATGCATGGTTCTGCCAATTGCCAAGACTGGAGCGCGAAATGTACGCTACCTGGGCTTGCATATGAGCTGTCTACTACTGGACGACTAGTCAAGCAGCGATTCTCGCACAATTTAACGTTGAGTGCCAGAGTAAGCGCAAGGCGGCCAATCGCCGCTCAACGAGTGCCAAGTTGCGAGCATCAGGAGGGCATTTCTATGGAGCGGCGCCGTGGACCATGTCAGCTGGATAAATTAATTACATGCAGTTGTCGGGATGCAGTCATGCAACAATTTCTCATGACCGGGCTGTGAAGAGGGAGGAACGCGAAATAGAGCTCCATTAGGAATGAATCGCTGGATACTCCTGGCGTTGCTTGACAAGATGAGCCGCCCTGGCGAAAAGAAAGAAAGACGGAAAGGGCTCCATCATGGCCGGCATGGAAGCAGTGAATACCTTCGTTTCAGATGTGCCAGCATCAGATTGTCGATGGTGGCGATAAGCCTAAAACCAAATACCGATCGTGCAACGGCATTTGCATCGATGTAGGGGTCTCGTCCGATATCCGTCTTCATTTCTCACGGATCCTAGCGCGGAATCCAAAACAGCAGCAGCAGAAGCAGAGTCTATACTGTACTCGTACCTTTTGTTAGTGGATCTCTCTCTCTCTACTCCGTAATAATAATAATAAAAGATGCATGGATTTGCTCGTGCCGTGATTGCCTCAGGTCAGATCGATCCGCGGGTGGGATTTATCAGCATCAATCATCACTACTCGTGTTGTTTGATTGCGCCGTGCTAGAGCCAACAGCCCGTCGCAAGGCTGCCGTATTGTACCTAGTATGGTATTGATCGTGTCGTGTCTTGTCGCATGCCAGCATCATCCAGCAGTTAGCGGCTATCCGGGTCAATGCAGTTCAATGCAATTTCAACCAGTACAGTACATGTACTTATTAGTGGTTCAGCCTATAGACATGGATCAATGCAATCAAAGAGCACTGACTCTGTAATGCAGGTGTCCAATGTACTGTAGCATCGACTCGCCCCAAAGGATCACGTCGTAGTGCTTCCAGGCGCTGTCACTGCCAGCCTGATAGTGGCACCTCCACTAAGCGACGCTAAGCCGCCTCAAGGCCTGTCGTGTCCCGCCTCCCGCGATTCCCACTCAGCTACAACATGCATCTCTTGTCTTGAACCCCTTCGGCCTCGTCAGCCTTCCCGTCGCCAAACCGCCGCCTGTGCAATCCCAAATCCCTCGATATCCCGCACCTCGTCCGCTCTTCTCTCCAGCTTCGCCGCCGCTCCCTCAACGCTCTCGGCTTGCCAGATTCGCCCTAGCAATGCCCCGCAGTAGCTTCTCACATACCCCCCTCCTGAGAGTCTCGAGGCCCGTCTCAGCCTGTTCAAGATGTGAGTGACGCTCCCGCCATGATGATGACGGATTTGCCGGTTGGGCTCATGCTTATGCTTCTGTTTTCCGGCCAGGTCGAGCTGCCAAAGTCAAGGTGAGTGTGACCATGACCATGCGGCGGCGCTTTCACCGGCGCAAGACAGCAGCGCGCCTTGTCCTTGACGTCTAACCTTGTCAATCCCAGTGCGATGGCAAGCTGCCCGCTTGTACGGCCTGTGAAAAGGCCGGTCGTGAGAATGCCTGTTCGGCGGCAAACGATCAATTTGCGCGAGGCAAGGAGCGGAGGTGCGTCTTCACGAACCATCCCGGCCCCAGTCGCTGACCGTAACGCAGCTATGTCGCCGCTCTTGAGCTTCGCATCGAGAAGCTGGAAAGACGCATAGCATATGCCAAGTCCCGGAAGGCCTCTGTAGCTCTCCATGATTCCGAATCGCTGGCCACGGCCCAAGTCGATAGGCGAGACTCTCTCGCCTCAATCCGGGCAGCAATCCACCGAAAAGCCGCTAGGACTCGTGAGAACTCAGATGTCAACTCGTTGATATCTGATTTTGGCTTCTTGTAAGAAGATGACCTTTTTTTCTCGTTTCTTTTTTTTTTTTCTTGTTCCCTATGTTCATGAGTTGAACTCATTGCATCTAACACTCACCTCTGCTTATCAGATCAGTCAATGCAACGACTCGGGATTTCGAGCCGTCCATTATCAACATGACCTTTGCGCGGCTAGTCCTGGCCGCAGCAACCAAGGATCCTATCCCAGGCATGCCCGAGTCTCCATTGCCGCAGAAGCCATACGCTACTGAAATCTTCCATCACTTCATGAAGAACATGTATCCGCTCTTTCCGTGTTTCTCAGAAACGGCGGCCCTGAACATCCTCAACGACATCTACCACCCGCAAAATGACCGTGTCATCAACGCATCAGATTATTGGCTGCTGTACATGATACTCGCCATTGGATCAACTATGCAGAGCCAAAAAGTCAACGATGACTACTACAATCTCGGTGTCAGCTTTGTTTCCAGGGCGTTGGATTACGCCGACATCGCCTTGGCACCTGGATACGCTACTCAGATCCAATCGCTCCTCCTCCTTACCCAGTACGCCATATTAGATCCAAACCATTTTGACAGCTGGCTTCTCATAGGCTTCACAGCACGTGCTGTTATTGATCTTGGGTTCCACCAAGATCCCCCCATGTCTACAGTTGTCGATCGTACCGCCTTGGATATGCGTAGGAAGATCTTTTATTGCACATATGCTCTTGACCGGTTGGTTATCTCCCATGCCATTACACCTTTCTCTTGGTCAATGGCTTTTTTTCTAACTCTTAAACCTAGATCCATTAGTATGGTCCACGCTCGTACATTCTCATTCACCGATGATGCAATCCACGTTGCCTTCCCAAATGCCACCGATCTCGATCGCAAAGGCAAAGATGGCGATTCTGGTCCCATTTCGGGCCCGCAGTCTGTTGACCCTGGGCTGCTGCTTTTCCAGCTTAGGCGGGCGCAGTCATATTGGTACCAAGAATTATATCAATCATATGCGAGTCCGTTACAGGACCCGGCGTCGTTCGTTTGGCAGATGTGTCTCGATATGCGAGAATGGGGCGAGTCGTTGCCAAACTCTCTCCCCCCCGGAATACGGCAAATGTTTGAGCAGGAATTGAGATACAGCTATGTGTATTGCATCGCTCCTTCTGCAAGAGCTCCCGAAATCAACGATTACCATCGCACGCTCATATTCGAGTACTCTCTCGTCTATCTCCTCACCATGCAGGAAATTGCCCACGCAGGGCTCAACGGTGCATTCTACAATTACCACGATGCGTTGAAGGTGTACTTCATGGCGAACCAATTTCTTGCTGTGCTAAGAGACTCGGAGGATATGCTATTGTCGGGTGCACGCATACAAATACCAATATCCCGCCCCGGCGCTCCGCCGGCGCCTCCGATTCCGCGGCCCCAATTACGAAATGGAAGAGCTGGCGAGGACAATATCAGCAGGAGTCTACGCTGCCTCGAGAGCGTCCCTCAAACCTTAGAAGTGTATGGGCGACGGTGGGAAGACTCGGTTATGCTAAAGCAGAGCTTTGAGCAGCTATCAGCGGACACCATGGAGCGACTGAGGGAACGCAGGAAGATACAAAACATGAAAATGGAACAGCCTGCCTATCCCGGCAGCTCTCCATCGGCTCCTTCGCCTCGGGTTCCGGCTATCACGCGCAGCCCGCAGCAGCCACGAGAGATTCGCTGGGTCGGGGTCGACGTGTCTCAGATGCTGCATGGCGGCCGTGGTCATCCTCAATAAGGGGGACGACGAGAAAGGTGGGAGGGAAGCATGTGTTTCATGAGTTGATGGTGCTTGTTTGGAAACCAAATGGTGGTTAATATACAGCCATTATCGTGGAATGACGGACGTGAACAGGGCAATAAAAATACCTCTGTATTATTATACCCGCCCAAAAGGCAAGACTCTCTTTGGACACCGATGATGATAAGGCTTTGCTTGGGCATCAATGGCTTAGTGAGATGGATAGACGGGACTCCTTGGATATCAATGGATATTTCGGATATTATGCAAGTGAATCAACTTTTTTTTTCCTTTACAATATACCCTCCCCTGATGGGTAGTATCTGAAAACAACAATCTACTAAACGTCTTTCATATTTTGTCCTCAACATTCGTCATGAAGTAAAAGGTAATAGATAGTTTACATTTCATTGGTCAATTCCTAGTCTCACCTGAATATGTTGCCCCCCTCCAAACAAAAAAAAAAAAAAAAAAAAGCAGCAATAGCAAAAATAAAAACCCTAGGAAACCCCTCCTTTTCCATCTCCCACATTGTGTCCGTGACGCCCAAAGAGTCTTTCAAAAATTAAGATGTGTAATGATTTAAAGAAGGGGGAAAAAAACCAGTCGAGACCCAAGAGGTGAAGAAGAGGACGAAAAGGAACAAGACGAAAAGAGGATAAAGAAAATTGGATTTTGGACCTGTTTTCTCTCCTCCCCGATTCTTTTAATCTTCTGAGCCGTACAACCCGCCCTTTTCCTCCAATATTGCTTTCCCACTCCCTATGAAGCCTATCCTTGTAAGATCACTTCCCATGCATTCCTCGCACGCAGCTTCATCCTCCTCTCGTTACTCTGATCAAACCAAGGTCTAGAAGTCAACAATGGCGTAAGTCGCGGACACACAGGCAACGCAGGAGGACCTCCCAAAGGCTGCTGCCGCCAGCGCTGTCGGCGAGTATGTCGAGGAGTGGTAGTAGTAGCGCGAGGGTCAGGGACGGGAGATTCTTGCTTTTGCTCTTGCTCCTGTTCTTGCTCTTCCTGCGGGGGTTGATGCTGAGACAACACTGGGCCTTTGTCTTTCCTTTGTCCTTTTCCTTTCCCTTGTTCGTTTTCTTTATCGTGACGGGGCTCATCAGTGGGTTCCTAGACCGCTCGAATGTCTTGCAGGTGCAGATTTTTGGTTTGGCGAGGCAGCCTGCGATCTCGTTCGTAAAAGTAGCCGCAGTTGGCGCACAGGGACTGAGGCAGGGTCACGTTAGCCGTCACATAAAGCACACACACACATACACATAACCAATATCGAACCATGACTCACCTTGGGCCCAGCAGGACCATCTCGGACTGCCCAGACGCTCGTACCCCACGTACGGCAGTGCGAGCATCGCCATGTCATTCGCTCCATGTCCGTCAAGGCTCCTACTCCTCCACCGTAACCGCCGACGTCTGGCGTGAGTCGCCCCAGGGGAGTTCCGCCACGGGCGAGAGGACTCAGACTTCGGAAGCGCCGCTTCTTCTTGGATCGTTCACCTCTACCCATCCTCTCCTCCTCAGCATCGACAACCACGCCCAGGCCGAACGGTGTACCGCCCAGCATGCCAGTCGTCGAGCTGAATCGCGCTGTTTCACGCCGCAGTCGGCGGATCTGTCGCTCACGGTCGCCCTCTCGCTTCTCCATCTCTTCCTTGCTGAGAAACTCGACCTTGGGCTCCCAGTCATCAGCCAAGTGATCCGGGTCGTATCTCCAGCCAGCTTCCTGGCCATGTGCGGCATCGTTTGGCAGCTCCTGCTGTGCTCCACCCCAACCTCCAACAAGGCCGCCAGCTTCGCAGGCTTCCTTCTTTAGACGAAGGACTGCCTCGTAGATGGCGTGTGTCATTGCTGGAACCCATTCACCCGCCAATCCTAAATCGGCACATGTCGCCTTTGCGAAAGCTTCAGCTGTGCCTGGAGGGTGGAGAAGCGACCACTCAAACTTGTCTGTGTATAGCATGGATGAAAGGTTAAGACTCAGGTTGATGATGCATCGATACGTATCGTCAGGGTTATACTCGTCAGAATCAGGCAGGATGGGTGTTGCTTCAGCAGTGACCTCAGGAGCCTGAGATGCCGGCGGTTGCGGTGTTGGTGTTGCCTGGCCCCCGGTTTGCACAGGAGTTTCGGGCCGGGACACGCCTCTCGCAAATGAAGCCGGGGAGTCGTCTCGGGATTTGAATATGCTGGGCCTCGGGGTTCCGGCTGCTGTGACACTCCCCCCAGCAATGGTCGCCGCCCCTCCTTGGATGGGCGGTGGTGGTGCTGCAGCGGACGGCTCAGAATGGAAGAGTGGGTGGAGAGCAACACCGGCATACTCTTCCAGCTGCGTGCGAATCTGCTTGCTAATCTCTGCAATGACAGCAGGCCTGTTAGGCAGGTCCAGGTCTTGCGCCAGTGTCTGCGCAAACTGGTCCGTTGTGATGAGCGTCTCGTGCAGGTTCCAGCAGAAGATATCTCGCAGCTTGTAAGGAACAGTCATCTCCTGCGGTCGGTATTGGGGAAGGGAGATGTCGACCGAATTGGGATTCGGGGCCGGGAACGGCGCGGGCGGGATGAAGGACGGGATGTCCAGGTCGATTCGTATGGGTATCAGGGTCAATGGGAGGTTTGCCTGAGCGGCATTCTGCTGGTCGCTCCTGACAGACCGGCTCTTGCCCATCCAGTCTCGCCATATGCCCTGGACATCGACGGGTTCCTTGATTTCCTTTCCCACCTTGTCAGCCATGTCCTGCCTGGTGGCCGAGTCCTCCTTGCGCAGGCTTCGCAAGCCCGTGGGCCGACGCCTGGTATCGTCGCTATCGTCATCCAGGTCATCATAACCATCCTCGGCGTAATTGATAATGGTGGTTCCTCGCTTTGTTGTTCGCGAAACAGGCCCTGATGGCGCACTCGGTAGGACGGGAGTTAAGAGAGAGTTGTTGTAGGTGCGCAGCCGCGGCGCATACGACGACAGGAAAGCCTGGGGTTTTGATCGCTCCATTGTGTGATTTATGAGGGGGATTAGGTGGTTATTTCATGGCGCAGGGGAGCAGACGCGAGCGCAAGTTGGCGAGTCCCCGCGCTTTGTGCAAAAGTCGCAGCTGAGCTTGCGAGCTTCTTTGCAGCCAGTGCGGCAACCACACGAAGAGGCGAGTCTGGTCTCTTGAGCAATGGCAAAGAGAGGGAGAGATGGAGCGGTTTCGTGACTCGGACGAGAGAGGGTGACGATGAGGAAACCAGCAGTGAGGCAGCGCAGCGTTCGGCGGTCGCAGCGTTGGCAATGTCGCGACTCGTGGTTGATTGGTTTTCTCAATCGCGTCGTTTGTCTTGCCCCAAATTTTGGCTGGCCTTGCAGAGATCGAGGAACTCTGCTTACATAAGACGCGGGTGGGTCTCATGCAATGCGCCTACTGCACTTGTGTGCAAACAACATGGGCCTGCCAGCTGTTGTGCTACCCTGTACCTAGACAATTACTAGTATGGATATCATTTGGGGGGGCTACAGCTTGCATTGTCTCGTGTTGATGCAAAATTATGGAAACAATCTGCATTCGATTTGAAAAGTGATACAAAGCACAAGTGTTTTCTCAGTCAAGTCAAAGTGGGGACTCTCAATTACTACCTAGTACCTTGCTGCATCAGCCTGCTCTTGCCATCGTCCATTACTAGGTAACCACCATAGAGCCATAGAAGCATACAAGACAGCCATCTCGTATAAGAAATGTGAAACCATCTTTCATCCATGGTACAAACCACCATCCTTCCACGCATGTCCTTCATGGAAGCCATCTAAAAAGGTCGCTGTCCAACTCTAAAGCAGCTTTAGTCAGCAACCAATCCCCAAATAAGAACTGATGCTGAGCTACTCACATGTTTCCTTCCGGAAAGAAGCGGCACACATCGTAGATCTTGTACGGCTCCGAGATGCTGTAGGCTCGAGCGCAGCCTATCTGAGTCGTGGTCGACCACATACACTGTGCTATAAGTCAAGTTAGTGTCAACTCCGCAACCCTGCAATACATCATCAGCACATACACCAATGCAGCCAGGGTTCGTGTCCGTCGGTGATGGGCATTCCGTTGTATAGCGAGGCCTGTGCCAGCCAAGTATGCGCAGCTGTCTGCAGGGGATTGTCGTAGGCGGCATCACATTGAGTAGACTGGTATTCGAACAGTGTCTCTCCTTGCTGAGGCCGATAAGAACCCTGAGCATGCGAAAATGGCTGCTGGCCAGCGGCCATTATGTTTGCCCAGTACTGGGCATAAGAGGCCAGGTTTACATTCCAGGTAAGAGGCTGGATTCCCTGCGCCTGGCGAGCTTGGTTAATTAAAGAGAGAGCAAGGGCTCGATCATCAGCCTGGGCGAGGCAGAGGCTGATGAAGGGAATAACCCATTGGAGGATGAGGAGGAGATGCATTTTCGCTTGCGGTAACGCCCTACAAGAGATAGGTGCTTGAGGTGAGTAGGTTTGAGAATAGTTGCAAGTTCGCAATCACGAGCAGATAGGAAGAAAGAGAATGGATTGTTTGCCGGAAGAATTGGCAGTCTAGGGATTTGTGCGTGACCGAGAGAAGGGAAACGAGGAGGCAATGAGCGGAGAAAGGTTGTAGAGAAGAAGTGAGGCCGATAGAAGATCGCGAGGGCACAAAAATATATAGCTGAGCCATACTATAACATAAAGCAAGAAGGCATGAAGTACTGCAGTTAGCGGATGAGGAAGTTTAAAACATGCTACCCTTGACATTAGGGAAGCGACAGTACCGCAAATAGTAAGTGAATCAACTTTGCTCGGATGAAAGTACAAGTTAAAAACTCCTGTGGAAGCTACACATGGTGCTGCCTTATTGTAAGCTCATTCTCTGGTTGAAGAGCAAGGCAATGACGCTGCCTCTTGACACCATTGGGTCATTGATAAGATGGTACTTGTGAATTTCACGATAAGCTATGGCTAAAGACTGCAATGGGATCAATCAATCATATTCATCTCCCGTCAATAACTGAGAATGATTGAAAATACAATCGACTTATAACTCAACAAAGAAACCACAGTATTACTCCATTAGGAAATCTCACATCGCCATCGTCCCCGTACGCACGGACCATTTTCAAGGCACCGCGGTACGTACCTGCACTACAATGACGTCTAGCGCATTCCATCAGCTTTTCTGGCAAAAGGTTGCATCAACACCATTCGCTCCATCATTTTTTTTCTACTTCACCACTCAAACAGAAACACCACGCCCTTCCAGCCATGGCCTCAAAATCAGCACCCCTAATAGCGCCTCTCCTGCGCCGAGCCCTCGCTCCACGAAACTCCCTCCGCCCGTTCTCTCCCCGCCGCGCGCATCCCGCCTCATCGCCCGCCATCGTCTCTACAGTCCACCTCCGCTTCGCCCACGCCATCCCCCGTCCTCCTCGCAAGCTCCCGCAAAAGGAACCCACCACCGCAGATGCCCCCGCCAGCGAAAGCGACCGTCCCGAGCTCAAGGGCCCGGCATTCTACCAGCTGTCCTTCACTTGCGTGCCCTGCGGCCATCGCTCGCACCACAATGTCTCCAAGCAGGGCTACCACCATGGGTCTACGCTGATTACGTGCCCGAGCTGTCGCAATAGGCATGTCATTAGTGACCACCTGAACATCTTTGGCGATCGAAAAATCACTGTCGAGGACTTGATGAGGGAGAAGGGCCAGCTGGTCAAGAGGGGTTCCTTGGGCGAAGATGGAGACATTGAGTTTTGGCCTGAGGAAGTGGTACCGGAGGACTTGGCAGAAGTTGTGGGAAAAAATACAAAGGGCTCTTCATGAGGGAGCTGGACTGTTGCATCTATGCATGTATATATATACCGTCGATGGATGGCGTTGAAGGGTTTTGGTAGGAGGAAGGGATCTTGAACGGATCTCCAAGTCATCCGTGCCCAATGACAGGCTTACGCTCTATCCAGAGGAAATTATCTATGGGGGAGGACATTGTAAGAGTATCTAAAAGTCATATACACGGCGTCAGGGATTATTGGTAGGAAAACTCCTCAATTTTCAAAAAGTAGCGACCGCATATCAAAGGGGGAATTCCAAAGGAATCTATTTTGATCCCTTTACATTCATATCTAGCAGTGTATATATATACCTATGTATCTGTATATGGATTAGGAACTACAAGGTAGTTTCAAAACACGCCCAAAGATGCCCATTAAACCAGACTCAAAAACGCCGCTCGCCATACTCTTCCTCTGCGTCACATATGCCACGCTATTTGTCTATTTTTCACCATGTCTTGTACGCCTGTCTCATCACCTTCTGCTCCTTCGATCTCGTCTTCTTGCGCTCCTTGTTCTTCTCAAACTTCTTCCTCTTGTCCTTGTTGTACTTCTCCGGCTGCGCTACCGCCTCAATCTTCCTCTTGCTAGATCGCTGCAGTCGACGCGCCTTGACCTCCTCACGAATGGACATGAGCTGCTTGCTGTACTCGGCAGTGCCAAACTTCTTCTGCAGAGAATCCATCATGATTTGTGCCCTTGTTTTGAGGCCCTCGTGCTTCGTCTTGAATACTTCATCCATGCTGAAAGGTGCGGGGATGGACGGGTCGGTGAGGTTATGCAGCGGCGTCAGAATGGTCTTGAGCGAAGGCTGGAGTCGGTCTAGCGTAGAGCGACGGCAGATTGTCTCCAGCACCTCCATGGCGACGACCTTGGGAGTGATGGCAACAGCATTGGGACGAATCTCCTTGCGCAGAATGTGTGACAGGCGCCAGAACAAGTACTGCAAATCTTTGGGCTTTGCACTGGGCTCCTCCTTGTCCTCAGCATCCAGCTCATCTGCCTCTGATTCGGCATCTGAAGAATCGGGTGAGTCTCCAATGGGAAGACGGGGGCCAAGGAATATGAGAACTTGCCCAAGCTCGTTTGCCAGGCCTTCATTAACCTCAGTGCCATTCAAGGCCCTGAGTGCGAGGCGGACGAGCTCCTCCACATTCTCAGCTCGGAGAGTAAGGCCATGGGATCCCTCGACATCTTCACCTGCAGAAGTGCTGGCGCCTCGCTGAGCAAAATCAGCGAGATATAAAGTAATCACCTGGATAGCAGCCAACTTGACCGAAGTCTCATTGTGCCCAAGACAGTGTGGTAGTCTGGCCCACAGCTCTTCCCTATTGGCAGACAAGGCCCTGTCAGGGAAACTGGTAACGAAAATGCGCACAACGCCAATGGCAGCACCAACAAGTCCTCCATCAACATCACGAACATCTTCAGATCCCAAGGTTGCCATGACCTTGTCAAAAATGAGCTTGAAATCAGTCTGGTTCTTGGTGGCATCCTCATGACACTCAAAGTAATATCCAAAGAGCTGCACGGCAAGCTTGACGACCGTAGCATTTCCATCTTTGCCAAGCCACGACCGAAGCAGGTTAAGGAATGCAACTACTCGCTCCTTGTCAGCCTTGCGGAAGATCTCTTTGATCAGCGCTTCGGCCGCGAGGCGACACTTCTCGCTTTCATCGTTCGCCAGAACCAGGAAGAGCGGCAAGAAGCATGTTGCTGCAATTTCTTGGATGAAGTCGCTGGAGGACTTCATGAGCAGCAAGTGTATAACCTCCATGACCGAAATTCGGCCACCTTCGCGATTGTACTTGAGATTGGCGACCACGAAGTTGAGCTGCTTTGTCCAACGAGATCTCATCTGAGGGTAGTCTCGGATAAACTGGAAGAAGGCGCCTCGTGCCAGGTCTCGCGTGTCCTTGTCATCGTTGGTAATCATGACTGTGCCGACCTGATCCAGAGTGTCATAGACCGTCGCAGTTTCAATGCGGCGATCGAGCACAGACCGCAGGAAGTTGAAAGTGATGTGTCGGTAGAGGGGCTCCGTGAAGTCGTCCTTCAGCTTCCCCAATAGCATATCGATAGCAGCATCCTTGACCTCAATATCTCGTCGATCTCTCAGCACGACGGCAAGCATCTTTAAAGCCGCTTGCGCCAAGTCAGTCGTGGTCGAAGTCGACATTGAGATGCACCTCGTGGCCTCCTTGACGGCGATCTTGTAGATGTTTGCTCCATCGGCAGTTGTAAAGGGTACTTTAACGATGACTGCCAAAAGTCGGAACGCTGAGATCTTGACCTCATCTTCGCCTCCCAGAATGGCATCGCCAATGATGGGAATGAACCCAGCAATATTCTCAGGGGTTCGTATGCTATCGTACTTCTTCAGCATCGATCTCAGCATCTCAAATGCGAAGCGAGTCAACTTGTATGTATGCTTGCTGGTTTGGCCTCGGTCACCACTCTTTTTGGCTCCCCTCTGGACTAGATATCTTCGAGTCTTCCAGTCCAGTTTTGGTTCGGCCTCTGGGTTTCGTGCATTATACACTTCCTGGATAACCTCGTAACAAAAGACCAAAGTATCGCGGCTCTCAGTGGCTGGATTCTGCAAGAGACCGGCCGTGATGCGGGCCAGCAGGGCGTCAATCTTGCGCACAATCTTCAAATCCACTTTCTGCATCAAAAGAGCCTGTAGCGGCCGCACAAGCTCAATGAGACGACTGATGGATGCGTTCTTGGCAATCAATTCCATCGAGTCTTGACTCTTGCTGCTCTTGACCTCCTTCATCTGACTAACATAGCCCTCAGCATCCTTCTCCTGGCCAACAACTCCGAATATGTCGTCCATGATAACAGTGACAATGGATGACAGGCAAGGATTAAGGTCGCCAGGTGCGAAATGAGGTACGGTGGCAACCAGGATGGAGTGCACGGTGTATGAAAGGACGTGCAATTGGTAGCCTTTAGTGAGAGCTCCTCGAAGCTCCTTCAGAATGAACCCGAAAAAGGAAGGACCCAAAAGAACAGCAATTTTGACAAGAGTATCTCGAGTCATCTCTCTCGCCTCCCATGCTTTGCTGCGCAAAATATGGCAAATGTCTGTCAAAACACCAGCCAGTTTCTGATCCATTTGTGGACTAGGCAACAGTTTCAAGAGCTTGACAATGGTGATACCAACGGGGACACGATAGCTGACCTCAGATTCATCTTTTTGATGCAAATGCTTGGTAAGCGGTGGAAGGAAGTAATCAGTAATCTGGGTAGCCAATTCTGCAGTCTTTGGAGACATAAGACGGAGCCGTCGTACCGCAGAGGATGAACTTTCTTCTTGGTCCACCTCCATGGATTCGGCGTCTGGGCTTTCAGGCAACGAAAGCAACAGAGCATCAGTAAATTTACCCAAAAGGCGGATGGTATGCTTCTGCTGCTCCTGCCTCGATTCGATGTAACCAATGTATCGATGAAAGGTTGTGCGGAAGTGGTTCCAGTTCAAAGACATGGCAAGGTTGCTGATTGTGCTTGCTGCTTGCGCACCGAGTCCATGGTCATCACCGCCATCGGCTCTTCCAAAGATGAAGTGCTCCAGTAAGGGGATGAAGAATTGAGTCAGGTTCTGGCTGCCCATTTCTTTGCTTGCATTCGCAGCTTCCAGTGTTCGCAGGGCATCCATTTGTTTTGAAGTTGCTGGACTCAGGATATCAAAGAAGAACGAAGGCTCGGTAGAGTCCTCTTGACGCTCGTTCAGGAGACCGCTCAAGTCAGCCACCGGGGCCCATTCAGGCATTGTGGTAAGAAGGAACCCTAGCACGCGCAGATACTCTCGCCGAACAGTTTCTGACTCTTCTCGAGCACCGCCGTAAATTGATGGCATGAGGATCTGCTTGAGGTATTCGTCAAAGACGGCTTTCGTTTCTTGTGATTGACAGTCCGACGCTTCTTGTACCAGGCGTCGAATGCCATCAGCAGCGTTGGATGAGAGCACACCGAATTCCTCATCCATGCGGATGAAGAAAATCAGGTTGTGAAGAACAGGAAGCCACTCTCTAGGAGACCATGGGTTATCGTGATTGCTTGAGATGGCGCTGAATGCGGCAAGACGTCTGTCATAGTCTGGCTCATCAATGCGACCCTCCTTAAACAGGTTCAACTCATAGCAAAGGTTGGCAACATTGGAAACCTCGGTATCTTGTTTTGAGATGGCCAAAAGAACCCGACATAGCGAGGAGCGGTTTTCTCGATCCTTAAAGTAGCTGAAAAGGGATGAAACTGTCTTGTAAACCTCCAGAAGCAGAGCCTCATCCTGTGCCGCATCAGGTAATGAGGCAAAATTCTCAATTACCAAGAGAATCCGACCCTTGAGTTTAGGGTTGACTCGGCGTGCGGGTTGCTGTAACAAGAAGCTCGAAATTCGAATGACTGCTTGAATGTTTTCCAAAGTTTGAAAGATCGGGGCTAGAGACAAAATGGTTTCGATACCAGCTTCCAAAAGTGCATTGCTAATATCACCAATCCTCAAGACAGTGGTGATATTGTCTAATATTGCGGTAGAGTTGGGGTCTAGAAGCTCAGCTTTTATGACCTCGTTGAACTCAGATTCGCTAGCAGAAGCCAAAGCCAGCCTTGCCAAGCTGCGAAGCATTTCTAGGACATATATCTTGACTGATTCTTTCGACTTTTCGAATGCTATGCAAGAAATAACCTTGGGCAAAACACCATCTGGTAGCGCATTGCCGTGAGGAGCGAGGAAGAGAGCCGCCTTGGGCAGATTGGACCATGTCGATAGTAACTGCAGCATGCCAGAGACTCCTTGTGCGGTCTCGGCTGGCAGATTTTCGTGCCTGGGCGCCACCAATTCCTCAATAATGATATCCTGGTAAGGTTCCCATTGGAAATCCTGAGCATTCTGGAACAGAGCAATCAAACACTTAATACCCGTTGACCTTGTGGACTTGAGCAATGAATGTGTGCTAGCTTTTTCCTCCTCTTCAGGGGCATCGGGGTCCGCCTCTGTGTCTGCACCGCCCAGTCGCCTGCAAGAGAAGATGAGGCAGTACAAAATCGTGTTGACGAGTGTGTCCATGTAAGGAGACACATTAGTGCCTAGCTCCGAAATGAGAGATAAGACCATGTTTAGGAAACCGAATTGTTTTCGAACCGAAATGATTTCCTCGTCAAAGAGCTTCTTCCGATTGACTGCAGGACCAACCACTCGCACATCTTTGAGCTTTCCTACAGCGATATCGAGGAAGCCACCGAGATCCTGGATAGACAGATTCCTGATAATGGCAAGTCGGGTCGTCTGCTGGCCATGACGGCCACCAACTCCTCCCTTTCTTGAAATTGCACGACCGTAAAGAAGGTGAAGGAGAACAGGCATCAGATCCGCTCGATGTTCGGGCTTGATGACACTATCTCCTTGGAGGAAGACGGTTATTTCGTTCTTGAAACGAGCTTCATCTAGAAGGTACTCCAAGTTCTCTTGATAAGCCTTCACGCCATCTTGCTTCCATGCTAAAATAGCCTTCAGAGCAAGCTTTTGAATGTCCAGATCACCATTTCCTAGCAGCTGCAACATGATACCGTAAACTTGTTCATGCTCGAACAAGACCCTTGGATTGATGAATTGGGCAAAGACGTTGACAAGCCCCTTTCTGTCAGCCAATGACCAGAATACTGCTTGTGCTTGAGCGTCCTCTTCAGCATGAGTGTCGTGTACATCTTCCTCCTCACGAGCCCAAGCAAACAGATGGGGTACTAGTTGGCGGGACCGTCTCTCAGCGATAGAAGGCAGAGCTTTGAATACTTTCAGCGCCTGAGCCTTGGCGTTTGTAGAGAAAGGCTCAATCAGTCGCTGGCTGTCATCAAATTTACGCAACATAACATTCTTCGAATCATCAGACGTCTCATGAACAGTCTTTCCGGACGCTCGGAGAGAGTTCAATGTGGTGCATTCAAAGTCAGAATAGAAAGCGCGGGAGGAGCCAGTTTCGGATTGTGGCGGAGTCCATCGCGGTGACGATACATCCAGCCATCGGAATGCGGTGAGAGCAATGGCATCCTCGCCGAATTTATTCTGGGCAACCTGCTTCATCGCCTCTATCGAATCGTCCCACACTGGAGACAGGTTGATTGTCAACATGCCAAACATGAAGTTTGGTATGCCTTGTTTCAGCCAAGTCGCATCTGTCAATGAGCCGTATTCTTGCCCGAGCTTGCGCAGATACATGGCCATTGATCTAGTATGTTCCAACGTCAATGGAGATTGCTCAATCTGAAGCATGATTTCAACACATTGGGTTTGCTCAGGTGTGTTGCTCATCTTGTTCAGCAATTCCAGCGATGCCAGTCGAATATCATGAGATGGAGAGCTCAAATTATTGACCAAAGACTGGATCACAGGATCATCCTCAGAAACTGAAGTATCAGTGCCAGGCGCGTCATGCCTGTCAACTTCGTGTCCATGTGGAAACATTTGTTCATAGGCAAGATAAGTCCGGAGGAAGCCCACGGATCGTGCAAATCGCGGCACAGCTGCCCGAAGCAGAGGCGCAAGTTGGGGATCAGTTGAACCTGCAGTTTTGCTCATCCCTAAATAGGCATGAAATCCTTGGCTAACAATAAAATTGACCTCATCGGAGGCGAGTGAGGATGAGGGCCGAAGAGCAAGCTTGAGTTTGCGTAAGAGAAGCTCCGCAATGCGTGCGTTGGTTGATGGATGGACGGCCGTCAACTCCAGGATTCGGAGAAGAGCAGCATATTTGGGCAAACACCTATCTCTCCAGACTTGGGGGTCTTTATTGTATGGCCCTCTTTCAGGGAAAGGCGAAATCTCCAGACTTTCAAACTTGGAGACGATCTGATCCTGCCATGCTTGGGGGAGTTTGCAGCAATCTTTCTCACCAGCAGACGGGAACCCCCGGTTCTCGATGATCTGTGGTAACAAGACGCACAACATGTCTTCGTTTTGTCCCTGAGACCAATGGGTTGCAATAAATCTAGACGAAGTTAGTACACACGTAGGAGTACGGGAAAGAGTCCTTTCAACTTACTTCTGAAAATCACTGCGGAATAGGCTTCCGAATCGACGTGGGTCAAGCTCGCTGAAATAAGAACAAAAGGGTATAAATAATCTCATAAACGGCTCCCTCGTCAGTGATTGGAGAAGACGGGAGATGTGAGGAATGAGCGAGTCCATAGGCGCATGATGGCAGGTGATTGCCGCATTAGCAACGACTAATGTCCATAAAAGTTCGTTTTGCTCAGTGGTTTCATCGATCGGCCGTGTCGCCGTTGAAAGGAAGGTAGCGAGCAGTTGGACAAGGCGTGTCCAGTCACTAATTCGAATTCCTTTCCGGACACCGGCGAGGACACCAAGAACTCTGATATAAGGCACCATCCACCACTGAGAATCATCATCGTGGGCCTCCTTCATCTTAGCATCGCACCTATCAAGAATTGCTTCTTCAAATTCTCTGAAGGTGTGTGCCTCAGTATGATGTATCACGCTGGTTAAGACGCCACAAACCAAGTCGGTCCACGTTGTCATCTCAGCCAATGTGCACTCCTCCTTTGGAATCGCGTTCATAAGCTCAATGAAGATGGCAGATCCCGTCGAATGGATGGTTCGTTCTGTTCCCTTGATCGCCTCGGCAAACATGGTCATGATGCCATCTTTATACAGCATGAACTGTCGATCGTCCACCAGTTTGCATATATCGTCCCGCACGTAGTCCACGAAAGACACGAGGGCTGTCTCGCGGAGTGAAGGAGCCGCAGCTTTCCTGACAAGAAAGCTCATAGCCTCGGCGCCGAATCGCGCAATGAACGGAGGATGCTTGGCCTTTCCAAGAAGTGGTGCCATGACGGCATATGTCGGTCGAAGATCCGGAACTAGAAGTTTGGACAGGTACTTGAACAAAAACGCAAGAGCACCAAAGGTCCACTCGATGACCTCGACGGGCTGAGGCCTTCCCGCAATTGCCAGGATGAGGTCCAGACTCTGTGAGAAGTATTTCTCAAATCGAATTCCTAGATCATGGGCAAAGGCTGTCAAGAGATCAAGCAGCGGTTCTAGGCCTTCCTTGTCCTGTGTCGAGATGTACTTGGCCAACGAAGCCATGATTCGTTCCTCAAAGTGCAAAATCTGCGGTAAGCTGTCGCACAAGGGGTACACCTCCCTCTTGAAAGAGGAAAAAGGCTGTGAAATGTTGAGTTCCCCCCATTTTTGCAGTCCATTCTGGAGATAGGACGTCGTCGATGACAAGTCTTCCGTTTCGAGGTCATGTCGTCGAACTTTGCGCAGCGGCTGGAGCGAATTGAACTTTGCGATCTTGGTCGAAAACGACTCCCATCGGTGGTTTTTCTGATGGGGCGTCGAGTTCTTGTTCTTCCGCACCTTCTCGATGCGGCCGGACGATCGGGCTGGCATCTTGGCAGCGGTGCTGATGAAGCTGTGGAAAAGGTTTTCGGCCGCGATATTGAAGCGTCCAAAGTCTGAAGCTGTTCCTCCCCACTACAAAGTTCCCAAATTTTTTTGGTCGGCAGATTCCCGGTCAAACCGATAAGAACTAGCGGCGCTCCACTCGATGGATAATTGGCCAATCATGTGCAAGGCGCAATTCCTTATCGCAGCACCGAGCTTTGACGTCGCGTGCGTGTTCGCGCATCTCACAGGCACTAAGCTGCATCTTACATACTTGCAGCCATCTTCAAAGTCCGGCAGCTCTTTTTCTCTCTCCACGCTACACACGCACTCACATCGAGTCTGCAATAGGATTTCGGTCAGGCCAGACGAAATGGCTGCACCCAAGATGTATGTTGCCGGATATCCTTCAAAGCATTTGGCTTTAGCTCATGATCTTGACCTCCTGCTAGCATCGTCCTGGGCAGCCTGAATGGCCAACTTGAGCCAGCGCTCAAGAAGCTGGCGACGCTTCATGCCAAGAACCAATTCTCTCTTGCGATCCTTACAGGGGATGTATTCACCACCGATACCGATGACGAGACGATATCTGCCCTGTTGGGGGGGTCTATCGAGATTCCCCTTCCCACCTACTTCACTGTCGGCATGCATCCTCTACCGCCTCGAATCGCCGCCAAGGTGGAAGCCGATGAAGAAATATGCCCCAATCTCCACTATCTTGGAAAGCGCAGCGTAACAAAGACATCCGAAGGCATCAGAATCGTAACACTCGGCGGCGTCCTTGACACAAACCTGGTAGCAGGCCAATCCCAAGAGCAGCATTTGCCCTTTCACACGGCAGGAGACGCAAAGGCTTTACGTGGCGCCAATAGCACCGACATTTTGCTGACCTCTATGTGGCCGGCAAAAGTCTGGACTGGCTCCAAGGTGGTCCTTGAACCTTCCCATCAGGCTGCTGTGAGCAGCTCGGACGAAATTGCCGATCTATGCGCAGCCCTAAAGCCTCGATACCATATCTCGGCCTCCCCAGAAGCTTTCTTCTACGAACGAGAACCTTTTGTTCAGCAGTCTGACAAGGATCCTAATACCATTGTGGCAACACGCTTCATCTCCATGGCCCCCTATGGGAACGACAAGAAGCAAAAGGCAATGTATGCCTTCACACTTAATACAGCTGACACGGCCGTGCCTCCAGGTGCAACAGCATCACCATTCGCTAAGCCTGCCGCCAAGCGTGGAAGACAGGATGAAGGATACAGCCGCTTTGGGCACCATGATGATGGCCATCATGGCCGACACAAACGTCGGCGTGCGTCACCCCCGCCAGGTCCCGACAGGTGTTACTTTTGTTTGTCGAATCCAAATATTTCCGCACACATGTGCTGCAGCATTGGCGACGAAGCGTATGTTACAACCGCCAAAGGCCCTCTGCCAACATCCTCGACATTTGCAGACCAGGGGCTGGATTTCCCTGGTCACTTCATTATTATTCCTTTGCCGCATTCTCCTACCATTTCGAGCATGGGCAGTGTAGCGGACCCAACCAGCGAAGCAGTGAAGGCATATAAAGAAATGACACGGTTCAAGGAATCTATACAAGCCATGATTGCTTCCAAAAGCTCACACAAACTAGGCGTCGTCACATATGAGATTAGCCGCGACCGCAACGTCCACTTGATCTGGCAACTCGTTGCTGTACCCGCCGAAATCATTCAAAAGGGCCTCGCAGAGGCAGCCTTCCGCGTGGAGGCAGAAAACCTAAAGTACCCCGGCTTCACCACCAAGGACCTCCCCCTTGAGGACCTGGCCTCGTCAGGCGATTTCTTCCGCGTCTGGCTGTGGGCAGATAACGGAGAGGACAAGATTAAGGGAAAGTCCCTCGTGATGCCCCTTGCCTCAGACGCGCGCTTTGACCTGCAATTCGGACGCAGAGTCCTGGCGAAGCTCATGGGCTTGGAAAAAAGGGTCAGCTGGCAGAACTGCGAGCAGTCTGTGGAGGAAGAGACAAAGGATGTCGAAGCTTTCCGGGAGGCGTTCAAGGAGTGGGACTTTACCCTGTAAATGACGAAGAACGAACGAACGGGAAAGAAAAAGGCGTTGTTTTTGCTTTTGCATATTTCTTCGGCGTTTTGGGCTACAAGACCATGAATATGATCTGCTACTTCTTACAAGGGCATCTGTCGTTTGGAGGGACGGAGGACCTAATTTAAAGACATAAAATGTAGGCGATGTCAATGGGAAACATACCTTCTTACCAAGTTCCAGAACTGCAAAGTGTTAATCACGATACCTTTACACTTGTATGTAAGCCGTATTCTTCGTTCCGCAGAAGCTACACAATTCCGCACCTCGGACTCTCAACGTTAGCAGTGAATAATGATACACAAACGCGTAAGCAGCTTAACTTTTCAGCCTTTATCTTGCGTTCTTGACCCTTTCAAGTCTGCAATGTAGAGGCATCAGGCATTAATAGGGTCCTCTACCACTTGCTTGATATACACAAAGGCTCCATCATTCCAGATAGCGCGGAAGAACGAATCCGGTACCTTCTGTCAGCATCGCGCAAAGGGCCTTCAACACCAACTCGCAGACACATTCAAATCTGTCTACTAGCTCTAGAGAACACGACGCCATTATTTAATGCCTATATAAGCTAGCTGAGGCATCCATGTTCCTTCATAGCATAATGTACAGCCAAAACTTCCGAGACAACATCTCTCACCGTCTAGCTAGTTTTACAACATAAAAACACAAACGCCTTCCGCGCCGCCGCGCTCTATGGCTCATTACAATGAGCAGAGGGATTGCACACCCTCTTGTAGTGAAAGTATGAACAGGAAAAGGCGAAGAAAACAGAGCATTCATCCTTGAGGGTATAAACGCGAAAATAGTATGCGCGCGGAGGGTATTGATCTCTAACATAGGAGAAGAAAAGACAGGAAAATAGCACGAGCAAGTATCCTGCCACAGTATGCTCGGCGCTCGATGCAAGTCCTCCATCAGCAAAGATCGTGAGGTTGAGGATGGCAATCTTGCAAGTCAGGTATACGAGCAAGCTCCACGCAACGACTGAGATGTTCTGAAATCCCCATGCAAGGTTTCCGAGATCTTGTTTGCCAGTATAATGATTATCTGACAAAACATTATCTTTAGAATCGGGGGGAAAGAGTGGTAAAATAAAAAGAGACTGCGGTCCATGAGCAGTTAAACAAGAGTAAAGATATAAGCAATACAACCCGAGGCTTCAGGAAAGCTCAAGGTATGATTCCATTCATGGACTCCTCGTTAATTTCAGCATTCAAGTGTAATGCATCGCCAGAAGCAAACGTTAACTTTTCATCATGAAAGCATTAAATTCCCAGCGGAATAATTAACCAGCTGTTGGGAGGCGTGAGGCAACTTAGGCGGCAAGCTAAAGTTGCGCACAAATCATAAAGCTGACCCAAATGAACATTGCATGGTATAGGGCTAGTATGAAGCCATGCGGCGAGTCTGCGTTCGATCGCCGACTGTGGGCGAGTCGGTGGTAGAAAGAGCGGCAGGAGATTCATTGACATTGCGTGAGTGAGGGCGAGGAGGGCCAGTGGGAGAGTCGTGAAGACTTGTGTTCCGCTGGCCAAATGCAAAGGTCTGCGCACGGCCAAAGGGCTTCCGAGCTTTCAAACGGCCCATTTCTCTCTCACAGGTGCGCTGATGCTTCTCATCCGACATCTCGACATATTCAGGAGGGAAGCATCTTGCTCGGTGCTCGGCAAAGAAGCCGCTGTAACCACCATCCAGGATATAAATCTCCGGGTATGTTAACCGGGGGTAGTGCTCAGCGTTAATGGTGCGGTCATGAGAGCGAATGTGACGCGCCATGAGAGGGGCTCTGTGGGCCGAGTATTCACAGTGGAAGATTAGTAAAGTCAGGCCATCCATCGGGGTTTGAAAGAGCTGATCGGCCAACAATTCTTTGTCGTTATGGTTGACAGCACTATCGATGTGGCCGCCTTCATATTCATACTCAAATCGGCAGTCAATGACCATTCGCTGAGCAAATTTGTCACTATACTTGCCATCCAAGATGGCGAGCATCGTCTCTCTTGTGATCCGAGGGATCGTATCTGTAGGATCATCGGGAAGGAAGTGAGGGAGGGTGGGCTCGTGGGCCTCTTCAATGTCAGCCACGGAGGACTTGAGGATTGGGGCATCAGCGAGCCCTTTCTCGGTTTTCGGTTTCATGACATCCGCAGGGCTCTCAAACATGCTCAAAGAGCGACGAAATTGCTTTCGGGTTCTCAGGAAAGGATTCGATTGTCGTCTAGAATGAAAGTTGCCTGGCGAGCCAAGGCGATTGCTTCCTCCAATACTTGCGAATTGGGATCTTGAACGAAGGCCTATAGGGATGGGTGGGCAGGGGCTGTTGGACGACGGCGTGGTGCGGTCCTGTGGGGGGGAATCGGACTCGAAACACTCGTCGAGCGAAAGGGTTGAGGTATTAGCTCCGAATTGCAATGATGGGGAGCCAGTGACACCAGTGCCGGCAATGGTCTTCATCCGGCCAGAAAGAGTCCGCCTCGGGGCTGCTATCCTACGGCTAACCACACTGTCAGCGTGTCCTCGAAAACGTTTAAAGAACGAATTCACTGACTCGGCAACAATGGGCTTCGTTGGCTCTAAAGATGCGTGGCGAGAGCGAGACCTCACTGTGTCCAGAGATGCCCGGCGAGTAATGGGGGCCGGAGAATCCAGCATGAGTGCTTCCTTGGCAAGGCATGAGATTGGCGTGGGTGATGCTATCTCCACTACCTCGCTGAAGGTCACCTTGTGTGGGAGAGGAGACGATTCCAAGATCTCAGTGCGCTGACTAGGCGAAGAGGGCGGTAATGGAGGAGTTGTCACAAAGTCTGAAGTGTGTCAGCCAAACCAAAATCGCGTCCCAGCAATCGCGAGACTCCATCTTACCTCTGCTGCTGACGCCGCCCATGACATTTGCCGTGAAAAGTGCTCGCCGAGGCGTTGGGAATTTGGGACTAGGCGTTTGTTAGCATCGTGATTTACACACGAGGGCAGGACGGCACGAACCTCGCCTCATTATCAAGCCGGAAGTTCTGGGAAATATCAGCAGCCAAGCTCCCAGCAGGAGATGACCCCCGGACTTTGACGTCGAGATATTCCCCCGTGCCCTTGTGCAGCTGCTCCCGAAGACTGAGAGATCCCGAAGCAGAGTTGCCGGCGTAATGGGAGCGGAAGATGTCTCTTCCTCCCCACGCTGGAGCAGGCATTGGGCGGTGCAGAGCCGCCAGAGGAGACGATGCTGTCATGTTCAAGGACGTCCCACTGAGGCCTAGCTCCGAAGTCGACAGCTCTAGACAGCAGCGTTGTTACTGGAATATATAGGACCTCGAGGCGTGGGAAAGAGTAAAGGACTAGAGTAGAGTAACTAAAAGCTTCGACGTTCTAGCTCGGCCCAGAAATGGCTCCTCACTATCACCGCACAAGCCCAGGCAATCTCGATCCCTTTCACGTGTTTCTTCTTTGTTCAGAGGCTGAATATGCAGGAGAATGGTTCGACAATTGGAATTGGGACTCTCTTTGTCTTCCTTTGTTCGTTCTTGTCCACCTTGTTCCTACTAAGAGGCATGGAACGAGACGTGCAGTGGGGCGGAAAGGCTTTTTCTCGTAGATTGGATTTCGTGACGTCGTACTAATACCAGGACTTGCAATATTGACAATCAATTTTCTCGTAACGTCGTTGCGTCAAGGGCAGATTCTTTGAACCAGGTCCGTTCTCGATGTCGGACAGCCCGAGGGGATCAACAATGGCCGTCGTTGGCTGCGCGAGCTTCCAGCAACAAGTGCAGCTCGAGCCCTGAAAGAACCGGAGTAGCTTTTTTAAGCTACAGAGCTAGCGAGGAGGTCGTTTCGCTTGTCCACGCAAGACGGCCGGTGCTGGATTCGCGAGCGAGGAGCCCTTTTGTCTGATTGTCGGTACTTGTGGGTATGAGGGCAAGAGGAGCGAAGAATGGGTGAGGAGACCAGGCCTTTTCAATGGTCGTTGTACCAACGGGGCCAGGACCACGGACCGGGCTTGGGATGGAGTTGGACGTTGTTAGGGGTGATTGGGGGTTTTGAGGACCAAGCCAAGGGCCTGCTGTGGTGCACGAGTACCTGTACGTGTACCTCTCTCAGCGCAGAGGTACCTGCTACTCCGGCACACAGGGACCTGCAACGGGCCAGTCCCAGCGTCAGCACTGCTTCTCAGCTGCCCTGAGCTATGCCGTTGCAGTTAGCCTCCAGTTAGGACCAGTTAGGAGGGCACTCCCTGGTAGCAATCCGCCGATTCAGCGCCCTTTGTCGCGCATGGTTGCTCAGTGAGCGGTGGGGCTCGCTGTGCTCAGTGGGCGCTTAGCAGCCTAGAGCGCCATGTACCTCGGGTACCAGCTACTTGCCTCCGCTGAGAACAGCAAGGACCGGGCGTTTTACTTCGTTCCGTCTGGCAAGATACACGATGGATGGATAGGTATTAATCGGCGGTAGAAGAACCTTGCTCGTGCTCCAGCGGCACAAGCTTCTAAAGGTATAGGTACCTCTTGTTGTACATTGTATAGTCTGTATGTACTTCGTGTCCAAGCGGCGGTGAGGTGCCGTTACGGAGCACCTAACGTGAGCCTCATTAGAACAGGCTCCAGGTCATTTTAACAGCCTGCAGGGCTCCCGAATCATTTCAGGTTCTACTAGCGAGAGAGCCATGGCGGAGGCCCATCCAGGGATACAGCTATTTTTTGCCGTGAGGATTGAGACATGCAGGGCAGAGACGCGAGATTGAACGCTGGACTTGATGTTGCCTGAACCGGCTACCGAGCCGTACTGCTGCGTGTAACGTGCAATTGTACTAACCACCGCGTCGCAGTCGTGATAATAGGTACTCAGCAGCAAGCACGAAGAAGGCACAGCTCTGGATAGGAATAATTCTGACATTTGCATTGAGTTTTTCGTGGCTAAGCAATAATGCGCGTATGTACAGTACCTAGGTACAAGTGCCCTCCATGTGCAAGTGTTGCTGAAGGAAGTACAGATACATCCGTGTATGCTCCGCATCGCTTGTGCAACACCATGCGCTCTTCCAGGCAGCCTTGCACAACGACTGGAGTAAACAGGCATTTGATGGGGACCAGCTGCAGGACATCAAGCTCCTGTATCATAGTAAAGCTACAATTATGGCTTGGAAACCAAGATGCCAGTGAGCGAGGTGCTCCTTGACCCTCGTGCTCAGCATCCAGTTTTTTGGATCGCCAATGTCTCAATGCGTCTCCAATACCGTCCACCCAACAGACGCGGCGCAAACACACCGGGGCCGAACATTGATGCCTTTGTACCTATAGTACCTAGGTAGGTAGTATGTAGTATATGGGTAGGTACCTCTACTTTACGTGTTAATGGGCCGTGCTTGTGCTTGTTTGCTCAATTGACTTTCAACGCTTCATTCGACCACAAAGCACCACAGCCCAACTGCGGCGTCGGACACGATGCTGACTGGCTCACACATGTCAGAGCCCGAATGTACCGATCCGGCCATTTCTTTCACGCCGGAAACATCAATGTCGTTCCCAGGCCCTAGAAAGGAGAGACATTGGCCCGCCGCCGCCCTACAGGTACCTATACAGGTATTGCTGTTTGCGGTTGGTCGTTGATCCTGTCTCGCTCTAGTTGAGTCAAGTAATATGCAGCGGGTGTTCAGTTTCCCTGGCGATGGCGGACCAACCCGCCCATGCGGTGCCTTTTGTGAAGATCGATCCCTGCTTCCATGCTCATCTGCCTTGACGAGAGACAGGCAGATTCTATACGAGGAACGGAGCGTTTCGAGCTAGCGATTCACCCTTAGCAGCTAGGAGTACCAAGGACGCGATTCTTTCAAGGTTCACCGAACAATTTTAACCTCTGGCTTTGTTTTTGCTTCTTCTTTCATGCCTACTAACCCATCGAATGAAGTCATTCAAGCATCAAGGACAAAGCTGCGATACAATGGGTTCCCCGTAAGCTTGGTCTCTGCGTGAGCACCATCATCGGCGATTGCACATAACAGGGGGGTACTTGGTACGAAGCATGGTGAACGGGATTTTATGCCCTCCAGGTTAAGATCTACATTAAATACGACGGCCAACCTTGAAGCTCCAATCGCTAATTACGAACCATTCCAGCATCGTCGATTCAACCGATTTCGTCACTGAAGCTATCGCCAGAAGAGTGGTACACGTCATACTTCAAGTCCATTGACGACACTCTGCCTATTAATTAGCCTGCTCTGGTGATGATTTACAGGCACACAATATCAAGCTCCTCGTCGGCAGAGCGGCCAAATAGTTCACAAAGCGACAGGGTTTGTCTCTCCGCTTAAACTTAGCGCAGCAGCTCGGTGTCTTAGGTCACGGCAGCGAGAGCACAAAACTAATCGTGGTTGAACAGATGCACGCGAGCAACGTGCTGCGCACAGCCGGCAAATGCGGTTCTTTCATCAGCGCCCCATATATCAACCTCCTTTCCTGAAGGTCCTATTAGTTGACTTTCGTGCCGTAGCCACAGTGGGCGTCGGCATATGCACGTAAAAAAGAGAAAGTGAAAATAAAAGACGCTGCATGGCAACCCGATCCACTGCCGACTGTACCGGAGCGGAGAGCCCTTGTTTACCTGCAATTTTGTCCTGTCCGAGGCGTTTCTGATGACGAGCATTATCTCCCCGTAAGCGTACTATGTATTACCCGTAAGTTGCCATAGGAAGCTCCCACTAATACTCCGTACCTTGTCCAACCACGTCTTTGCCAACGCCTAGCATCTCGTTTTCAGCTTGCGAATCCCTCAACGATTCCCCAAGAGGGAAAAGACCGAGAGACTAAGCCTCCGCCTTGCAAGGGAAGAAAAGAGCTATTTCTATCCTTGCGAGAGCTTGTCGTCCTGTCGACTGGCGTGAAGGAGCATGATGGCGTCGCTGATGCAACGTGATGCTACACTATGCAGGAAGACTGTTTCAGAGTCCACACTGGCCCGAGGACGATGCCCAAAGCTGCGGCTCCAAGAGGGGAAGCTGCCAGGGCACATGCGATTGGAGCAGGAAAAAAAACACACGTCAGTGCGCACGCCAAAGTAAACAAAGCCAGCGCGTCGGGTCGCTTTACCCCGCAGTTTGCCTAGCAACCAGAGGTGTCGAGCCGCGAAGTCACGTGTACAGGTCGCGACAGTCTCGTACCTATCCTAGGTTAGGTACCTACCAGTGTATGTCTAACAGTCAAGGCTTTCATCAAGCTGTTTGCCTGTTGCGCTCATGATAGCTGCATAATAAGTAGGTGCTTGTTGTCAAGCACCTATAGAACAAGTATCTGTATGTCTACGGTATATGATAGTAACTCCACTCGCGCTTCAGCGCTGCCTCCTGTATTGGCCAGTAGCGCATGAATTTTCTCAGGTCTCGGCGCGTCAGATATACTCCAGTACTACGGCACTAGACCACTAGCAAAACTTGAATGAATTCATACATTGCTCAATAGTGGGGTGAGATTCTTATCAACTCTCTAACCAACTAGCGATAGCTCCAGCCCCACGAATTCTCTTTGATACCACAATGCAACTCCGTACTTTTACCAGAAGCTTCAGTACTTCAAAGTATGTAGTGGGAAGCTCCCTCCCAGAATAGTAACATGTGAATGTTTGCATGTGGAGAAGTATGGGGCCAGACAGGTGGGGCTATGGAGCGGTGAAGAGCGGCAGAATCTTTTTATCGTGGAATTTTCTAATCTATCATGAAAGATAATGGCAGCAGTCGCATTCAGCACGGCATATTGACATTGTACCTTTTCGTTCTATTTTAACTCATCATGGGCAGCAAAAGAAAGCGCGGAGCCAAGGACGGCGCCGTTGCGACCCCAAATGCGCAAAAAAAGGCCAAGAATGCCGCCTCCCCCATCGTCCCTGTTGTCGCAGCCGCGAAGCCATCCTTAGACAAAGCTCCCTTTGTCGAATCTCCCACAATCGAAGAAAGAAAACGCGAGGGCCTCCTATACGAACACCTTGGTAGCGAAGATGACAACGACCGGATTGAGGCTGCTGATTGCATCATCTCTGGCCTTCTTGGTGGCGAAGGCGTTGCCGAAGCAGTGCTGCAAAGGCACCTCGACCGACGTCTCTTCCGAGGACTTGCCAGTGGTCGCAATGCTTCGCGCATTGGTTTCAGTCTGGTCATCACCGAGATTCTGAGCCAGCTGTTTGGAGATAGGACGCCGAGCCTGGCAGAAAAGTACGAGGGATTGACCTTTGACAAGGTGCTGGGATTCCTGCTGGAGAAGGCCCAGATTGTCGGCAACATCCCGGGCCAGGAAGAGCGTGACATCTTCTTTGGCCAATTGTTTGGTATCGAGTGCTTTGTCAAGTCTCGTATCCTGTTTTCGGAACCTTCGAGATGGAACACAATACTGGAGGAACTGTTGAAGCTGAGCAACAAGAAAGTCTGGCTGAAGTCGCAATGCGGATGGGTTCTCGTCCAGGCATTGCAGCAGATGAATCAAACGCAGGCCAAGGCCACGCTCGAGAAGCTCTCCAATGCTGGAGTAGCCAAGACTCCCGAAGGAGTTGCTGTCTGGCTGGTTGCGCTTAGCCAGTTCCCCGATCTCAAGGTCAAACCCTGGCAGCACCCTCTATCCAGAAAGACTCTGGGCGACTTGACTGCCATCTTGAAGGAAAGCTTCAACGATTCCAGCAAAGATCCCTCCAGCAATTCGCGAAACAACCAACAAGCCTCTTGGACAGCCCAACTGCATTTCGTTTGGGACTTGATCCTCAACCACTATCTCAAGGCTGGAGACTCTGAAGTAGAGGAGTTTGCTCATTTCTGGGGCCGAGTCGTCGACGGTAAGACAGTATTTATGCACACTTTCTGCACGCATATGCTAATTGAATATTAGACGGATTATTCTCCAAGCAGGCTACTGATGGCCAAAAGTTCAAGGGCTTCACTGTTTTCCAAAAATTCCTCGAGGGCTGTGTGGTGCACCATTCACTATTACAAATAATGTTCAGCAAGAACCTCATGACTTCGCTGATGAACCAAGCCGCAAAGGAAGATCGGTACCTGCATCGGGCAGCTATAAAAACATTAAAGGCCATCGAGAGTGCGGTGTCGTCCCACACCACTGCTTTGGTTCCTGTACTTGAGAGTCTCTTGAGCAGGAATGGAGCTTATAACTTTGATCAACGCACCAGCACAAAAACGGTCGACAAGCTACTGCAGAATTTTAACCTGGAAAACGACAAGGGAACTCTGAAGATTATACAAGCTCCCATTGCCAGCCTCTCACAGCAGGAAGTCTCGGAGGCCCAGACCATTCTAAGAGTTCACATTGACTACTTGTCTAAAGTCCTCGGCGCCTGCGCTTCATTCAGTACAAAGGAATCTCAATCTAGCAAGCTGGAAGGAACTTCACTTAGTGTTACACTGCAACAGCTATCACGCCTTGCCTATTCTCAACCAGACGACATCCCGAAGGATGCCTTGACAGAGCAGATTCAAGAGCTTGCCCGGTCTCGATTGGAATCGGCGCTTGCGAAGCTGACCCGCCAGACCTCTGATTTTGTCACTTTTTGTCAGGCCGTCGCTTCTATCGACTCAAGCGCAGTGACCATGTCTGAGGAGATCAAGACAGCCATAGAGGGAGCTCTGTCAAGAATGCACAAGCTCCTGAAGCAGAAGACAAAGACCGACAACGACAAAACCCTTACCCAGGGATTGGCGATGCTTCATGCCATTTCAATTTTCCAATTGTACAATCAAGACCCTGACGCAATGGAAGTTCTGGACGATCTGGCGCAGTTCCACGAGAGGCTCCAAGAAGGCAAACTCGGCGACGATGACACAGGAAGCTCAGAGTTTTTGGTCGAGATATTACTGTCCATGGTGGCTCGCCCTTCCTCATTAATGCGACAGGTGTCTCAGCAGGTGTTTGAGGCTTTCACCGCACAGATCTCGGCTGGTGGCCTGGAGCTGTTAACTGGACCCCTGGGAACAAACGAGAGTACCAAGGGCCAGAAGGAACTCTTCAACACGGAGGACGATGGTATGGATATTGACGGAGAGGGATCTTCCGATGACGAAGATGATGATGTGGAAGAAATCTCAAACATTGATATTGACTCTGATGTTGAGTTTATTGGCCTTGCTGATGGCGAAGAAGCCGATGGCGATGGAGAAGAAGATGAAGAAGACGAGGATGAAGACGAGGGCGATAATTCCGACGACGACGACGATGATGATGATGAGGACGACGATGAGGAGGCAGACGAGAAGCAGGGACCTATAGACCTCGACGAGCTCATGGGCAAAATCCTCAAAAGCCACCGCCTCGACAAAGACGCCGACGCCGAGTCCTCCGAGGACGAAGGCGACATGTCCGACTCGCAAATGTTCGCCCTCGAGGACAAGCTCGCCGAGGTCTTCAAGCAGCGCGCAAAGGCCCGCCCCGACAGCAAGAAGCAGAAGAAGGACGCCAAGCAGTCCGTCGTCAACTTCAAGCACCGCATCCTTGACTTCCTCGACATCTACGTCCGCAACGAGGTCCTCAGCCCCCTCGCCTTTGCCATCCTCATCCCGCTGCTTAATCTCATGCGCACTACCACCACCAAGACGCTCGCTAGCCGCGCGTGCGAAATTATTCTCAACTATCAGAGGGGTATGAAGAAGGCAAGGAGTGGCAACAGCAACAAGGATGCCGCCGCAGAGGTCGCGGCACCCACCTACGATGCCGACGAGCTGCTCTCCGTGCTAGTCGAGGTCCACGAAGAAGCAGGCAAGGACAACGCGCACGCATATGCCAAGGCCGCCAGCGCCGCCAGTCTGATTGTGGCCTCGGCCATGTTCGCCTCAGATAAAGAGCTGGTGAAGCGGGCGGCGGCCGTGTATGCAAAGACGCAGTCGGACTGGGTTCTGGGCGAGGCCAAGCTGCAAAACTCCTTCTTTGCGGATTGGAACAACTGGTGCCAGAACCACGCGTCTCAGGGGCGTAATTGATACCCATGTAAATAGATTTAAACCGGAAAATGGGATAGAGCTGCACATTACGATAGGTTAAAGGGAAAAAGATAAAAGAAAAGCAAGAACGTGAGAGAGACCATGGATTTTGTGTCTCGATACGGATATCTCATCCAGAGGAAGCATTACTCTATGAGCCCTCTTGTCGTGAATAATACATGTGACCCGGACACCCAAAAGAATTAAAACTCCTTTATTTAGTCTTCCATCTTGTTGTCATCATCCTTCTTTTCTTCCTCTTCCTCGTCGTCAGACTCGTCTTCGGCCCGCGCTAACCTCTCTGCCTCCTCCCTCAGCTCCTTGGGCACCTCGACATGCCGTCCCTTGGTGGGACCGTCGGCTGTGCTGATCCAAGTCATCTCCAGCTCAAACTCCTTATCCTTGTTATCCTTGTGGGCAATGTAGATGATCCTCGCGGCCTGCTTGACAGCCTCGAGCAGGGTAATGTTTCCAGCTGGCAGATCCAGCTTCTCCAGCTCAGCCTTGGCAGCTTGTCTGCCCTTACCCGTTGCCGCGCCGTAGTATCCCCAGTACAGGCCGCTGGGCTCGATCATGTAGAGGAAAGGACCGCCATGCTTGCCGGGCACCTTGCCACCGGCACCGACCGAGGGCCCTGAACCGACTTCGCCGTCTACGGGAGTCTCTTCTGAGGTATCGACGCCACCAAGGATGGCCGTAATGCCGAACGGACGCACGGAGCCGTACATGGTGTATGCCTGGAGGTAGCCACCCATGCGGGAGGCAAGGTCGGCTGTGGGGATGGGGGTCTTGAAGTTTTGGCGCCAGCTCTGAGCTTCATCTCGAGCACGGTCGACGAAGTGGCGTCCATCGGGGATCATGCCTGAGTATACCTGGGTCCTGGTGAGCATTGCGGCATCATGGATTGGCTGGGGGCATCGTGGGGTGTACGTACTGCGCCGACATGGCTGTCAACGCTGGCAATTCTCTTGTTTGCACCGGGCTTCTGCAGCTTAGATGCGACAATCTTCTCGACGGCCAGGACAACGCCGTCCTTGCACCGGATGCCGATTGAGGTGCCGCCGTTCTCTACCGCCTTGACGGCATATTCGACCTGGAAGTTTCGTCCATCAGGCGAGAAGATGGAGTTGAGGAGATCGTAACCCGTGCCGATCGACGTCTATTCAAAGTGGCATGTCCCAGTTAGCTTCCCGCCCAGAGCTGCTGCAGGCGCACGGCACCGCGGCAATGCCCAGTGTTTGGAGACTTTACCATGATTGCCCCGATGCTGTGCTATAAGATTTGGCCACGAAAGATGGAGGATGTCGTCGAGATTCGAAGTGGTGGAGGGGGTTCAGAGTCGAGATGGTCGGTTTGGCGGGCTTTGGCTTGGAGCTCCAGCCAGGCAGCCTGAGAGCTGCGTAGTTGCAATCGCCCGCACAAGGCTGGACGCAGCGGTGCCTGAGGCGCAAAGAAACGAGCGAGGCCCAGCCACATGTGGGAGGGGAGAGAGTCAAGCCACATGAGCTGCTCCAGCCACAGGACCGTTGACTTAGCGTGAGAGCTTAGCTTGCTTAGCTAAGGTATGCTGGTGGCTATGACGGGAGTGGCTTGATCTCATCCCGCAAATGACACCGCCACACCTGGAGTCCCCACCTCGCTGGGACGATCCCTGCATATTGGCAGCGATGAGATTAATTAGTGGTGACTGTGAATGACGCTATCTATTCTTAGAGGATTACAGCACTCGCAGGAGTTGTTATGAAGTAGGTGTTGATGGGAAAGATGGGGATGTTTCATAGAGCGAATATAGGCAAAATCTAGGAGATGGAAGAAGATATACTAGACACCTAGTAGGTATAGATAGAGCAAGTGGACGTACGTAGGCAGAGAAAGAGTAGACACGGAGTAGTAGTGAGGTAGGTCGGCATTCGTTCTCTACCTGGTCATTTGAGACCCGCTTATTTTGTCTAATGTTGACTCGGAATTAATGCTTTCGGCACCTTGATTACGACCTACGACAGACTAGTGACGAGCGTCAAGAGACCATACAGTGTCAGCTTCGTTTGAAAACAAAATTACCCTCGATAATGTCGCCGTCTGGAGCGCAGACCAAATGTCCAGCCGGTGGTTTGTCATCGTTCGTATTTTGCATCTCGCAAAGCGCGGGATGGACGTGGGAGCTGACGCATGGGGGCACTCTGGGGTTACGAGTGTTGGATGCATGCAACCTTGTTCAACTACGCACATTTGGCTATATGTCTAGTTCGAGCCCACGCCTTTTGTCAGGCGAGGTGAGGTGATGAGCGATAAAGGGGGGCATTTTGCTCCGACTTTTGCCACACCGGCGCATGGTCTTGATTAAACGACGGCATCATTTAGCATTTGATATAGCATGACTTCGTGCTATGCGGTAGTGCTCCCGTATTGCTAATAAACTGCAACTTTTAGCAAGCCACCGGTGCCGTCTACATGATGCTGATCGCTCACCTACCGCCCATCCCGGTACCCAATACCCAAGACTCGCCTCCCGCAGCGCATTATTGGGCTCCTGTCAAGTCCATCCACCTGCCGCTCTGGTACCTGGATGCTTCAAGCCAAGTCCCCTCGGCTGGCCAATGCCCAAACGAGGCCCAAATGAGCCTGCGTCACAGCCACTGAACGTGCCCGTCTGGCCCTTCCTCATGACCTGGGCCCCCCTCTCCTTCCCGCTGAACAGCGCTATCCACAATATCAGTGACACATTGTGACTCTTGACCCCAACATTTCCCACATCAACGGGCATTTTCGACGCCTTAGGCCGTGTGTATATAATACATTCGCTCTTCAACAACGTGTCTCGTCTTTCTTTCTTCCATCTTCACTCTGCCTTCTAGCTGCTTCGCTGCCTCGCTGCCTCGCTGCCTCGCTGCTTAGCTGCATCTCTTGCGTCCTTCTCTCGTGCTTCTTCTTCCATCTACCCCGCCAGTTCCAGCTTCTCGTGCTTCTCGTGCTTCTCGCTTCTGCCTCACCTGCACCGGCTTTTGCACCGGCTCGACTGGCCTCCACTTATTCAATTTGAAACAATCACCGCCGTTCGCTGGCATCCCGCCGATAGTTTCCGCTAGACGCGCTGCGTTGTCTCTGACCCCTCGCCGGCCTTGCGACCCTGCAGCCCAATATCCTGCTAGCACGCTGTAGTATCCGCTTCTAGGCACGAACGAATCTGCAGCCGCCCGGCCAGGAATTTGGAAAAAAAGGAGTCCAACGATACCTTTTGTTCCTCACTTCCTCCTGACTTTTTGCTTGCTTAAAACCCTTTGCGACTTGACTCATCGCCTTGACATTATCCTAGTGTAGTGCAATAGAACAAGCCAAGTTTCTTTCTCTTGCAGCCCTTTGCTTGCCCGTCACACCTCGAGCGTCCCTTCTTGTCTCTTTGATACCCAACCTAAGCCATCGCTCCCCAATCGGAGGGATTTACACACTCCAGGCCAGGCCACCGGAGCAATATAACGCTGCAGTATCTCGTTGGACAGTTTAACTGGAACACCAGCAGGTATCTCCAAGTCGCTTTCTTTGTACTGCATCTTTCATTTAAGCATCATCCAGACATTCACCAGGTACGTACTTGCCTACCAAGTACCAAGTATTGCTGCACTTATTCACCACCTCACTCTTGTGTACTTGAATACATGCACATACATATACACCCTCTCATCTGTCAGGACCATGACGCTAACTCTTTATCTTGCAGCAAAATGGTATCACTGCAGGCCAATATGCAGATCCATGATGATCTTGCAGCGCTCTTCTCACGGAACATGACCTTCAACCCGGAGGCGGTTCCTAAGGAGATGCCCCAGGAGATGGTCGTCTCTGAGCAGATGAACCAACCGATTGTCTATTCGGTATCCCAGCACTACAACCACTCAGCTCACATCGCCAACCCCCAGTTCCAAACACAAGACTCGCAGAGGCACTCATCGGAGCCACCGCAGAGCGACGTCGTTTCATCCGAAATGATATTACGAACACACGGCGTTGATCCAGCCACCCTGACGCCCTCTCAACTGCAACTCTTTCGCATAGCTGATGCTGCTCAACGGAGACGGCTAGTCGAGCTATGGAGCATCTGCCCTCCGAGCGGCGGTGGAGATATCCAGGCTCTCGCATGGAGCAGCACGACGATGGAACAGGAAGAGCACCTAGCCCAGTTGCGTTACGAGCAACAACAGCACAACCATGCCATGAGTCTGGATGGCACAACAGTCCAGGCTGCAAACAGCACCTGGGTTCACCAAGCTAGCCAAGAGAGTGAGCCCTACATGATGTCTGGATATGAGGAAATTATGCGGCGGGAGCGAGAGCGTGAGGAGGCCAACTCCCGCCCAAAGGACGCTTACAGCCACTTTGGCACCTCTGTCGGCGGCCCAAGCTATTCGCCTTCCACAGACCCCGTCTATCTTGGCGCTGACTATGCACGACACCAACTACAGATGGCATTGGCTGAGCAGTATGGGTCTTTTGAACAGCATCGGGCGAACCAGGCTGTGGATGTTATGGATATGTAATTTATAGTGCATACAATATAGCAAAGCGTCGTCAGGGCCCAGCCCGTGGTAACAGGCGCGGTTAGATAGCAGCGCAGGCTAGCTCCGGAGGATTTTTTTCTTTTGTCGGTAACGGATGGTTTGAAATTAGGTTTTAACAAGTTTTGTTGTTTTTGTAAGGACGAGAGGAAGAAATGTACTTTGGAAGGGCGGCTGGTCTTGGGGTACTCTTCGAGTTCATGTTTCAAACTCTTTCTGTCCTGTCCCCCCCAAATCTCTTCTCCTTTGTTTCAACTTCTCTTACATACCCTCCCCTTAACCCCCTTATACACCCCTTTCTCGTGATAGTCGCAGTGAGAGCTAACGGCTTTTTCTACAGAGGGTCATTGTGAGTGAATGTTTGTGGTGTGGATCAAGGTATGTATTTTTTCCCCCCTCTATTCCCTCTACTCCATCTGTAGAAGTCTGGGAACCCAATGACGGCCATACACGTCGAACGTAGATCGAATATTCAAAATAGACTATCAATATAATAATTTTCCACACAAACTTTCCTAATTTTACAATTGTGATTTGTGAATTTTTTTCTTTTCTTTTCTTTTTTCTTTTTTGTGTTGCGTTGCCGCGATGCACCAGTTGGTAGAATGCCTACCATTTATGCCTACTGGTGGGGTGTAAAGAGTGCATACTGAGGTGATGTTCATTGATGGATTACTTTACATATTTATGAGACATGAAAACTACCGAGTTCTAAAAGGGTATCGATTTTTTCATTGAGTAATGGATAGAGGAATGGCGTTGTAGAGGAGCGTGAAGAGCGGGAGTATATGTGTAAGCGTTGTGCATGTATGTGAAATGTCTAATAAGCCAACTTGCGAAAAAGGGAAGCAAAAAGGGAAAAAAAGGAGAGGGGAGAAATTTCAGCGTTAGAGCTGAGTGTTTTCCAACTGCTTTGCCAGCTCGTCCACATCCGCATCCTTGCGCTGGGCTGTGGGCTGCTCCTGGGCCTGCTCGGCCTCCTTGATGAGCTTTTCGGCCTTCTCCTTGACTTCCTCCTCCTCCTCCTCCTCCTCCTCCTCCTCTTCTTCCTCCTCCTCCTCCTCCTCCTCGCTTTCCTCTTCGAGGTCGCTCAGGCTGTCAACGCCCCACTCATCCTCAATGATAATGTCGCCGGCATGTTGTTCCTTTCGCTCCTCAAGGAGTTCCTGCAAGATGATAATGGCATCATCGTCTTCGGTGAATTTGTTGCCGTTGAGCTCGATTCGTTTCAGAGCAGGCAGGGCAGCCTTGGCGGCGTTGGCCAAAGCCTTGATACCATCAGCCTTGATCTCGTTGTATTGCAGACGCACAGTCTCCAGCTTCTTGTTCTTTCCTTGCGACAGGGACTCAGCCAGCAGCAGAGCGCCCTTTGCACTCAGCAGAGAGTCGCCAACTCCAAGCTCTTGAAGAGCCACCCAGCTGGGCACAACCTTGGCGAGGGCCCTGGCGCCCTTGATAGTGAAAGTGTTGTCCTGCAGGTCAAGAATCCGGAGCTGGCTGGCGCTGTGGAGGCCATCGCTGAGCAGACAGGAGATACCCTCCTGTCGGATTCCGTTTTGCACCATTTTGATCTCCTGGATCTTGTTGTGAAGGCTATAAGCCTTAGCCCATGCAGCCATGCTGCCGTTTTCGAGTCGATTTCGGCCACAGATGACAGTCTCGAGGTCGGGCACCTGCTTGCCCTCCTTGCGAGCCGCCTCCTTCTTGGCATGGAGTTCTGAGAGCGCATCGGCGACAAGGATACCGGCATGAGGACCAAGGCCGTTGTTGTTGAGGTAAAGGTGCTGCAGGGGCACGTGGGCGGAAAGGAAAGCCACGAGCGGGGCCTGGGTGTTGAGACCGAAGGCGTTGTCGTTGAGGTTGATGGTGGTGAGGTGGGGATGGTTCAGGATAGCGGTGAGAATGGCAGAGATGCCCGCGGGGATCTCGTTGAGCAATCGGCCGGTGAAGAGGTCGGCGAAGTTTGCGGACTGTCGTTTGTTCTGTTAGCACTGCAACCAAACTCCCCCCTTTCAAAGACCTTTCAAAGAGGGGCCTCTCGGGAGGCTGCATACCTTCAGGCTCTTCTTGGTGGCCAGGACCTCACCAAGGCGCTCACAAGCACCGACACCCAGGGTGTTTCCCAGGAGGCGGACTTCCTCGACATCATCGAGCGCGACCAGCGGCGCAATGTGAGGCTCGATGTCTTGAGCGGTGTCGAGTTTGAGCCCCTTGCCCTCAAGGGAGAAGATCTTGGACGAGGCCATTTTGCAGGCGAGCGGAAATGCCGAAAGCTAATACGTATGATGATGTCTAGAAGCTAAAGGCGGGAGATGCGCGAAGCAAATCAGAGGCGGCTTTGTGGGGAGGCTGCGAGCCCTGTGGTAGATTTTTTGGGTGAGGCCTCGCTTTGGGAGTGAAATGATTGACGGATTGTTTTGACAATGGTGGGGGCGGGGCACGAGCGGTGCCTGGCTTTGGTTTGCCTGGCAACCTGCAGAGGACGAGGCTGTGTGGCTGCTACGAATTTTGCGTGCAGGGGGGAATGCAGCGAAGGCCTCAGCGGGATTGCCAGCTGTGAGCCAGCTGGGAGACAGCTGTAGAGCCACTGTAGAAGAGCCAGCTACAGAACCGTGCTGCCGTGCTAGACAAAGAATGGTGGCCAATCACCCAACTACCAATCACCTCCAAGTTAGTACTCCGTAGCCGAAAGTTCAACTTGGCTCCCCACCTTTCCGAGCAACATCCCATGGGCACGTGACTTTGGCCAATCAGCGTCGGTCCATTTCGGAACGATGGATTTTCTCTATCAACTTCTCCCGCTGAGCCCTTTTGGAACCCGAGATCGAGTCCATCGCCCTCACTCTTTGATTGCGGCTCCCCCTGCGGCTTCGCTACAGCTTGCCAATTATGTTGGCAAGGTCGACTTTGCGCCCGGCGCGCGTCCTCAATGGGCTTCGAAATGGCGCCGTCAACGTCTCCAAGGTGGGTGAAGATGCCACAAGCTCCAAAAAAGCGTTGCTGCGAGGCATTGCCGAGGGTTGAGCAGCTACCTGCAACGCAAAGGCTGCGGCCATTGCCGCCCGGGACGCTTCAATCGCATCAGCAACATGCCAGACAATTCCCTGGGAGTCCCGAAGCTGACCTTTTTTTCTTCTCTTGTAGCGTGCTGCCTCGACGAGCTCGGAAGCTTCTCCCGCGCGCCTGAACTTCGCCGCTATTGCTTCCACCACCCTCGCCGCCGGCTCCATGGCCTGGTACTACCATCTCTACGGACCCGTCGCTTTTGCTTCGTCCCCTGCTGAGGAGGGGTATGTGATTTTTCCCGCTGCCGAGTGCTTCGCATCAGCTCCTAGCCACATGTGCCTGATGCGGCATAAAAATGCTTCATCAGCCGGCTATCCTTCAAGTGGCCAATTGCTAACGGGTTCGGCCGCAGTCTCCACGCTACTCAGTACCCTTGGGTTCACCAGCAGTTCTTCAAGACCTTTGACCACCAGGCGTAAGTGAAACCCTTTTCCCACACGAGAACCATAGCTTGGAGGAGCTCTGCGGCTTACACCCGGCTTTTATACAGTCTCCGACGTGGTTTCCAGGTCTACCGAGAGGTCTGCGCCAGCTGCCACTCCCTGTCCCGAGTCCCCTACCGAGCTCTCGTCGGTACCGTCCTGACTGTCGACGAGGCCAAGGCCCTGGCTGAGGAGAACGAATACCCCGATGAGCCCGATGAGCAGGGTGAGATCCCCATGCGACCCGGAAAGCTGGCCGACTACATTCCTCCTCCTTACAAGAACGACGAGGCTGCCCGATTTGCCAACAACGGTGCCCTTCCCCCGGATTTGAGCTTGATCGTCAAGGCCCGCCACGGTGGCTGCGACTACATCTTCAGCTTGTTGACTGGTTACCCTGAGGAGCCCCCGGCTGGTGTCCAGGTCGCCCCCGGCATGAACTTCAACCCTTACTTCCCCGGCACTGGTATTGGTATGGCTCGTGTTCTGTACGACGGTCTCGTCGAGTACGAGGATGGCACTCCCGCCAGTACCTCCCAGATGGCCAAGGACGTTGTCGAATTCCTCAACTGGGCTGCCGAGCCTGAGATGGACGAGCGCAAGAAGATGGGCATGAAGGTGTTGGTTGCCACCACAGCTCTGTGGGCCATCAGCGTCTACGTTAAGCGATACAAGTGGGCTTGGCTGAAGTCCAGGAAGATTACCTACGATCCCCCTGCAGAGACCAAGGTCCGCCGATAAGGGAGGTGATAATTCCCTGTGTGTACGTGTATACTACTAGTCTCCTCCTTAGAAAAAAAAAGCTCTTTTGTTGGCGGAGGCGGGTAAAATGGATTGGTTGTTTCAGATACGATGTGATGCATGTATGTATGGTGGTGACTGGCTGTGTTAGAGCTTTGAAAGAAGAAAAAAATCAGACGCCGTTTTAATGCTACTTGTCTCTTTTCTGGATGTGAGATAAAATTGTAGTTGTAGGATTTTCTTGTAGGATGGAGATGAATGCTTAGGTATGAAGTGTACGAGCTGCAGTGTTAAATACTTCAAACAGTAAATTGTCAGGCCCCCAGATGATGAATTATCACGAGTGCGAGAATTTCAACATTTCCATCCGGCGAGTAGTAGGTCAGCGCATATTATGAATTTATTTTTATGAATAAACAGTGATTGTACTTTTCATACACATATAATCTAAACTGTGGCCTTCTCAATGTAAAGCAATCGGTTGTGGATATATAGGTTCATCACCTCACTCTAAAAGGCCAATTATCTACAAAAAGACTAGTTTATCAATGGGACACAGCTCTACAAACAATAATTATTTCTCACCTCATATGCATATTACGAATACTCATAATACTACTCAAAGATATCTGCAGTGAGAAATCCTTCCTTGGCTGACTACATATATTACCACCCATGCCCGAAAGAAACGGCAGGGCCACCAGACGAACCTCCAATAGAATCGCCGCAGCTCGTCACAACGCAGCTGAATCGTAATTCACCCGGTGATTAAGCCGGATCAACAGATCCATGCCATCGAAAAAACAGTCGGCAAAAATTGTTCCTGACATTGCATTTTTCCACCTCGGCCCTTTTTCGTCTTCTTCTCCCTTGTCATCTCCGGCGAGACGGCGAGAAATTCGTCATTCTCAATCCTTCAGTCCCTCCTTTTCTTTGCTTCTTGCGGCTTGCTGCGGTTCTCCCAACATCGACCTCTACATCTTCGTCCATTATCGGCTGAGCCCATCGTTCGTTTCCTTGCGCATGCAGTAACATCGCCAGCAAGACGTTCAATTCACATCCGACCATGCCTTTTGTCGGCGACGATGTCCATCGTGCCACGAAGCGCAAGTGGGATCACGATAAAGCCGAAGCCTTCAGATTATCGCATTCCGCCATCCACGTCTTGAACCAACACGCGACTCCAGAAAGCGGCGATGCCATCTCAACACGCAAGACGCTTCCCCCAACAAAGCGATTCAGACCGATCCACGACGACGACAATGTTCACGCCCTCTCTTCACATCGAAGAACCCCCTCTCGCGAACTAGCACAGGGCATTCACGGCAAAGGACCTGTCAAAATTAACGGCATGGTTCTGATGCCGTGCCATGTTTGCCACCGCAGGCCCACCAAGAAATCCGATCTCGACTCTTTCGCCAGGTGCCAATCGTGTCAAGAACAGACGTGCTTTGTCTGCATGCGCGAGTGCCAGGGCCAGAACTCCAACAAAGGGCCAGTCTTGGAAGATGAGGATGTCCTCTCGCGATCCTTTCACATGGACGATGCGGACGAATGCATGACGCCACCAATACCAGACACCAACGAACAGAAATATAATAATGATAATGACTCCAATGGACGACAGGGCGTGTCCGGCAGCGGTACTCATCATGCTATGATTTGTAGTCGCTGTTGTGTTGAGAAGGGCGCCCAAGGCGAAGTGGTCTGCCTCGGATGCTTATCCGATGCATGTACCGCGTGACACCGAAGAGCAACGAGAATTTACAAAGACGAACCAAGACGGACATCTTCCGTTTATGACTGATGACGATTTCAATTTCTACATAGCGCAATGTTTTCTTTTGCAATTGGGACTAGGAAAGGAAAAGGCAGCTACCAAGGTATATACTATATTAGCAGGGAGGGCATCACATGGGCTTTCTTTATCGACTTGTTATTTTTCTTTTGGCATTCTACCTTATATTTCATTTAATATTTTCCATTTATTCTTATGCCACTTTTAGCCACGGTTGGAGCATCGAACAGAAGAATGTATCTAGGGCTGCGGTCTATCACATCGGGGGAACCATGTTGATCGAGATTCTCTGTTGAATCGCAAGTATGAGAGGACGAAATAGCTGACGCTAGATTGGTTGGATAATCGCTATGCTACTTACACCGTCTTCCAAGAAATCACTGCGATATGTTCTCACTCATCGCAAAATGAATTTTCACATTCCGTTCTGTTGCCCTCAATCTTGTAAATCCATCTTAAGATGGAGGCCCCTCCCAATCTGCCCTCGTCCAATCTTCATAATCATTATCAAGCCCATAATCATAATCATCAACCCCATCATCATAATCATCCAAAATATCGAAATCATTCTCTAGAGAATGCGAAAAGTAGTCCCTGGGCGGATTCACCTCGCTCCACGAGTCAAGCATCTTATTCTCCTCCGCCGTCCAAGGGCTCAGCGCCCGGTCCCTACCCTGAGGCTGATATCCCGCGGCCTGCGACTCTGCAACTCGCTTCCGCGAGGCTTCCACCACGAAATCCCGCCACCGGTTCGTCTGGGAGGCGTATTTCTTGTACATGGCTGGCAGATATGCCACGTCGCCGGCGCAGTATCGCAGGATCTCGGCGGGGAGCGGACGTGTGTTGAAGACGCTGTATGAACCGCCCTTTTCCGGGTTCCATAGACGGTCTCCTTGGTCCTTGCAGAGATTCCATTCGGCTTTTTGCGCGCCGGTGAGAGGGACGAACTCCATGCACTTGGCCAATCCGGAAACGAATTTCCGGTTCTCTGCGTTTGGTCGAGACGCACTGTCCATGAGCTGCAAGTCGCGGACACCCCTCAGATTCACCCCGTAAAGGAAGAAGAGCGCATCTGAATCATTCCGGACGTCAAAGAATACCTTTAAAATCTCTGGTGCTTCCAAGATGTTCTTTAAACTCTTGCCACGCTCACCAACGGCATCAAAAGCTGCGCGACCCAGGGTATAAATGTCGATCACGTAGATGTGTTCAAGGCCTTCTCCGGGATAGACAAGCACCGTCATCAAAGAGATGCTCCCGTTCCTACCGAGGTTCTCTCCTTCGAGGTCGACGTACATTGGGGGCTGTATGTCCCTCTTCCATGTGTCTTGACGATCTACAAAGTCCACAATTCCGGTTACTCCAGCGAGTGTGTTTATGAATTCGGCTTCTTTTCTTCTGGCCATTGTCGTAGCGGCAAATTTTATGGAAGACACGTTGATTTATCCGAAAGAATAGTTGGGTTGTTTTGAGATATCATTTTCTAGAGAATCAACATCGACAGGGTGGTCGTTTTATATGAGTGATATAGAGCCTTGTTTCGACTTGCATCACAGATTGTCAGTGACATCAAATGGATTGCATCTACCCCGCTCAATCAATATTTAATATCGAATAGATTGTTTGGAGGTTCCAAATGGGCGCATGTACTCGTTCGGCTCAACATATAGGTAGTAGGTACTGTTGTAGTCCATATTAATGCATGTAGACAAATGTATAATATACGGCATAACCACAACCAACAAGTCATCACGCTTGGCACTTGATTGCGGGGAAATCAAAACATGGAAGGATTTATATCATCTGATTCTGCAGAGTCAACATGCCAACTGCTCATAAACGCCAATTTCTATTCCCCTTGACCTTGTAGAGCAAGATACTGGGGGACGCCCCCTTGTTTGCCCATATTTATTCATACACCAATAACATTAAAAAGCCTATTTAGTTGTATTGCATGTACGTCGCTGTTGAGTTGAACTTGAGATTGCCCTTGATGACCTTGTCCACCGCATCCAAGAAATCCTTCTCTGAGGCAACCTTTCTCCGAGCTCGGATGGCAAACATACCGGCTTCGGTGCACACGCTCCTCAGCTCGGCACCGGTAGCGTTGGGACAGAGACGGGAGATGAGCTCCCATCGGATGTCTCGCTCAACTGACATGCTCTTGGCGTGGATTCGGAGGATGTTGGCACGGCCCTCAAGGTCGGGTAGCGAGAATTCAATCTTACGATCGATACGCCCAGGTCGCATCAGGGCAGGATCTAATGTGGACGGTCTGTTGGTGGCAAACATGACTTTGATGTTTCCTCGGGCGTTGAAGCCATCTAGCTGAGTAATGAGTTCCAACATGGTTCGCTGGACTTCGTTGTCACCACCGGCACCGTCATCGAATCGCGCACCACCGACGGCATCGATTTCGTCAAAGAAGATGATGCATGCCTTCTTTGTCCGGGCCATCTCGAAGAGCTCTCGGACCATTCTGGCGCCCTCACCAACGTACTTTTGTACAAGCTCGCTACCAATGACTCGGATAAAGGTGGCGTCTGTTCTGTTGGCAACAGCTCTGGCACAAAGCGTCTTTCCGGTTCCGGGAGGGCCGTAGAGCAATGCGCCCTTGGGGGGGTCGATGCCGAGGTTTGAGAATCTCTCTGGAGAGAGCAGGGGCATCTCGACAACTTCTCGCAGCTTCTCAACCTGCTCTTTGCAGCCACCGACATCACCGTACGTAACGTCTGGCTTTTCCTCAACCGTCATCATGGTAACACTGGCATCGATTTTAGGCGGCAGCGGCAGCATGATCTGGTACTTGTTGCGGTCGACACCAACCCGCATGCCCTCCTCGATATCCGTAGGGCTGACCCGGTCTCCAAGCTGGACGACGAACTTGGCAATTTGCTTTACGTTGATGACATACTTGCTCTTCGACTCGTCGCCCTTTTCGTCAGCGATAATCTTTGTGCAACGTGCCACCTGGAAAGGCTGCTCTTCAGACATTCGCTGTCGATCGGCGGCGACATCCCATAGATGCGGCGGTGCGAGACCCGTATCGGACTCCTGTGTCGACACATTAGACAGCTGTACATGCATCGCAGTTGCGGCGACTCATACCTTGATGCCAATCTTCTCATCTACACTCTGCTGCTTCTCTTTGATCTGCTTCTCGAGCTTCGAGATGGTCGATGCATATGGGGCAGCGCCGTACGTCTTGAGAACTTGAATGTCCCTAGCTTCGGGTTAGCATTCCCCACGGCTTCGAAACGATACTCCCAACACGAGGCGGTCCGTACTCATCGGTGAGGGGTGTGATCTTCTTCTCCTCTATCTCATCGTCGGCGAATTTCTTGGTATATTTCTCCCAGTTTTGACCGGTCGCAGAAGGCTTTGGCAGTTAGTAATGGCCAGTGTTTATGTAGCCCAGACGGGCTGCCTTACCATGGTGGGCTCTGCAGACTGGACGCACGGTCCGTAGAATTAAAGGCTTTATGGCGTATAAAAGAATGGATTCGGGGGATTATAGCTCGTCCAGGGCAATCGTTTGGTCAGTACGAGGAGGGGAGGAATCGCTGGTCGTGATGCGCGTTTGGTATGATGGTGATGAAGGTCATGGAAGCATTCCGTAATCTGAGTTGCCTTGAGCTCGCCGCATGGAGCCTGTCGCTCGGACCCTGCTGAGCTAATGCTAGCCAATTGAAGCAGGCGGGCAGACGCAGGCGGGCAGGGGGGAGGTACCGCCGGAGCATGGATTATCTCTCGCGCCGACTCCAAAATTTCCGTTACCAATATGGCGGAGTAGGGCAGCCAAGGTGGGATGTCAACCAGGCTCCAGGAACCCGCGAACTTGCTTCTCAACAAAGCTCGCCGTGAACGAGGCTTTTCGGAGATTGTTTCTGCATCCCCCAGGAGATAAACACAACTCTCCAAAATGTCTGCACCGGCCGTTTCAGGCGGCGAGTCCAAGAATGTCGCCTTCAAGGTAAGGGGGAAAAAATCCAAAGCTAACACGAGTCTCGAGCTCCTGAGCTGCCCCGCTAACCATGGACACAGGACAAGGAGAAGCCCATGGCGGTGCGCTCGTCCAACATTGTTGCTGCCAGAGGTGTGTATCCTCATTCGAGACCCGGTGGTTCGATCTGCTAATAGAAATGTAGCCGTCGCCGATGCAATCCGGACGTCTCTCGGCCCTCGAGGAATGGACAAGATGATCCGCAGTGGAAAGGGGGAGACGATCATTACAAATGATGGAAACACCATGCTCAAGAGCATGTCCGTCATGCACCCGACCGCAAAGATGCTGGTTAACCTGTCAGGAGCACAGGATGTCGAGGCTGGTGATGGCACAACCTCTGTTGTTGTCATCTGCGGCAGCCTTCTCGGCGCCGCTGACCGACTGCTGTCCAAAGGCATCCACCCCTCCGTCATTTCAGAGTCTTTCCAGAGAGCGTCCGCCGCCGCCGTCGAAGTCCTACACGACATGTCACAGCCCATCTCCCTGTCCGACAACGCCTCCCTTCTCCAGGCTGCCAACACATCTCTATCGTCCAAGATCGTGTCTCAGTACTCGAACCTTCTCGGCCCCATGGCTGTCAACGCCATTACTAAGACCATCGATGTCAAGACTGCTGAGAATGTGGATCTTAACAACATCCGCATGATCAAGAAGGTTGGAGGAACAATTGAGGACAGCGAGCTGGTGGACGGCCTGGTTCTCACACAGCCTGTGCTGAAGAATGCCGGTGGTCCATTTAGAATGGAGAAGGCCCGTATTGGTCTCATCCAGTTCCAGCTCAGTCCTCCCAAGCCTGATGTAAGTTTGACCGCCATCTCATAACTCTAGTCTGTAGGTTTATGCTAACTTGCTGCAAAGATGGAAAACACGATCCAAGTCAATGATTACCGCCAGATGGACAAGATTGTCAAGGAGGAGCGATTATATCTTTTGAACATGGCCAAGAAGATCAAGAAGGCTAAGTGCAACGTGCTCTTGATCCAAAAGTCTATCCTTCGCGACGCCGTCAACGACCTTTCTCTACACTTCCTGGCCAAGCTCGGCATCATGGCCATCAAAGACATCGAGCGAGACGAAGTCGAGTTCATCTGCAAGTCCACTGGCTGCAAGCCCATTGCGGATATCGACTCGTTCACTGAGGATAAGCTGGGCTCAGCCGATCTTGTGGAGGAGGTTCAGTCATCAGGGGCACGCATGGTCAAGGTCACCGGAGCCAAGGCCACTGGCAAGACTGTGACTGTGGTTGTGCGCGGTGCCAACTCTCTTATTCTGGAGGAGGCCGAGCGAAGTTTGCACGACGCACTTTGTGTTCTCCGATGTCTCGTGAAGAAGAAGGCCCTGATTGCCGGTGGTGGTGCCCCTGAAATCGAGATTGCAGCTCAGCTGTCCAAGCAGGCGCGCAGCCTGACAGGCACTGAGGCCATCTGCTGGAAGGCCTTTGCGGATGCCATGGAGGTCATTCCCACAACCCTTGCGGAGAATGCTGGTCTGAACAGCATCAAGGTTGTTACCGACCTGAGACATCGACACGAGATGGGAGAGAAGAACGCCGGTGTCAGCATCAAATCTGGAGGAGTCAACACCAACATCTCCAAGGAGAACGTCTTGCAGCCCCTTTTGGTCAGCACAAGCGCCATTGAGCTGGCGGCCGAGACGGTGAAGATGATTTTGAGAATAGACGACATTGCTTTGTCAAGGTAGAGAAAATTTCAGCCTTCTAGTGGGATTGCTGTATGATATAATATCTAAATTTAAAAGTAGCAAATCTTGATCTTGTCTCCGCCTATTGTGTGTGATCCTTTACTTCCAAGTTATTAATAAGGTACCTAGGTACTAGTACTAATTGCAAGTATCTCTCGGATGCTTCCAGTTGATGCCTGGGGCCAGAGCATTTGGCTCCTTCCCAAGATTCCAACTGCGCACGCTTCTCCTACGAAACCAAAAACTGTACATCTCTCTCATTCAATGCACACACTCTTCATCTAGCATCCCTCCTTTAAAACCCTTTAATCAGAGTTTTCATTCGCCCTCAAAAGAAGCTATCATTTAAAAGTTCGGAATAATGGCAAGAAGGAACACTCGCTCCCGGTCTAGCGACTCTTCGGATCCAGGGGACGCAGCGATAGAAGTGCACCAGCAGATCAACAAGGTCCGTCTATTCATACACCCTTTCAAGCCAAGAAAGGTAGAGGCTGATACGAAACAGCTCAAGAAAGAACGAGATACAGCCACTAGAGAAGTGAGCGCCGAAACTGATGCTGCCTTGGCAGAAATCCAAGCGAAGGCCACTGCCTGGCTTGAAGACTTGCAACGTCAACGGTATATAATTACTAAAAGCTTCCTTCAAATATGGACTAAAATTGTTTAGTGCACAAAGGATGCTGAGATGCCTAACGGAGATTATCGAGTTGGCCGAGCGCAGAGAAGCCATTGAGGTCAAGATGGCTGATGTAGTGGCCAAGGCAAATGCAAGGGTGGAAGAACTGGAGGCCATGATGATGGCTGGGTATGCAGGGAGAGAAAGGGATGCAGCCGCAACTCTGGAGAAGGTGATAGGGCACCAGAATGGAAGCTGATTCCGATTCATGTCCAACGGGCTATCAAGGGTTACATCACCACGCAATCCACGTTTGAGCCTCGCAATATCAGGTGACGAGATGATTAATCTAGAATGGAGGGGAATCAAGCGCCGTACTTTTCAGGGGAGTCTATATGTTCATAATGTACACAGGCACGGAGCCAGAATGAAGAGTCTTTGATTTAAACAGTGAACCCGAAGCCCTGCATGCAGCTCTTGTATTGGTCGACAAGTGACCTGCAGTCGGCAGCAGGATCCTTGGCCGTGGAGAAGAGCATGCACTCATCGCGCCTCGATTTTTCGTCCTTGCATACGCAGCAGGGCTGTTCCATGGTTAGCATAGGGTACCTTGTATCTTGTGCGACAAACCGACCTTGGGCTTAGAAGCGCTCGCGGAGGCTGCGGGAGCAGCAACTGGCGCAGCGGCCAAAGCTATTAGTCGAGGACGATTGGTTAGTTTCTGCAGAAGATGCGGCCATGGGGAGAAATTGGGGCAATTGACATACAGAAAGTAGCAGGCTTGGCGTCCATGGTGTTTGTTATTCTAGCGCAATGGATTGTATCTTTGCGATGGGTTAAAGATGCTTGCGTTGAATCATGTTTCTATATTTTTTCGACCGATGGCGATGATATTAAGAATGGTCACGCCAGATTCGCTGGTGCATTTCTAAGCAGCGGATCTGGCCAATCAAGTTGCCGGATTCTCACGTGCGGGCGTGGGATGTTCGTGATTTTGAGCACATTGTTCGCTGACGTCATCAATGTAATCGAGTACCAACACACGGGTAAGGTACCTCATCCTAGGTACCTCTACTGTAAAGCACCTGGTATCATCCCTGCAACTCCTCCGAGCTCCACTCTTTCACCACTCATCCACTGCCGTGGAACTGCCATCACTTTGGCGGAGGAAGAAGGTACCTCGCTTCCATAAACCGCTGAGAGCTAATCATAGACTGTAAATAACAATGAACAGACCGACATGCTCCAATGAGCAGAATCGATCGACGGAGGGACCCCGTAGTCCATGCAACAGGCGAAACCGATCCATGGAATACACATCCGGCCTCGATCCAGGACCCCCCTTGAAGCGACGACAGCTTTCGAGGTTGTCAGCGGAGGAGTCATTCGACGGTGCTCCAGATAACGGAGATCTTGACAATCCAATCAGTTTCTGGGCGAGAGAAGGGCACTGGCCTCGTGAATACTTCGAATCTACAATTGAGCGCGCACTGGCACGAAAGCGGCGTAAACAATCCAACTCCGCAACATGTACGACGCCAAGCGATCAGAAGCCCCGAGAGGAGAAGAGCGCACAATACCGAGACCCACGCTATAAAGCACTGCTTGCAACCAAAGGTAGTTTTATGGATAAGTCAGATCTTGGGATTGCCGAAGCGAGCAAGAGAACTTGCCATACCTTACTCAGCGCAGAGCAGACGATCCCAAAGGAATCCCTATTTCGGGATGACCTCTTTGATCAGACATGCCGGAGTGTCGAGGATAGGAATGAAGCGAGGATCCTGAGAGATATCACACCTTTAATCGTTCCCTCGGCGGAAATCCTCGCCATACACGGATCCATAGGCCTCAAGTGCTTGATTGAAATCCTCAATGAGGGATGGAACAACTCGGTTCCGCTGACTGGGGCCCGTCCTCAGCCAGACTACTCCGTCGGGTTCTGGCGAGAGGCGTTTACCGCAACCCAGCTTAACAAGCTGTCGCCGTTCATTGGCGACTTCATCGCTGGCGACCTATCCTACTTCATGGCTACGTACTCTTTATATTTCCCCTTCCTAGCCTGCGAAGTGAAGTGTGGAGCTGCGGCATTGGATATCGCGGATCGCCAGAACGCTCACAGTATGACCCTTGCTGTCCGGGGCGTGGTTGAACTGTTCTATCTAGTTGGACGTGAGAATGAGATTGACCGGCAGATCCTCGCCTTCTCTGTCTCACATGACCACCAGTCGGTGCGTATCTATGGCTACTACCCAGTAATCAATGGCAAAGAGGTTAAGTATTATCGCCACCCAATCCGTAGCTTCTCCTTTACGGAACTTGACGGTAAAGAGAAGTGGGCGGCATATCAATTTACTAAAAATGTGTACGATATTTGGGTGCTAGACCATTTTATGAGGATATGTTCAGCTATCGAATAGTTATCATTGGTAGATTTTGACGTTTAAGCACTCTCAGAGTCTACAGATTCAGAATTAAAAGGTGGTCATGAATAAGTTTAGAGTATCAAGACAAGTGATGACATATAAATCCAAGCTTGCATTTATTGCGCGTATATATAACATACAGCAGATAATACAGCAGATATAGCCGATATAGCAGATGTAATAGCCGTATAATAGAATTATCTTATAGGCTGTTGTAAAGGGCGGTGGCCAGCATAAGCTGCTAGCGCTGACGGATCTTTCCTCTGCGTCTTGTTACGACGGTTGGAACTTTTCGTAGTCGCCAAGATTCTGCATATTCAACTTGGGGCGTTGAATATGATCCACTTTCTAAAATAATGAATTGAAGCTACACGAGCTGCGGCGATGCGGCTGTTAACTCCAATGTCCGGTATGGGTTGGGAGATTCCGGTATCCACCCCGGCGCTGAACCCCTGAATTTATGCACCGCGATTCGGACCCGAATTGCCACTCGGGTTTCTCTCCTTTGGGATTAATGGCCGACTTTTACGGGAGTCAGAGGGGAACTATCACTGAGATTGGCTAGGCAATTGGATGGTTCGTGCCTGGTTTTGAGGCTTGGCTTGCGATATTTTCCTGTCCAAGTGCCGTCTTGTCTTACCATATTGGCAGTCGTGTTTCCTTATTAGGAATTTGTGGTTTGGAATCTGTCTCCAAATCAGTTTCCACGAATGAGAAGCGGAACTGGGAGTTGAAAGGGAACGAAGCCATATATATAACCACTGCTATTCTTACTTTGTGATGCCAGTTGACTTGGACAATTCATCATCCAGCCGTAAAACTATACTCATCTAGACAAGATGCTTACGATTGAAGAAATTCGCGCTCTCAGCGATGTCAACCCAGAGTTTGAACCAGTAAACTTTCCCTCTGCCCCCTTTAAGATGCCTTCTATGCGATTTGAAGAGAATAACATCGGATACTGCCACGGTAGATTCTCAACTCGGGGTCGCCCATTTTAACTGCTTGGGATCTAAACACCGACGTCTCTCAAGTCCGGACAATCATCCAGGCCATGAAAGATGCAGCTCCCAAAATCGACCCGGCAACGCTTCCATATCTCCAAGAGGACATTCAAATCCCAGTGCGGGACAATCGCAGCATCGAGGTCCGCGTCTACAAGCCACGAGGAGAGTCGACAGAGGGACGGCCCGGGCTCGTTGTCTTCCACGGTGGGGGATACGCCGTTGGAGATCTGGATACAGAAACTTGGCTCTGTGCGCTGTTTGTGAAGCTTGGAGGTGTTGCGGTGAATGTCAACTATAGACATGCCCCTGAGCACGTCTTTCCTTCAGCTGTGGAAGATGCTTATGATGCTACTAAATGGGTGAGAGAACATGTCTATTCTGAGATAGAGGGGCAATTTAGCATTGTACTAACTATGTATTTTTCTTTAAAACTTATCAGACGGCGCAAAATTCGGGGTCTTTGGGCATCGACCCTGAAAAGGGATTCTTGGTAGGAGGTGAAAGCTCCGGAGGCGAGATGGCCGTGATTGTAGCTCATCTCTGCCTAAACGACAAGCTGAATCCTCCTCTGACTGGCATCTATGCGGCAATGCCCGGCGGCGTGAATAAGGAAACTGTGCCAGAAAAGTACAAGGATCGATTTATTAGCTTTGAGCAAAATGCTAATGCGCCAGTGCTGTCCGCCGAGTCGCTGGCTTTTATCTGGAGTAAGTGTCCCAGAGGGGTATCATCAAGTCAGAAGCTGGCCACTAATTCTTGCGTTGCAGAGAACCACCACGTTGATCCACGCAGCCCGCTTGGATTCCCACTGGCGTTCCCTACCCACAAGGGCCTTCCTAAGACGTATTTCCAAGTCTGCGGGCTGGACCCTGTGCGAGACTGCGCGTTGGTTATGGAGCAGGTATTCAAGGATGAGGGAGTTGCCACCAGGACAGACATTTATCCCGGCTTGCCTCATGGGTTTTGGGGATTTTTTCCAGAGCTGAAGACTAGTGCAAAGCAAAAGCAAGATGCCGAAGAGGGACTCAAGTGGCTGTTGAGTAAATAAGGTGCAGAGGACGAGTGTTTGTTGCGGACCATCTCCATTCAGTCATTGGCGTTCCAGGATTTATCTGTACTATACCATTGTTTATAAGAAGAGAGCGATATTCAAAATTACTGCTGCTGTTCGTTACTACCTAGACAGTATAGAAAATGTCATCTCATACCCACGCTCTATGTTTCATAATAAACGCTAGCAAAGTAATAATCCAAATAACAAGAGCGTAATAGTTTCTTCAAATCTATGATTCAATCACCTCCAACCCAAACAAAGCCATCGACAGCTCACTATGGGCCTCCACAAGCGCACGGAATTGCTCAATTTGCCATAAGGTGTTAATCTTACAAGCGGCGTACAGAGTGACGAGATCTGTCAGCGCTTCTGGAACCGGATTTTCATAGCAGTAGCGTACCAACGTAATCACATCACCAGTCCTCTGTTTATGTAGTGTGAATCTTTCCAACTCCGCTTGCAACTCAGTAAGAGAATGTTGCATCAATGAGGCAATGTCATAACATTCTGCAAATATATAAAGTCGTACATGCGAGAGAAAAGTATCTGTAAAATCTTGACTCCTGAGGTTGGTTGGGAGAGGCTTAGTACGCTTAATAAAGAAAGCATGGAACATGGCAAAGGAGTCAAAGGTCAGCGGCTTCGTAAATGCGTTCCACAGATCCTGACGTTTCTGATCTTCCGGTGTCCCGTCCTCGGAAGGAGAGCGCAGAGTATCGAATAAAGGGGCAAGCGGTGGCGGCGGTGGCCCCGACGGCAACTCGGGAGTGGCCTCGGGGTTCCGTTGGAGTTCAAGTGGATCTGGGCCGTCCCATTGGAGTGGAAATATTATTACTGGTTCAGCAGCAGTGTATTTCCCCGTGTATGCGTACTCCCAAAATCTAATGAAGGTATCTTCATCCACAGACTTCCATTTAACACATTTCTCGGCGGCCTCGGTGAAGTTGCCGTTTGCCAGCCTCTCAAGCACGGGGGACTGGTGCGTGAAGAGAGCAGAATGCATGGTGAATTCTCGCTCATTGGGGCCTACAAGGAAGCGGAACGGGACGGACGAGGCAATGCTATGAGCTGTCTTTAGCATGCCACATTTAATCGATGGATGACCCAAACTCACACGTCTAGTGGTATGGAGTCCATGGCGTGTATGTGTAGTATATACTAGTGGTGTGTATAGTGTTTATGGATCCTGATGGACGATGGATGATGCGCTTCTTGCAGATCTCGTTGTATGGAAGTCGAGTATTTGCTCGCATTGCTACCCCGCAACTTGAATGATGGCATATCTATTTTATTGACGGCAAAAACAAAATTCCGGCGATAATTTCATCGAATGAAATTGTAGTTCCGTTATGCAAGGGAGTGTAAGTGAAGAGGAAGCTATTGGCTAGGTAGTTTTGCCTCTAGCTGTATGAAAGCCAGCTGCTCTCTACCTAGACTACCTAACTAGTACATGCATTGATGTAGTCAGCATCTTATCTAACTGTGTTGTAAGTAAAGCAAGCCCTCTACAGCATTCGCCTCCAATTACTTACACCAGCACAGTGAATCCCCCAACTTCACATGCCAAATCAACAATCCAAACCTCGACATGATATCAACCAACCATCTCCCCCCCTTATTTTCTTCGTCTCAGGCACCAGTCCAGCCGCACGTCCTAACCGGCGCCGCCAACCTCCGACCGTCCGACCTGCCCCCCCGGAAGCGACACCCGCATCACCGCCAATTTCGCCACGCAGACAAGCTCCAAAGCCGGTGACGCGTGTCTGTCCACGCCTGACGACTGGACCTCGTCACGCCATCCTTTTGCCTTCAAGCGTTTGCTTTCCCCCCAACCTCGCCTAGAGCTATCTGCTCAACTAGTAGCTGCGATGGGGGCAATTAGTTTAGATTAGATTGCTTGCCATGCTCCAAGGTTTCGCACGGTATGCACACGCGCTTAGGCGATTTGCCGCTTCGTTGAGGGTCGATGCGGTTCGATGAGTTGGCTGAATGACTGCCTAACGCGGTTTTGCATGTGAAGTGCGATTGAGGTTACGCGTTCGTTGGTCTATGATGTGATATAAAGAGACGCGATCATGATACTGGGTGTTTTCCCTTTTTACCTCCATTCTTTTCATTAAAGAGGAATATCCAATTCTACTACAACTCTACTACTCGCTTACACCCTTTCTTACAACACCCATAAAGTAACACACCATATCACCATCATCATGCCTCCCCAGCAAAATCCCTTCTGGGACTTCTTCCAGTCCCTCAACAACTCCGATCCCAACGACCGCCGCGGCCCTGGTCACGGCGTAGACCACCACAACGCACCTCCCTTCCCCGGCTTCCCCGGCTTCCCCGGCTTCCCCTTCGGAGCTCCTCCGCACGGCCACCCACCGCACCCGCCTCACCCGCATCCACCTCCTCCTCCGCCTCCCGGATCCGGGCCCGGCCCCTGGGATCAAGCTCCCCCTGCCTGGGCCTATTGGTTCAACAACTTCAACGGCCCGCCTCGCTACGACGAGCATCCGTTTTCGCACGATGCCGGCGTGAGCGCGCCCAGAGAGGCTGAGCGCGAGGGCAGAGCCTCCCGTGAAAAGGACAATGAGAAAGCTTCGCCCGAAACCATGCAGCAGGACGAGGAGTTCCCCGATCCAGCTGAAGTCACGCCCTCGGGAAGCGATGACGAGGACAACGACCACCGTGGCGGTGTTCCGCCCCCTTCGTATCCCGCCGAGGGTGGACGAGGCGGTCGATGTGGACGATCCCATGGCGGTCGTGGAGGCCACGCCCACGCCCACGGACGAGGCCGCTGCGGAGGAGGCCGTCGTGGATGGCGCCGAGGAGGCGGCCCCTTTGAAGGCCCCAATCCTGGCCCTCCCTTCGATTTCCCCGGCATGATGCGCGGCTTCATGGCCCATCCCTTCTTCCGCAACCTCCGCGACCAAGCCGAGCGCTACACCCAGCCCGGTGCCCGCAACACCGACAACGCCGACGATGAAAACACCTTCTCTCCCCCCGTCGACATCTTCAACACCCCCGACGCCTTCATCCTACACACCGCCCTGCCCGGCGCGAAAAAGGACGATATTGGCGTCACCTGGAACCCGCAGACGCGCTCCCTCCGCATCGCGGGCGTAGTCCACCGACCTGGCGACGAGGCGTTCCTGCAGACGCTGACGTCGGTGCGGGAGCGCAGAGTCGGTGTTTTCGAGCGGGAGGTTAAGCTGCCTCCTGAGGACGAGGCCGAGAAGAAGGCCGATGGGGAGGAGGCGGATCTGGATGTTGATGTTGACGGATTTGGCATCACGGCGAGGATGGACGAGGGTGTTTTGATTGTGACGGTGCCAAAGGTGGAAAAGGAGTGGATGGAAGTGAGAAAGGTGGACATTGAGTAAAGGCCAGAAAGCTGGAAGCTGAAGATTTCAGGAACACTTGTACGAGTATATAGGTATATAGCATCGCTTTTTTGTTAAGGAGGTAACACTGGGTAACTTAATGGTAATTTGTTAAAAAAAAAAAAAGGAAAAAAAAAATTGCTCTTCATCTACAATCACGTCCACAAGCACACAAGCATCGCAAACACGCACCGTGATAGCCAATTTATTCATCTCTCTCTAGCTACCTCTCTGCCCATCGCCTATCGAAAAAATCCTCTCTGCGCCTGCGCCTGCGCTCGCGCCATGGGGGTATATATGTTGACATATAGTTGAGTAGGCGCCTCGCACTATTCAATTTCCATCCACTGTACAGCATTCTGTTGTTCCTTGTTGTAGTTGTTGTTGTAATTTTCCTCCCTCGACCCAAGACAAAAATAAAAGAAAAAGGTGTATGTTGACTGAGAATTGACAGAGAAGGGAAGACGTCTGTTTGGGTCAAATAAGAAGACAAATATGTGGTAGTAATAACGATGCCTCGCCAGTGTCGCAAGCACGGCGGGCGACAAGATAAGTGAAAGGGGGATATAATTAAGGATGAAAAGAGAGAAAGAAATGTTCCTGTTTGTAATGTAGCGTCAATCTTTGTCTCAGTAAGAGAGAAGACCGGCCCCCTCTTTGCTTCGATGTATTTTGCGTATGTATGTCCTGAAAGAATCAATATCAATCCAAAAAAAGAGAAAAGGAAAAAGAAAGGAGGCTGAAAAAGTAGAGCCAAAAAAGGGTATGGCCGTGTCCTTCGAAAGAAGGCATTAAAAAAAAAAGAAAAAAGAAAAACTCCAGCCAAATGTCTGTTTATGGCAACGTGAACTCGTCAAGGAGCGAAAAGGCCATCTTTCTGCTGTAGTAATATATGTGTATGAGCAGATGCACGTATTAAAACAGGTATTAAAACAATAATAGAAGTGAAGAGAAAAAAAAAAATCAGGAACAAAATTAGACAAAAAGCAAGTGCTAAGGGTTCTTAGACCAACTCGTTTGTGATTTCTTCCCTCACATGGGCACACCACTTGAGGATGGCCGCTTCAAAATCTAGCCAGACTTGGGGGCCGTTGTTGTAGACGATGCCCAGGGCGTCGATGGAAATCATGCACTCAAAGCGCAGCTCAGCGGCCTTGGCCCAGTAACGGAGGTTGTCGGCGCTTCGGTACGGCTTCTGTGTGTTGACGTGGAAGGTCGGGATCGCTCCGAATCGCCTCCTGGATTTCTTGACTGCAGCGTTGTGCAGCCTCACGAGTCGTAGGCCGTTTTGCATGGCCTCCAAGAAGGGTGTCGGCAACTCGGCGTCCTTGGATGCTGGCGTCCACTCGGGCAGCGGCTCGTCGTCGAGGTCCATGGACATGAGGAACTGTCGCTCGCGTTCCAACTCTTTGCCTTTCCAGTCGCCCTTCATCCAGGCCCAGCTCTGGCGCTCGGCCTGCTCTGATGCCTCGATTTCGGCCTCCTTCTTGAGGATGTCGAAGACGCTTTCGATCCAGGTCGTCATGGTGGAGATTTCCTCATCTCGCATGCCACCCTTGAAATTCCTCGTAGCCATCTGCTTCAGCACTTCCATGACGCTCAAAAGATCTGTCCGGATCTGCTTCTCCGATTTGATGGCGTCCAGCCGGTCAGGCAGCTCGTGGGCCGTGTAATAGTTCTTGGCAGCACGGATAGCCAGCGTCACAAAGTCGAGGATGTTCATGCCCTGCAGCTCATACCAGCTTTGGGTGTTTTCGTCGGGCATGTTGGTGTACCGAGGCGCATCGCTGGGTGCCTTGTATGATCCCTCCTTCCGCTGTTTGGCTTCCTTGAGGACCTTGAGGGCGTCCTGCAATGAGTTCTCCAGCTCCGTCTTCAGCTCCGCTACCGTGGGGGGCTTGGGAATGACCTTTTCTCGGTGGTTGTAGGTGCTCGCTGTGGGTGGGAGCATGTCCGGGTCCTCCTCGAGGAAGCCGTCGTAGAAGTCATCCATATCGTCCATGCCCGTGGGGGATTCGACGGCATTATCCGTGATGAACCCCTGTCCAGACAGATCTGGGCTGCTGCCCATGGAGACAAACGAGGGGTCCATGTCGAAGCCCGCAGTGGTGGGCGTGGGCACCATCATGGGCACTGTCCCCTCCAGGGCTGCCAGGTCCAACGTCGCTCGCGGCTGCTTCTTACGAGCCAGTTGTCCGCCCTTGCCATCGAGAAGGCCTGTCCGGGCAAAGTAATATTGAAGATGTGCGATGCTGCCCAAGCTCATGACGCTCTCGCGGGACTTGGCACTGGCAGCAAAGTCGGTGCCCTGGGGACGCATGTAGCCTCGACGCCGGGTCCTGGAAGACGACCTCCCGGAGAGGTTGGACTGGTACGACGCAGTCGACATGCGGGATGACGCAGAGGACATGCGAGACGACAGCTCGCTGCCCAGCGAGTCCCGTGAAGTGGCATCGTTGCTGGAGCTTTGGGATATGGTGGAAGCCGCCGAGAGGGTTCGAGCGGGTTGGGGCTTTGCACCAATGGCTTGCGACGGAGCCACATCGGGCGAGTGCGGACGGTTCTCGATTTCGGCAGACATTGTGGACGAGGCAGAGAGAGAAAGAGAGGCAAAAGAGAAGCACGGAGTAGCAGAAATTTTTGGGGCAAGGGCTCAAATTGAGAGTCCTGTCAAGCGTTTCCCTCGTGTGCTCTCTCAAGAGGGGGGAGCGGATCTTGTCTCTTTGCGGCTGTCGTTGGAAGGAGAATCGGTTCACTGGATCCCAGGGCCTGCTATTCAGCTCGGTCAAAGTCGCGTGCACCACGGACGAGGGGAGGATATAACAACAAGTCGAGTGGCAGCAGAGTCACTAGCTGCCGGCCACCATAAACAAGCAGTCGGGAATGGCGTGGTGGATACTTGGGACTGTCTGGACAACATGGAAGTACAAGTATGGAAGAGACAAGAGTCACGGAGCCAGACGGTAGGGCTGCTCTGGGTTGGTGCTGAAGATCCGAGGCGCACGCGGACTCAGGGGTTCTCGCAGCGTGAGGGCGCCAAACATAGTTGGTGGGAGGCGTGGAGATGGGAAATTGCGTTGCGTGTTTTGGTGTTGTCCGGGGGGCAACGACTTGAAACGAACCTTTTTTTTGGGGTGTCGGGTGCGATTTTTGGCGTGCACTGGTTCACGCATTCTGTCAACGGATGATCAAGGCTTACATTAATTAGTGCATTGGAAGGTAGCATTAGGTGCTCCGTCCATCTCCGCCTAACGTGCTTGGACCCCAATTGGTAATTGGTAATTGGTCTCGTCGAGTCCGAAGGGCCACCTGGCGATGTTTGCCTCTGTCGCTGACTGGAAGAGTATCTCCCACTGGTGGCGTCGCCGCGATTCAGTCTGTACTCGTACGGCCTCGGTGCTCCATCTCATCCATTGTCGCATCGGCGAATGCAAGCACTTACTTGTAGGTACTTGGATGATATCACTCTATGCCTTCGTACAAATACTCGCAGCCGTCGATTCGACCACGGTCCATCATGGGAGCTGCCAGGCTCCCTGCTAGCTCGCATGCATGCAGAGGCTGTCGGGCAAATGCGACCAGGTAAGCCCATGCAGGCCCCGGGCCAAAGTGACGAATCATTTCTGTCGCTGTCATCGCGATTCCCAAGGGTCCTTGCTGCTGGGTGTCATATCCCAGGGCAACCAGAGGCGCGCAATTTCCTCTGCTGGAAGACAAGAGAAGCAGTGCTCGTCCGTACGGAGCAGAGCAGAGCACGGAGCAGCGTACAGTAGGAGTCGCAGGTAAAGCTGTGAGGTAGTTGTTCTGGATAGATTGTGCAGAGGCCAGAGCTGTGTTGGGGCAGAAGTTTCAGAACTGCTGCACGCCACGTTAGGTACCTGATAACGGAGCTGAGAGTCTTGTCACTTTTTTGCTGCTGATGCCCAACAGCTGACAGGTAAGGTAAGGTTAGTACCTACTAGGTACTATACTCGTCCTAAATTGCATGGATGGGTCGGTTCAAGTATTGGAGATTGCAAAGTACCTGCTAACCCGAGGACAAGGTACCTACTCGTACTGCCTGGTAATATTATCTTGCTTCGTATCAACACACATACAAGGGATTGAGATAATTGCATCATACCTGTAGGCAAGGCAAGGGTAGCGGATGGAATACTCGTACATCTGTTATAATAAGATTGAAGCCTGGCATCTTGTGTAAAGTACTGTACTTGTGCAACAGGTAAGGCACTTCTGAACGTTTGTGCCAAGACTGATTGGGCACTCTGTACTCCGTAGCAGCACTAATGTAAAGTAGCCACGGACGAACAGTACCTGCTCGTAGCGCGGGCCGTCGCGTCGCATTGCTGTACCTCTTGTCAACGCCAAACCTCTCTGCTAGCTCACTTCTTAGTACCTACTAATGGACCAAGGTAGCACTACTAGGCACCTTGGGTAAATTGCCTCCATCGATATCTCGAGACTAGCAGAAGCTGCCAATAGCTGCTACTGCGTGCTTGGATGGAGCTCGGTAAAGAAAACAACCAGACGGCTAAAAGGTATTGATACATACCAGTACCAGTACGAATACAGCAGTGACATCAATAGCACAAGTACCGATGGTCCAAACTGGAATCCATCCATGTCCCAACTCCAGTCTCGAGTGCTGCAAGTAATGTACATCCACGGACATACCCCTGGAGGCTTTCCACGCTACTCGTACAAGCCCTCGTGACCCGACAGGGAACAGAGGCTCAGCAAGAGGCAGAAACTCGCAGGCGCACAGGCATCAGACGGTAACTAATGTTGCCAGGTTGATGCTGCAGAAAATGGCTGCAGGATGCCCTGGTGGAGGCGGGCCGGACAAGCATGGAGCCGTGGAGATTTCACAGCGTTTCACGTCGTTTGAAGCTGCCAGAAGCGGGATGCCTGTGGAAGCGCTGTGGAAGCTCCCGTGTCAGCGGTGGGGATGCGCTAATTAGCCCGACATGGCTCTAATGCTAGCGCACTCGACACTGCATGTGCGTGCACAGCTCCAGCTCCTTGCGAGCGCGGTACGGCAGTGGTGGCATTAGTGCGCTGAGCTCCCCAAAACGACCATGGCCCCCGAACAATTTACTGGCAATCTGGCCCCATTGGATTCCATGGATTGGGTTGGATTGGATCCCTTCCATCACCAATCATCACATCCAACCCACGTCTCGTCTCAGCCAATGCCCTTCGTTCTGTCGCGCCCAAGGGCAGCATCTGGCAAGGCCCAACCGGCGCATTGGACCTGCTGCATTCCGGCACATGTCAAAACGTGTCATGTCGGCGGAAGTACTTGGCACAGCTACACCTACTGGTATCTGCGAATTCGGATCCGAGACGGATATACGTGGAAATCAGCACCTACATGCCTATCGCTCGATGTAACAAACCCACCTCCAGTCCACAGGAGCTCGATCTTTGCCACCATTGGAAGCTAGGTACGGAGTAGAGGCTACAGAGAGCACAGGCAGACCTCTCGCTGGGTACCTAAGGTAGCAGTTCTAAAATATGGACATTTGATGAGCCTGGGGACCTGTGGCAGGGACAGGTACCAGTCCCAACAGCACATGTACACGTACCTCCGACATGGATACGCTGGGCCCGTCCACTCGTAACGCGTGCAGAGAGCATCTTGGCCAGGATCCAATCTATTGTCTCCCTCTCTTCTTTTTTGGTCTTTTCTTTTTTCTTTTCCAATTTTGATAGACGCTTCCCCTTGTCTAGTCGTTTATTCATCGACAAATGTGCGAGTTCGGCTGGCGGATCGAGGCCAAAAAAAGCCAAAACACACAAAACCTTGGAAGTACGCGTACAGTCCAGTAGGGAGTACGAGTACCTCTAAAGGGAGATGAGGTACCTGCGCCGTAGCAATTCGACTCCCTCTTAGCTCAGGAACGAGCAGCTCCCGTTAATTAACTTGGGCTGCGATCCCACGCTTCTGCGCTTCTCTCTCTTGCACCCCTCCTTACCAGACTTTCCTCTCCCTTCAACCCCCTTTTTTTGATTCACCACAATAAGTCAATCGAGCAATCAGTCCTTGCATCGTCTGCCTAATCCCCCATTCTGCGCTTCGTGTTCACCGTAGCCGCCTCTCCTGCACCATCGATTTCCCAGCGTCTTGCTTTGTTCTCTGCAGCCTTCACCTTGCCCAGCCTGGGACTTGCACAACCCCGGTACACGGGCCTTACTTGATTCAGCCAGCTCATGCCCAAGGCCCATCGCGAGCATTCTCATTCTGCCAGGAGTTCACGGCCAGATAGTACCGATACTCGTCCCCCAGGCACCGAACTCTGTTCCTGGCTCGGCGCGCAGGCAGACACCAAACCAGGCGACGGCCCAGCTTTATCCAGGCTTTCCAGGCTTTCCAGGCTTTGCTGCAGTCGAGAGCCGTCTCCTGCAAGCTCCTGCAGCTTCTTTGCAGGGCCGCAAGGACGCTCTCCACCAGCACCGCATCGTCTACGCATAGAATCCCCTCTCTCGTCCAGTCACCAGACGCCCAACCCGGTCGACGCCGCCAAAAAGCTGGGTCTCCAGCAACGCAGCCGGAGCAGGCATCCAGCGAACCGAACCCTACTGTGCATCCGCCCACACCCGCCCACTCGCCGAGAACGAGTCTCGTACCTGTATTCGTACAGGTAGCAGCAAAGCGGCACCGTCGGGATTTTAAAGCGGCGAGTCTTTTCTTGATTGGGCCGTCGCGAGGGAGAGAAAAATCCCATACCAGGCGAAAGTCGGACGGCAACACGACAGGACGACACGGCAGCGTATCAGCACTCGACGCTTCGCGGTGGCGGCCTCGGCATCCAATCTGTAGCCGTCGTCCACCCCTACAAGCCACGGGCGCTCAACACTTTTGATTGCAATCTTCAACCTTCAGCACCGACCTTCTCTCCACCCACTGCGCCGCTGCACCGCCAGCAGGGCCGTTCGGGGCCTTTGTCCACTGGAAGACACCTGGCGCGCTCCACTAGCGCGTCGCTCGCAACGCCGCTCTGAACACCTACCGACTTCTCCAACCTTCTCTGGGGCGGGCTTGACTGCAGCCCCAGCCATCACCTGCGGCATATGACCACCAGCCATTCTGCTGCTGTGGACGCCAGCGGCAACCCACAACCGGCTTCGCAGCCAGACCGCGACTCAGATTCAGCCAACGAAAGCTCAAGAGAATCTGACGTGGGTCCGAGTCTGAAGCGCGACCCTGAGCAGCATACCAACGGCCATGATGCAGATGTAAACTTTGAGAAAACAACCGACGAAACCACCCAGGCGCCCGCCACTCCCTACGCAGCTCCTGCTTGGGCTTCGACTCCCGCTTCAGCCCCAGTTCCATCTGCGGCTCCTGCTTCGACCGCGGCCACTCCTACTGCTGCGTCTGTAGCGGCCACTCCCGCTGACGCCAGAGGAATTGCGCATCTGTCGACACCGCGGACGAGTGGCAGCACATACAACAACAATAACAACAACAACTTCCCCAGTGATAGCAACAACAACATTGGAGACATTTTCAACAACGCGATTTCGCAAGGTGCTCCCGACTTGGCGTTGAGCCCAACCTCTGGCAGGCAACGCAGCAGCACCCTTCTAGACCCCGATCCATCGCATGAGCTCTTGGTCGCTGCTTTCCGAAAGACATCGCCAGGTCTTGCTGCGCGCTTAAAGGCTCTAGGCCTTGGGGCAGCAGCCAAGAGAGCCATCACCAGCTCTCAGCCCGTCGACATCGGCCGACTTGACGAAGAACAGCTCCGCCAGCTCGACGAGAAACACCAGGCGGGATCAATCAACGCCGTTATTTCTCGGCGCGGCCGTCCTTGGAAAGGCCGCGGCGCCCCTCCTCCTCATTATAGATCGTCTAGCCTGTCAGACGTCTCCATGTCTCCCGTCGCCGCTGACTCCTACCAACTGCCGGAGATTCAGCTGCCGGAATCAATCAACATAGATATGGACACACAGAAATATCGGTTGCCCGACCACATAAATGGCAATGGAACCAAAGTCACTCTAGATACTCGGCGCGAGCACCTCGAGCGAATTACGCGTCCGCCATCTCCCAAGGAGTACCCCCCTCTTCCCTCCTCGCCTCCTGCTGCTCCTCCCTCTCACTCACCTTCGCATTCCTTGTCCTATTCTCCCTCATATTCCCCGTCCCCGCCAACCCCTCCGCCAAAGGAATCGCCAATTGTGGAGACGACACCGCCTGAAGTGATCACCTTTAATAATTTCGAACCAGAAATGAGCTCTTATTTTACCCAGGGCCACAATCGGCCCGGATCAATATATACTCTTTCCCGGGTGTCGTTTGCGAACCAGCTTGCTCAACTGACTATGCTTGGGATTCCCGATGCCGAGGCCCTCTCCAGCAAAGTGTCGTCTATCCCAACAGCCCCAGTGGCTTCCAAGGCGTTGATCAATGCCGCTGAGCAGATCCGGAGCTGGATTTCCAAAGCCTTGGAGGTGGTTAGTGGATTGGACAGTGAGGATGATGTCGAGTGGGCCGCTGCTGGTGGCCGTGAAGGTCTAGAGGAGGTTGAGAGCGCCATTAATCGATTCGAGCATCTCATCAACGCCTATGTTAATGCCATCGATGAACTACAAAACCGACATGATATCGCGACCGTCTCAACAGACGACCTCAGGCAGGCTGTTACTCAGATGGAGGCCATAGCTGAAGAATGGGGCCGGATAAAGCTAACCTTGCAAAGTGTGCGGAACCAGGTTGAAATTGCCATGGAGTGGGAGGAGCTTTGGAACAGCGTACTGGGCGATATACAGGGCGAGATGGAGGAGCTCACGCGGCTCGTCTTCGAGATGGAAGAGCGTCGCCACAAGAGCCTTGCCGTCGTTGCAAGCGGCGATAACGTCGATATCGGAGATCTCGAGACCATCGTTGAAGATAACCCTATCTCGGCCGCCCGGCTGGCGCCCTCGAACCGCTTTAGTCTGGCCCTGCCGCTAACCCCCAACTCGCCGGGAACTTCGACCCTGTCTCAGGATGATTCCAGTCTGCTCGCCCTCTTTGCCAGGATGCAGCCCTTGAGAGCTTCCCTAGACTTTTTGCCCATGCGACTCTCCGTCTTCGAGGCGCGGGCGAAGCACGCCTTCCCAACCGCATGTGAAGAATTGGAAATGCGCCGTGATGGCCTAGATGGAAGCTATAAGAAGCTGGAAAAGGATGCCGAGTCCCTGCGCAAGGAGCTTGGTGAGGATAGATGGGTCATTGTCTTCCGAGGCGCAGGACGGCAGGCTCAAAAGATGCACGAATCCGTCGAGCGGTCTCTGATGAAGCTGAGGGAGGCAATCGACTCAGGCATGCATTTGACGAACCAGCCTTCCATTGCCAAAAAGATTGAGAGCTACGAGGCAAAGAAGACCCATTATGGCCCTGCCATTGAGCGTGTCCTGGCCATTATTGACAAGGGCGTCAAGGATCGCTTGACCGTCAACGGCGAAATCCTGCGTCTTCACACGGAAATGCAAACGCGATGGGCGTCGCTGAAGCTCGACGTTGCAGAGATGGATGCCGTTCTCGAGGATATTTACGCAGAAAGAAAGAGTCAGCAGCTGCGAGATTCCATCTCCAGTATGCTCTCCAACGACAGATCAACCAGTGGCAGCGGCATGGAGACCCCGGGAAGCTCTCCGCCTTCGTCAGTGATCATGACGACGCTTGGTCTCGATCCGCATACGCCTGCACGGAAATATACTGGTAACCAGCTTCGTTCGCCCAATGCGAGCGGCTCTAGCCTCCGGTCGACTTCAAGCAGGAGGGACTCGTCGCTACCGGCTCCTGTCACAAAGCTTTCCAAGAAGCCTGGAACCAGACACTCTACATATTACCCCCCTTCTGCCTCCTCCTCGACTCTTCGGCCTTCGTCCACTATGGGGCACCGGCCCCGATGGAACACCTCCTCCAATAACCTAGAAGGTGAGGCTCGCAGCCCGTACAGGACGCCGGCGCCCCAAAGGTCAACGTCGGCCATCACGCCGATATCTACCTCCAAGCTCCCCACCCCTCGAAGCTCTCTAACACGCGCTGGCTCTGATTCCCCCATGTCGGAATCGTTTCCCAGGTCGTTTTCCAGGGGTGGCTCTCGACTGTCGTTCCGTGAGCGCCTCACGTCCCCTGGGCCCTATTCTCAAAGCAGCATGGCAAAGCAACAGCCAGCTCGTCGATCCAACGTGGGGCCATCTTCTTCGACCCTGAACCTGGATAGCCTGAACAACCGTCCCAGCAGCTCTTTGGCTTCAACCCGCCGGAGCAGCTTGTTGCCAATGCCGAGGGGCAGGCCAGACTCAACCCGTGGATCGAGCCCTCTTCCCATTTTCAGCCGGTTTAGCTCTCGCAAATACAGCGACAATTCACCCGAGCCAAAGGATCTCAAGCCCAGGTGGCGATTTTGAATCAGCAATATTTGATGGCACGGTCATAAGATTATGGTATCGAATGTTAGGGGGATTGGAATCGGATTGTGTTTATTTTGCTTTGCTTCTTCTGTAACCTCTCGAGTCGATGCTCGTTTCATGTGAAGCCGCTCATTTCAAAAATATCCTCCCTGCTTCTCTTCAGCTCACATCACATTGGCATGCCCTTCTCGTGTTTTAAAGTAATTTTCTTTCTGTGTTTTCATAGCGTGGCGTAAACGGTTTTTTTTTTTTTTTCGAATCAAGGAGAAGCGAAGCGAGCTCAGCTGGCGGGTTGTGTGGGAGTTTACATGGAAATGACGCGACACCAAAAATGATTTGTTTCTTTTTGATTGGCATGTGTCGACACAATTTTTCACCTTTCCACATTTTTTTTTTCTTTTTCACAATATTGTTTTAACTAATTCAATCCTTTCTTCTCCCCCAAGTTGGTCTCATTGAGTGTGCGTTCTTTCTTTGTCATTTATTTTGTTTGTTTGTATTTCCTGTCATAGCTGAGATTCCCGGAGCTATTTACATTAGCTCTACATTTGTAGTTGTACTAGAAAAAGCAATGTGCAATTTGTTCTTTTCCAGATTGAATTGTTTCTCATTTTGATGGCTGATAGATCTGGAGCGGGATATGCATATCAGCAGGAAAAGCATTCAGGGCATCATTGTTTCCTCAATTCATCTTCTTGATGACAAAAGTCATTATCAGAAGTAGGACAGATTTCAAAGCATAGCAGGTATTTCTCAGTATATGGTTTACCATATATCATGCAAAGAACACTCCCAAAACGCCATAGCACCCATAGAAAAAGGAGCCTAATTTAAATCAAGATTCATGAATCTCGTGCGAGGCCATGGTTAACGTTTTTATTCACGGCTTGCCCATCTTGCTTTCTCCAAGTGTTGCAATGCCGCCATAATCATGAATCAGGCTACTCTGGTGTATATATAGGTATATACACATGCAAACATTCCATGACATCTACCAACATCACCTCTATCCCACAGGCTCTATCTCCCCTCCCCTCTCCTCTTTGCTTTTTTCTAGTTCGCTTCAAAGGGGTAATGTAAATGCTTAAAACACCAACGCCAAAGCTCGTGAATGTACTGACTTTCGCCGCCCAACACCATGACATAAAACAGGGACTGAGGAAGGCGCCTTCATTACGTCTCATATCTCGTTCCGAACAACAAACAAAAACAACCGCACTGGCCAAAAATTGGGAATCACAAGCCGCTTATCAATAATGAATTCATCATAGAGGCATCAATCCGATACCTCCCCCACTCTTCTTGGCGATTCTGCCGTCACGCCTGAATCCGTTGCTGCTACTTGCACCAGATCGAGACGATGGACCGGCACCGCTTGAAGAACCTCCACCTCTCCTGCCGGCACTACCGCCCCGACGCTGAGAACCTCCAGCGGCACCACCTCTCTTGGACCATTTTTTACCAGAGAATCTCCTGCTGCCTCCCCCCCGGCTGTAGGAAGATCTGCCTCTAGATTGACTCGGTTGGTCGTTCAAACTTTGCAGCCTATCGTGGAAGGCTTGCACATCAGCCGATGGCTTGGAAGCAAAGTAATGGGAGTCTTCTCCACCTCCCATGGACTCCTCTTCATCCTCATCGATATCGAGGTCAGAACTAATCAAGTCCACTATTTCTTGATCCAAGTTGGACGTTGAGGCAGAAGCAGCACCCGCATCCGCGCCAGCAATCTCACGATACGATTTATGATACACGTTCAACATTTGTATCAGCTTTGGGCCAACCTCCTGAACTCTGTCGACGTCGATGCCTGGAATACGACTCATTCTGTCGATAGAGGTGGTCCAGTTAATGGCCATTTCTTGCAGGTGAGTGTCCGTAAACATTGGGCGCCTGAGGCCAAGCCTATTCCGAATTCGCTCTTCCAGTTGGCGTGCTTCTTGGACAAAAGCATCCACCACATCTTGGTGGATATCTGGCAAATCTTGCAGCCTGCGTTTGCTTGGGATCGGCTCTGGCCGCTGTGTCTTCTTGTGACTAGATTTCGAGGTGGTAGGTTTTGCCGGTCGATGCTGAGGAAGTGGTTCGAAGGCCTCTTCATCGGCCATATCTTCTTCAGCTTCATCCTCCAACTCTTCATCTGAGATAACAAAACCATCATTCACATAGCCGTGTGATGTGGTGGGCAAGTTCGAGTCGTCATCGTCGTCACTATCAACAACTGTTGCCCTTTTCCTGCGTGTATTGATGGGTGACGAAACATATGTGGATTGCACATTATTCGCTGGCTCTTTTTGCTTTCTGTTGGTTTTTGTTTTCTTGATCTTCGTCTGATTTGCATCACCACTGTCCGAAACCTGCACCGTCAACATGAGCTTCCGTCTCCCCGTCAAAAATTGGTTGGCGGCAGGTCCGATTCGGAGATATTGAATGGCGACTCCATGATTCCCAACAATATTGTCTTCGTGGAAGCCCTTCTCAGCTGAGAGGCGGTCAATAACGCGCACCATCTCGTGCTTCTTCATTCCCTTGGCCATGCCGTGATACTCATCTGAGTTTTGGTCTTGATTGTCTGGGTACTTTCTACCAATCAGAATATCTGCGCACTGGTTTGCCGTTAGTCTGTGCTGCTGTTGCACAATTCGTATGGCTGCAATGGCGTATTCAGAGAAGTCCTGCTGCTCAAAAACAAGCCCGGCCTGACAATTGTCGCAAGTCTTGTGGCATTGCGACGGAGTAAAGTCCTCTCCAAAATAGCGTAGAACTTCGGTTCGTCGACAATCTGCTTTATTATCACAAAATGCTGTCACGCGGTTCAGCATTGCCATTTGTCTTTCTTTTTGATCCTTGCTGCCGTCCCCGTCCATAATCAGTTTTTTGAGGACTCTTATGTCCGCTTTGCCATAAAACAGAATACAGTCGGAAGGTTTCCCGTCTCGCCCTGCACGTCCGGTTTCCTGATAGTAGCCTTCTAAGCTCTTCGGGATGCCATGGTGAATAACATATCTCACGTCCGGCTTATCAATCCCCATACCGAAAGCAATGGTAGCCACTACAACCTTGACTTGGCCCTTCTGCCACGCTGTTTGTACTTCCACCTTTTCCGTGGGTGTAATTGCAGCATGGTAATGACGGGCTGTTATACCATTGTCAGAGAGCTTCTGGGCAACATCTTCGGCTTGTTTCCGTGAGATTGTATAAACAATCCCAGTAACATTTGGGTATTTGGAGTTGATTAGAGCGGCGATTTGCTGGGTCACAACCGGGTTGGAAGATTTGGGCCGGACCTCGTAGTACAGGTTTGGACGGTTGAAGCTTTGCGAAAAGACTTGGCAGTTGTTCATTCCAAGATTGTGTTTAATATCGACAATGACGTTCTGAGTGGCAGTAGCGGTTAAGGCCATGACCGGAACCTCAGGAAATTTGGACCGAAGCTGCCCCAGAGTCTTGTAATCAGGTCGGAAATCATGCCCCCACTGGCTGACGCAGTGAGCCTCGTCAATGACAATACGGGCAAATTTTCTACTCCGGTACAAGCTCTGCAAAGCATTCATGAACTGAGGGCTTTTGCTTGCCATTTCAGGCGTGACGTAGAGGAGCTCAATGAAATGCTCCGGATTGCGTTCGTTAAAAGCAGACATGACTTGCCGCTTGTATTCTGGAGAGCATTCGCTGTTGAATGCAACTGCCTGTATTCCCAAGGCCTTCATATGATCGACTTGGTCTTGCATTAAGCTCAGTAGGGGAGATACAACGATGGTGACACCTCTTGTTCTGCCAGATTTAACGACAGCCGGAAGTTGGTAGCAGAGAGATTTCCCACCACCTGTTGGCATCAAGACAAAGGCGTCATCACCTGCGAGCGTGGCGTTGATAGCTTCTAGTTGGTTCTGACGGAATCCTTTCATCCTAAATCGATCTTTCAAAGTCTTCTGTACGTCCGCAGACCAAGGATGCCTCATGAGCTCCGCTGGTATCCTTGTCTGAGATGGATCGGGAGGTGGCTGTCTTTTAGTGGATTGTCTCTGCTTTGGCGCGGGCGCAACATTTCCAGATGTTTCGGAAAAAGCCCGTCGAGAGTCCAGCGAAGGTTCGCCAGCAGTTTGGCGCACCTCGTAATCTTGAGCAAATGCAAGCATATCAGCATCATCGCTGAAATCGCTAAATTCATTTCCTGAGCGCTGGATGCGATTCCTCTGGGGTGTTTTGCGTGCCTCAAACTGAGTGGTCTTCTTAGCAGGTTTAGGTAACAGTTGCATCTCCATATCGTCAATATCAGAAAAGAAATCTTCCTCAGCATCTAGATCACGATTCGTGGGAGGACGTGGCCCTGCTCTTGGAGCAGATGCTGAGGCGTACTCGGGAAATTGAGCAGCATGTGATGAGTGTCGTGGAAACGGCCTGGACCGTGAGTCTTGGTCCTCCTGGGAGAGGACACCGCTTCCGCCTGTCAATTGCTGTGTCGAAATAGGCTCATTCCAGAGTTGTGATCGGATCGGTTCAGGAAGCTGCGTTTGATGGACGACTTGGGTGCCTCCCATAGGCACTGGGACATCTCTTGAGCTCCGTGACATGTTGACCATGCCTCCATGGCCAGCCTGAGTTCCGAGCACAACGATATGGTCATCTCTCCGATTCGGGGCTCGGCCTTCTAGAGGTTCCAAAAGACTGGCTTCATCAAGGCCTGCTGCAACAATCATTTGAAAAAGCTCCCGTTCTGTTGCCTCGACGCGCTCAGTAAGCTCATCTAGTCGTGCTTCATCTTCATCTGTATCTAAACCATTGGAATATGATCGGGCTATCTGCTGAGCAACTGCTTCTCGTTGCTCACATAGAGTCTTGTAGCGTTCCACTGATTCATTGAGATCCTTGGTCACCTTTTGTTGTTGGACGAGTCGTTCCTTCTCTGCCTTGATCTCATTTCTCTTGTCTTTGGGCAATCTGTCATTGATAGCTTGCATAAAATCCCGCTCATTCTTCTGAATTTGGCCGTCCAAGTATCCGCATCTTTTTGTGAGAAATTGCGGATTTTCCAAAATGTGGGATAAGAGTTTTGGTGTTTGGCTGGATGGCGCAAACGACTGCTGCGGGTGGTTGATCTCGCTGACATTGTCGTCGGCGGTAGCTGTGCTCTGGGTTTCAGGCAAGCTATGATGAGAAATTTCGAGGTCTCTAGCTTGTGCACGTCGAGGAGGAGGCGGTGACCGTTGTAGTCTTGGCTCGGGAGATGCAGGTACATCTTCGACGTCCATGATGAAAGCGTCCTCATCCTGCGGATCGAACAAAGGCTCCGCTGGTTGTTTCTTCGAAGTAGTCGTGCGCGACGGTGGTGTAACGAATTCATCGTCAGAATCAGGAATGAAGAATTCGTCGACTTGGCGTTGCTCGGGTCGATGGGCATCCTCATCCAAATTCAAAGAATCCGGGGACGCAGACCGATGGCCGGCAACTTTCACCTTCTTACGTCTTTCAGAGCTAGTAATGGCATAGTCTTTTTCTGGAGTCTGTTTGATAGGAGATGGTGCTCTGCGAATAGCGACTCGTCCCAAGGGAGATGAAGACCCGGCCAAAGACATCTTCGAGGATGCTTTCTGCGCACCCTTGGATAGTTTAGTAACGATCATTTCTTCTACTTGTTGAAGGTTTGCCAAATCGGGGGAACTAACTTTGTTTGCAGAATGTCGACCAGGAGTCGGGGCGGGAGGATCAGTTCCCAGAAGCTGATAAACATCGGGAAACTGGCTATCAGCAGCAGTGTCAACATCACCAGTGTCGGCACTCTTCCTCTTTCTAGATTTAGGCAGCGGTGCCTTCCAAGATGCATCCTTTTCCGTCCAAACTTTGACATCATCACCAAACTCTTCAGATTCGTCAGATGCGCCAGTTGTTCTGGTGAGATCCATGTACTCCAAATCGTCAACGTCGAAGTCTGCAAAATCAGCGTCTAGTCCGGGAGATGGATTCTGTCGTGATGGGCCTGATTTCCCCAGTGAGATGCCATTTTGTTTTTGTTTCTCAGATTTCGGGGTTGCTGCTATAACGTTAGGCTCCAAAACATCGGTAAACAACCGTAAAATACACACCACTAGTCTTAATAGACTCAGCTAAAATCTGTTTGGATCGGCTATCTGCTGACGAAGGCGTTGCAAGAGGGCCATTTTGCGACAGTAGTAAAGGCTTTTTCGACTTGGTAGATAAACTCAGACGACCCATGCTGTCGTCCTCTAATACCGCCACTTCTGTATCTTGTGAAACCTCTTCTCTCTTTGGCGGGCCATTTGAGCTCCCAGATTCCTGAGCCTGGTGTATCCGTCTGTCTGCTCCAGCTGATAAGGTGGTTGCTTGACTAAAATCTGCCGCACGACCGCCGTTTGTAGACTGCGATTGCGAGAAATGAAACGATGCTGTATCGCTGGTTTGTGGAAACTGGGGTGCGGTGGGCTTTGATAACGCAGCGTTCTTCAACAACCAGGTGAGGTGGCCTGAGAGGTTATTTCGAGTCATGAAGCCGGCTTATGGATGCCAGACTGGTCCGCATTTGCGCTTCTGGCGAGCATTGAAGCCGGTCCGTTGTATCGCAGATGTTTTGATGCCTGTCAAACATCTGTTGCTCTATGCGGCGTGAACAATAGTGGGAAAGTCGCGTAACGCGTTTAGTTAGTCAGCAGATGCGACAACACGTGACTCTCATTAAAGGCCTGAACGCGGTCTTGTAAGCGGAAAAATCGCGGCTATTATTGCCATTTTGTGTATTATGTAATGACTACGATTCTGTGATGGACAGCGAATTGTCAACTCATGCAACAATAAGAGGAGCACTGACGGGGTGAATCTTTATTTTTTCATCAACCTGCTCCGTCAAGGTATATGCTATCTACTTACTGCATTTATAAATACTGGAAGTCAATAAACCATAAATCAGCAGCTAAGCCGTATCAAATAAGATAAAATCCGGTTACTGGTTAATTGAAATACCATAATAGTACCAAACTAGATAGCTGCCGTCAAGGGATACAATTGGTGTACTGGCTCGCATCCGCATACGAGTACATACAAACAGACGGCATGCATATACAATGCGTCAACAGCCTTTCGAAAGCTGCTCCGTACACATTTTGTTTGCGAAATACGAGAAGTGCAGGCTTGCATCTATCCTGCCAGATTCAGTTGTGCGTCGTTGTTGGAGCATTGAAATACAAAAGCTCTTGATTCTAACATTACAGGTGTAAGCAGGGTATTATGGCACCTCGAAAGTACCTCTAGGCCACTTGAGCCTTACCCATGGCCCGTACCCCTGAGCTACGAAGTAAGCACATGTGGCAGAGTCACATCCACGGCTAACCGATCAAGATCTATATTTCCCGAGTCATCCAACTCCAGGTTTCTGCATGGATTGTGACATATGTCTATTATAACTCTATTTTTTACCATATTGTAACTTCTGATTGAAGCAGATCTCTCTTCAAAATTGCAGCATTGCACGGACGGCTGTCGGCGGCATCGGTGGAGTTGCGATCAGATCTTCTTCCGGCCCGCACGGCTGGCTGGCCGGCAGCCGGCCGGGGCCCACTCCGGATGAGGAGCATCAGGATTTGGCTATTGGTTGCAAGAAAACGGCTTTCGCCGCCACGCCGCTTTAAGCCGAGTGTTTGCTTTTTCGCAAATTTTTGTAGCAGTCGCAGAAGGGCGAGTACGTAAATATTATCCAAGAATAATCGTCTATAGTCGGTGAGATGAGATGGTTACCAACTCGTAGATTTTTAGTTCGGAACTCGGCTCCTGGAATACAGGAGATGGGCATAAGAAAAGAACGGCGCAAGAATGGCTCACCGTGATAAAAAGAGATTCAATTGAATCGCCTTACTCTTAAGGAGCATTTGGATCAATCGCCATTTCTCCTCCTTCTGCACCGATATGTCACGAAGTTACGGAGTACAGTCTCCGATAAATCATGACGTGTACAATTGGTGTGAAGCGTGGGTTAGGCCATGTTACATCTCGATTCTTAGCCAGCGGTTCCAGGGTGCGCCAAGACAATCCTTTTCGCATTGTGGAGATACAATTGATACGCCGCTTGATCTGATTGGTAGTTTACTCCTTAAAAGCAGCGATGGCAATCCTATATGCGCTTCTCGCATGATGTTTGACCGGAAGAGTCCGTTATCAGCTTTCCCTGAAAGCAGTGGCCATGAATCTTGGCTTCGGCGTGGGGCCGGCGGTTATCCATTTTTTCCAACCGTGCCTCAGACGGATGTCGGTTCTGACGTTTGTATTAAAACAAGACGAATTCCTTCGCTCCAATCTGTCAAACTTTTATTTTTTTTAGTGCTTCTTTGCCTCCAAACACAGACGCCTTGTCGAAATTGGCTGTGATCTAAAATTAATGCTTCTCCTAGCTTTCTGAAGAGAATGTCAACCACCACCACAGATCCGATGGCCGATACTCAAGAAAAGGTCGACACAACCCCTCAAGACACTAGTCGAGAGGGGTCTATCTCTACCGAACAACAAACTCCACAAGCAGTCGAGAAATCTCACACAAAGAATGAAATCGTCGACTACTTCACCCAAGATGTTCGCACGTCACTGTTCGTTGAGCTCCAACTCCTGCTCATAACATTTTGTACAGGCATCCAAGGTAGATACACACCCTATTTGGACATCGAATTTCTATAGAAAGAGGCTAAAACAAACTTTATTGCAGATGCAACGACGTTTCCGGACTATCATTGTTTTGCCTCGAACCAAACTGGCAATACAATCTTTCTTTGCCTGGCCTTGGTAATACCAAAACTGAACGGCGATATGTTCTACACTTCAAGTATTGGCACGGGATTGGGCGTCTTCCTAGGCGCAGGATGGTTGACTGGCCAATTAGGCCACATCGTTGGACCTCGAAAGCGCTGGTGGCTTATTCTGTGTAACCTGATTCAAACTTGTCTCGTCTTCGCTGCCACCGCGATTCAATATCGGTACGGGGTTGAAGACCACGGTCCGAAAGCACTTGCTGTTATAGCGCTGCTGGCATTTGCTGCCGGCAGTCAGGTAGTCCAATCTCGAAGCCTGGCCGCAACTGAAATCAGCACCGCAATGGCAACCGCAGCATGGGTAGACTTGATGATTGACCGAAAACTCTTTGCCTTGGACAACCGACCCCGAACGAGACGAGTTGCTTTCCTTATTTCACTTGTCGTAGGAGGTTTCATCGGTGCCTTGCTTTATCGAACTGCAGGGTCAGCAGCCGCCCTGGCTGTCTCTGGAGCTGGCAAAGCACTCGCAAGTCTGCTATACGTTTTCTCAGGGGCTGAGAAGAAGAAGGTCAACACATCAGAAGTTTGAGGGGGGAATAGACATGGAGTTTTGTTTTCCTGGCGTTTTTGGTTTGAGGGTATATGATTGGGTTATGAAAAAGCGAGCGGTGTTGCATTCACAGCGAACATACAGGTTTTAGACAGCAGGCATATTTTTGATGGCATTAGATAAAAAGCGACGCAGATGCACATAGTTGGTTAGAGTAATTTTTATTTATTTTCGTTTGTTTCCAAGAATCTCCAATGAAACCTGCTAAATTTAGCTGGTACTCAGCTTCAAAATCACTTGCATGTATATGGCTTTGCTATTGGTTACAAGAAGCCACATGCACCTGATGAGCCCCTCATTGAATACAATTGTTCGAGATTGTATTCAATATTATGCAAATGGTAGTTTGTGGAACTTCAATCTCAAGAGAGATAAAAATCATTTGACAAAAGTAAGGAGAGGGAGCTTGTCCATTGCAGATGCTCAAAAGAGAACAGGCCGATCAATGATGCCACGTCTGAGTGAGCTGAGAATAGCAATTGCAACGCCCCATTTAACCAACTTGAAGCGGTCAGAGCCAGCCCCTGTGATCAATTGCAAGAATCCTGCGGCCAATGCCAAATATGTGCTCATGTACATGCATATTCACCATTTCCCACACTTTATTCTCACTCTAACGAGCGTTTAAGATGTACTGCTTCGTGATTGTATTGCCCCTTAGAGGAGATGCGCTGTAAGTCAATCCCAGTCCACAGTCTCCACCGCTTTCTGCCTATTCTAGCAATTCATGGTGGCCGGAACTAATAATTCTCCGCTCCGATCAGGCTGCCATAGTGGGACTCGCTGCTTAATCGAGATTCAAGCGAAGCTTCAACCAGGCATCAGCGGGCCTTGTTTGGTGATGGCTTCGTTTGTCTCTTGATCCAGGCGCCGGTCACGAGTTTTCGCGATGCATCATCCCGGCTCCTTTAGGCAGCACACCAGGATAAACGCGTTTCGCGTCGGATCCGTCCCTTTTCAGCTCCAACGCCACATTTGACCGCCAAGATGCTACGGTCGTTGGGGGAGCGTTAGCGGCAGTTCCACGACATTAGTGCTACGAAGCTTCGAGCCCGTCTTCGTGATGACATGGAAATAGCTCCAGTGCTTGCTTTAGCTCCCGGCGATTGAAGATGTATAAAGCATGCAGCTGCTCCCGTTCGTTTTCTAGGCTTAATTCCAAGGCAGTTCACAGCATCACGAATCTTTTCTTCTTTTCCCAATTGAAACCAATTCGTCGTGCTGTGCCTCGCTGTTCTCATTTTCTTCCATCATCTGCTCTCCATCTTCAAAACATTCAATTGCCTCACCGTGCGAGATTTCTTTCTTCGTCTTACCCTACCCAGCCTTCACTTGATCCAGACTCGCAAGCAAGAATGGCTCTCGGAGACTTCCCCAAGCTACCTGCGTCCCAGGCGGACCTGGTAAAGTACATTGCTCAGAACCCATCTAAGCCAATGGTTGAAATCATGGAGCCATACCGCAAGTTTGAGGCTCACTTGCGCTCTGTTTTCGCACAAGACCGACAAAACCCCATCCTCAATGATCCTTACCTCAATGTTGTGCCTCTTTTTACTGAGGATACCAAAGATATCACCGTCCGTGCCCGTGACCTGGCGTCTGAGTCGGAAGAGGAAAAGTCAAAGTACATCATGACTTTGCCGGACGACAAGCGTCGCCCACACGGATCCCCAGCAACTGTTGCCGATTTGGCCGAGTTTCAAAAGAACTTTAACATTTTCTCAGAGTCTTCTCTCGCTGAACTCGACTGGAACAACGTTGTGGCAGCTGGCTCCTCCGTTGTCAATACGCTGCTGCCCGTTCCCAAAGAGTTCAATACGAATAAGAGGAAGCTCCGTGAATATTATCACGAGAAGTTTTGCCCTGCTTCTGACGTCGACCTCTTCTTATATGGCCTCACTCATGAAGAGGCCATCGAAAAGATTAAGCAGATCGAGCAGTCAATTCGCGATTCCATTTTGAGCGAAGTCACCGTTGTTCGCACAAAATACGCCATCACCATTGCCAGTCAATATCCTGTTCGGCATGTGCAGGTAAGGGCAAGCCCCGTCCACATATAGGTTGGGTCAGCATTCTCATTCAATTGACTTCTCACAGGTTGTTCTTCGTGTCTACAAGTCAATCAGCGAAATCTTGACTGGTTTTGACATTGATGCCGCTGGAGCTGCCTACAACGGCAAGCAAGTTTACGTGGCTCCCAGAACTCTCGGCAGCATTATTACTCAGATCAACCACGTAGATCTTACCAGACGCAGTCCCTCTTATGAGAACCGGTTGTCCAAGTATTCTCACCGGAATTTCGAAGTCTACTGGCCTGAGCTTGACAGATCACGCGTGGACCCAACAATCTTTGAGAGAAGCTTCCAACGAACATTGGGACTTGCCCGTCTGCTCGTTTTAGAACGCCTTCCAACGACTCATGCCCGCGATGCATATCTCAATAAGAGACGTCAAGAGCGCGGTAGGCCCGCGTTACAGCGCAACCACTTCAGCCTCAAAGGAAACCTCAAGTCTTACCACGAAGACGAAGTAGCCGATTGGCTCTCAGAGGAAGACATCAGCAACTACCATACCTTTACTGTTCCCTATGGCGAGAAGTTCAACGCCAAGCGAATTGAGAAGCTATGCTACACCAGAGATTTACTTCTCAACGCCGAATGGAATCAGCCAAAGGAACGTGAGGTGTATTTGCATCGCCACCCTGCATTCTTCGGAAGGGTGGAGGATGTCATCGAAGATTGTTGTGGTACCTGCCCTAAGCCGGTAACCCCAGAAGAAATTGAAGCTGCCGAGAAAGAGGCGGAGATTTACATCTCTGGCAAGGTCACATTCCTCATTGACGACCCCGGCAGGCAGCAGATCGGATCATTTAATCCATTGACGGAGCAAGACTGGACCGACATGGCTTATGTCGGCAACACTGCTAGACTATTCCAATCAATTGCTGAAAACGATGCCGACGACGTCTTGAATTGGCTCTCTCAAGAAGGCGCGGATCCGAACCAGAGGGATTATACAGGACGGGCACCGCTTCACCTCGCTGCCATGGTTTCTTCTCCAGAAATTGTTCGTCATCTAGTTGATCGCGGCGCTCGCCTAACCGCTCGCCTAGCGGACGGTAAAACAGCTCTCCATCTCGCCGCCGCCAGAGGTCATGCCGAGATCATCAAAATTCTGATGGACAAGAGTGACGAGAACGAGGAAGCTGAAGAAGACAGGAAAGACAGAAAACGCAAGGCCGCCAAAGCCCAAGACTCTGACAACAAAGATGACTCTCAAAAGCCTTCCGAGGAAGTAGAGGAAGACTCAGATGTTGAACTTGTGGATAACGCCGAAACAGAGACAGAAGTGCACTCCATCGTTACTGGATCCTTTGTCAAGGTGGAAAATGACAAGGAGAACAAGGAGGAGCTCGCGCTCGACGAACCTGAGGACGGACCAGACTTCTACCAGATAAACGTTCTTGCATGGGATATTCCATGTTCTCCGCTCCATCTTGCTATTGCTGGAGGACATGAGGATGCCGTAAAGGCTCTTTGCGATGTGAGTATCATAACAACTTTCATAACCTCCCTTATTCTTGATTTTTTTTCTTTTCTTTGTTCTGGTTTCTAATATAGAGCAGTACGGCGCCGACTCTATTCTTCCAGTCAAATTCATGTCTACCCACCATTACTCGAATGAAGCTGCCGCTATTCTTACCTTGACGCTTGCACTATCGCTGCCAACAGAAAAGGCCAAGTCTATGGCTCAGTTGCTTCTCAAACTAGGTGCAACATGTTCCCAGGCTGACGCCGATGGATGCACCGTCTTTCATCGTTATGTCGAGAGCGGCAATGTAGAAATGGTTGAAACACTCATCGACAACGACGCTAGGGGTGTTCAGGCGGCCATCAACCATTTATTCTTTTCAGGCTACCAGTGGAGACCCGATGTTATCTCACCACTTCAATCTGCTCTCGAGAAAGGCGATCCTATTCTCGTCCTCAAGGTTCTGGATGCAGGAGCCTCGATCGAGGTCGACTTTGATACCTGGCTAAAGTCAGCCAAAGTGGCCCCCTCGCAGAACAATCAATTCGGAACCCGAAACCAATTCGAAAACCTAGAACAGACAAAGAAGAGATATGAGGAATCAGTGGAGTCGCCTTTGATTGCGGCAATTCGGTCAGGCGACACCAAGTCAGTGATACATCTTTTGGAAAATGGGGCAAACCCCAATGCGCTCACCCTTGAGACCCAGTACGCGTTGGTGAATGAGTCTCAGCGCAACTGGACTAATGCAGCCACCGCATTAGACATGGTTCAACGTCTTATCAAGAAACTGCGTGAATATAGTGGCGAAAAATCGACGGTTAAAGAGCCCGAGAAACAGCCAGGTATCGACACCTACTTGGAAAAATTTGAGCCTGGCACCTATCAACACTGGATAGTCTCCAACAAGGTCAGAGCAGCTCAAGCAACATACCAAACCCAAAAGGACAATTATGAGAAAGGGGTGCGGAGTACCAATGAACGCAGAGGAAATGCTGAAAAGGAAAAGGCCATCAAGGATGCTATTTCAGACCTTACCGAGGTTGAGAGCATTCTTATTGCCAAAGGTGGCCTTGTATTCAAAGAGCTTCATCCAGACGTCAAAATGGAGAACCGCCACAACTACAGCTACAACCCTCCGGAACCCCCCAAGGTTACAGCGTTTGAGTGTAAATTCCTGTTCAACGGGGACAACGACATGACTGAAGGCAAAAAAGACGGTTATCTTCAATTGTAAGCCCAAAATCTATCTATTTCGGTGACATCTAGTTGCAAAACTAACACTTTGGTTTAGGATGCAAGCAGCCTGGACCGGGGATATCGAGACGATCAAGTCCCTCACGCTTCGAGCTTGGGGCTCTAACGATGAGCAAGCACCGCTTATGATGGCTATTACTGATGATAGCCGCAACTCCCCATTCTCGATTGCCTTCCTTCGTGGCCACTATCAAGCTGCTAAGGCCATCTTGGAGATTATAAGGGCTCAGTGGACCGCGCCTGAAAAGGAAAAAGTGCGATACAAGATGATTTCTCGGGATGAAGATGAAGCGGATGAAGGCTCAGACGAGGAAAACGACGAGGGACAGTCGGACGATGAACTTCGAATTGTCTCAGAGACGATTGACAAGGCTTTTACCATTGATGATATTGGTAAAGTTTCTATGCAAGTCAAGTCTCACGCCAGGCCTATCGATGTGATCCGAGCCCATGCTCCACGTATCGTCAAGAAGGAGGATGGATCGTCTGAACTTGGTGCTATCACAAGTCTCTTCGTACAAGCCATTGACGACGAGGACATGGCTGGCCTGAAAGTCCTCCTGGGACTGGTGACTGAATACGAACAGACGGAGACGACTGGTGAAGATGACGAATCTAACAAGAGGTTTAGTCTGGATTCCGGTGACTTCCTCTGGGCGGTGCAAAGCGGAAACACGGAAGCGCTCAGTCTTCTGATCAAGCGAACCGGCGCAGGAATTCCCCTGGACCATCTCGTCAAGAAGAGTGGCGCTGAGCTGAAGCAAAAGCCCCGTTTCTACCAAGGATTGACGGTCTATGGAAAGAAGAGGTATGAAGACCCCGGATAAGATATGACGAAAATCTCGTAACTGACATTGCCATAGAAAGGATTGGGCACAGGCCGGCCGAAACATGGTCGTTAGGACCACTGGGCTTCAAACCCCTCCTCTTCTGCATGCGGCATTGAGTGGTCGCATTGAAGCAGTCGAGTTCTTCTTGAGCGATAAGCCCCATCGCCTGTACAGCGAATTTGCCAAGTCCAAGGCCGCCGCTGAAGATCCTAGGCTTAAACATCTCACCTCGAGCCCAGTGGGATTTGACCGAGCCATATCCAAGTGGCTTGGTGCAGACAGTAAGCTTCGTTCTTCATACAGAAGACTGGATACATGCTAACAGAAAGGCTCACTAGATGATTTTGTGCTGCACACGGCAATTTTGGCAACACCATCCAAGCGGTCCATTGAGCTGATCAAGTACTTAATCGAGTCCTATCCAGATTCGCTCGAGAAGAAGACATCTAATGGCGATACGCCTCTGATGATTGCCTGCCGTCTCGGCTATGTCCAGTGTGCCAAGCTCCTAATAGGAGCAAATGCCGACCAAGCTACTCGCAACCATATGGGAGAAAACATTCTGCATGCGGCCGTGTCCCAAAACCCGAAGGCTGGTAGCCTCCGCCGCCTCCTCGACATCCTTGACCCTAGCCTTCGAAGCCATCTGTTTACGGAGCGCAAAAGTCTGCAGGCAAATGGGCTGACACCTCTGCACGCTTGGATCTCCAAAACTTCCGGGGTGACTGAGGAGGATCACTCTGGTAGGTACTCAAGGCGCAGAAGATACTACCACTACCAACCGTCGTCGCCTTACAGTAAAACGGAGGACATTGTGGACATGCTGCAGCTCATGCTAGAGTATTCCAAGGGCGAGGAACTAGACATGCTCAACGGCGCCGGTGATACTTGCCTCCACACCGCCATCATGCAAAGGATGGTCTCCATCGTCAAAGTCCTTATCGACTTCAAGCCGCAGCTCCTCTACAGGGAGAATGCAGTTGGCCGCACGCCTGCTGAGGTGGCACAAGACAAGGTCACAGCCGACCAATTCGCCCGACAGATCAAACTCCAAAGCAAGCGAGGCGACAAGCTGGACGCCTGGCCCACCAAGGCTGTCAGTGAATTTATTACGTGCGAGACCATTGAGGGCCTGAGCGATGACCAGCTTCGCGAGAAGGTCGTCGAGCTTGGTCTCAGCGGCCAGTACCAACCCGCTCAAGTGGCCGCCATCATCGGCTTAGTCGGGCTCGAGCAGAGCAAGGAGACTCTCTCCGATAATACACGCAACACCGTCATCTGGGATCTCTGCAAGACCTGCATGGACAAGAACCCCGGCAAACGCCGCCTCGTCAGCCTCAACGAGGCCAATGATGTTGCCAAGAGGCTCGGGGAGAAGCACACCGCCTCGCGATACTTTTCTATTCAGGGCCGTGCAGAAGACGATGATGATGAAGCCGAGGATGATAAGGAAGAGAAGGATACGAGAGATTTTGCTGCCCAGCAGCTGTCCTCGAACCTGTCCAAGGCTTGGAAGATCAACAAGTTTGTAGCCAAGGATTTTGGTCTTGAGAAGTGTGATGGCTGCGGTTCTTATCACGATTGAGTGTGTAAATGATTAGAAGACTGCTCATTAAAACACAGATGAAATGATATGAGTAGAATTAAATTACTATCATGAATACTAGGTAGTCACAAATATACAATCAAATTGCAAAAGCATCAACTAATATATATTCGATATCGCGATATTTGAACAAGGTGATTTGTTTTCGTTTCCGCATAACAAAACTTGGTGAGAGAGTGGTGAAACAACCTTTGCTCTCCATGGCAAGGACAATACTTTCCAACATGTTACATATTTCCAACCCAGCCCACTGGCAAAGCCGGCCAATCGGATCCGCAGCCATCATCATCTTACAAGGTTACACGAGCCAGCTCATGGCCTAATAATAACGAACAGTTCGGGGAGCACCATCGCCCCAGAGTCCAACCACAGACAGCACAAAGGCGGCGGCGGCAAAGCCGGTCTTGACGAGATATGCTCTTGCAACACCCTCAACATTGGCTCTGACCTCCTCGCCATTGACATCCTCTAGCTCCGACTCGCTAGGCAAGTCTCCATCGCTGTGAGAATCGCCCACGACCTCGTAGCTCGCTTCCATCCGGGCTCTAGACGAGGTGGTCTTGCGTGCGCCAGTAGACTTTGAAGCTGCAGCGGCCGGCTGGGGAAGGTATCCGGGCACTACAACGGACAGCACGGCCAGAATGGACGTATAGAAGAGATACGGGTGGCGAGCATAGCGCGGAGAGCAAGCGAACGACAGGAAGAGCGGAGCAGCGGCCAGGGACGAAAGAGCGAGGACCGGGGTACGCAGCGAAGATTGCAGCGAGGCCAAGGCGTGTGCGGCGGAAGACGACGAGGGGAGCTGGAGGAGAGTTGGGAGAGTGACGGCGGAGACGGTATATGAGACGCCCTGCGAAGCCGGAGAGTCAGCCACGAATTCATTTTCTCGATAAAATTACAGTGATGCTTAAGGTCGTCCATAGCAATGCGATTGTCTCTCCCCGGCTGCTGCCCCCATCCTCCAATTCCGCAGAGTCGAAGCTGTCGCTTGAGCTGGCGGGGCCGAATGTGATGCGGTGATGCAGCTGAACATGCGACTCGGAGAGGGGGAGGGGCAGCCGGACTTTTTTCGTCGTCTTTTGCTACAGACAATATGAAAAACCTAGGACATGGAGAACTTGCCGTCAACAGGCCGAGGGACACGGTGCCCACGAATTTGAGGACCGAGATCCCCTTTGCCATGGTGATTTGAATGTGTGTGTTGCGTGCTGTTATAGTGAGAGGAAGAGAGGAAGATGGAGGACTTGTAGGAGCAGAAGTAAAGTGGGAGCTATCACGTTCGGAGCACTAGAAAGAGAATTGAGTTAAGAGGCGGCAGACAAAGAAAATCGGGTGGTCGCAAAAAGATAACGCCGTGCCTGCCCTATTGAACACCTGTGCAGATAAGGCAATGACACTGGTTGAACGTCACGTCATGCTCTTTGGGAAGCAACGACGGGGGAAACAAAGCAGCTACGAGGTATTAGCAAATAGACTACGGAGTACCTAACCTTGCCTTAGCATTGACGTTAGGCAGTAGCTGCTGCGACTCATTGCTTCCCGTCTTTGCCTCTTTTGCTACAAGTAGTGCCAGTACTGGGTAAGAAATATGGAGCCCGTTTTTCCGGCAGTGAATGGGAACAAGTTGAAAGTCACTTAAGTGGGGGTTCAACAGCTTCGGAGGTCTCCACTAAATGCGGGTGATTCACGTGCCTGGGCAAACAGCTTTGGGTGCCACAGCTGCAATTTTTCTTCCTCCTCCTTGAAAACTCTCTCTTGCATATATATCAAGGTCAAATTTGCACCAGCGTTTGTCTATGGATGCTGTTCCGAGCACCTGATTGCCTCTTTTCTTTCTTTCTTTTATCCTCTTTTTCTTTCATTCAATATAACCGACAGCCAATCTCACAGCTGTAAAATGTATGTTTGTTCTACTATCCCCGTTTCGCAGCCATTCACGCGCCGACATCACACAACAAACACCATTTCCTTCTCTTCACTTATATGATGAACAACCTTGCACCCAATTCACTTTTAGGAAGAGCCGTCTGAGACTGCCTCCGATTGGCGGGTGCGAGCTTCCCCCCTGGGAGGCTTGTGTCTGTCGGTCCTTGGTCGCTTCCAGCAGGGCCGTCGTGGAATTCCGCGTCCAGTTTGCATCGTCATATGCGCAACTGGGCGTTCTGCGGCGGTCGTGCTGGCGGCGGTGGGGGTCGTAGTGCTTATAACTGGGTTTCTGAAAAAAAGAGTTGAAGACTTGTTGTGATTTTTTTGCGCACATTTTGCACCACTGCATTCCTCGAATGAGTGCTAACTCGCTCGCAATAGTTGAATTAAACAGGGTTGACAACGGAAAGACGGCATTCGAGACAACATTCGCTGTCCGATATTCTTATTTGGTCATCAATTCGTTATCTTCTGTAGTTTCCTCCACACAAATAGCTCCGTAAACCCATATGATACAATACAATAGCATACTTTCATCTCCCGTTTACTGCTCGCCGTTCCTCAACTCCTGTGACCCTTTTGTAACTAACATTAAACATCACTATCGTCACTGTCCAGGAACGCAGGTCTTGTGCGTCGCTTCCTCTTAGCTGGCGCCGCCTCTTCAGACGCTTCGTTCACTCGTCTTTCTATCTTGGATGAGCCGGCAAGCGTATCAAGTTCAGGAATACCTTCGCTTTCTTGGGTTGCTGTAAATTGAGTTGGCACAAAATAGGGTTTGCTTACCCCTGCTTGCGGTGTCCATTCATTCAGCCTTATAGGAGACGTCGCTTCGGAATCAAGCATGCTGGATGTTGCTTGGTCGTCCCCCACGACAAAATCCACCAAGTCGGCTCCGTCATCCGAGTCGCTCTCATCAAGCAGATCACTATCTCTTTCACAGTCGTCTCCAATCTCATCACTTCCGATGGCAGCTTTCCGTGAATATTTCCCTTTTGACTTGGCATTCAACCTCTTCTGTCTTTTTGCCTCGCTGAGTCGGGGCGGCAGCCCAGGCTCTTCCTCTTCAATGTCTATATCAAGATCGGAGCCAAGCAAATCTTCGTCTTCCGGCTCCAAGACACGCCGAGCAGCTGGCTGAGGGGTCCTTTTGGGTTGAGTCTTTTTGGTCGAAACCTTTCTCCTCTTTTGTTGTGGGACCTCGAATACCAAAGAGTCGTCATCTGATTCGACTTCGATGGCTTGTCTCTTGTTCCCATCCGCTGCAGCCTGATCATCGCTGGCATCTGTCTCACCATTATCGGAATACACGAAGGGTTTTACTGGGATTTCGAGATAATCGCTCGCGTCCACGTCTCGGCAGGGCCTTACGAGGCTATCCGAATCGTCCTCCAGCTTTTGTAACAGCTTGACTAAGCGTTTTGTTTGAGTCCCATGCGCAACTTGGGCAGTCGGGCGTAGTTGTCGTTGCAGTGCTGGATGGGCTGTCATGTTCGGCATATCAGTTTCTTCAACCACGCTACAGTTGAATGGTAGATTCCGGTATGTTCGATCGAGCTCATAAAGTTCATCTGGGCCAAGAACAACCCGTTCCAGTTCAGGAATTGCTGTCACATCATCCAGCTCGGAGTTTCTCTTTGGCTTTGAACTTGGTTTTGACCCAGGCTGTCCCGGATTTGTCGTGAGCTTCATAAAATCACTGACTTTCTGAAACCCAGTCTGGACTCCATCTGGCATATGGAACTTCTTGGGCGGCTTCTTTTTCCCTCGAGGAACTTGTCGTTTCTTGGGCTCCGGCAATGATGTGTCTTGAGTATTCTCAACTGGAATCTCAACATGCCGCATGTCCACTTCAGGCCGTATATCTCGGGGCACGATCCTCGTAGAGAGATCAAACCGAAAGTTGAACCGGCTCCCTTCGCAAATGAGCTGTTGCATCTTTTCGTAATTATCTTTGGACTTGGCAAACTGTTCCTCCTCTTTTCCCCTCATCAGGAGCAGCGCAATGTTGCCTGCTCGCTTTCGCCCCGTTCTGCCCATGCGTTGCAGCATTCGAATTGGAGATGCCGAAGAGTCATAGCAGACAATAAGATCAACCTGGCCAATGTCCAACCCTTCTTCTCCAATGGACGTGGCAACGAGAACGTTGTAGGCACCAGTCTTGAATCTCTCAATGGTATCTATTTGCTGCTTCTGCTTCATGCCCTCGCCGCGCTTGCCATCCGCCTGCCCAACAAAGACGGTAGCTTTGATGAGTGGCCGATGGGTATTGAACATGCGCACGATTTCTTCGGCGGAATCACGATACTCGCTGAACACTATGACTCGAGTTCCCTCCCCGTTGTCCATGAAATGATTCAAGACACAGTCAGCCAAGGCTGTGAGCTTTGGGTGTCCCACAAAGCCATCCAGTTTGAGCCACCCGGCTATTTTATCCATCATTTCTTGGAAACTGGTGCTGTCGATGATTTGGCGTCTGTACTTGGATCCTTTCTCGCCTTTTCCCTCTTGTTCACTGCGGAAGTCGACCATGTTGTCGTAGAAAGGTTTGATGCCATGAAACTGCAATAGTTTAATCGAGTGTGCAAGACTCGTCAACACGCTAAATATTGCCCGCATCATAAACTGGACGCCCTGGTTTGCGCGATTCCCACGCGTGGCAAACCACTCCTTCTGAGCCTGTATCAAGCCGTATGTTGTAAGAGCCATCGGGTTCCGCCCATACCATATATTTTGGGAGCTAAGCTTCTCGGTCAACGGTTTGAGAGCTTCAGTAAAGAGCTCACCAATGAGGTTCATCTCATCCGAAGGGTCGAGGACTATCTGATCTATATTCCGCTGATGCACATACTGTCGAATGTCAAGGGATTCCTCGGTTCGGATTTCGCAGTGTGAAATCCCCAGGTTGTCGATGACTTCTTGAACTGTTTCAACTTTCGAGCCCGGTGTGGCCGTCAAAGCCAAAACCCGGAAACTGTTGGAGAATCGACGAATGAGTTTGGTAGCTTTGGCATATGCATATTCACCCACAGCGCGATGCGCTTCGTCGATGACCATAAGACCAATGCTCTTTGGATCCGCATATCCATGTGAGAGATCGTTGAGGAGCGTTTGTGGTGTCATGAAAAAAACTCGTCTCTTCTCCCACTCGTCACTCCGCAGGGCGGGAGCGATGTCACCGGTAAGGAGTGTGGTCTCCGATCGAGGTATTCCCGCAATGTTGTAACAAGCATCAATCTGCTGCGTTACAAGCGGCTTTGTTGGGGCTACAAAGACTATTTTTGCCGTCTTTGTCCATCGGTAAAAGTTGAGCATCACTGTAGCAGCAATAAACGTCTTTCCCAGACCTGTCGGCAGCGCTACCAGCGTGTTGTTGAATAGACTGTTTCTGACAATACTGTACTGATAGTCTCGAGTTGGCCCCAGATTTGTTGGATACACCCAAGTCTTCATCGCCTCTCTATCAAGTTCATGAGGGCTTGGTGGTTCAGGGGGAAGATCAGCGCGATAGACCCTGGTAGTCGTAGGCTGAGATGGACGGGGAGCATCCTCCGTCGCTGCTTGACCACCCCACAAGGTAGTTTGTCGCAAGGTTCCAGAATTTGTACGGCTGAAACCAGTGCGAGCGGTTACCAAAGGCCTTGCCGGGGCCCGCACATTCCCCCTCACAGGCTCTGGTGAAGAGAAGGCATCTGAGGGTAAGTCATTCAGCTCCTGTGCTGCCCGCTGCTGATTACTCAAGTCGCGGACATTGCTTTTAGCTCCATTCGAAGAAGACGTTGACGCAAGTTGCCCTCCATTAGACGAAGATACTTGATCAAAGGCAGCGAGAATGTCCTCATCAGCGATATCGTCATCAAACTCGTCGGAATCCATGGCGACCAGATGCCATATAGTGCCATGCAATATGGTCTCCGAGAGGTTAAAGAGTCTAAAGCTTCATACCTCTGAAGTACCCTTCAGGCCATTGGCGGGTGTTCGGTACTTGATGTCGTTTTCTTGTAGTTGCGATGCTGAACCTTGTAAATACTAAAATGCTCGTCCTCTATTCAGGCAGCATGCCGCCAATGTGACGCGCCAAACGAACATCGGGACGCGAAAACGGTACCATGTCACGTGATTCAAATGGACTGTGATTTGGGCAGTGCAGCGACCGGAATATCTTCAGCGTTGGTCACAAGGTACCTCTGTACCTTCAATGGCCGGGCAGTTCCTTTGAGCATTGTTCACTCACTCAAAGAGCCTTTTTAAAGCTGTTCCACATTTTTCCAAAGACCAACAAAAGCCATTCCATACTCCATTTATGGTTTCGTGATTTACCATTGACTTTCCCAGGCAAACAGAGGTATTACATGTTCGTTCCAGTGAAATCCAAGGCATTCGGAACAAACCTAGGCAGCCACTAGGCTACATTAGGCAATAGTGCACGCCTGGGGGAAAATCCGGCCGGCTGCCTGCCTAGTACCTCGCAGGCTTAGCAGCTTAACTGACTTTCTCAGCGGGTCCAGCAACAAACATCAAATCCTCTTGATACCTCAGTCCAAGCCTTGTTTTCTTTTCTACAACCATTTTTCAAGGCGAGGCTGTACGACAACGCTTCCTGAGCATCTCCAGAGTGTTCTCGTACGGCTTCCTACAAAACAACACACTGGTCCTCTCTACGCGACCAGAATTTCCACCTTCTTTCAACACAACCCACGCTTTCTAGGAATCAGCCGTCGCGACAGAGATTCCAAGGCCCTTTGCGGCTTCGCCTGACCATCCCGAGCCTCCTGCGCTCTTTCGCTGAACGAAAACAGCAAGGAACATCTCGCGACACTCAGCGCATCTAGCCAAACCAGCGCCGCATCCTCAACCAAGCAAGGTCAAATCCTGCTCATCTAGGCTCGACCCGACAAAGGCACCATCAGCGGCGCCGCGCGGGCTCAGCATCCTCTTTCGCAGCCTACTCTCACACCACACCGTCCAGATTAAAAGTTTTCTTGGACCATTTGCGACTATGGCTCCTCGCGGGAAGGCTCAGCCGAATCGAGAAGCCCGCAATCCCCTGGGCGCAAAATCAAGCTCCAGGGGCGGCATTCAGAAGCGAAGAGGTCCGACCAGAGTCGACACTGATGGAGATCTCGACATGGATGGTCCGTCCAAGCGGCCAAACAGAGGTCCTACGACTGAAACAAGTGGTGGCAGAGGCAGACCATCGGGAAGAGGAGGTCCACAACCATCTAGGGGGGCTGCCAAGGTTGCTCAGATAGTAATGAAGCAACTGGGTGGCGGTAGTTCATCCGACTTGGCGTCTCGAGTTTCAAGGCCATCCAGAGCCCGAGGTGGCCCAGCCGAAGGGCTTACCTGGCTCAGGGTCCGTGGCCTCAAACAAAGCAAGGCTGCATCCAACTCAGATGGGGGCCTCTCTGACCTGTTGAGCTTCATGGAAAGGAAAGCATCTTCTCTTGGGACTGGACGCAAACGACACATTACGATTCGAAAGGTAAGCCTATCATTGACGAGAAAGCAGGGGTGCCAACTTGAACCGACGTCTCAGCTGCTTCTTTGGCGACTGGAAGTCACACATCTCAGGGGAGATCCTTGACGTCGAATTTTATTTCGCCCCAGCGCTCGAGGTTAAATCTTCTTTTCTTTTTCCTGGTTGCTAACCCGCCATAGTCACACAGAGCTGGGGAATACGTTTTTGTGGGGGCAAACAAGGAGGACGCGGAGGAACTTGTCAAACTTAATACGTTTACATTTGCTGGCGTTCAGCTGGAGGTAGTAGAGTCTAACGCCGACTTTGAGCCGCCAAGCAAGGCAACAGAATCACCAGAGACGGCAGAGCTACGCGCAAAACTCCAGGCGATCCTTAGTCAACGCTATATTGGTGAAAACAAACTACTCAAGCTCGATGCCCTTGCTTCTGATCCCGAGTTGGTCACTCTTGGCATGTTTGAAAACCGAGAAAGGGCACTCAAGACCTTCAAGGGGCTCATGGCAATCTGCGATGGTCTTTTCAAAACCGCTCAGGAAAAGAAGGATGCAATCCACAGCATCAGCCTCGCCAATAACAGCATTGACAATGTCATCCAGGTGGAGTCCGTGGCAGCGTCATTCCCACAGCTGAAGAACCTAGATATGAGCGGCAATCAAATCAGCAGCATGGACGGACTCCAACGATGGAAAGGGAAGTTCAAGGAGCTCGAGACCATTTACTTCGCTGGGAATCCAATCGAGGGGGCAGACGCCAATTACAAGGCTGCTCTTCTCGAGTGGTTCCCCAAACTACAGAACATTAACGGGGTTGAGCTTCGCACTGCGCAGCAAATTGCTGAGCAGGAGGCCGCCCGTCAACCAAAACCAATTCCACAGAGTGGACCTGACTTCCGTGATGTCAACGGCATTGGCGAGCAATTCCTGCTTGATTTTTTTACGGCCTACGACACCAACCGCGAGGGACTTACATCCAGGCTATACGACGCTGGCAGTCAATTTTCACTGGCTGTGGACGCTGTATCAGTTAGAGACCCAAATGCACCACCACCACTACCTTGGGCTGCCTACATCAAATCATCTCGCAACTTGATGAAAATCAACAGCCACCATGCCAGATCACAGCGGTTATTCAAGGGAGGAAATGCTATCAACGAGTTGTGGAAGGAACTCCCTATGACCAAGCATCCCAACATGAAGGATGAGCTGAGCAAATACATTATGGATTGTCATCCACTGCCAGGATTGGCCGACCCCACAGGTCAAAGCCAGTTGGGTGTTGATGGCTTAATCCTTGCTGTTCACGGCGAGTTTGAAGAGTACGACCAGAAGTCGGGAACCACAGGCAAGCGAAGCTTCTCTCGCACTTTTGTGCTCGGACCGGGCCTATCCGGAACTGCGCCGATCAGAGTCGTCAGCGACATGCTGTCTCTGCGGGCGTACAGCCCCCTTCCGAACGTATTCGTTGCACCTTCATCAGCCCCCGTGGATGCAGCAAACCAGCATCAGGCAATGATTGCCGAGCTGTCAAAACAAACGGGCATGGTGCCCCAGTACTCGGAAATGTGCCTGTCACAAGTCGAATGGGACTTTGGCAGAGCCTTGGTCATCTTCAATGAGAAGAAGGTATGTTGCAATTCATTTATTATGTTTTCTTCGAGATTAGAGGCTCATGCGTGTTATTACAGTCACAACTACCACCGGAAGCATTCGCACCAGCCTCCTAGCAGACGGGCTGTTTCGTGCAATGCTCCAATTGCAACACCCACATTGGGCTATTAGATAGGATGGATTGACAGGAGAGATGGGGCAATCCTTGTATGGGGCTTTGTGTCGGTATAATATATGGTCGGTTATTTATAGAGATCGGTATCTGGGACGTAGGGGTTCCGTGTTCGTGTATTACATGCGTGGCAAAGGGGGAGGAGAGATGACGAAACAAGGGCGGAGAAATTGCAGACAAAAAAAAAAAAAAAGCGAGCTGCATTGCGATGGATGTTTGAGAGAATATATGAATCTTAAGGACCAATAGAACATGTGCGTGCGTGTGTCACCACTCTTTGATGCTGAATAGCCAAGTGATTACTATAGTACACAGCTTGTAATATGATGTGCTTCATCCCCCCCCTCCCAAGAAAATACAGACAGCCATGTGATTCTCGTGATGGCCGGAATGCAAGAGATCGTGCGCCCACTGCAGATCGGCCAATGAAGAAAAATAATTATGCTCGCGAGACCTCCTATCCGCGCGTTAGATGAGTCCGAGGCGGAGTGACGCAAGACAGATGGATACAGCGGCCGAATGCCAAGACCACGTGCAAGATCACCAACAGGGGCTGTCGCAGGTGCTACTGATTTTGATACTTTTTTGCTTGTGCGGCGCCTCAGTGTGTGGTCGTGCGTGTATGAACGGAATGTATTTCCGAGCGGATCATCGTAGAGACGTAGATGGCGGACGGGATGCCGGCTAAGGGAGATTGGGATATGACTGCCCGAGAATTGCCTGTTGTGTGATGGTTCCGTATAGGTATAGTACCTAGCGGATCGGACGCTATAATGGATATGGATATCAAATCAATACGAAATATTACACGCAAGGCCTGTGCCTGTGCTACACAGCATAGCCCATATGCCAAGAACAACGCTCCGCTACGAAGTACGGTGCTAACGAGCAAGATCCACGGTAGGGCGCCTGGAGGCAGGATAACATTGGTCTATAATTTGGTGGGCATACGAGCAAGATACGATACAGGTGTCCTACCCTATATTCAGCAACAAAACATGCGCGATTGTGGGTTATACAAACAAAATGTATTCCATATCGGGAAAATAAAAAGAAAAAGAAAAAATAAGACAGGCATTCTATCAGACTGGGAATTGCACCAACTCATTTCCTGGCAGTAAGTTGACCGCAGCCTCAACCAGCCTCTTGAAGGGAGCCGGCTAAATCAACAACACGAATTCGCCCTCGCCTCGATACCGTAATACCATGTAAGGAAGTATCAATCGTCTTAGATTTCATTCAGCACACCCCCTACCTGCCTAATACCTACCCAGTACTAAGCATCTTAGCTATAGCCATCTTAGCACCAAGTCTCTTCATTGCCACAATAAGCATACATGCATCCCTATTTCTCCATGCAGTATACTCAACCGATCGTAGAAGCTTCAAATCGCTACATTAGATTCGGCCGACACTATACTTGACTATCTTGTTTCTAGATCGGCCATCAACTCGCCTTACTTACCGTATGCACTACTTGTAAGCACTGGTGGTATTATTAGTACGACTCCATTCTCGTATGTACACATCTCCACCGGGGTTGTCAGTTGTTCCTCAAAAAGACGTGATTGACGCGGAGACGAGCCCATGACTGAGTTCGATGCAGGTGGAGTGATGACCGTAGATGGCCGGGTCCTGTTAGGGGCTGTGGACAATGCAGATGCAGGGAGACCCCCTGGTAGTGCGTTTCACGTTGAGTTGAGCCAGTGGGGATCGAGGCACCACAACTAAAGGGACTGCAAGCGATCACCATGGGCCAAAGAGTCCCCGGCCAGGAACCGATGCCATGCCCATGGCGCTTTCGACAGAGATGGGCCCGTACCAAGAATGATGACGCGAGAGGGCAACACTGCAATCTCTGCGGCGCGCCTAGGGCGCTGGAGAGGAGATGGCGAAGCTCATCTTACAGTAGTCTGTGCAAGTACGGCACTGTATAGTAGGTAGAGCTTCACGGCGCGCGGGGAGTTTTTGTTTTGGGCATGTTTTGTTTTGGCCTCGAATCTGGCCGGTGCGGTCTGTGCGGTCTCGGAAGCTTTTCTTTGCGATTCATCCGGGTGGCGGTTGTTTGGCATTGACACTATTGTATTATTACCACTTCCCCGAGAGGACCCTTTGCTGCTGCGAGCCACGGATTAGTGTGAATGCGACGCTGCGCAAGGGCTGGTAATTGCATTAGGCATCGAAATTCACCCGCCTCAATGCACTCGTACGAGTTCATGCTAGCATCTGCGTCTCTGGTAGAGTGCGGATAGGCCGTTGCGAGGTCTGGGCGAGCCGACATGCGCCAATGGTAAGAAATTCTCTGGCACCCTGGGCGAGACGGAGCACGAAGTACGAAGTAGTCCAAGAAGCGGCACAAGTGCTAGTATACCGTATTAATACTAGGTAGTACGGAGTACAGGGAGCGAAGCCCTAAAACAGCGAGCGTTGGCATGCAGGTTATCGGGCCCAAGCGAGACCAGACGAAAGCCACAGGCGGAAGAGGCTTCTGTTGATGTCATTTCGCGTGTTGGCCGAGTCGTACCATCGCGATGCTGATATGACCGGGAACGACGGAGGCACCATCTCTTCTAATACTCGTACTGCGCTCCATACTCCGTAGATGTACTCGTACAGTACTTGGTGGAGGATGCAATTGATGAAATTCGACTGCTTACTAGCACAGCTCCTTCACCGAGAGCTCAGCCAATACCCCCGGCTTTCGCATGATATGGGGATTCGGACGGGCTACCACACAGGTGCTAGTGGACGAAACGGTCACATTAATAAACACCAGCTTGACAGATCCAAAACGTTGGCCCTGGGGGGGCGCAGGGCGCTATACCGGTACGAATAGAGCTCAGAGAGGCTGCACAACACGAATCCAGTAAAATCACCTCCAGTATAGATAATCAATCCATGGGATGCCTGCAATGCCAAAAAGACCACTCAAGGTAATAGGTACTGTACCTGGATTCGTATGTACGACCTGTATTACGGAGTGGTCTGCAGGCGCCAAGGCGCTTCAAGCACCAGCAAGTGGCTTGATTGGCGGCTACCCCTTTTCCACTAAAAAAAGGTGTCACCTTCAGGAACGAGTCTTGGCGCAAGGCCGGGGTCCGGGTCTCCCACAGGTACCCCAGGGCCGCCAAGTACCTCTGGTTAATGCCTCGCTCTTCGCAAGGCCAGGTACCATGACGTCCGCTGAAACCTGGGGCCTACCCGGCGCTGCTCAAATGGAACGCCGCTCGCGGCCCCTGATTGGACGACGCGAGGATGATCCCTGCACCAGAACTAGCACTGACTCCCCAAAACACAACCACACGCAGGTGCGATGCGCCTCCCCCGGTTCGCACCGTCCACAGCGCCTCCTGCCCATCCTCGTGTCTCAAAGCGGGCTCCGTCTGGGTAGCCAAGGTAGCACGCAGGGAAGGTGCTGAGGGCCCGGCAGGGGGGAGGCTCGTTCGTCCAGCCATTGGCAATATGCGAGTGAGCCGGCCGGGTACCTGTGCCTCCAGCTCTGCGCCAGCATGGCCCCAGGTGTAGGTACCGATACATGCACGATGCGATGTTCCTGGACGGAGTACTCGTACTTCGTACCTCTCCATGCGACCAGGGGCTGGTGTGTCGCAGCCCAGAGAATCTTTGCACCCGTTTCTAGTCCTTCTCCTCCGCCTCCTCGTTTTCGCCTCTCCGTCTTCCCTCTACCTGTGGCTTGGTGGCTTTTTTCCTTCTTTTCGTGTTTGCCTTCGCCTTCTCCTTCACCTGCCTTGCAGACGCCGTAGCAGCAGCTTCAACCGGCCGTCGATTCCCTTGCTGTTGGCTGGGCTGCGCCTTTCTCCCTTGTTGCGTCTTTGCTTGCGTTTGTAAAGTCGAGTCTTTCTGCAGCTCTTTTTCTTCTCTTCCGCCCACCGACACCGTTCTGTTACCGATTCTGCCGCCATCGCCGTTGACACGTCTGGAACGAGACATTGCCCTTTCGCTGTTGATTCGCCTTGCTCATCTCGCACATTCTCGTTGATCGGCTGGAACCAAAACTGCACCATTTCCGACGACTTTCCAAGATTCACAGCCCTGCCACGATTGCGCCATTAGACTATTAGAACGAGACTGTCACCACTGTCGCTATTCACTCTTTGAAACAAACAAAAACACCTCCGCACGCCTGCTTATTAGATACATTCGTTATTGCTTTGTCGTACTGTGATACGTCCTTGTCGCTATTATTGTAACGACAGCCATTCATTTTTAGTTACTTGCTCGCCGATTGACACTCATTTCAAATCACGGGCTCTAGCTATTCAACAACTTACACACACAACTTACACACACAACTCTCCCGCAACGACTTGGCTGTGCCCTCGTTGCCAAACTAACCTCAATCTCTCGAAAAACAATTAGAGAAGCAAGCATTACGTTGAGACCGCCATCATCGCCATGCAACCTTAGGAAACGACATCTACATCGAACAAAAAGAAGAATCCCGATATCGTCTCGAACTCGCCCTTGCAATTTTCGTCGGAATCGTCTGTCAAATTCGGCAATGTCGTTACCGAAGCCACCCTCGTCTTTGGACAACTCGTGCTCTGTCATTCATGGCAACACACTTTATTCTTACTCACCACAAGGATTTCTGTCCCTGCCTTTGCAAGACAGTGCAGAATGGAAGAAGCTTGATATGGGAGTGAAAGTGACTGGAGGAACCTGTGTTGGAACAAACCCTGTCAATGCAGCCGATGCTGCGCTCTTCATTGTTGGAGGAACGTCGGATGAGGCTGGCTATCCTGGGCTCCAAAAGTACACATTCGCAACAGGCAACTGGACCACCGTCACAGTTCCGGGTCTTGTTACGCAGAATCGCCTGCTGCATGGATCTACCTACATCCAGGCTGACGACGTTATCTTGGTTTACGCTGGTAACCAAGATGGCAGTACCGGTCCTTCCACATCAACGTTTACCATCCAGGCTTCTTTCCCATATAACTCTCATTCATTCGATTCTGCTCCTGCACCGGCCGTTTCCCCCTTCCTTATGAACTGGTCCAACGCCGATGCTGCTATGATAAGCGGCGATGGCGTGGACGGCAAGATTTACTGGTTTAACCCGACTGCTGGATGGAGAGATTCTGGTGCCGGCACATCGCCGCCGATCAACAAGGCCGGAGGCGCGGTGAATGTGGCGCTGGTTTCGGGAACTGATGGATCCAAGAACCTCTATACCTTTGATCTATCCAAGTCACCCAACTCCGTCAGTCGTACCATTGTTCAGGACGCTACTGGACACCCTCTCGCTAACTCAGCCCCCATCGCTGCACGAGGCCTTGATGATGACATTGAGAAGCGTGACTTGACATTGAGCAACTGGCCTGAGTACAACTCTACGTTGGCTCCGAAGGATACTCGAACAAACTACGCAATTGCCCAGGCTGATGACGGCACAGTAGTTTTCTCTGGTGGCAATGCTCAGGTTCCTCTAGCTATTTTCAATGTTGATAACAATGGCTGGGTCGATGCGGCTCAGCTATTGGGAGACCAGCAGCAGTTGATCCAGGACATTTCGTCGACGACTACACAGTCTAAGACGAAGACGACTTCTAGCTCGCGGTCCAAGTCAACCACGCACTCTACCTTTACTACAAGTTCCGCCTCAACAACCCTTCCGTTTTCCACTAGCGCTACCGCTACGCAGACCTCAGACTTCGTCCCGACCGATTTGTCTATTCCCGCCCTCCCGACTGGTACCGGCAGTGCGAGCGACGACTCTGGCCCTAGCTCCAACGCCATCCTTGGCATCACCCTTGGCGCCATTGGTGGATTCCTCGCTTTACTTGGTCTTATCCTCCTGCTTCTGCGTTGCCGCAGAAGACAACTGCTTCATCCAGAGGCAGGAAAGCCCAAGACCCCTACCGGCCCTGCCGCGGATGAGAAGAACACTGCTGCTTTTGCTGCCCAGAGCACGTTTGCGAAGAGCAACCTCCCTCCACACGTGCAGAAGCAACTCCGAGGCCATCAGAAAACTGCATCTTCAGAATCCACCTCATCGATGGCTATCTTGATGGGCAGAGTGGGCCAGCACAAGCCAAGAAAGCTCAGCAATGAGTTCAAGAGCACCATCAGCAAACCGATTCTCCAACCGCAGCAAGCCCCTATTCTCCAGATCCAGGATGAAAAAGGCGACACTTTCGAGACCACATCTGATACGCTTCGACCCCAAGACGGGCTCGCAGATGATGGCACCCGAAGGAGCTCGGGCTGGAACAAATACTGGTCAGGAGGAAGCGCTCTCGGAATACTAGGATATGGATCTACACAGGCACCCGTACAGGCACCTGCAACCGCGCTTGCACCGGCGCCTGCCAACAGAGACACTCTGGCATCGGACCGAAGCTCTCACTACTCCCAGACGACCACTGCTCGCAATATGAGGCAAACACAAGACTCAGCTACCGTCCCGCCCCTCAACTTTGAGGCCCCGCCTGGCATGAGCAGAGTCAACACTGGAAGCCCAGTGGTGTCAAACTATCCCGATATCCCTTGGAGAGAAGGCATGTCAGGGAAGATTGAGCGACCCGTATCGGCTGTTTCGGCGTTGTCAGCAACATCGTCGGGCTATTCCAGCGGAATCCCCGAGAGCATCCAAGAGACGTGGGATCCCACACATGCTGGAAAGGCCTGGGGAGCTGATCGGGCCCCAAGCAGCGCATACAGTGTTCAACCCCATCCGCTGGGCGTGAGCAAGCAGCCTCAGCTCGCCACGGCGTCAACATCAAATGACATGAGCTGGCTCAATCTCGGTGATAACTCACGGGTATGAGTCAAATGACATGATCATGGAGCAAAGTCTTTTGAGCGAATTTTTTTTTGATGAAATGGTCGGCTTTTATATCCTCGAATTTGTTTTGGGCGCGGTATTTTCAGCGGCATGCCGCCTTTAATTGTCTCTCACTCTCACTACCTTCTCTATTTTTCTTTTTATATTCCTCGCGGTCCGGAGCTGGGCAAACTCGCACGTTTGTAACAGACATTGCACCGGCGGAGGCGTAAGGTTTCCTTTTCCAAAAAAAGCACTACGCATCGCAATCTCGCCTTTAGTTATCCCGGAAACCTAGATCCAAGATCTGTGTCCGCTACCTAAACCTCACCGCGTGACTCGGCGTCGATATCTCTGTTTGGACATATTGGACTCATACTCTTTTTGTTTTTTTTTCTCCCTATTTATTTTTATGTACATTCTAGAAGCTGGCCCGGGCTTGGCCGTTTTCCTTTTTTGTGTGTCGCGATTGATAATACCATCTCCCTGCAAGTAATTCGCTGGATGGAAGTTGAGCAGGCAAATGGTAGACGTGGTTGGGATGGGATGGGATGGAGGATGAGGAGTACTGATAGATAGAAATAGGGTGTAGCAGTGGTGGAGTGAGCCGTGGTGCGATTTGAAGAGAATGAGTAGAAGAAAATACGATAATCTCAGTTGTGCTTAAGTGATGCTCGACTTGTTCATGTGAGGTGACGTTGCTTCTGATGCTGGCTGTAGAATCTATCGATAAGGGCATGCACAATGACAACTGCTCCTGGTCTGGTGCTGCCGCCAGATTCCGAATGGAAGATGTCGAATCAAGCCACATGCACCATTTCAGCCGGAATGCTGCGAGTCTGGACCCCTGCCAACAGGCCTGGCCAATGGGATGGGTGAGATGGAAATAAACTTGCAGCATCAGCTTGGTCGAGTTTTGCCTATCAGCTTATCAGGCTTGGGGCCTTGCCGGATTGGGCACACCTGAACAGGTCTAGGAGGGTGAAGCGGCGAGAGGTGATTGGCCGGCGAGTTTACATGACAGATGCAGGAATCACATGAAATTTGATGGCAGGTTCTAGCTCCCGTTAGAACGCGCTCATGACCTTGCCGGGACGCACTTTGAAGTCGTACAGTATTACGAGGTTTGGCGGTCGAAAGTGTAAGGGAGTAGGGGTCCAGCGCAGAGTTCGTATGGGATGCAATTACGAGCTGCGGCTGCCCACTTGTGATTCTTTTTTTCCTGTAGCCAAGACGTAAATGGGCCGAAGGAGAGGCCCTTGTCCGGGTGGTTCTCTACCTATTTCCCCCTTTGGCCTGTCAACACTTGCAGGGGTGGTGTCTTTGACAATAGTGAGAGGCAGAGAGGCAGAGAGGCAGAGAGGCAGCCCAAATGAGCTGAAATGAGAAGAGCGGGTGGGAGGCGAGCAGAGGGAAAATAAAATAAAATGATAGATGATAGTCCCTGCACACATGCATCGGCTCTTTCGCTCACACTTCGTGCCCACGGATGCTTAGCGTGGGATGCTAGTAGGTATTGAGCACTGCCGGGGCCGAAGAATGCAAGGGACGTTGGTTTTTTCTCTGATACTAGTATTGCCTTGGCCCTCTTACTTTTTCATTTTTTATTTTTATTTTTCCTTTTTTTTATTAGCCTTCGGGTGTTGCAGACTGGTGAAGGATTCGTTGGGGTGGGGGCCACAGTGGAGAAGATCGCTACTCAGGCCGAAAGGAGAGAAAAGAAGCAGGATAGAAGGAAACCTCTGCTTATAAAGGTATTTGGAATGGACGTTTGCCATGCGCTAATTTGGGGTTTGACAGCAGGATGCGGCTATTGGTGGCTGTCCGAGCATTGGGGCTATTCGGGAGCTTTGGATTCTACGGAGTATTATGAGTGTGCTTGTAACAATCCATTTGGCAGTCATGTAATGTCAGGTTCCCATAATTTTCCTCCATCCGCCGCGACACGACACGAAATGGATAGGTAATTAGCGCTGGAGCTCCGGCGGGGAACAGCAAAAGAGCAAGCTCCACGGGGAATTACAGTAGAGTTGAGCGCCGAAACAAAAATTCATGGTAGGACCCCCGTTTTCTGAGCTCAAGTCAAGCTGCGTTTTCTGCTCCCCCCACTGCTGGACCCTGGCTCGACAGGAAAAAGGGCCTCGGTTAGGTTTACCGGCCGCTGGTCCAAATCTGGGAAGAAGGACGAGCAGAGACGAAGACACAAGGGGAGGCGGACGTGCGCTGCCGGGCAGTCACGATGAGACGGTGATGCATGGGCTGAGCGAGAGGGAGGGCGGATGGACGGCTGATGATGCGTGACGGGCTGGATTTCTATCTGGTGATCGCGGTCAAGCCACCATCAGCCAGGTCTGGATCGGAATGGCAGATGCGAGCCAAGGCTGGGCTCTGGACCGGCCTGCCTTGTTCGGTGGGTGTTGGATGGCAGCAGACAGGGGATGCAAATGCGCCTGGAACCCTACCAGGAAGTTAGTGCTGGCGTTTGTGAGAAGAGTTCGAGTTTGCCGCTGTCTCCCCTAGAGCCAGAGCTAGCCGGTGCGACGCTGTGGAAACGGAAAATGGTCGTAATGCAGAGTAATAGGAGCGATTGATCCATCAACTTATGATCTGACTCGAGAGACCTCGACGGCTCCCCACAAACCAGAGCGGTACCTGACCAGCGGCTGCTTCAGTGCAGCGTGGGCAAGTACCTGTATGGAGCAGAGCACGATAGGCTAATGTGCAAGGGACGGGTCTCGGAGCAGCAAAGCAAGCCAGGCTCGGGGGCGCTCCGTGCTGGCGCCCTTCTGAGACGAATGAGATGAATCAATGAGGAAATAAAATTGAAAGACGATACGATTTGGAAGGAGAAAAAAAAAAGAGAGGGTGAGCATGTTAGGATTCAGCCGCCAAGCCCTGCATTGCATCGTAAATGTGCATCCGAGCGTCCCTCTCGGTCAGTCCTTGGACGCAGCCGGTTCCTTTTTCGGATGGACAGCCGCCGCGAGTCTAGAACTCGACGTTCAGCTGGAGGATGAGAGAGACAGAGCGACACACACAGGGGAACAAAAAAATACATTGATATCAGAGGATGGATAAGAGTACATACGTTAATTTAGTCGTAGCAGATTGGAAACCAAATACCGTCCCTAGTTTAAAAAAAAAAAAAAAAAAAAAAAAAAAAGATCCTTGAAGCAGCACCGGTCCAGTCCTAGGCGAGCAAGTTACCGCCTTCTAATGCTGATAATACCTAGCAGGCTCGACTTGGACGCAATTTTCGCCGTTTTAGCACCGTGCACCGCTGTGGTTAGCGGCCTTTTGGGGCCTTTTAGCAGTCGGCCACGCGAGATCCGCTGCTGCGATCCCCCACCTGCCACCGCTAACGAACGGCACCATCAAAGCCCAGTAGTACGAGTGCACACAACCAAAAACCTGTGCCGCCGGCCCAACTTGCCTGGCTGTGGCCTGCCCCAGCAGCCTCTTTTTTTCCTCTCCGCCCCGGAGATTGACCCCATCCGGGCCTTTTTCTTCGCTCTTCCCTTCTCGCCCTCTTTTGCCTGGTGCTTGGGCATTTTCATCTCACTGCATCGCAGCGCATCGCATCGCGGGCCCTGCTTATCGCCAGCAGATACTAGGACGACGGCCTCTATTTTTCCTTTCTTTTTTTGCTGACGAAGTCCTGCCGTTGCGTCACTATTCGCCAATTGCTGAGCCTGTGCGTACGGAGCGGCTTTGACCCGGTTACCGCCGCTGCTCCCCGACCGAAACGCTCTACTTTCCCCCGACATTTGTCGACGGCAACAGCATCGCTTTTTTTTCGCCTATCTCCTCTCTGCGGCTCTGATCTCCTGATCCCTCTCAAGACGAGTCTCAGAGAGCGTTGTTCGAGAGCGCTGCTCCCACTGTGGGCACACTACTGTGCAAGAAAGGACGGTTCTTGGCATACGACGCCTTTTGCCCTAGAACTCGAGCGTTGGATATTGTTTGACTTGGGTTAAATTCCGCTGCGAACGACCAACTTGTGCGGAGACGCCCGGCGCATCTCCTACACATCGCCATGATGAGCTCTGCAACGTGGAACACGCAGGACCAGACCATGGCCGCGGCGTCGGAGGATGACTTCCAGCAGTTTCTCGACATCAGCGGCATGGCCAACATGGGCGACGGCATGCAGTTTGACTTTCAGGGCTTCCAGGACGACGGCTCGCATTCCATCATGGCCCAGCCGCGCCAGACCGCCGATGCCATCATGAGCGACTCAGATCCATCAAGCATGATTCCTCGGAGCGACGGCCTTCTTCAGAACCACACGCCCGCCATGGCGCCCATGTCCTCTCACATGATGGCGCCGTCGGCGTCCCGCGAGGCCATCTCCAACATCGACGCCCAGATTCAGTATCTCCAACAGCAAAAGTTTCAGCAGCAACAGCGACAGCTGCAGGAGCAGCAGGCCACCTTCTTCGCCAACCATGGCCACTCGGTGCCTCCGACGCCTCAGAGCCTGGAGATGACGCCTGGCAGCGCCCAGTTTTACTCACAGGCCGAGCAGATGCCATCAAGAGGCGCCTACGACAGGAGTTACCATCAAAGAATGGCCGAGCAAGATGTAAGTATTCCCCCCCCCCCCCCCCCCCCCCCCATGGCACTGCCTCACCTTTCCAGTTGCGAGTCACGTTTGCAGACCTCTAGCCTGCTTTCGAGCCATTTCTAATGAAGAGATTAATCCAATAGATGGCCTTTACACCTCTTGTCTCACCAGCTGTCACTCCGCTAGATCCGCATTTCAGCATGGACGGCGCCTTTACTGTGCCTGGAGCCTACTTCAGTCCCCTGACATCACCCGCTCTCCATGCTCAAAATGATTCTTCATCAAACTATGACCACACCACTCACTCAAACAACTCACCGGTAGAGATGGACCTCGAGCAGTCGGCTGTCCCCGCCGTCAACCTGGACCTCTCCAAGAAGACAAGAAAGACCCAGGCCACCAAGACAAGGAGTAAGCCTGGTGTCAAGAGCTCGCCCATTTCTAAGCCGCTTAGGCGAAAGACTGGCCCTAGCCCGGCCATGGTATCACAGGTGCTGAGTGAGGTGGAGGAGAGGAATCTGCAAGCCGGCGACCACGGGTTGCTCCCCCTGCCCGCTGCTTCTACTGATGGGTCTGATGAAAACGCGTCCGTTTCGCCAGAGAACCTGTCGGAAATGCCTCCTCCCCCGATTCCTACTAGGCGCTCAATGAGCAAATCGCCTTATATACGCCCACAATCGAATATGCAGCCCGGCCACGCAACCGGTCTGCTCGATGAACAACACCCTCCTCATCCCGCCACGCCGGCCTCCCTGATGAAATTGCCAGGCTCCAAGACGAAGAAGATTGCGACGAGCCACCAAGAAGCCCCGCTCTCTGACAACATCGAGTCGCTTGAACTCCCTGAATCAATATCTAACCCGTCTCTCGCTGGTGGTCTTGTCAATGCCCAGCTTAGTATCCAGACCCCTCGGCCCGAGCCGAGCTTGGTATCCAAGGGAGTCACATTCCAGTCTATGCCTTCGCCAATCGTGAGAGCGGCGGGAACATCATCTGCGAACCAAAGCCCTCTCTTACTTCCCGGGCCGTCCGGCTCTAGCCAGCGAAAGACACCTCAGCTTTCCGCCAGGAATAGTCGCAAGAGGTCGACGGGATCTGTCCATGCGTCTCCGGCCTTACTGCCCAGGATATCCCCTAATATCAAACCCCTACTCCCTGGTGCTCCTGGCATGTCTGTCGAGGACCAGGCATCGCGACTGCTAATGTCCAAGTCGAATTATCAAAACATCTTGGAGGGCAACCAAGTCCCTGGTGTGTCTTATCCCAGCGAGCTATCAACAAATCTCACCTCCAAGAGGACATCACACAAGATTGCTGAGCAAGGTCGCCGAAACCGCATTAACTCTGCTCTACAAATCATGGCTAGTCTCCTCCCGGATAGCAAAAACAAGATCGCTTCTGGCGATGATAGCGACAAGAAGGATGGGAAGCAATCTCATGCCTCAAATAGCAAAGCTAGTGTTGTGGAGAATGCCATCGTCCACATGAAGAACCTCGAGAAGGAGAATGTGGATCTCAAGCATGAGCTACAGGCATTGAAGGACCAGCTTGAGAAGTTAAAAGGATCAGACGGCACCTCCGGAGTGAGCGATGCAGCCCATGACAACAAGAAATTACCAAGGATAAGCGAAGAGCAGGGTGGCTCGGACTCCCAAGGAGACGTCAAGATGACAACAACAACAGCGACTATAGACGAGCCTGGAGAAAGCAGCTGACATTAATATTGATGAGCACGTCTGCTAAGCAGCATGCTATGAACTGGAGCGGGAGGGGAAACGGTGTTTTAACGGGATACGATCAATGTACATGATAATACGTCGTGTTGGGGTTTCCGGTCGGCACGGAGTAGAACACAGACTTTTCTTGGAATTTGTTGTGGTTGGCGAATCTTGGGGATGGTTCATGGCATGTTTATTTGGGCGGTCTTTCGCGATTTTTCCCAATTTTTTTTTTTTTTTTGCGACGCTGGTTGATCTTTTCCAGTTCTGATTTTCCACCCTTATTCGGTCTGCATTGATGATGGCAGATGGGTGGGCATGTTATCATCTTGGTTTATCCTCCTGTCCTTTATTCTTTGTCGTTTCTTGTTTGCTTATTCCATCATGTTACATACTTGATAGTGTAATCTAGACTCTGTGAGAGGAAACATCTGAATACCACTACGCGGCTGATGGCGTATCATTTTATCTCTTTAGTCTTGATTTGGTATATCGTGATTGATGTAGAAGTTTTCGAGTCGTTGGATAACCTGTCGAGTACGTGTAGTTATTATGTACCTATACCTATACAGAAGTCACATGCCACATCTCACATGTCACATCGAAGCAGCGATGGGGAGTCGAAAGTATGTATTCACGGAGATTTGATTGAATTCGTCTTCTCTGTAGCTAATATGTCGACGTCCAACTGCTCCATGACCTCCAAGACCAGCTTGAGGCCCTCCATGAAGGAGTTGACGGCGACCCGCAGCATGCGATTCGTCGTGGCCTGATACTCTACCTGCAGCACCTGTGCATGCTCGTCGGAGTTGAGGCTTGTGGATGGAGAGACAACGGAGAGATGTCTTTGGACGAGGGGCGAGAGCTCGGGGTCGACATGGAGGGCTTTGAGGGCCGCGGAGGCCAGGCGGGGCGTAGGGAAAGGGATGTGCAGCTGTCTGTTGAGCGTTGCGCTTTTGGTTAGCCATGGAGATGCAGTACAGTGAAGAGGTGGATGGGGGGGGGGGGGGAGGAGGTTGATTGGCAGGGGAACGGGAGGAGTGAGGGGAAATTAACTTGCATGCTGCATGGGAACTTGGGATCGGAACTCATGGCGCGGGGGGAGAGTTTCCGGCGAGACACTGAGTCTCAGGTTGTCTTTCTTTTCGTGCTTTTCTTTTTGGGGTTGCGAATGGAGGGGCCTTGTATAGCTGATGCCTCTCTTGTTCTTTCTGTTCTCCTCTTTCCTCTCTTTCCGGAGTTGGGTCGGTAGGGCTTAACGAGCGGCTTATGCGAGCTGCAGCTGATTACGAGCCGGGCTGCGGTGGATCTCTGCGAGTTGTCGATGGAATCCTCGTGCGTGCTTCTAGATGCAGATGCAAAACTTCAGGCCGATGATGTGGTTGATGGGCTGGAATGGGCCTGGTGGGTATCAGCCACAGACGTGGCGCACCCAGCGTCGAGCACCAGAACGGCCGCTAACCGCGAGCAGGTACGTACCCCGGCATCAGCTGCTTGGCTGCTTGTTATGACGTTGCCCTAGCGACGGGTCAGCGGCCCACAATAACAGCGCTGCGCTGGCCTTGGAGCGCTGGCGCCGGGGGAACAGGGGGGCAACGCAGCTGTAGCGCTCCATTAGGGGGAGCTCAGGCCTGCAAGAATAACATCTGCAGCGCCAAACCCCCCTGTTACAAAAACACCGTGACGGCCCATATCACCAGCTCGAAACATCGCCGGCTGATTTTTCTTTTTCTTAATCCTCACGCTTCCCCTCTTGGCCTTCCTTTCCTCCTTCCTCCCAATTCCCTCTTCTTATCTCCCATACGAAGGGTTGCCTTGGCCAGTCTTGTCTTCTTATTATCTCATCTTTGCTAGAGCTGTGGTCGCATCGCTGTAAGGCTTAGCATTGACCGAGAGAAGAGACAGACACAGGAGAGCGTGAGTGAGAGAGACAAGGTGCACCCGTGCAATTCGCCGCCCACCCCCCGAACATCCGCTATCCCTCCCAACGTATTTTATTCCTCCCCTCGCCGCGAAATTCGAGAGAGACATCTGTGATTGTCGTTGGTCTAAAATCATCAGCTTCAATTGAGCTGCTGTGATTGGGTTTATTTCTTGGCTCGCTAAATCCCGCCCAGCCCCCTTTATTCTTGCGTTGTTGCCGCATTTCTTGTTTACATCGCTGCATCACACGACCCTTTTTTCAGAGCTTCACCGCAGCTTAGCTTTGACCAATTTCTTTGCGCATTCACATTTTGCGCATCCAAACAGCTTTTGGCATCATATTTACATTTAGATTCTGTATTACTACGACGTGGACGAGTAATTCACTGTCGCGGATTTGAAGAATAGCGAGCCTGGAAGAATGGCTCCTTCTACAAGACACTCCCAGAATCTGGGCCATGTCGTTGAATACATTCCAGGTACGACAGCTTCCTTTCCGCGCCTCAATGGGCATTCGAGCTTTTCTCTGGATATTTCTCGTCTGGTTTTACATCCTCCGACTTGGCGCTGACAATTCTCGATTTACAGACCGACTCTATCTGGGCGCTTATGTGCATCCTCCGACTCCCGATACTCCGCTCCCCGGCACGGAATCCCCACGAAAGCGACCATCGCGATATGCGGACGGAGCTGCTCCGGCTCCTCTCGTGACCAACCGAAACCCTCCATGCTACTTCACAGTTGACGACACTCTTTTGTACAACGCCTTTCACCACGACTTTGGCCCTCTGCACATTGGCCACCTGTACCGCTTTGCCATCAAGTTCCACGATATCTTGGGCGCCAAGGAGAACCGAGACCGACCCATTGTCTTCTACAGTGCTGCTGATCCGAGGAGTGAGTCTTGACCGCTTCTACACATGGAATTGGAAGAACCAAATTACTAACGTGTTGGCCATTTCTAGGTCGCGCAAATGCCGCCTGTATGCTAGCTTGCTACATGGTTCTGATTCAGAACTGGCCGCCTCACTTGGCCCTGGCTCCGATTGCACAGATTGACCCTCCCTTGATGCCCTTCCGAGATGCCGGCTACAGCCAAGCCGACTACGGTATCAGCGTCCAAGACGTGGTATATGGTGTGTGGAAGGCCAAGGAAGAGAAGTGCTGCGACCTGGACAACTTCGACTTGGACCAGTATGAGATGTACGAGCGAGTCGAGCATGGCGACTTCAACTGGATTACTCCCAATTTTCTTGCCTTTGCCTCTCCTCAACATACGCCAGTGGCCAAGATTACCGAGGACTCTGAGCTATATCCCTTGCTTCCCAGGGATGTGGCCGCAGTCGAAGCTCACCCGCTTCTGCCCCAGCCTTTCAAGAACGTGCTCTCCCACTTCACTGAGCGCAACATTGGCTTGGTTGTCCGATTGAACTCTCACCTCTACTCCCCATCCTACTTCGAGTCTTTGGGAATTCAGCATGTCGACATGGTTTTCGATGACGGAACTTGCCCGCCTCTTTCCATGGTTCGCAAGTTCATTCGCATGGCTCATGAGACCATCACCGTCAAGAAGAGGGGCGTCGCTGTTCACTGCAAGGCTGGCCTTGGTCGAACCGGCTGTCTCATTGGTGCCTACCTGATCTATCGTCATGGCTTCACTGCCAACGAGGTCATCTCTTTCATGCGGTTTATGAGACCCGGTATGGTTGTTGGACCCCAACAGCACTGGCTGCACCTCAACCAGGGAACCTTCCGAGAGTGGTGGATCGAGGAGCGCATCGAACGTAAGCTCAGGAGAGAGCTTGCTGCTGCTGCTGCCGCCGGTCACCCGGCACCCCAGACGCCTATGCGAGCCATCAAGTCTGCGCGTAACAACCAGACGACGACACCCTCCAACCGGAGCCCGTCTAACCGCACACCCCTTAGCGAGGTAGATCAAGATCGCAACAATGTCGGAGTTCATGAAGACTATTTACCGGCGCCAACGCCTGGTCAGCCGCGAAAAGCGGCGCGAGATCGGCGGAATCATTATCATAGAACAGATGCTTTTCAGGCGGCAGCAGAGGAGCAGCTCTTAGAGCAGCAGCAGCATCAGCAGGAGGAATCACCGCCGCCACCCTCGCCACAGCGTCGTTCCCAAGGCGCAGAGTCGGATGAGGAGCATCACCTGCGGATGCGAAAGCAGCGCAAGGCGGCGCAGTCAGCCAGCCGGAACGAAAAGACTCACTCGACGAGCCAGAATTCGAGTCCCTATGTCATCGACAATGACGCCTCATTCGATGCGGAGAATATTGGTTCCGTGAAACCCAAATCTGCCGATAGGGTTCCCAGCCAGCCTGGCACCCTCGCCAAGGTCCGGACCAGGCGGCAAGCTGCGGATTCACCCTTGAGATCCAAGGAATCTGCTGGTGTTCGCAAGACCAGCGGCCGCGTTGGTAGTGCTGGGGTGGGCGCGTCAGTATCGTCGACGGGTCGCAGAGTCTCGGGCACGTCTTAGGCAACCGTGACGAGACGGCGAGCTGGGACAGCCATTCACAAGGAAATGGCAGAGCACCTTGTAAACTTTTCATCTTAACGATCATGACTTCATGTTTTATTCTATTACGAGCGATTAATGCGTATGCATATGCACGGGCGTTTTAGTTTTCCGAGGCGCGACGGGAGAGGCAGGATGACTTTTATACCACTATTCACCACCACCACGACTTCTTACTACAAACGCTGAATGTTCCCCTGCGATTTTGAGACTACATGAACACTTTTTATGATACTCATCATGTCAAAGAAATGCCATTTTTTGGACACGCTCCAAGCGGGATAGTGGAAAAAAAAAGATGATGAGGTGAGGGCGGGAAAGAAAGCCGGCAGAGCTCGAGCAGAAGAAGAAGAAGAAGAAGAAGAAAGAGAGAGAAGGATGAGAGGATTTATGACTGCGACGGCGCAACGGACGGAAAGGCAAAGGGGATTTGGGCATATTGGTGTTTTCTTTTTTCTCTTCATTTCAGCATTGTACTGGTTACTGCTTTTCCATGGTTTGCTTTTGTGTGTGTGTGTGTGTGTGTGTTTTTTTTTCTCTTTTTCTCTTTTTCTCTTCTTCTTCTCTTCTTGCTCTTCCATTGGGCATCTTCTTTTTGCTTACTATTTGCTGCAATTGGTCTATTGGGCCTGGGGTCGGCATTTGGGTATTGCTCGGTATGGTGTCGGTTGCTAGTCGACTTTTGGAACGGACGAGGTTGTGGTGGAGGGGATGGCGCGCTATATATCAATTTTGATGCATGATATTTCAATAACTTTTTAATACTTTGCAACTCAAGCCTTTGGCACTTCTTTGCGCGTATTGTGATTGGGAATTTGTCCATGGCCGTAATTGGTCTTTTTGGGAGGAGCTGTCTAAATCATCAATCCCAACTTGACTATCTAGAGGAGGTAAGAGATGATTTTTCTTCTCAATGGTAGAGTTTATTATAGGGAAGGGCTATTTAGTACCCAAGCTGGCTATCCAGCACACCCAGCGACTAAGAGGAGTTCCGAATGGAGTAACAACGTATAATAAAGATCTCTTATCGCCATTAAATAGATATTACACAGTTCCTAGAGTATCTACTACTATCGCTACTATCTGCTACTATCTATATATTCCTCTAATATCTGCTACCATTACTTAGTATTCATATTAAGCATTTCTTCTGTTTCTGAAAATCTATGGCGCAACACGCCAACTCCTCAACCTATAACAAGCTTCTAAGGACCAGCAATATTACTGACCGAGTTTCCGCTCTGCAAAGCCACAAGATGGTTTGATAGCTACCCTATCTGATGTTAAACTTTTGAGGGATAGGGAATGGCTGCTCAGTACCCTGAGTTGGCTATCCAGAAAATGGATAATTACCAGATGCCAGGAACCAATCGCCAAGGAACCTTTTTACAATAATCGTCCCAAGTTTGGCCGTATTTGGCCCGGCATCGCTCTTCATCGCGGAGACATCGATGGACGAGGAGTATCAGCATGAAGATGGCATAGAACCAGACCATGAGAGTAGTTGTGCCGGCAAGGGCGCACATGGCTGTACTCAGCATCAAGTCCCCGACATAGTTTGCGTGTCGCGACCTTCCCCACCAACCGCCGCAGACCAAGATGCTTTCGTGCTGAGCGCCGTCCGTGGTGAGATATTGTGCTTTGATATAAGCTGCTGGTTTGCCCCATACGAGACAGGAGCCCTTCGATCGACGAACTCGATCCTTCTGGTTGTTGGCAGATCGGAATAGCGCGTATCCGGCGATGCCCAGGCCAAAGACGGCGGCGAGATAGGCCCATGAAGGCGTCGTGGGATAGAGGCCGAGGTACTGTGACTGAATAGTGTACATTGTTGGAAGCCAGGCAAGGGAGCCCCAGGCGAGGTAGAAGCCGAAATGGTCGTGGGAAATGTCTATTGTCCGCAGATACCACGCCTCATGGATGAAGAAATCGAGCACGTATATTCCGTGCAGAATGCTGACCAGCACCAGCGCAGGCGATATGGTGCTATGAACCTGATACTGATACGCTATATTGGAGATGTCTCTGGTCCAAAAGTCAATGAAAGTCGCGATAAGTAGTGACTACCACATCACCTATTTGATGAAGGTGCCATATGTGAAGTAGAGAGCAATACGTACATCAAGGTCCACGCGACAATTCCCGGTCTTCCATTGACAAAGAGTTTAAAGTCAAAGTTTTGTCCGATTCTAGGGTTCATTTCGATTCCCATGTAAAAGTCATACACCGAGGATCCTATAAAGAGTTAGAACTAAGCTCAAATATATATTATGCACAGAGAAGATAGGTAGCTTACCACTAAACTTGCGATCATCTGCATGAGTCGGCTGGATATGGGCCTTTATAAAACTAAAGGCTGAAAGTATATATCCAGCAATGTTCATTGCGACAATTAAACTCCCCCAGTTCTTAGGTATAAATGCGGGATCCAAGATGCCGAGAGACCACAGACCGAGGTAGGCTACGTGGGTAACCGTCCAAGCTGCAAGGCCGTTTGTTCTATATGACAGGAGATGACCCGCGGGAGTGCGTTGACCCGTGTTTATCTTGCCCGGCAAGTACAGGTATAAGATAGCTTGCAGGAAGAGCCAGCCAATGTATACTGCAGTTACTCCAGAATCGAATTGAGGAGAATAATGTTTCAGAATAGGCATAAGACCATCCGTGCTAACGGCACGAACAAGGGCGAATAGCGACCCTTGGAAAGACGTGAGGGCGATGTACCAGACGATAATCAGTACCGGCGCCAGACACACCATTGCCGTGGACGCTATGGCTCGCAGCCATGAACTGCGCTTCGTCGAGCGTCCCCATGCATAGGTACTGATTGAGGCGGCTTTAAGAGACAGCACCAATTCTCTCTGTGTTTTGGACGTGGTAGAGTCCGGTGGTATGAATATGCCGGTTTGGGTATGCATTGTGATAGCCAGTGGAGGTGTGAACTTGTAGGAGAATGATGCAATGCTAAAATATGAGATAGAATGTCGACCAGAAAGCTCTTGACATCTTCCAGTTGTCAACCATTTATATAAGTATGTTCATATAACGAGAACCGGGAATAATCATGGCGCGGAGGTCATGATGCCCCGCGAATCATCCCCAGCCCCAAACCAATTCATTCATCACGCCGATGGCTTGAAAGCGTCCTGCCTTGTATGATTCCAAAGAGAGACACTGTCTCATTACAACTTGATTCAAAGTCTTCTCAAGATGATATCAATTTGACCGCCGGATCACGAATACGGAGCGCACTAGCCACACGGAGCGGAGCGTTCCCCCCACTGCCTCGACGGGCTGTCGCCGAAGCCGCGTATTTTTGAGGCTATGCAAGGGCTGCGTGTCACGGTATAGAAGTTGGTCCGGAAAGAAAGGTTTACACTACTGAGGTACTGACACAGTGTAAACGACTCTGCTTTTAGTTTAATTGTGGAACTTCAAGGACTCTTGTTTCCTTCTCAATGAACGTGTCGACCAAGTTGCAGATGCTTGTTTCCAGACAAAGATAAAATCTCTGTTGTTTACGCAGGACTGATAACTATAATTAGTATTACTGGGAATTTCCTATTATTATTATTATAACCCTCCTTTCGTCTCTTATTTTATCTTCGTTTATTTACTCATTTTAAGCCACATACATCCCGAAGTACTGTGCACATACTGTCATATTACTGTATAAGCGGTGGCTCGGATCTGACGACGTACCTTTCTTTCCGGACCAACCTTTGTAGATGCATTCAACTATTATTAGACTTAGTCGAGATGGTCAGCTGGGTTCCATGACTTCTGCTGCTGGTAATATGATGCAACCAGGCAAATGAATAAAGACGAGGACTATCCTCGCTTAGACTCCCTGCGCTCCGCGGAGTTGTCGCACGCAGATGTTCAAAGTTATCCAATCAGCCGACTATACCAAACGCTCTCCGTCAGCACCATTGTTTTGCGTAATTGTGTCGGGCAAAGAAAAAGAAGAGGAAGAGGAAGAGGAAGAAGAAGGGCTATTCATCACTACAAGTTGGCTATCTAGCATCCCAGCGACTACGGGGAGTTCAAGAGTCGTAGTAAGACGCAGAGAAAGGACCTTCTGTTACTTACTTGAGTACACACGGTTTCTTGAATATCCGTTACTCTCGCTATTCTAGCTATTTTCTGCTACTATCAATATATTCCTCTAGTATCCGCTATCATCCCCATCTACCTAGTAGCTAGCTCTCAATTTGAGGCTCAGGATTCTGGATAGTCAACTTGGGGTGCTGAATAGCAATTCCCTATTTGTAGCACTCATTCAGGGGCATAAAGAAATAGCACAGCTGCTTCCTGTAAATGACAGAATTGATACAAACACAGTCGGCGAAACGCGATCATTATTGGCTATAAAGGTACCTAGGTGGTTAGAGTCTATTGCAACTACTAATCTCGAAGGTAAAGATTAGATAGAGTACACAGTTACCAACCTACTTGCGCAATCCTTTCGTGATTACTAGATAGTTAGTCGGGCTGTAACTTACCCCGGGGTACGCATTTTTCTGGTCTTGCAAAAGGTTGGGTCGTAACTTGCTTTGAACACGGTATTTCAATTCATTGTTCATCCAGTATGAGCAAGCCTCCACTCGTTCAAATTGAAACAATTCATCTCCAGAGCTATCCACGGAGTGCTGCCCACACACAATCGGTCTCCTCTTCTTCTAAGAGAGTTCCACTGCCGCAAATGCCATATAGTAACCATCTCCCTCTGGAACATTGCCAGCCTGATCGCACCAATACTCCTTGATTCCAAGGTCTTTCTTTACACCCACCTTTCCCGTTGCGCCCTTGGCGATAAGGTGAATGCTGCCACCTGGCTGAATGGCAATTGGCGAGGTTGCGGCTTGGTACGTTGTGAGGCATTCGACTTTCTTTGAGGTAATCTTACGAGGTGCTAGCACGGGTGTCGACATCGTTGAGGCTGATTCGGCCTGAACGGAGATTTCCACTTTGTCCGCCCCGCCGTTTGAGGTGACGAAATCAACCGATGTGAAGAGGTCGGTTCCCAGTTTAAAGCCGGTGTACTTGACCTCTATCTTGGAGAGGTATACCGTGGAGTTGGTGGTGTTTTTCCCAGTGATTTTAATTTCCACGGGCGAAGCAGATGACTTGACAGGACTGATGGTCGTCCATTGCAGTCTGGATGTCGGTTTGTCGGTACCTCCATTTCCAGGATCGTCCGGCTTCTTGGGCGGTGGAATGATGATTTTCCCTTGGTCGGGGGTGCTGTTTATGTTAATTCAAGGATAGCAAGGGTGCGGAAAAAGGGGGGGAGACGCTTACTCTTGATACTCGATTTCAGCTATCAAGTCACCTTTCTCGCTGAACATGGCGTTTTTGAATGTGAGTTGTCCATTTCCAGGGTAGAAAAACTTGGATGAATTGGCGAAGCCAAGATTCAGCGCTCGCTCCAAGTTTTCCAACTCCCGCTGCAGGTTTTCGGCGAGGTTTGATTGCGTCCAATGATGCTCTGAATCGGGCACATCAGTAGTATTATTCTCCACCCTCACGAAGTAATTCCTGTCATGTGTGACGCTCAGGTTAAGGCTGCCGTCCTTCACCGTCACATCAATGTACAGTTCCCAAGTGAATTTCCAACGCACGCTGTGTTTGTATAATGTTGTCAGCTACCCCCATCTCTTCATGTGCAAGAGGACCTGGAACAAGAGAGGGGAAAAAAAAAACTCAACGGAGATCATACATTTCCCGCCAACGGGCATTTTCTAGTTGATGTGAAGAATTCACATTTGCATTATCTGCGATGGTGACATAAACGTTGTAATTCGTCTCTCCGTTGACCGTGATCCGATTGCCTCCCTTCTGCCATTTTACGGTTACGCGGGGGCTCCCTGACAAGGAGAAGAAGTCTGTGAGCTATGGTGTCTTGTAGAGAAAGAAAGGAGGAGAAGATAAAGTGTTTGGGACAACTGACCTTCACCCCAGTACTTGCCATGATTCAGCGGCGGTTCTTCCGGAATTCCAGGGTCAACCCACTCCGTTTCGTCAATTATCACGGGGCCTGGGCCCATATGCCGCGCGATTTCGCTTGAGCCATATCCTACTGAGGCAATCCCAGCGACGGCGTTTGATATCGAGCCTATTGCGCCAACTGCCCGCGCCATGGCTTCTGCTGTGTGCCTTACCGCTTCTGCCTGTCGCATTTCTTCTTCTTGTTGCTGCCTCATTTTCCTCTGTCTTTCCGCTTCTTTCATTGCATATTCCCTTTCCTGTATGGCGGCCTGCCATTTCGCTATGGCATCCTTGTCCTCCACGTCGAATAGGGGGGAATCGTACGTTGACTCGACATAGGCTTCATAATGTGCATCCCCGTAGCCGACTGCACGGAACCTGTAGATAGGGTTATTCGGATCCCCATAGGGATCTTTGCTCGGATTTACACCAATCTCCAAGCCGTATGAATGATCCCCATTCAAGTCTATATGTGCAGGTCCCGGATAGATCTGTGACTCCTTGACGAACACTTGGAGCTTTGGCAGCAGGAATTTCTCGAAAATTAGCTGGTGGCTGAGGACAAACGACCCATCTACTCGACTACCTGGAGAGTTGGGATTTCCAATCGTAGTGAAATTACCGGTTTGCCTGTATTTTTGGATCATCAGTGTTTCACAATCTTCTATGAAGCTGGCCTTGATTAAACATAATAGAGGGACGACATACGGCAGTTCCCTCCATGTCATTGGGCGGTTGTCAACGTTCTCGCAATACAGCAGACAATTGCGTGACCCAGGATCTCCGGTGCCCCGAATTCCGGACTCCCATCCGGTCTTACCTGATTCCGACCCAATTCTGTAGGGGAAAGATTGGTGGATCATAGACGTGGGCGCTGTGCAAAAAATATGTTAGCATCCTCGAAATTCCTCGTAATAATTCTCTTCCCCCCTTTGGATGGATTGTCCTTACCGTAAGTAGCATCATGTTCAGCTATTTTAAAAAAGGCCAAAAATTAGCATCCATGTCATCTTGGTTGATCTATGATATTAAGATTGTTGTGTCCAGGGTGTGCTTACGTATTTTGCCATCCAAGTTAAATCTTGTGCCAATGGTGGTCATGCCATCTTCCTCTCTCTTGAGGCTGATATCCTTGAAGATGCTCTCCAGCGTGCTGGATGCATGGTCATTTTCTTTCACTTCTTTCCAAGTGGCGTACTCATCAGATGATTTGTCGGCCATGGAAGACGGGCCAGCAAAGCTAACGCCTTCTCCCCACCAACCGCTGGCCATCTTGGCGTACAGACGCTCTGGTCGGTAGTCGCCTGGTACCTCAAAGTTGTTGTGAATAAAGTCTCGCTGTTTTTTCTTTCTGTTTTTCTTAGCATCATCATCATCCGGGGCGTCTTCGAACTTCTCCCAAGCTGCGTCCCACTGTTAATCAAGCGTTCACTGACTTGTATAATATGGGTGCTTGGCTTACTTAGAGGGACTTTGACATCAATGGTCCAATTATCTATGGTGTAATCTTTTGGTGGGACATCCCTGTAGTTGACCGTTAGAGTGCCTTGTTTGATGTTTGTCCGCCAGATGACTATGTTGTTCTTCTGTGCAGCCGGGTCTCCGACGGGGATCACCAGCTCTGATGGCGCCAGATCAGCAGATATGGATCCAGAGTCTATAAAATTCCAATTTTGATAGCATCAGTCAATGAGCAGTCTTCTTCTCAATGTCGAAGTGCTGGTATTTACCGCTGTCGCCATAGAAATCGTTCATGTCCTCGTTCTGCTCGTGTATCCTTTTGATGGCATGGTTGATCATGCCTTGAGAAATGGCTATGACCTGATCAAAGTGATCACCATCACTGAGGTCAAGGGAGGTTTTGAGCCGAGAAGCCTGCTCAGCATTCTGGAATTGCGCATCCATAATGGATCAATAGTTGCTCAATCGAGCGGTTCTAATACTCGAGGAAGTGATTTGCTCTAGCCGTTCTTTGATAAAGCTCCTGGAATTGATTTCATGAAAAAGGGGCTTTCCGATGCTTCCTTATAATACCGATGATATATCCCTCATTTATACCCGCACTTGGGAGAACATGAATGCAAAACCAGCACATATGCTATTATAGAATATGCCCGAGTATATGCTTGATGCATTGAAGTGGCTTCTGATTGGCTCGTTCCCATATACGAATGGTATACCTGTTCGATTGGCCACAGGTAAACAAACAAGTTCCAGCTCTAAACATTCAACCATTCTGGTCCCAATTGAGTCTCGTAAATGCAGATGCATGATGTTACCCACGATGGCAGTGCATTCCAACCATTTCCACGCTCGGAAATTGTGGCTGGCTGAATATAGAGCGCATGTGGTCATCTGCAATGCGATGAATCCTACCAGGCTAATTGGGTGAGAGCCCATGTAGAGGGTGCAGTTCAGCTCTCTTTTACGTAGCATTGCAGATGCGTATGCAACTTTGCGGATTGCGACAAGAAAAGGATTGGCAGACAATTGTACTCTAGCACGCAAAATCACAGCTGAGCTAGCATATGCTGGTAGGATTGAGGCATTTAATTAGGGGACTGGTAGAATAACCTGTTGTATTTCATTGACGAGGAAGCCATTTTGACTGAGTAATGAAAGATTGACTCCATTGCGACATTTGCTACATGCGAGTAAGCATCTTGGAGACAGGGCTCAACTTCATCTGCCACCCCCCCTTACCCCGCATTCGAGGGGGCATTGTCTGGCGGTTTCCACCAGCTGTTGAAAAGGAATATGTGTGTAGACCTTCTGTTTATGCTATTGGCTTATATTAAGCATTGGCTGCGTGAAACTAGAGCAGCATCGTATCAACAACAATACTGCATGTATTCTGCCTTGCCCAATCTCATTCGGCAATGCTCCACCATACTGGAGCGTAGACTCCACGGCCGGCATGTAATATGTATGGACATTTGTATGTCTTTACTGGACGATGCTTTGTTTTTCGTGTGTGACATATATATAATGGATCAGTCTATACAAAGAGGGATCGATTTATAAATGCAAAACCCTTGTTGTGCTTGATTTCAATCTTGGCGTGCACCAAAATAAAAGCCAATACTCTGCAATATCCCTTGGGCTAGATTGTCTTTTCGATGCTTCCTCCTCTTATTCATTGAATAATCTCCCAGTCGCCAAAAGGCGGGGGTTAAGAAGCATCTTATTTCCCAGCTTGATTTCTCTTCATCATGGAAGGACCAGCAGATCTAAATCACATCCTCAAGGGACTCCTGCCCTCGAAGGTCTATGATGACGTTGTCGGTCAACAAGAGCTAGACGTCGATAAGCTAAAGTCGCTTGTGGAACAAACAATTCAGAAACACGCTGCGTTATTAACTGAGACTATCAAATCCAAGCTGCTCCTGCTGGTTGAGCTAGTCAATGAGCTCAATCTACCTCCAAATCTATGCAGCGAAGTCATTCTCCATTCTCACTATTTGGACATCCAAGCCGTCATCACTCATTTCTGGGCGATCTGGTCTGGCAACCCAGAGCGACGAGCTGATGCCATTAGGATGTTTGAAGCCAAGCCGGCAATCATCATTAAGAATCTGGTTGCCCAGGATCACTTTGGCCTCTCTCCGACGGTGCAACAAGATGTAATACAAATCTTTGCCAACCTTGGGCCTGCTTTCAACATTTTGAAGGATCCCTTGCCACCCAATCATAAAGCAATCGCCTGGTTAGACAAGCTCGAGGATCCGAGGCGTAAGCAAGCGGCACTCGCCTTCGTCGCATCGGTTCAACAGCTATGCAGGGTCATCATTGAGCCCATGGACTTGCCGGCCCTCATCTCTCTTGGCTTTTCGTCCGTCGAAGAGACTGCTTATACTCCTCTTGAAACTTTCGAGGTACTTGTGGCGCCCTATGGCATCTCCTTAGACCATGCGCGACGCATTCACGGAGAGGCTACATCCGCCCAAATGAGAATGGAACAATCCATGATGGCTTTGCTCCAGAGCTCTAACGACTTTCCTCCTTCGAAGCTCTACGGCAAAATCAACGCCAGCAATAAATCAGATACTTCAGACACTCGTGATACCAATTTGTCCAAGTGGTTCGGGGACCTCGACCAAGTTGGCTGCGAAGACTGCTGTTCCGTCACCAGTCCCGCAGCCTATCTTGTAGACCTTTTCCGTATGCTGAAGAATCTCCGCATTCAGTCCACGTCAAAGACCACCATATTGGAAAAGCTGTTTGAACGCAGACCTGATTTGGGTGATCTGTTGTTGTCTTGTCGAAATACATCTGAGCTGGTGCCATACATCGATTTGGTAAACGAGACCCTCGAATCCGCCATAATTTACCTGGAAGCCAATGATGGTCTCGATAGTCTTCAAATCCAAGTCTACAATGCAGACTCGCACAACCACATCCAGGAAGCCGCTCAATTTCCACATGATGCGAGCAACACGCGATATGAAGTTTACGACAAATTCATCATCAACAAGGTGCACCCATCGACAGTGTTCCCGTATGATCACTCTAAAGACAGCCTCCAAAATTACTTGAAGGCGAGCAGTACGACGTCCGCTGAGCTTCTCGAAGCCTTTCGTGCCGACCCTCGTCTGGCACGAGACTCCACACTCACCAGGCTGCTGAGCGACAAGGGGGCTGTAGACACGGTGTACAGTAGAGTGTATGCGGCGGAAGTCCTTGGAATGGCGCAAGACGACTACCTCGCCATAACTCTCGAGTCGTTTTACGATCTTCGTAGCGCTCGTTTGGTAGAAAACAATGCAAACATATCTCAGGAACTATATCAGAAGAACGCCGGTCTTCTGCCATCTTGGTATTATTGGGGATACGAAGACAAAAATCCCGAAGAGGGCGACGGAGAGGAGACCATTATAGACGCCGAGAATGGGGACGGACTGCCGTTTATCAAAACTCAACTCTTACCACGACTCGATATCCAATTCTCGACTTTGGCTCAGATATTGAATACTCGGTTTCTGGATGGATGTCTCACTGTATCGCTCGTACCTGAAGGCGCAGAATTCAATCCGCAGAGAAATGTGCCAAGCGAGTTGGACGAATTTAGATTGAGAGGAAAAGACGGCGAATCTTTGGATGTCTATAGCTGCCAGAGGTTGGATCAATTTGTTCGCATATGGAGGCGGCTTGGTTGGCCAATCGAGGATGTTGATGATGCCCTTTTCGTATTTGGAGACTTTGTCACCAGTGATGAAGGTTTCGGAGGGAAAATGTTGACCATAACACCGGACACGATTGAACAGTTGGCTGCTATTTCAGAGATTTCACGGCTGACAAAGAGCAAGCCCCCAGTGATCGTCTCTCTCTTTTCCCAATCATCTCAGTACTTTCTACGATTACCAATCATCCAGACGATACGGCTTCAGGGGGATCAGACTATAAGCGTTGAGGAGAAGAAGCTCCCAGCAGAGCAATATCTACCGCTCTTGTTGTCCTCTCTTAACATATCTTACGATGATTTCGTGCAATTCCAAGACCAGGAGCAGCTGGGTGATGAGTTGTCGATGGTGGCTGTCTTCAAACACAACCGACTGGCAGAAGCCGCGAGAATGTTTTCGGTCGACGCTGAGCAAATCTCCAAGTTACTTGCCATCTTTTCTAAACAAAATCCATCACTTTCAACGCCAAAGACATTCCTCAAAGCCCTTAAAACCTGGAGGCTTCTGCAAGAAGATGGATGGGAGGCATCTAATCTCATTTCTGTGTCTATGCGACTCGGTGTTCAGGTGAATGAGGCCGTGGATACGTCAACTACGAAATTAATTGGCGCATTTATGGGCTCTATTAAGAGCGCTGAGAAGGTCTTATCGTTAAATCAACCACAAAACTCCTCTAATTCACCAAGCACTGAGTCGCCGGTCCCGACGCAGTCTTCTACTGCTGTTGTCGATCAATCCATCTTTAATGCTATTAGCAGTTTTTTCTCAAAAACGCCCACAGAGATTATCAAAACTTTGCTGAAAAAATCTTTCCCAGACGGGAGACCAACGCTGAATAGCCAAATACTATCCGCGACGACAAAGTCTCCTGGTGTCGATTACGAAGCTGTCAATTTTACTGGCGCACTGTTCTTTGCCGAAGATGTAATCATACATGTGGAGACGGCCTTGAAGACGGAAACAGACACAAGTTTCAGCGTAGGAGAGACCACGTACGTGTTGACCAAGAATGTGAATGGCGACCGGAACTCTAGTTTATACGAGTGTAACATTGGCGTCTCGGCAGGTACTGCGGTATATCTTTCGTGGCCGTCTAATTTCAGCAACACTCAAATAACACTACAAAATCCCGATGGAACACCTTTTGCAGCAACAGAAGTCCACCCGATATCGACGAACGTGGTGCTTGAAGTACAGCATGCCATCGGCCAGATTGGTCAATACGGCCTACTTGTTGAACACTATCCCGTGAACGCCTCAGAGTTGGAGGTTCTGCTGGATTCTGGTATCAATTATCAAGGTTTCGATATTGTGAATGATTTGCATAGCTATATCTTAGCCCGCAGGGCTCTTATGAAGACGGGCAAAGAGGTAGATTTTGCAAGGTTCACACAGCGCTTTTTAGGCTACCAAGTTCCCTCCTCAGATCTTGTTCTCCAATTCAGCCAAGTGACCGTTCTCAGCAAGTCAATGGCTGAGAAGCTCCTGATGAACAATCTCTCAGAGGGTGGAGCGCGGAGCTCGGATTTGCGCCTCGAGGCTCTCCGTAAAATCGGCCAACAATTTCAACTAATGGCTCGAATGGGACTGGGAGAAGATTCGCTCGAGCTATTATTTACGTGTGCTGAGCCGCCCCCATTCGGAACTAAAAAAGATTCGACTGATAGGAGCCAACGCCCCGTAACAAGGCTGGTCCAGCGTCTGCAAGCCGCTCTGGCCAAGAGAGGGATGAAGAACACTCTGAAGAATGCTCAGAACGTTCTCCGAGAAAATCGACGCAAAGCTCTTATCCAATATCTCCTTCAAAATGATGACATAAAATATAATAAAGGCGTAACTGATGCGGATGGCCTCTTTCATCTTTTTCTAATAGACGTTCAGATGGGTTCTAGTCTCGAAACAACACGAATTAAGCAGGCTATCTCTACCGTGCAATTTTTCGTACATCGGTGCCTGTTGGGCCTTGAAGAGGACATTGACGGGACTCTTATACCACAAGATCGATGGGCTTGGATGTCGAGATATAATCTTTGGGAGGCGAACAGAAAGGTGTTTCTTTACCCTGAGAACTGGGCCGATCCTGCACTACGAGACAGTAAAACGCTACTTTTTTGCGCGCTTGAAGACGATATCATGAAATCCAATTTGGATGAAAGATCCATCACCAACATCATCCGGACTTACATCTGTTCCATGGACGACATCGCCAATCTGCAGGTCCAATCTTTTTATTGGGACAAGTCGCATGATCCGAAGATCAAAGAGACCGGAGTCTTCCACATTGTCTCGAGAACCCGAAACGCGCCCTATCAGTATTACTACAGGCAACTTGAATATCTTGCGAAAGGCTCATTGCCAGCTCCGCTCTGGTCCCCTTGGGAGAAGCTGCCGTTTGACGTGAGGGCCCACGATGTCGACCACGACGGCAAGGCTCTCGCGCACACAGGATCTTACGTCGTTCCAGCCTTTTGGCAAAATCGACTGATAATCTTCCTCCCTCGCATTTCCGTAATTGCAGTGCCTAATGATAAGCCATCCACCACAGTAACTCTCTCATCAAGGGGATCATCTAGTGATAGCGAGCAAGAGATTAAGGTTGGCGGTGGTGGTGGTTCTTCCGACGCCCAGCTGAGACTGGAGATCAAAATGGCCTGGTCAGAACGGGTTGACGGCGTGTGGGTAGCTCAGAAGCAGAGCCAAGACACACTCACGGCACCAAGCGGCCGGACGCCACCTACCTTTGACTCCTTCAGATTCAGCATTTACCAGACTGACGAGAATTTGTCGGTGTTGCTTTATCAGGCTGATAGCTCGTCGGAACCTAATTACCTAGGGCAATTCAGGCTTCACGGACCAAGGCTGTCATTCATCTCCGGAGACGGGAAACGGCTGTATACCGAATCCAACGCCCCAAGAACCCTCTTTGGGCAACTTCGCGTCGATTCCGGGGAATATTACAAGGCAGATAACTGGTCCTCGATATCGCAACCCCCAGTGGAAAGTAGCCGCTTATCCACTGTTAGCTGGGTTCTTGATAGTCGGTCAGACTCTACTCAGCCCTTGGGCTTGGTTGCCGACCTTTCTGTCAAGGACGGGCGAGGTCATGAACCATGGTTTACTCTACCTACTGCCCTTTTTGGGAACTCCAAAAAGGGTAACGATACATATGCCTATCAACTATTCAACCCGCTCAGCGATAAGCTGCGGGCAGCCGTTACAAATGATGATGGTGTTGATGCTATCTATCGGGTCATGGATAAGTCGACTATAAGTAGCAGAATTGTGTCTCCAGAAGACCAGAATATGAATCACGCCTTTGGTAGCACCAACCAACTAATGCTTTGCCGGGAAGATGCAACGCCGTACTCTATTTATAACTGGGAGATTGGATTTCATTTAGTGGCACTGCTTGTGGAGCGCTTGATTGGTTTGCAGGCATTCGACTTGGCAATCAAATACGCACACTTGGTATTTGATCCAACAGGGGCAGACGGGCCTAAGCCTACCCATCCTACATGGAGATTTCCACCATTCAGAGACGATGCAACGTTAGAATACGGCAAGCTCGGTGCCATCATTGATAAACTGAGGCCAAGTTCGGGAGATGAAGACCATATGTTTGCGCCCATCTTGGCTTGGAGACGCAACCCTTTCAACCCGCATACAGTGGCTCGTGGGCGACCTCTTTCATACATGAAGAGGTTCGCGATTAAATACATGGAAGCGCTAATCTCAAGCGGCGATGTCTACTTCCGACAGAATTCTTTAGAAACGATTCATTTTGCCATTGAGCGCTACATCGAAGCGTCTCATGTGTTTGGGCCGCGGCCTCAGACTGTTCCCAAATTAGGGAAACAGCAGTTTAAGAGCTACAACGACCTCAGTAGCCAGCTGGATGACTTTTCCAACGCTTCTGTTAAGCTGGAACTCTCGTCCCCGTATTACGTTCCGTTACAGGAACGAGGGACCTCAGAAGGGAACGGTTCGGGCGCTCTCCAAAGCTTCCTGCTAACTCCCTATTTTGGCGTGCAAGCGAATCCGGAATTCATGGAGCTTCGCAGTAAGATTGATAAGCGTCTATATCAGATTAGAAACTCGCTGGATATCAACGGCAATCCTCGAACTCTCAGTCTTTACGATCCACCAGTGGACGTCGGGGACTTGGTAACCGCATTCGCTTCCGGATCACAGAGCGATATTGCGTCAGTTATTTCCGGCTTCCCAAAGGTGATGCCTAGGCAGCGGTTCATGTACTTGATCCAGAAAGCGTATGAGCTCTGCTCGGAATTGAAGACTACAAGCGCAACATTGCTCTCCGCGATCGAAAAGGGAGATGTGGAGGCACTGCAACTCTTGCACTCAAATCAAGATACCGGCATGCAACGGATCTTGATGGAAATCAAGCTCAAGCAAAAAGCAGAAGCTCAGGCTGGCCTCGATCAGCTTATAGAGAGTAGACGGTCGGCTGTTGTTCGATTTAAATACTACGCGGCATTGACCGGAGATAAAGTGCCGTTGCCAACAACTTCGACAGACTTTGAAGAAGTGCAGCAGAACATTCCTGTTCCAATCGACCAAGACCTACGTCTGTCCCAGCATGAGAAGTTAGAATTGGCCTTTGCAGACTCATCTTCTTCCCTCAACAGTAGTGCCGCTTTACTCGACGAGATTGCCGCCGCATTTCTTTGCGTGCCAATGCCGGCTCTCAATGGACAGCCAATGGGCATGGGCGTAACGATCCAAATCCCAAATCCTGGTCAATTCATGCAGATTGGCGCAACTATCATGCGTGCGAATGCTCTCGAGGCAGCAGAGGACAGTCAGAGAGCCTCACGGATAGCCATGTGGACGCGCCAGCTCCAGGAGCGGCGTCTGCAGTTGAACCTCGCAGGTCGTGACATCAAGAACATCGACAAGCAGATGGAAGTTCAGACGGCTAGGATTGCCGTTATTGATAAGGATATAGAGTCTCAGAAGCAGACAGCCGAGAATCTACTCAAGATCCAGGATTTCCTCTGCACCAAATTCAGCAACAAAGAGCTATACTCATGGTACGAGAGTACGACGAGGAATTACCTGTATCAGACTTATCTGGTTACCATGGAGCTAGTGCGAAAAGCTGAGATTGCCTATCTTTTCGAGCAAGGCCCTAACGCCCGCTCGACTCTGTCTAACAAGGGATACTGGGATCAGGGAAAACGGGGACTGCAGTGCGGCGAGCAACTTTGGTTCGCACTCAAGCAGATGGAACTATCATACCTAAATGAGGTCCGCCACGATTTTGAGATTACCAAGAGTATCTCTCTCCGCCAGTTGGACCCAGTTGCTTTGCTCAACCTTCGTGAACTGGGTGAAACAAAATTTGACCTACCCGAGGTCCTATTCGATTTGGACTTCCCCGGCCACTACTTCAGACGCATCAAATCTGTCTCTCTCTCCTTCCCCTGTATAACCGGCCCGTATGTAGGAATCAATTGCACAGTGACGCTTCTACAGCACCAGTATCGAGCAAGCGACTCGACAGATCCATCATATCTAGCGACTGAAAGAGATACCAGATTTGCACATGAGGAGATCCAAACTCCCATCCGATCAGTATGTATCAGCTCAGGAAACAATGATGCTGGAGTCTTTGAGCCGCTGGATTTCCACGGCGACCGGTACCAGCCATTTGAGGGGGCAGGTGTCATCAGTAGCTGGAGTCTTCGCCTGCCCAAGGAGTACCGGGCATTTGACTATCGAACCATTAGCGACGTTGTGATGCAAATACGCTACACAGCCAAGAACGGCGGCGAAACCCTTGCGCGAGCCGCCTCTATAGGCAACCGAGATATCATGGAAGGAGCCGCAAAGGCTTCGCAGAAAAAGCCCATGTCCCTTCTATTGGACGTCCGCAGTGACTACGCTGACGCCTGGTACTCATGTACCGCAGCTCCTGATCGCGCTCATAAAGATAGACGAGTTATGTCCATCCCAAATATCAAGAGTCGACTCCCGTTCTTGGCCAGGGGCCGCAAGGTCACCATCAAATCTGCCACAGTTTATGTTACCGGTCCTGATTTAAGCAAATACAGATTCTACATCTCAAAAACAAAAGATCGGCCAGACACAGGTGCTGTGCTTGGCTATGACGACAAGCTAGGAGATCTTCAATTGTTCTCATCTCCAGAAAATGGGAGCGGGCTTGATGCTATGTGCAGCAACGACAACAACAGCCCGCCATGGTATCTCACCATGGCTACAACCGACGGGGGAGACGCTGGGTTGGTGCCAACGAACATGTTACTTGTTGTTGACTACGCACTCTCGTCTTAGTGGTGGCGACTGAATGAGAGAAGATGTAACAGATGGAGGGTATTTATCTGTTTTATTAGCACATATAAGTAGCCAACAGCAGGCTAGCCAGACACCTGATCTTACAGCCCGCCAGATGACAAAGTGGAATATAAAGGCGAGGTCAAAAGAGAAGAGAGAGTGTTTGTCATATGTCTTCATAGAATGCTACTACACTTTGCTCCATCGCATACGACCATAGGTACATGTAGTCGAGAATTCGCGGTCCCGTCAAGCACTTCTCTTGAGTGTGATGTCCTCCATTTTCTATATCCCAAGACTCCAAATCTGGAGCTACAGGTTAACCAACCCCGCGCTAAGATGCTGTAGTGCCAGAGTTCCGGCATCGGCGATGTTCTCATTGCCTAGTCAATTTCTCATCCGGCAGATGCCAACATATTGCTACTGGAATAGATTATTGTAGCTTGTGTGCAAAGACACGAAGCTAAAGATTCTTTATCGCTTTAATCATAGCGTGGAGATGGCACATTTGTAAGAAAAGATTTAGATTTCTCTGATAATAAAAATAAGATATTTCCGTGCCACAACGTCGTTGTCTCCTATCAGCTGCGCTTAACAGATCTACCTGCTCTAATAAGACCCGACGTTAAAAATATGCAGATTGCCGCGCCGCCATCTTGCTAGCGTTTAAGCCGCTATTAAGAAAACAATCATCAGCATTTAAAGGTTTATCAATCTACATGTACCTGTCAACTTTGCCATTTGGTCTACCTAATTATCATTACCCTACGTCGCTCCATTACCAGTGCTTCTGTCCTGATCAAATGGATCAACTATTTTCCGAGCCCGAATATCCTCAAGGTTGACGTGGTCTGACATACTAATTGGGCACTTTCAAGTATTAGTCACATCTAAAGAAAAATATCTTTGCGACATCGCTACATTCCTCCCTCCAATCTCCCTCTCCTCCATCAATCAATTCACCCAGTTGACATACAGAACAGATAGAGACATCATGTCGACATTTGGCCACTACTTTCGCGTGACGACGTGAGCCCTCTCCCTCCACTAAACTGCTAGGAACATAACGCAAGACATCAGCACACTAACCTCCATCGTCACAGCGCCGGCGAGTCTCACGGCAAGACCGTCTCCTGTATCATCGAGAACTGCCCGCCAGGCCTGTCCCTCACCGAGTCCGACATCCAGCCGCAGCTCAACCGCCGGCGCCCGGGCCAGTCGGCCATCAGCACCCCGCGCGACGAGAAGGACCGAGTGACTATAGGATCTGGATGCGAGTTTGGGCGCACGTGTGTGACAACCCTACAGGAAGTCATAATGTTTGCCATGATGCTAATACACTAGGGTCGCAGATTGGGCACACCCATACTACTGACCGTGCCTAACGAAGATCAACGCCCTCACGACTACGGCTCCAAGACCATCGACCTCTACCCGCGCCCCTCCCACGCAGACTGGACTTACCTTGAGAAGTATGGTATCAAGGCCTCCTCTGGCGGCGGCCGGAGCAGCGCCCGCGAGACTATTGCCCGCGTCGCCGCCGGTGCTGTTGCCGAGAAGTGGCTGCGCGAGGCCTACGGCGTCGAGATCGTTGCCTTTGTTTCCTCGGTTGGCAACATCAAGCTCTTCGAGGACAGGCCTACAACCGATAGCGACGATATCGACTCCCTTAGTAGCAACCCTAAGTTCCTCGAGCTTGTTGACACCTTAACCCGCGAGAAGGTAGATCAGTTCCTTCCCGTGCGCTGCCCTGATACTACCGTCGCGAAGCGTATGGAGGATAAGATTGCCGAGCTCCGCGATCAGCACGACTCTACTGGTGGTACCGTAACCTGTATTATTCGCGGGTGCCCCTCCGGCCTCGGCGAGCCGTGCTTTGATAAGCTTGAGGCTCTCCTCGCCCACGCTATTATGTCTATTCCTGCTACCAAGGGCTTTGAGATTGGCTCTGGCTTCCGCGGCGCCGAGATGCGCGGATCCCGCCACAACGACCCCTTCGTGTCTATCGCCGCCGCCGACGATGCGACGCCGAGCGCTGGCGCTGGCATTCCTCCCTCCCGCCTGCGGACCAAGACGAACCACTCCGGCGGTATCCAGGGCGGCATCTCCAACGGCATGCCCATCTACTTCCGCGTTGCGTTCAAGCCCCCCGCTACAATCTCCCAGGACCAGACTACTGCTCGCTACGACGCTTCGGGCGAGGGCATCCTGGCCGCCAAGGGCCGTCACGACCCTAATGTTGCTCCTCGCGCGGTTCCTATCGTCGAGGCCATGGCCGCTCTGACTATTGCTGACGCCCTCATGGCTCAGCACGCGAGGCAGATGGGCGTGAAGATTGCCGCAGCTGGACGGTAGTACATTTCGGAGTACGAGTGAATGTGGAGACTAAGGGGGAACACCAGCAGTATAGAAATGGTTAGGATCAAGGCGCTCGCAATGATCTAAAGCGTTAGGAGAATACATCGTTTGCTAGACTTTGGCCCTGTCCATGTAGACTTTGGCCCTGTCCATGTTCTGTCCTTCCCTAATGAAACCGAAAATGCTTTCAAGCCCGGGCCGGAGGGACGGGCTTACACTATAGCGATGGCGAGGGCGGCCTCGGGAAGCGTCGGCGCTTATGCAAGAGGACGCAAAGGGTATTTCGTCAGCGACGATGAGAGAATCCGGCCGTGCGAGGAAGACAAAACAGACAGTGGCAGATGGTGAAAGATCAAGCGTCGGCGCGCGTCTTGAGGGAGTACGGATGCCCGGTTACGTCAACGAACAACTGCTATACTTGAATGTCAAGTATTTCTCACTGCAGGATAACAGAGACTAGTTTCGTGAAAATCCTCAATCAAATACATTCTGCAAAAGAATCAGCATTTCTCTAGACTTGATCTTGTTAACACTAATTTCGCGTGATGAAACGAGACGTCTTCGTAATTCTATCCATTGCCGCAGCTTTTCGTGCTAACGTCTCCTGGCTCTCGCTCTGTGCTCCGCCAATCGGCATGGTGCACACCTCTTCTGAAGCTGACCTTTAAGAAGCTCGATGCGTGAAGAGATTTGCCTGCTGCGTTCAATAAGCAATTAGTACTCATTTCCAATTATCAAGAAAGAGGGCAAATCCAGTGCCGCCACTTTGGTATTTGAAAAAGAGAAAAAAAAAAGCGGAATTAGCGGTCAGGGATGGTGTTGCTTATGTGATGGACACAAAGCGCTCTGCAGAGACGAAAATCATTGAGGCGGAGCAGAGTCGCATACAGACACGCTATGTATTTTACGTAGCGAATCCCTCCACTGGTTTATTCTCAAATTTTTATTTTGTCTCTGTTTCTGTTTTTTTCCCTTTTCCGTTCATTTCCTTTCTGGTCTGCTTATATACACCACGTTTCACTAGTCTAGGGCCATCACCCAGGCCAAGTGGTCTTTCTTTTTCGGCCTAAGAACTGGTTACAGCTTCATTTCCGCGTCTCTTCACATACCATGGCTGAGGTTCTTGGCACCGTTGGCACCGCCATTGGCATGATTGGCTTCGTCGGCCAATTATTCGACGGCTGTGTCAAGGCATATGGATACTTCACCATGGCAAACAACCTGGACGCGGACAGCCAGCGGATGATGTGTAAAGTGCGCATCGAGGAAATGCGGCTGGTGGTCTGGGGCAGGGAGTGGGGAGTGGCAGAGGGCAAGTTTGATGAGCATCTGAGCGAGCGGAATCCGCAGCTCAGGGTGCTGGCGACGCAGATCCTGGAGCAACTTCATGGCACCGTCACGGACTTTAAGAAGCTGCAGGATCGCTATGGGCTGGTGGACGAAGCGGCGGGCAAAGGCGGCAAGGAGGCGGATGTCTCACCACCGAGAAAAGGGTCCAAGGATGAGGGGAAGAAGACAAATGGCTCCAAGACGACTCCGGGTGCGCTTTCAAGTGAGAGAAGCTGGAGAAAAGAAATTGGACTGAGGACGAAATGGGTTATAGGAGGTGAGATTTGGCCACCTTTGTGAGAGTGTGAGCTATGGCTATGATGCTTACATGTTTCCCCTGCCCCTGAACAGACAAGGACAAATTCGCCAATCTCTTAAAAGATCTTAAAGGTAAGTATGAATGAACATAAGTCTATCTACGATGGCAAATAGCTAACATTCAACCCAGACTTCAACGACGGTCTTGAAGCCCTCTTCCCCCCTTCTCAAGTCCAATCCTTCCAGCGCGCATGGACGCATCAACTCCTCGACCGCGCCCAGCGAGACCTGGCCGAGCTCTCCCTGCTCGAAAACGCCTCGTCTGGCATCTACCCCCAGCTCACCAACTCCGCCAACCTCAAGAAACTCCGCATCAACCTCGACAGCAAGCCCCAGGCATCCTTCAAGCCCACCTTTGCCCTGAAAATCGGGCGCACTTCGCTCGACATTCAGGACTTGGACTCGCCTCGCCGGGTTCAGGCCCACCATGTTACTGCAGGCGATGTCCTCATTGAATGGGTTGATTACGACCGCGAGGAGATTGAGGAGCGCGTTGCTCATGTCCGCAGAATGGACGATCTGGCCCGCATGATGCACTCAGCGTCAGAATGTCATCCGGATCTCCACAGTATCGACTGTTTGGGTTACACAGATGACGCCGCCAACAACCGCTATGGCCTCGTCTACAAAGCGCCGTCATCTTCTCACTCAACGCTCAAGACGCTCATCTCCAGCCCCGACCTGAAAACGCCAGACCTCGACGACCGCATCCGCCTCGCGCAAACCCTCGCTGTCGCCGTCTGGTCCCTGCACTCGCTCGACTGGTTGCACAAGTCTCTTTGCTCCTCCAACATCGTCTTCTTCCCTTCAGCCTTTTCCACCTCCGGCCTATCGCCCACCGCCTCCGCCGCCCTCGTCCCTGACATCTCCCTGCCGTATCTCAGCGGCTTCGGCGCCTCTCGCCCAGAGCTCGACACGGCGCTGTCCATCGTCCCGCGCAACCCGTCCATCGAGGACCTGCACCGTCATCCCGCTTCCTTGCGCGGTAGACCACACATCAAACCGTTTGATATCTACAGCTTCGGTCTGGTCTTGTTGGAGATTGGCCTCTGGAAGGTCCTGCAGACTTACTACAAGGCGCACTATTCGGCCGAGCGCTGGCGCGACAAGGTCGTCCTCGCCGTGCTGGTTCCTGGGCTGGGGAGTAAAATCGGCAAGCGGTACAGGGAGGTGGTGGAGATGTGTCTGCGCGTGGATGAGGAGATGTCTAGCAGCGAGGCTGGTGAGCTGATGGAGGAAGTTGTTAATAAGTTGGAAAGCATCCGGGTGTGATGTGGGTAAAGGCATGACACGATTTGACGATGATAATGATGATGGAATGAGTAGCAATGATGAAAACATGGCAGGCTACTGCGTATAGACAAAAGGAATAGCAGATGAAGCAGAAAACAAGGGAGTTGCTGTCTAGCACCCCAACTTGGTCACATAGAACCCTAAGGTTAAGATAATATAGTAGATACAATACATATTTTCGGATGGTGGAGGAAAGTAGCGATAATAACAAGAGCTATATCGAAGTTTATATACTATCTCTAGTAGCAGGTAGTATTTGCCATCTCTATACTATCGTGAGTAGCGGGAAGTAGATCCCAGTTTCCATGCTATCGCTACTAGAACGTAGTATATATCAGTTTCTTTATTACTACTAGTAATAGTAGTTGGAAACATTATAGCCATGATGCTACTTATTGATCTCAACGGAGGATGATTTGCTGGTTATGATGATGATGGCGCACTGGTGTATCGAGTAGATTTTTGTCACAATCTATAAACCATGCGTCTTAATTATATGTTTGTATCGGCGTCTCATCTCGGTTGTGTCTTCGGTCATCCATTGTAGGGCACTCAACTCATTACCTATTTGATGCCTCAGAACAGGATTTTCAGTAAAGAGAACGGCACCTTGTGCGCCGTTACTCCCAAAAGAGACAATCATAGAGGTATCGAGTGAAGTCACTATATTAATAAGAAAAAGTTAGCATACATGTAGGCTGTACTGCTCGTTATAAGGTCATATGAGAGAACTGACTTCTCACTAGCTGTGCCTCCGGTGGAACACCTTTGAATAGTGTTGGAGGTTCTAGGCCCCCATTTCGCTGATCCTGGATTATTACTGTCATAAATCCCGTCGTCTGGTATCAAAATAGACATAACTGCCTGGATGTATGCCTCGAGTCGTCACCCTTTTATATAGACCCCATCTATATGAATGGTCAGACATCAACTCTGCATATACTCTGTCAAGGCGAGATTTGATAGACATAATAGTTCAGGGAACATTCAATAGAAAAACTTTATACGCCACAGAATGATAAGTATCACGGATGAATGCATGTAGGTAGTGAAGAGATTTTGATACATGCCCCTTGCTATTAAGCAGCGTTCTGAAGATCCATGGTAAAATCTTCGAGGTATCATTATGGGATTTTATCCCAAAATATCAGGTTTCAACAGAGCATGTGTGCAGACGCAATGTAAGACTCAATAGGTTGGCCAAACCAAATATACTATAACTACGTGCAGGTGGAAACAAACAGTTGGGAGCAATGAACGAGGATTCATAGTAAAAGCCCAGCCTCATTGCCTCAATCCCACGGTTAGTCACCTCCACAATGTAGTCTAACGATTCCACTTTCGGCTTTTGGATTCCTTAGCGTCCGTATCTATTTTTGGAGCTCTAATGCCCGAGCGTGTCCGAGGGCAACAGTCATGGAGCCTTCTCCAGGCATAATGTGTATACAAGGCGAAAATGCTTACACAAGTGCTTACGCGCAATGGCAACCGCTAATTGTGAAAAGAGAGCATGGTCGAATGATTAGCACTAATCAAGGCTGTTTCAAGCTTATGCTCGGAGTATGACTCGCAGTATGCCCCCTGTAAGTAAGGCTGATCTAGATGCTCTTAGCTTCAATGAGGGAGGGTTCTAGATAAATAGCTTTGATGACAACTCTCCTGACAACCTTTTAGGTTTCTGTCTTATCCCTATTCCTCCTTCTGTCTATTTACCACTTGACATATAGGTACCTCATAATAATCATCATGACTTCGCCATTCCCGCTGCTGTCGTTTCCCGAAGAGATTATCGAGAACATTTGCTGGCAACTACTTGGACACCCGAACTTCCGTTCGTTCCAGAGGCCTTACGACCCGAAGTCTGTGTCTCATCTCTGCCGGGCATCAAAAACTCTCCATCGCATCGGCACACCAGTACTTTACGCCTATTTCGAAGCCTACGAGCGTTTAAAGAGACTAGCAGATTTCCTTCGGACCATCATCCACCGCCCCGAACTTGGCGCGCTGGTGCAGGAGATAAACTTCAATACCTTTTACTGGTGTGAACTCGAGAAAAGTCATACCGATGCCTTTGAGAGTGCGGCAGCAAGGCTGGGTGTCAGTCTCGATGGCTGGATGGAAAATAACCAGTTCGAGGCCATAGTACAGCTTACCATCGCCCATACACCGAATGTGAGGTCCATCGAGGTCGTTGCGCATGAAGTTTACTGCGATGATGGTGTTGGATCTTTCACATTGCTTGAGAAAATGGCTGCTCAGGTTCCAAGACAAGTCTCGTTGCCGCGACTGCGTCGACTCTACGTGGGCCATGACGACTGCCGGAGGATTTCTCTTGGATACTTTGGAGGCATTCTTGAGCTTGCACCCAATGTCCGTGAGATTATTGGAGATCCAATCTATGGTGCATACTGCGACGAGCCGAATGTGAATAACCGCATGATTCTCGACAATGTCACCAGCTTACAGCTCAAGGGTGGTCACATAACCAGGCATCAGCTACAAGAGATGGTCTCCCGTTGTCGAGCTCTGGAGCATTTTACTTACAAGTATCACTCCATATATGCTGGCCTTGAAATATGTGTGACTCCGAGAGAGGTCATCGAGGCGCTGAGGCAGTGCAACCACAACAATACCCTCCGTTCCATCCGCGTTGATATGGGATATCGAGAAAGGCGGTCTCCTGACGACCTGAGCTTTACAGGTAAATGCGATGATGGCGAACAAATCCTATCCCTCAAAGATTTCTCGCGACTCGAGACTTTTTACGTTGACGGCACTTCGGTCCTATTTCCAACTGTCGAAACGCCTGGCTATAGCACCGATATTCTTACCAAAATGTTGCCTGGCTCTATACGTCGCTTTCAACTCACTCATGCGGCAGTAGAATCTGCCGCAAATCTGATATCTTTGGCACAGTCGATTGCGGATTTTCCACTCCTTGAAGAGGTATCTCTGACTGGCAACAGCGCCGAAGGGCCCTTGGGTGATAAGGAGGTGGAGTTTGATGAATCAGAGATCACTGTGCTGCGTAATACTCTGGAAGATAATGGAGTGCGATTCAACTACACATTTACCAACGATGATGATGATTGAGTATGAGAAGTCGGCTTGTTAGGCAGCGATTTTGCTCAGCAGTAGATATGAAGACAGACTATGCTATGTAATTAGTCGAGAATCTCATGATATCTTTCATAGGCCAGCGATGGCCTCGAAGAATGTTGCCGTAACCTTGGGATGATTCAAAGGGGAAACCTCAATAATGGGCAAATGGAGCCGCAGTACAACTGCCAAACAGCTCTGACAGGTAACTCTAAATAATCACTTCTGGCTCACTTCTGGCTCACCGTTATGTGGGAACACGCGACTGGTTGTTGAGGGCTGCCACTGTCAAACGGACCGCTGAGGCAGAAGTGAAGTGGCCACCAAGCAGCACAATCCTCGAGTCCCCAACCAAATCCACCTGACAGCTGCCCTTTTCCAAAACTTCAGCCCTCTGAAATCTTGAGCACAACTCTTCTACCAAACAACATCACTCTGCCCAACAAGCAACAACCACCAACGTCAACAACTCTGGCATCACTGCTACAACTTCTTCAAAGACAAACACAAGTCGAAACAAGCTGTCAAACCGACAATAAAGTAAGTATCACAGAGTTCTATGCACTGTCCCTCCCCTGTCAGGGTTGCAAAACTTCAACGGTGACTGACCCATGAAACAGAATGCCCTACAACGCACACTTTGAGAGACAAATTGAGAGCTATCGGAGGGCCCGGCGTCTTCTCGTCGCCCGCAACATCAACTTCAGATGCACTCCAGCCGCATTTGAGGCCAACGTTCGGGCTAGGCTCACGAAGCCCGACTCTGTCACCTTCTTCTGGCCTCCGCGTGAGATCCGATACATGCGCAGCCGGAACCGCCACACAGGCTTTGTGATGCTTGGGTTCGAAAACCGGCCCGATGCCGGGTTGGCCGAGGAAGAGCTCCAGAACTTGGTTCTCAACGGCCGTTCCGTCACAGTTTCTCGAGCAAGCAGGGAAGCTGTCAGTCTACATACTCATTCCTCCTATCCATAGCACTGCTGACGCAAAACACAGTTCCTCCCAGAGGCCATGCAAGCAGCAGCAACTCCAACTACCACTGTCTCTACCTCCGGCGCCGCGACAACTCCTGCCACCACCACCACCGCTCCCGCTCCCGCTACTGCCCCTGCTACAGCTCCTCCAGCCGCTACAAATCGCAATCCCTCTGATTCTACCGAAGAGACTCGCCAGCATTGGTGGTGAAGACTTGAACTATGGCAATAGGAATGACTACAGTTAGAGCATCTGCACAATGGCAACAACAACAGGAGAAAAAGAAGGAAGAAGAAAAAGGGCAATCGGAGAAGGAAAAAAAGAAGGACAAAAAAAGAAAAGAGAAAAAAAAAATCCAATAAAAGAAAAAAAAAAAAGGAGAGAGAGAGAGAGAGAGAGAGAGAGAGAGAGAGAAGAAAGACGAAGTGGACGAAAGTCCATATTTCCCAAGGAAGAAGGCGAAAGCCCTCTCTTTCCTTCATTCTTTCATAGGTGAAAACCTTATTCTTTCATAGGTGAAAACCTTATTCTTTCATAGGTGAAAACCTTATTCTTTCATAGGTGAAAACCTCATTCTTTCATAGGTGAAAACCTGATTCCTTGATGGTTGAATATCCCCTGGGCCTCGGCCCTAAAGGTCGCTCTGGCAGCCCTACGGGCGTGGGTTCGATTCCCACAGCGATCCAATATTCTCCATTTCTATTGCTTGATACTACAAATCTGCATTCATTCCTCAACCAGAGAGAACTCCCAAGTAGTGCCCCTATACCTCGTTGGTATTTCTACACTTAGTTATCTCGAGTATCTACTTGTCTCGCGGTGCGGAACAAACTGTCATAGACAGATTTAAAGATGCTCATTTCCTAGTAATTTCTTGGTTGCTAATCTTGGTAATAGTAGCGACTTAATGACCGAGGTTGATGCTGCTGCCATGGCCATGAAAGCCTTGTTGTGCCCGTAATTGGAGGCATATCTTCTTGGAACGACGGTATGGTCTTCGAGGCGCCAATACATACTTTTGTCTACTGCCTTGACTAGTAGGGCTTTGTCAGTTCCCTCTTCGTTTATTTGGTTTGATAAGCCCAGAAAAGTTGACACGTAGCTGTTTATGAACTAGATTTTCTAGAAGACGAGGCGATAGGCGAGACGACTGAGAACGTCTCCATCCTGGCGAGCTTCATGTGTTGCTAGGCATCTCTTCCGCGCCGCTCCGCCACGTCTATGAGAGCAGCACGACCATTTCTCTAGCGCTTCTTCTGTGGCTGTCCGTACTCATACTCTACTAAAGTCAACACCCGAATCAGCGACATTGCTTTCAAGGAGACACATCGTACATATACCTAAGTAAAATCCGCCTTGGCTGCATGAGTTTGCCCATCGCATTTTACCTTTCACTTCTTACACTCATCACATGCTCGTGCAATCTTTTGAGATCCTTGATCCCCTCGCTGTCCTTTCAAATAAAAAATGGTGAGCATCGTAGCGTCTTCCCCGGGATTACAAGTTGAGAGAGGGTGACCGACATCAGATCGTGCTCCTATATAGCGGGGGTAGCGGGGGGTGTCTGCATGTAGGCTTATAGAACATAGATACATGTAGTTATCCTGGATCAATTAGTTGCGGAGATATCCAGATCAGCGGGGACACTAGACCCCGTTTTTATTCCGGGCATTCTCTGAGCAATTAAAGCAACATGAAGACGAAAATTGTTGAAATGATTAGTGCCCAGAAACAGGCACTTGCTACCTGGCTGGTTAACATTAGCAGCTCACAAGATCAACTGCTGCCAGATCCATTTAGCTATCTGGGGCAATTTCACGTCGGCTGATGAGCTATGTCTTGGACAAACGCATAGTTTCTTGACCGAATATTTATGAGTTGGTGTGGTGGCTGTATTTCGCATAGTAACTTATGGCTAGCAATCTCGGTGGACTTCCAACAGGCCACCATGACAGAACAAGACTCAGATCAATTTTGACTTAACATCGGCAAGATGAAAAGCAGGATCTCTGTGTCTTGATGTGCGGAAAGTACAACACCTTTGCCAGGTGAGACCCGTATAGCTGACTCCTCCTCCCAAGGCTGCCCGTCGGCTTCACCCGCGCCACTTAAGACAAAAATTAACTGCATTGCATTTGCCGAAGTGACGGGGAATCGGCCACTCTTTTTTATCTGTATCATCTCCGCTCGGGTTTCACGCTCAGTAAACACCCCAAGTGTCTTCTTAAACACCATCCCATCTATATTTGCCGGTTTGTCCGCTGGGTGCCACGTGTAATTGACCGGACTCATGATGACAGGGTCCTTGTAGCGACCAGGCGGGTATGTGAGACATCGATCGTTGAATTTCTCCCACAGGGCTTCATATCCATCCTGTGGCGGATCGTCGTCTTGTCTTCCGGTTCGATAGAATTTACCGCCCTCAAAGTGGCCGAGCTGGGCAAGCTCTTTCTGCCCCTCTTCTAGCTGACGGTAGGAAAGAAAACCTTGCCCACTTGTTCCACCAAACTGTAAAATGAGAACAACCCGCTCCCCATCCGAGTCCTGCTGCGGTCCGTAGTAGACGCCTTCGGGATGGTAGGCAAGCTCCCCCTCAGTTGCATATTTATCAGGGCTGATGGAAATATCCCCCTTGTAAGCGTAACGGAACTGGTCAAAGTTGTGCCTGTGGCGTGGAGAGAAAAATCCAATTGACCGGACAAGGGCAAATAGGTAGTTCTCGGGGGTGCCTTCCTGACCAATGAATAGGTATTTGAAGGCCAGTCCTTTGTTACGGTGCTTTAGCGAAAGGTCAGAATAGGCCATCGCTTTGCCGTGAACAATTTCCATTGTCGCTCAGTTTCAGTGTATCGCTTGAAAATTCGATAATTACAGAAATCACATCAGCCAGTGAACTGTCTTGTAATCCTTTTGGGAAGAGCTCTTCTGTTATACGATAGGGTCAGTGGTCTAACTGGACTAATGATGGATTCGTCCGCATCCATATCCGTGCCGCAAGTTGGACTATTTTGAAGTTTCTTCCTACGCTTGCCTTGAACAAGTTTAACTTCCGGGCGTGTTCCGAAAGGATTGTTTATCTCGAGTAGCTGGTGACCAGAAACTCCGGGAATAGGAAAATGATCAGCACGCACAACGTAGCTATTACGCACAAACCGCCATGCTGACATCATAAAGGTTGTCCTATTTGAAGTAGACGATTTGGAGAATTGCAAATTAAAGGGATATCCTGGTTGGAGAGACAGGTGAGAATTTTACGGAGATAGCTATGAAGTATGCGGGTTTAGTGAAGTGATTATGAGATATTACGTTTATAGCTCTCGTTAATTGATATACCTCGCACTAACCTGACTTTCTCCGTCTCGTAATGTATACATACATGTATGCAAAAGCTTGCCATGTGTATGAATGTGCCCAAAGGGCTTTTAAATTTTAATTTATGCGCTGGGTATTATATCAGCTACTAAATCTTCGAAGACAATCCACAGTATGTAATCAGATGACGTGGACTCGTAAGATCCAGCCGAATTCTTTTCTTTGAATTCTAATACATACGTCGTACATTCATCCGCTTAAGTGATGAAATTGTATCTGGCCAAGCATACGGCACACTGACATGATCAACAAGAAATATATCAGCGGAATGATGGAAGTGCTCGTGGCAGCATTTTGTCCGTCATGGCGGTGCTTTGCCACCAGCTTAGCACGAGCTTCAGAAATATCCATTGATCCCTTCAAGGATTACATGTAGCCAGCGGCATTTTGTCCGCCATCTAGACTATGTATTTAGGCAGATTGGTGGAGCTTTGCCACCAGCCCAAATGCGCTCTAGATTAGGTGCTTGTTAGGGACATGGAACCAGGGCCTCTTCACTTTGCCCTGACGCTCCATTATACAATCTCTTTAAGGCGGCAGGTCTGCGTTCAATTTCTTCTGTCTTATAAAACGTTTTTCAAGAAGTCTTTATTGACGTTTGACCCACTAGGTAATTTAGAAATATGGAGGAAAACTTAAATGGTTCATGTTCTACTTAATGAATAGTTCTTTGAATGCCTACGTGCTTAGGTGTCGAAAATATAAGATACACGGTTGCTTGAAAGTTATAAAAGCTGCAAACTTTGTCTGATTGTTCTCATAATTCGGCAGCATTGTGTTGGTGCAGGCAGCATGACAAAACCAAGAGATATATGTCCAGGCAACAAGCAGTTCTAAAATCACACAATAGAATTGTTATCAAAAATATATAACGTAGTTTGTCTGCTACCTTAAAACTTTGTGACTATGCTGGATGGTGCTAAACACCGAGCTGGCCACGGATAGCCCCAGAGGACGGAGGCGATGGCCATTCTCCGTCCAAGAAGCTGTTCACTTGCTTGACGAAGAAGTCAGAGTATTGGAACAGATGGCCGTGGCCAGATCCTGGATAAATGACGAGGTTGGCGCGTGGCAGCTGTCTGGAGAGGGCATAGGAATTTTGGCTGGGTACAATGAGGTCATTCGCTCCTGTGGTGACTAGAGCATCCTTCTGGATCGTGTGTAGCAGGGCGTTTGGGACGGGGTCAGCATCCCATTTGAGGTATGCCTCAGTGAGGCGGTTCAGTTGTGGCCCGCTGAGGAAGCTCCTGAACTCGGGCTCGCCATTCTTGCCGGCAATCTGGGAGCGTGCAGTGAATATGCGGTTGAGCCAGCCGCTAGAGGCCTCTTTGGTGTCGATGAAACTGGGGAAGAAGGCATCCGCGATGGCGTCGGGGTTCGGGGGGTCACCTGAGATGGCGCTCTGCACTTCGGCCATGGGCCTGACTGCAGTCCACGAGGTGGCAGTTCCACTCAGTCCGGAACCAGAGATGACGATCTTGCGGATGAGCTCCGGGCTGTCGATGCAAACCTGCTGGATGACATAGCCGCCGAGGGAGAAGCCGAAAAGGTCGATTTGAGCAGGGGATCCTGAGAGGGTGGGGAGGAGTTCTTTGAGGAAGGCAATGACGTTCGAAGAGAAGCCCTTAATGGACAGTTCGCAGTCGCCGCCGCTGTGACCGAGACCGGCATAGTCGTAGGTGATAACTAGATGTAAGTGCATCAGCAGCCACCTCCACATGAAGGGACGGAACATTCCGAATAGGCATGAGTAAACAACCCAAAAAGAGGAAAGTCGTGGCTAAGAATGGAGATGACAAACGAGTTAGTGCATACCTTGTCGACCACTAGAAGCAACGCCGTTCACGACCAGTGGGTCCCAGAGGTCGATATTGGAACGGTAGTGGTTGAGGAAGAGCACTGGGGGCTTGGAAGGGTTCACTGGACCAATCATACGATAAGCAAACTTGATGCCGTTTGCCGTCAGGAAGCGGGTGGGTGCATTTTCCTGAATTGTAGCCATGGTTTTGTGCTATCTCAAGTTGTGTTGTGAAATGGTCTTCGCAATATTGAGTCTGTAGGAGTACTACGGGTCTGGATGAGACAAAAGGTCCAAATCGTACAGGCAAGTTCTTCTACCTTTATAGCTTTCGGATGTGATGCTTCTTGGTTCCACACTATTAACAATATCAGTGTATACAAGGAGAAACTGGCGCCATCTACGGAGTCTTTGACGCCCAAATCGGGATTTGCGGGGAAAGAGGCGAAAGTTGCGTTTGAGCGGCCATAATACCGCCAGAGCCTCGCTTGTCGCTGCAAAAGCCGCGCCTAAAAGTTGTGCGTTTTTGTAATGTCTGGTATTGGAGAGAGTCCTCGTGCCTGTAACTCTTGCAGACAACGGAAGAAGAAATGCGATAAGTCACTTCCACTCTGTGGTCTATGCAAACGGTATGGCGGTGCAATAAACGAGTCGGATGACTTGAGGTTAACCCTACAGTTGCAGAAATGACTGGGCTTTACATATCCCGTCCCGATTGCTCTTGCACGGAGCGAGCTAGAATACCTTCGACACAGAATCAGTGCTATAGAGGGAAATCAGCTTGAGACTCACGCTACCCTCTCGAGCCATGGAGCCTTTCAGCAGACGTCGAGCCGATACGCTACCGTCACACCCATATTCTTTTTAGATTCCGCGTTGTTTCAGCAATCTCAGCTACAAATTTTCGATCCTCCTCAAATTCCAGAGTATATTGAAGTCTATACAGGGCAACCGGCTGATATTCGCGCGGTGGCTGCTCAGTTTTTCAACGATATTCACCAGTGGATGCCAATTATTTCCAAGCGACGTTTTTACCACCAACTCTTGAATCCTCTTTCGCCGCGCCGGGCTGACTTTGTGATGGTCATCATCGCAATGAGATTGATTACGTGGTCACCATCTGAGCTCACGGCCGAACCGAGATCTCCTATGTACTTAGCAGCGAAACGTTATTGTGCGGAAACAGAAATGACGGGTAATATCACGATAACATTTCTACAGGCTACCATTTTCATCGCCATCTATGAGTTTGGGCATGCTATATATCCGGCCGCATATCTCTCGATTGGTTCTTGTGCGCGATATGGAGCCGCTCTAGGCCTTAACAATGATGGGAAAGGTTCAGGTCGGCCACCCCCGGACGACTGGGTAGAACTAGAGGAGATGAGGAGGGTGTGGTGGGGAGTTTTGATACTTGATTGGTATGCATTGCTTGTGCATTTCCTCCATATGAAGAATATTGACTGACACCACACGTAGCCTAGTCAATCTTGGCAATCCTTTACGCATGCTCGCGACGGAGGAGCCAAAGTCGGAACACCCGTTGCCGGTAGATGACACAACATGGGATAACGGGGTATGTTTTCAAATTCTAGAGGGCTTTTCACAATCTAAGGTATAATCTAGAATACGATACCAGAAAATGATTTGACATTATCTAGTTGCTCGTCGCTAGAAATGGGCCGGTTCGCTCGGTTCGCTCAAGCGACTGCGCTTTTGGGAAAGGTGCTTAGACACATCTGTGACGACATCATAGATGAGTCTCTCTACGATGAGGAAGGAGTACAGCTACAACGAACACTCTCTTCACTTGTAAATCTCTCATTTATCGAAGGCCAAGCTCGTAACTTGGAATTCTGTACGCAGACAGCTACATGCTATAGGTAATGAATAACCACCTAGTATGAGCACAACGAAGAATCTAAAATGCGGCAGCGCAATCTTAGCTCTCCACCAACCAGAAGTTACGGCTGCGAATCTCAAATATAGATCTGCTGCCAACAATTCAGAAAACACACCGGAAGCAGTATCAAGGCGCACGGCGATAATTGTGCAGAGCTTTCAGCCCAGAGGACATATACCCGTTAGCATTGTCTCTCCATTTTGTTTACATTTAATCTACCAAGCGGCTCTTATCTTTACCAGAGGCACGCAATTAACAGAAACAAGCGATAAAATGAGCCTCCTAGAGCAGCTCAAATGGGGCCTCAGTATACTGAGCAGCAAATGGAAAGCTGGAGGTGAGATTTTACTACAACACGTGAAGCACTGATATAGCTACATCGTAACTAACCCACATTGGCACATAGAATTGTATTTACATATTTTGGCCGCACAAGAGATGATCTTATATGAATGAATGAAAAATGGCACGTTTGCGCAAAGGAAACTTGATGTTTATTAATGCTTAAGAACGTGTAGCTATGATACCTATATATGATGAACGCGGCCACTTGTCGGTGAATTAAAACTATGTACCATATGTGGTGTCGTGCCGTGGTAGGTCGGATGAAGTCAGAGCATCACGGTCACAGCACAGGGAGACCAGAAGATGTATGGGGATGACTTGTCTCTATCAGACCTCTGTAGAGGTAGCCACCTAATATATATACTTATATATCATGTGTGTGAGGTTATGTGACCTCACATCCCCTAAACGAAATCAGCGCAGGTCCCTCTGCGTAAAACTAATATGAGCGTCTGAGAATAATGCTGGAAAAAAGACAGTGAATATCCTCCAATACCCTCAGAGGCCGAGGTGCTCGTTGATCCTTTGGTGGGAGTCTGGCTCCGCCGGCTCCATCGGGGGTAGTGTGACCTTTGCGGCATACGTCGCTCGTTCCGGGTTTTTGATTGGCGCATGTCTAAAGCCGATGGCTTTAATCTTCTGCAGAGGTTCTGCAATTACTGAGTACGAGGCTATGAAATTCCAGTAATACCCCATGAGACCGAGACCTGTCTCCAAGTCCTTTGGTGTCTTCGGCCTTTCCAGTTGTCGTATGGCTTCTGTCTTTTCTGCCAACGTATTGAGACCGAGCCTAGACACAAAGTGTCCCAGTGCTTTCAGTCCTGGTTGTGCGAAATGACATTTCGAAAGCGCCATCGTACATCCGGAGTCGGCCAGGACACCCAAAACGTCGTCAAGGTGCAGAAGGTGTTGGTCCAGGTCTCTGGAGTAAATAATTACATCGTCAATATACAGGTACCCTTTCAACCGGTTCTATAAATTCTTCAGTCAGAGTATCTATAAAGCCTTTCTCAAAACCTATGTGCCTGATAGAAATCCTAAAGGATCACACAAGCTTTAGTCGTATGGGATACTGTAACGTAGAAAGCACCATGACCAGCAATGGCAGGATACGCCTAATCCAATTTGTAGCGTTCCTCCGCAGTTTCACGGCGGCGGTTTTCCGGCAGCAGGACTCCATATATGCATGTCCCTGGTTGGCAGGTGGTGTGATGTAGCTGCAATATAGTTAGAAGTATTAAATTAGCCAACCAGAAGCTGTAATTCTATGGATCGATTCACCTCGCTTCTGACCGCAACCTGGGCAGAACCCGCAAGCGTTGCAAAACGAAGTAGCATTATAATTTGTCGCATGCATATGTCAACCTGCTATGGCCGCAGAGGACCATCTATTCCCGGTCAGGCTATTCCCAGTAGAGTAAGTTGAAGTAGATAATACTTTGGGCAGATGGTTTTACTTTTCTGGTAGTTTGTTGCTCTGTTGAATAATTGATGCTCCGTCTCTATTTAAATAGATCGATTCTCCCCTTTGCGATATCACGACTGCTCCATGGCGAATTTGAAGCTCAAGAACTTCAATCCGTGCGAAGGCTTCATATATTACCTCTTGATACGCAATCCTTAAATTCTTTCTCGACAATGCATCTTTCTCAAGCCCTTCAGCAGTCCTTGGTTATTCTAGCTTTTGCTACACCAGCCTTGTCTTGTGTTCAGTTTTCCATAAATTACGTGTGCCCAGGCACCAGTAAGCTCTTCCAGATACCAATTTTGCTAGTATTCTCTTGCTAATCTCTACTAAGTCTTTGGAAGTTGCTGGAACAACTATGTGACAAACGCAGCTTTGACCGATAATGGAACTCAAGTTTGCTCGCTCGTTAATAAAAATGGACCTGTGCCTGGTTGTATCACTGTTGCTTTAAGCTGTATCGGCGACTATAAGGCTACCTTCGACGGGGTTACGGTCCATTACTCCTATGGATCATTCTCAGGGTCGTTCGGGGTAACTGCCAGTAAATCTGGGGATTTCTGCTATTACACAGCAAATGTGTGGGGATGTTAAGCAAGCCTTGTCTGCGAAGCACAAACTGTTGTGCTTTTTGGGAATATGATGTAAAAGGCGTGGTTACTGTAGTTTTGAGCTAACTGTAGAAAAACCTTGGCCATGACAAATCGTGCGTAGTGCCTATGAAATGTCTTGTCGTGTGCTCCAACATATCTACAAAAGCAATGTTCATCTAGAAGCTAGAGAAGTTACCTAATGTATATTTCAGGATGATTGAATTGCCTGAATATTGCTCACTGAGTAATCATAATTGGCAACCTGGCTCTTAACAACCATAAACCTACGCGGTGACATGAATTGCCGCCAACATCGACTAACATTAAGAGGACAAACTCTCTGCAAGCAAGCATTATAGTCTGAATAAATGGCTATTTAAGCAGAAGAAAGCTGTATTACTTAGCCACAAAAGAATAAAGGCGCGTTCCAATAGAAAAACAGGCCATCAATCTACTCCGCCAGCAGAGGAATTCTAGAAACAAGAAGAGCCCGTTTGAAACAGAGTAGCTATTCAGCATCCCAATTTACCCCGTGTCTCTATTTCAATGCTACCTAAAGGGAATAGTTATAGCGGACACCAGAAGAATGTATAGATACTAGAAGAATGTATCGATACTAGAAGAATGTATCGATACTAGAAGAATGTATCGATACTAGAAGAATGTATCGATACTAGAAGAATGTATCGATAGTAGCAAAGGTAGCAGGAAGCAGTGATAGTACCAGAAGGCAACAGATACTTAAGAGCTTGTTTATTTTCCTAGCCCATATCAAATAAAAGAGCTTTTCTCTGCGTTTTATTGCTGTACTTAAACTCTACGCCGTCGCAGGGATGCGCGATAGCCAACTTAGAGTGCCGAAGAAGCTTCTGTTTCAAAGTTAGGCCACATGGCAAACACTGCTGTAAAAAAAAAAAAAACAGGCGTAGCGCAGATTCAGGGCCTTCAAAAACATGACCACATAGCTATAACTTCAGAAATCTGGGGTGCCAAAATTTAGAAGGTATTGAACTACGATGAGGACTTTGACGAGATCCCGTATTTTCCAATGGATATGTTCGTGTATACCTGGATGGTGAATTCAATTCAACTCGTGAAGGTGCTGGATGTTCTGTGAGAAGCGAAGCGTAAGCTCCGAGCACTATTATCAGGTCTTTAAAGACCTCCACAGACATCACGATGGGATGTAACGATAATAACAGAGGGAGAAGATAATGATCATAGGTCTATCTACTTGCATAACCTAATATATATAGGGACGTCCTCCACAACGCCGATCATCTTCAGGGGGGTCGAGATACCATCCATCGCAGCCCTGTCACGTCGTGAGAGAGGGAAAGGCCTTTGTAGAAGGTTGTCTACGCTGACCCCCGGTTTAAATGGAATCGGCATTTCGATCCCATCGTTAAAACGTCCTAAACCTGGTTTAAACAACCGACAATGCCTATCTAAGATTTCCACAATCAGAAATCGCTGGGTCTTATCCTAAGTATCTGCAATATTTACCTTAGTAAGATCGACGTCTGGCTCCATCTCTGTCTCTATGTGGAAGGGGTAGCCGTTTGGGTATTTGGGGTCCTCTTTCTCCTTATCAGGGTAGTCATCACCCAGCATATCCGCAAGCGCAATACTTCCTCCTAACTCCGTTAGGAATGCTTCGACCCCGGAGCTGATCCTCGATGGTCGGAGATGGCCAACGATTTTGGGATAGGGGGATGTTGGGGCACCTCCTGCCCATCGGCAGGGAGGAAAGGGAAGGAGGAGAGGGACGTCCTCGGACGTCCCTATATATATTAGGTTATGCAGGTAGATAGACCTATGACTATTATCTTCTCCCTCTGCTATTATCGTTATATCCCATCGTAACGTCTGTGGAGGCCTTTGAAGACCTGATAACTATCCCATATCACGATACCCCAGAACTAGTGGATATACAGTGGCTGACGGCTATCCACTTAGTTCATCAGCTTTCAAGATGTTTTTATATAAATATACAATGGGTTAAAAGATACGTATTGGTAATTATCTAGGTATGATCTGTATACTATGCATCCATTGCACTGAATGACCGCAAACAATAATTGCTCTGAGGTAACTCGCTGCAATATTTCATTGATCGATCAAACTTTAACCGACCAATGAACCTCATAATAGGCTGTCACGCAAACCTTTACATAAATTAGTTAATTAATAGGACTTATAACTATTTCTGTTGGAATTGAATGGAGATTCGTCAGACCCATCCCCAGATCAGCTCCCATCAACAGTAGATTAATTTGCTATTCCGCATCGCTTATCTCACTATGTAATCCTGAAGAAAACCGGAGTGTTATAAAAACGGAGACTGTATGAGAGCCGTAAGAACCCTCTAGACGTTTAGAGCAACCATAGCACTCTTGAACGCATCCAGCTCAACTCCACTACTCTCGTCGATGGGCGTATCATATAATAGCCGGCCGTCTTTTTGTTTATAAATGCTCTCACAAAGTATGGTAACTTCCTAGAGTCTTTAGCTGCATTTCCTAATGCCCGTATCCATCAGATAAGGTTGCCGCATGTGGTTTCACATGTATCTACGGAGTGCTATATCTATCTTTATCCACTATCACGAGATGCACAGAGCTGAAGACGCCCCCACACCATTCCTGGAGCTGAAAATAATATTTGAACAGCTCCTCAGAACATGCCTACTAGTGGTGTCGGTGACATCCCCTCGTCATCCAATCAGGCTCTCATAGTCACGCACACCGAATCCCGTAAAGAGTCATTATCATGTATGGATTATTAAAACACTATTGATACAACATGCTGCTTCAATAGGCAACCTAGCAATTTTACGCGCTGAGGCAACCGCCCATTTGTCGTTTGGGTTGCACCAATGTAATCCTCCCTGTACCTGTATAGAGGGGTTCATTGCACAAATATAGGAAAGTGGCCGCAACTCATGCACATTGTAACGGATATCGGGCAACGATGTCCCCGTGTAGTTTTCATACTAATCCCGTTTTACGCTGATAATGGAACACGTTTTCATGAGAGCCAGGGTTCGTATCGTCGTAAAAATGAAACCTCGCCTACCTTCCCCGCACCCTGAAAGATATAAGCCTGCATACACATACCAAAGAACAGAACAGGGGAATTTGTTGAAACCGGCCTCGATCGATGCGGGGTTTCTTCGACTTCCTTGTACATTGAGCTGAGTCCTCGGCAAGGGTGTAATATTCACTGGAGAAGCAGAATGGGGGCATTTCCCCCCTTCTTTTCGCTGCAGCCTTGTGAATAACAAATAAATATCTCTAAGCTATATAACACCCGTTTTGGTCCTCAGACAGATATAAATACCATCTGTAATCCTCTTCTCCTCTCATAGTGTCCAGACAACTCAAGAGAAGGCACATTCAAAATGTCAGACTTTGCTATAGCCCAGGGCATTATTATCCTAATTGGCGTGCTTCTTTATTCTCTTTTCTTTCGCAAAAAGCGTGGGGTTCTTCTGCCTTTACCTCCTGGCCCGAAGCCTATTCCTATTCTCGGCAATATTAGAGATGTCCCATCCCCTAAAGTGCCAGAATTCGAGCACTGGCTTACGTTCAAAGACAAATATGGTCCTATCAGCTCTATGACCGTATTGGGTAAAACACAGATTATAATTCACGACAAGGAAGCTATTATTGAACTTTTAGAGAAATCGTCATTAAATACTTCTTCACGGCCCCATATGAATTTCATGAGCTTGTGCGGTTATGACCGGTGGCCGAGTGTAATGCCATATAACAGCCGACATCGACTGTATCGAAAGCTTATCCACCAGCAACTCGGAACCAATCTCCTCTCTGCTCAATACACCGATATTCAAGATGTCGAATCAAAGAGATTTCTGTTGAGAGTTTTAATGGATCCTCTACATCTATTCAAACATGTGAAAATGTATGACTATTCTATAATCAATCTCATGATATTAATGAGCATTAACCCTCAGAGATATGAATGGTTCACCCGCTAATAATGTGTATAGAGAAGCGGCTTCTATTATATTGAAACTTACTTATGGTTACTCAACAGAGCTATACAAGCCCGATCCTCTGGTAGAACTAATTCAGCAGGTTTTGTTACACGCCTCCGCGGTTATAATGCCTTTTACATGGGCTGTTGATAGCTTCCCTTTTCTCTCGTACTTGCCTGAGTGGTTCCCAGGTGCAGGTTTTAAGCGGACTGTTCGCGAGTGGAGAGCACTTCTCGACGCCAGTGCTGAAATCCCTTATAATTTTACTAAAGAGCAAATGCAAAAAGCCTCGTATCAGTCGTCATACACATCCAAGCTTATCAGCACCTTGGGGAAAGATGGCAGAGAAGTAGATGAAGAGACTGCTGATGCCATTCGATGGACAGCGGGAATGATGTTTGCCGCTGGCGCAGAGACCACTGTGGCGGCTATCCAAGCGTTTATATTGGGCATGGTTTTGCATCCCGACGTTCAACAAAAAGCTCAAGAGGAAATCGACAAAGTGGTCGGCCCAGATCGTCTCCCCGAAGCTAGTGACAAGGAAAACCTGCCCTACATTAGTGGTGTGGTTAAGGAGGCACTTCGATTTTTCCCTGTCACACCTATGGGAGTGGTTCATGAAGTTTCACAGGAAATGATCTTCCGAGGCTATCGCCTTCCCAAAGGTGCATATATACGACCTGCGGTATGGTGGTTTTTAAACGATCCAAAAACATACGCAAATCCTTCGAGATACGACCCTGAACGCTACCTCGCGCCTCGAAACGAGCCAGACCCCATGGATGCATTTGGCTATGGCCGTCGAATATGCACTGGCAGGTATGTCGCGCAAGATAGTCTCTTCTTCACGATCTCACGAACACTGGCGGTCTTCACCATTAGCAAGGCAGTTCATGAGGGGAAGCCAGTTGATTTCGAACCCAAGCATGCAACAACAGGTGCGCTGGACCATCCGCAGGATTTTCCATATAGCATTGCTCCGAGGTCCGAAAAACATGCGGAAATGATTCGGAGAGTTGAGGCTGATCACCCGTGGGAGGGGAGCAGTGGGGGAGCTATTCAAGGGAATGCTCTATTTGATAAGTTTAAGGCGGACTGCGAGGTTGGAATTGGCAGTTACTGAATCTGCTGAAAATAATTGGTGGGATGGTCGAATGTAGCTTTATGTGGATTGGTCTACTTAACCTCGGGAAATACATGTAACCAATTCAACATTCGTGTAAGTGCTGCCACGATTCAATCTGCTGTTTATACAAATAATGCAACTTAGTTTAACTAGCAGATGGCTGCATCAATCACAACCCCCAATGCACGACAGAATTGGTGCGTAAAGAGTTAATTGAGGATTGGTTTTTTTTTCTCTTTCGTATCCTAGCCCCCTTCTCCCTCCGTGACTCCCGAGACAGATTGTTTTTTTCTCTCTATGTAGTATGTGCAAAACTTGCAGCGACTCGTAAAGACCATACTTTGTCATGTAAACTCATACCTAGCAAATCCACTTCCCGTTGTTCCCTGACGACCCAAAAATGGAAGAAAAAATAACTCCAAGAGTTTGTGGCGCAGTTCCAAATCATGGAGCCACAGTGCTCACATGTCAGCGAATCCAAACATGCGATTTTGTCCGTATTTTATTTTTACTCGGCTTTAGTAAACCTTCTTCTTCTCGTCGATGCTGAACTGGCCGGGGCCGCTGTTGACCAGGAGCAACAGACCACCGACAATGGACAGAATCTGGAAGAAATCGTACTTGGCAAAGTCCTTGTGCGGGTGGTGCGGGTGAAGCTGCGTGAAGAATCGGATTAGTCAAACGAGCGAGAAAGCATAATATCGTCAAGACACTTACAGTCCAGAAGTTGTTCACCAACAGGTTGAAGCCGCTCAGGATGACGACCAGCAGCGTGGCGCTGTACTTGGCCTTGAAACCCACGACAACCATGACACAGGCGCCGGCACCGAGGATGCAGACAATGACGCGCCAGAAGGACCACTGGCCGCTGAAGACAAAGCCAATGAAGAGGAAGATCAAAAGCACACGACCAGCCAGCTGGAAGTACATCTTCTTGTCCTTCTCATCCAAGGTAGGGAGACCGGCAAAGGCCTTGGTCTTGCGAACCCAAGAGTCGGACAAGACCATGAGGAGACCGCCAATGACGGACAAGTTTCGCAGGAAGAAGTTGAGGTCGAAGATCAGACCGTAGCCGAAAGCCTGGATAACGACCACAGACATGAGACCGGCAACAGCGTAGTCAGAGAACTTCCTGGTAATGACGAGAGTAGAGCATGAAACCATGGCGATGACGTTGAAGAGGAGGAAGAGGTGGTTGAGACCGGTAGGAACTTGTCTAGATGTCAGCTCGGACCATTTCGGCGAGAAAATGCATCGAAAGGTTGGCACTGCGCCGGGGTCAATTCTTACTGTGGCGGTAGTCGTGGAGATAGAGCAGCTGATCGCTCCATTGAGTGATGATACGGAGCGCATCCTCAAGGAAGGTGACGACGATCAAGAATCGTCCAATGGCGGGAAGGTATCTAAGCAATGCGCCGCAAGGTTAGCTTCCAACACTGTGTTTACACGATTCCGGCAATCCTGAAGCTCGCCGCGTGTCACTTACGGCTTAATAGGCTCGCTGACGGAGTCCAGAAAATCCTCGACCTTGCTGGTGTACGGTCGGAGCTGGTCAAGGACGCTGCCTCCGTTGGACTCGTCAGAAACACCAACTCCGGCGCCGCCACCAGCGTATGGGCTGGGGCCGCCAATGCCGTAACCTGAAGGACCGCGATGCGACATTTCGACCTCTTGTGTTGATTCCCTTCTTCTGTTCCCGTTCCCGTTCCTGTTCCTATTACTGTCTCCGCCTGGATGATTTTTGTTGCTTCTCGGAGCTCCTAGGTGAGCGACTCGGACGGATTGGAAGCTGGTGGACGGAGCTTTCCGATGCGATGGGTTGCGATGCGATGCGCTACGATGTCAAGGTGCGAATGGCCAGCAAAAGACAAAGACAGCGACAGCGCCCAGTCTCACAGGGTCTGACAAGGTCGAATTGAGTGGGAGAAGCGCAATTGTGCGACGAGAATCACGGCGGGAGGAGGGGCGAGGGAGAAGATTGATACGGTCATGACCTCAAAAAAGCTCGGATTCTTACATACCACTGTGTCCTTTCCAAATCCCGTGATGTTGCAGGCTCCGAGGTGTCCACTTTTACAAGCCAGCGCCGGTGGAGTCGCCCTCGAGTTTGATCATGATCCCCCAACTTTGCGCAGGTACCTGCCGCTCCCCCTCCAGCGACTTTGGCGCGCGGTGCAAACGCTAGCGACGGGGCGTGTAGCTTTGTCCAGGGAGGCAGGTAGCGAGGCCATGGAAGCAGCCCCTCTGGCACTGGCGCTCCGGCCAACCTAACTCTGTGACAATGGCTGTCTGGCGCGACAAAGGACGAGTGCGAGTACATTGGAGGTACTATGTACCGGCACTTGCTGACGCTGCGTGTGGCGGTACCTTCTCGGTACGGCTTAAACCCGACAGTCTGCAGTCGAATGATCCATCCATTTCATACAGCCCGCCCTTACATGTGGCTACAACTGCACCGACAAGGTAGGTCGGTAACTAGAGCGCATACCTACCTTGGTAGAGGGAATACTATTAGCTGGAACCTCCCTAATTAGGGCCCGTGGCGAGGCTTGCAAGGCCCCAGTAAGCCCATGGCAGCACAGCACGACTAAGGCAAATCCCGGCCAAGCACCCGTCAAGATATGTGGAAAGCTACGCACGCCATTACGGCAAGCGGGGGAGCGCCAAAAATAAACTAATTCAAGGTTACTAGCCATGGCGGCAGAGCATTTCTTGGCAGATGAGTGCTTGCAGCGGTCCTTTTGCCGTTTTGCTTGGGTAGCTTGATCGATTGAATGCCGTCAGAATGCTACCATGTACCATGAGCCACCAGTGGGGGTTCGGGTAGAGAGAGAGGGAGAGAGACAAGGTACCTGACATGTACATCATGCGTGAGTGCCCAACAGCACATTTAGTGACTTGAAGAGAAGAATCCAACCGCTTCCATTCATCTTATTGAGGCGCTATTGACTTCGCAGGGCAAACCAGCCCTACCCTTTGCTCTTCTCAACACGGACCAGATCCGATCCGGAACAACGAAAAAAGCCCGCTACGGCATCTCCCCTTCCGACTGCTCACATCTCACCACCCAGTAAGTTTTATACTATTTTCTAGCTGCTTCCAGACCTTCGCCAGCATAGGATAGTTCAGGTGAGGTACATGGTCGTCACAAGTGCTCACCTGCCTAAACCATCGCCCCTCGTGCGATGAGCGGCCCCAAATGGACCGTCCAGTCCACTCTTTTACAGAGATTTCAGAGGCTGTCTCGCCCTGCAGCATGATGCGAGCACGGAACTTTTATTCAATGTCCTGAACTGAGCAGGTAGTAAATCCTTGGTACGGAACACTATTGCCAAAGTACCCTGACCAAGTGCCATAGTAGTCCGAGACATGCGCATGCTTCAACACCATAAAAGGTACCTAGTAGCGATTGACTTTTGGTGTAAGCGTAAACGACCTACCTAGGTACTAAGGCCACTTTACACTACCTACGTACAGTATGTCGTAAAGTGAGAAAATCCGTGACGGCCGATTACGTGGGATTGACCATTTGTGGCTGTGATGGCTATGCAATGCTTTATTTATCTGGTCTATTTCGCATCACCTGTAGACTAATATTTGGCATCTATTCTAGCAAAAACATGACTGGCCGTCAGGGCGCATAAAGACGCACAAGAGCACATACCACGTGGCTACTTATCCAAGCGCTTAATATCTCATCTCAACTCATACCATCTCTCCCAGATTACAGCGTACTCGTATACCGTCAGATTCCTCCCGCGGCCAAAATTCTCAGTGCCCCCGTATCATCATACTCGACCCTCCCTTCATTGACGGCCCTTCGCATCTCCTCCCTCAATACCGTGCGTTCGCCTGTTGTCGGGTCCCATTCCCAGCCTTCGCGCATCCACATCCACCGCAAGCAGGCTCGCAGCTCCTTGTCGGCTGGTTTCACCCTCATCCATTCAGGTTGAAATTCAGCCTCGCGGCCTTTTCCGTTCCAATCTTCAGCTCGACCCAGTAATTCGTCACGACAAAATATGCGCCAGCTATCGATGGCATACTTGCCCTGAGTCATGTGGCCGATTTCCCACGCCTCAAGGTCCTGATCGCCGCCGTCTGATGGTAGATGCGACATTTCTGAATCCTGCGAATCGCCGTTGCCGAGATCTCTTGGTGTAGGGCTTATGGCCCGTTTATCGTAGTTTCTCACTCGATACAGCACACCGGGCTTTGGTGGCTGGTGCACAAAAGCAGTTGCGTACCTCAGGATATATGCAAGCCGTACATTGGATAGTCCTAGGTGACGTATCATGTCAAGGAGTTCTTCCTTGATTGATGGATCTAACAGATGTGATGGCGTAGGAAACCGCTCCTTCACTCGACGAAACGCAGGTAAAGCTACCTGTCCGCTTGTCTTTATGAGAAATGTAATGGCAATGAGCAGCCAAAACGCATCATGAGCCAGCTCCTCTTGAATGATGCCAAACGACGGCGAGTCGAGAGGAGGGAACGGGATACAAGAAATTGTTCCCGGCGGCGGTCGCTTCTTCTTCGGCGATTCTTCCTTGGGTGACGATTTTTGCAGAAAGTAGGGCGATTTTGTTGAATGTTTGCTATGCGGCGTCTCCTTCTCATTCTTCAGTTTGCAAAAGGAGTTGCATGGGCTCAGGTTGTTAAGGCGAGAACTATCAAGTGATGATAAGACGTTCAAAGGCTGTGTATCCGAAATTGGCTTAACAGCAAGGAGAGCAGTGCCGGCACCCTGATGGATAGTCTGGTCATATATCCGTACCTGATTGGATTGGCGATCATTGGAGAGATTGCCCTGCTTATCGTTTCTTTTGCTCGTCTGATGCGAAGGCTCGTCGGACCAGTAGTGAGACGTCGTTCCTGGCCGCTGTTTCTTGACGCGTGGTCGTGCTCGTGATGCATTTTCGTGGATTGGTTGCAAAGTAGGCAGCGAAGGCGGCAGGATTCCAACGTCTCTCTCCAGGTCTTTGGCGAGTGCAATCAAACGATCGGTTTCTCCCCAAGGCTGGGGAGATGACAATGCACCGTCGTATCCATCGAATATTTCCCAGACAAAGCTGAGAATATCGCTGCCATCGAGGCTTTCAGGATGGCGATCCTGAGTGGAACGTATTGACCGTGCACAGTCAACCAGATAATGCCAGTCCTCAGCGCCGCCAGTCAAGCTCTGGTTGAAGAGGCATTGCACTTCATCGTTTGGCGCATCTCCGGATTCCAAGATTTCAGAGAGAAACAACGACGAGTCTTCCCAAACATCGAACACGGACAAGATATTCTGGCCGAATGAGGTTGACATGGTGCGGAAATTCACGGCGTGCTGCAGAGCACGCACGGCTTCGATATCTTGATGTCTAGGAAAAGGCTAGGGAGTGCTGAAGGCGGCATCGTCCCATCATGATGGGGTCGTGTCTGCTATTTAAATTGGGAGAAGGAAAGAAAAACTGTGTCCCCCAAAAATTTAACATCAGGGTGTTTGATAGGTAAGTACCTATGCTGAATAAACGGTCGCTTAGTGTGTTGTTTTGAAAATGAGCGTTAACGTATTAACCACCGACTCACTTGGATCAAAAGCAACACACGATGCTGAGAGGTAAATAGATCCGAAGCCATTAGTGAATCGGCATGACTGTTTCCATCTATTCTCTTTTGCCACCTTCTTCGTTTTATTCTTCTTCTCTTTTTTTTTCGATTTCTTATCCCGCTGCTATTAGTGTATACTGTGAACCTTGAAGATCAGTTCTCATTCACCTCTATATACGAAATATAGTCAGAGCTATCGCGATCATCACAACGAATCAAAATACACAGAGCAACTGGCTATTAAGTGCAGCTCCGCAGAATCCCCGATAGGCCGCGGATATCTTCACAGACAGCTGCTAGTGTTTCTGGTCGGCGGTGAAAGCCGAGATGTTCGTGGGGTGCATGGCCGAAAACGCCCCCTGAATGGCTGTCGCCTGACTCATCAAAAGTCCCCCACCTCGAATCACTGCAGCTCGGTGGCGCGTGATGCAATTCTGCGTTGCGCGTGTTTTTTTAATGGGACCGTGTTGGCAATTGGCAGTTGGCAGTTGTCAGGTCGACATGGTCTGATGTGCTGCTAATCTAAGTTTACTGCAGAAATGCCGTCTTGTTGGGCACTCATTTCGTATTGTTCGTGCGGCGATGGAGCTCACGTGAGTGGTGGCCGAAACGGACATTTGTTCACAGGGGACCTTGAAGTCTCTTTTCAGTTCAGAACTCTGCAGTTTATACTCTGCTCTCCCAGACCTCTCCAAACTCCCGGTAGACTCGTGATACCCATCCAGCCTCCAATAACAGATGCAGTGCTCCAGGCCGTGTGATACACATTTGCTGCATTAGCACACCTCAAAACTGCTGATTATACTCACCGAGCACAACCAACAAGGGAACGTGTCTGGACGGAAGCGCCAATTGCAAAGCGAAAAAAATAAAGTGGAGGAGCTCCAGAGGCAGCGCTAGCAGCCACTTACTGCACTGCGACAGGCCAGAAGCAGGCCAGAGACAGGCCGAGCGGTACGTACCCATCTGCCATCGCCGGATATCCAGGCTTTACCAGGATTCAGCGAAAAACGCGAGTCACGTGGGCGTGGCCTATCAGACCCACCGCAATCGCCCATTCTCTCTGGCCGTCTTGCGTCTTGTGCCTCCACCCCGGAACCTCTTGTTTCCATTCCATCTTTCGCATTCCCTCTCCGGCGCCACCTCCGACCCTTCTCGAGTCTGAAGCATCACCACCACAACCTCAATCATCCAAGAGATGAGTAGTCGCGGCGGGAAACTTGCCCCCGAAGTCAATCGGTGAGTTTTTTCGACTTTCCTGCGAGTCTTGGCGTCGCGCCGAGGCTGCAAAGGCCTTCCATCTCGTTTCTCCGAGCACACGGCCGGCACGTCTCGCTGGATGCTCGGTGAAAAAGTGATAAAAGAATCTTGGCTAACTTGTCTCCTATAGCGCTCTGTTCGTAAAGAACCTGAGGTACGCCTCCATCGAGAAGCAAACGCCGAATCCAGACGAGAAATACATCTGACACTGACTTGCCGCAGCTACAACGTTACTCCTGAGGAGCTCTTCGACCTCTTTGGAAAGTTCGGACCTATTCGGTATGTCCAAATCCACGTGCGGTTGATGGTTCTGGCCAGCCGCCGTCATTGCATTTCATATACGCTGTACTAACCCCTCTGCAGCCAGGTTCGTCAGGGCATTGCCGGCAATACCAAGGGTACAGCTTTTGTAGTCTACGAAGATGTCATGGATGCGAAGCAAGCCTGCGACAAATTGAACGGTTTCAACTTTCAGAACCGCTATCTCGTTGGTACGTGGCGCCGTGTCTTTATTCGTGCTCCCCCCCGTGAGCAAACGCCCTGCTGACACGCGCACAGTATTATATCATCAGCCCGACAAGATGGTAAAATCTAAAGAGGACCTCGACGCCCGCCGGGAATCTTTAGCGCAGCTCAAGAAGCAGCACGGCATCGATTGACAATCCGACCGGTCTGTAGGCAACCTGCAGAAGAAGACGCCTTCTTCGTCTGCGGGCCGGTCTTCCTCATCCTCATCGTCCTCGTCGACTTCGTCAGAGATTAAGACAATCCTACGAAAAGAGAGGTCGCCAGCCAAGGCCACTCTAACCAGTGGGCACACTCCCCCTCGAGCCGTCCGATTTGCAGAAGGACTACGCGCAGCTCTACCGTCGTTCGCCTAAAACAAAGCGTTAGACGCCGTGCCCACAGAGTGCATTATTATTCTAAACTATTAACTCTTTCTTCTTTTTTCTTCATGCCTTGGCTGGCACATTAGCTTCTTTGTTACCTTAATGTCAGTATTTACCGGATCAGTCACCCCTCAGCAGAGAAAACAAATCACGAATGCGAGTCTTTTATCAACGGAAATGGAGGAGCGGGTACAGATTGGGGAGCTGGGAAATTCAAAGGGTGTTTATTCGGAAAGTGACGACATGGCAAGTCACACATGAACTGCTTTTTTTCGGAATTTGGGCGGAGCCACCTTTGCGGCCATGTTTACTAGCGAACATCTCCTGCCTCCCGAGGCCTTAACCAGAGAAATCAACAGCATGTCTCAACAACGCAAACGCATTTCCACCTTTGGCCAAATCAACTGAAGCAAGGCGTGGGGATTCTATTTTTCCATTTGAGTGAGCCAGTCTCGATATTTTACACAATTTGCTGCAGCATATTCTTTTCTGGCAGCTGAGAAAGACGACTGTCGTTGTGATGGATGTTTCTGGCTTTTCACCGTGGCGCGTTGCACTGCGGTACAATGACGTACGATATATGACGTAGAACAAAAGGAATCAACTTTGATGTCGTGACATTTACTACAAGGGACCTGCCTGCTAGTAGACTTTTGTTTTCAGCCTCCCAAGCGTTAGTATCTACTTGTGAAACACCACGACATCTGCCTACTTCAGTTGAGGTAGGCCAAACATCCAGCTTCCAAGTTGAGAAAATACTAACCCAGCAGCTGTTTGGTCAAGCAGGCAGACAACGGCGGAGGCTTCGTATCGGTGCCACCGGATCATCCAGAGTTAATCTGCCTGCCAGCTGACATGATCGTAGCGTGTAGGTACTGATAATGACTACCAACGAGCTTCCAGACATGTGAGTGATGAAGTGAACTGTCTCGCTCTAGGTGAGCACTCGCACCTACTCGATGAAAAACGCCTTGCGAGTTTGCCAACACGTCGCGAGACCATCACAGAGTTTGATTCTACAGACTCTTTAGGATCCCAGTCTCAGTTGCAGCAAAAAGCTCCTACTAGGCCGCAGAGATGGTCTCTCCATTGAGGGCGGTGTTTTCTGGAATGCAACTTGTATGGACTGTTCACAGCTTGACGAGAAGCGAAATGGAGACCAGGCCGCAGAAACGGCCGGACCCGGTGGGAATCCAGCGGCGGTGCAGCGGTGGGAGAGCGCTGTAGCTTCTGCCGTCGAGACCTGGAGCGCTGTGCCGGGGGGTTCTGAAGCAAGCGAAGGTTAGCGCTAAAGGTGCTGTAACGAGGCCTAGAGACGACTGGAGGTTTTCGAGGCGCAGCATTTTTGCGGTCGCCTTTTGCGGCCGGCCTGGTGGAGCGCGCTTATCCCCATATTCCGAACCTCCAACCAACATGCCAGAAACTTGCATCCAGTGTCTCAAGCCCGTTGCAGAAACCGCGCAGAGAGAAAGATTCCAAGAAAGAACGCCTGGAGCACGGCCTTTCAGGTCTCCCTTTGCGGTCGAGTGTATCGAGATATAGAAACAGTAGGGCTTTCGATTACGATTACCGGCGCCAAGGGTCGGTGGCCCGGCCTGGCCGTGCTCCAGGAACAGCATTTGGATCTGCAAACGGCTTGGGGACGAGGCTGATAGTGAGTTCATCCTGAGCAAGAAGCCTGGCCAAGCTCAAGCTAGAGTCAGGAGATGGCATCATGCTGGCAGGCAAGATGCTGATAGCTCATGCTGATTGGTGATATACTTAGGTCCTTTGTCTAAGCGGTATGGAGAAGAAGCAAAGTCGTGCATAGAAGCTGGGCATGGGAAGCCCCAGGAGCGGCTTGCTTTTCAGCTCGCATCCTATCGCCGATCCAATGAGGAGCCTCAGTCTATCATTTACATCCCGGTCGTTAATATGCCAGGCTCAGGCATGCCACGACGTGTTCGTCCTATAGACGCCATCTTACACGTCCTCCGGCCCGGACCCACATCCCCGGCTGAGGCCCCGGTCCTGTGCCGGAGTCGAGAGACCAGTCAGCGGCCGTTCCATTGCACTGGGATTAGGCTTCGCTGGTGTTGATGCGTTCACAGCCCCTCTGCAAGGTGTCTTAATTTCCTCCCTGGCCATCGGCGGACCGCATTGGTCCTCTGGGTGAGGCTCGATATGGGCTCTCCCGTGAGCAGCCTTCCCCTCGGGCGTTCAGCCTCCTGTCCAGTGACATATCGAAGGGCACAGATACTTTGGCCCTTGGGGGACTTCTCCCATTATCCAATGTATTCATTACACCTCCTCTATCTCCTACACACACCAGAGAGGGAGAGGCTCGGCCAGGCCACTCCCCCTTGATGTTGGTTCGTGTTGTTGGTTGGGACAAGATCGACTTTTCCCCTTGACACGATATGTTTGTTGCTTCTCTATAAAGTTGCTTCATCTTCCACTTCCAGTCCACCGTTTCATGACCATTCAGGTCACAGACTCGAGAACTGAAACAGCGATACTCTTGATACTCCATCGTCAACCCAATGTCAGTGCCAGTCGCTCCATTCGGCAGACTGACCCTCGAAGAGATGTCTCCCACCAGCCAATCGGGCCTACACGCTGCCCTACAAGGCGACAGCTATGATCCAACTGTGGAAGACTCGAGCTCTGACCTCGAATCCTGTTCTGATTCCGAGGACGACGATGAGCTCTCCATGGTTGTGCAGTCCCCCACCAAGCTCGTCTACAACATCAATCATCTTTCGGAAAAGGCGCAAGGCGCCGTACGCGACCTCTTTAGCGAGCCTCCCGCGATCGCGCTGCAGCAGTGTCGTCTCATTGATGATACATATGCCTTTCAGATGACTGAGCTCGTCACTCAGTCTATTCGCATTCGGGCCAATGGCGATGGATCATCCCAGCTCACCTGCTCGTGTGGACGCGGGGACGAAGCAGAGCCGTGCTCACACCTGCTATGGCTCCTAGACCAGCTCACAAAACAAACGCTCTACGACCACGATCCCAAAACGCCTCTTACCATGACCCAAGACGGCTTCGCCAAAGAGCTCGGTGATCCCTTCACTGCCATCTCAGAGCACCACCTCGACGTTCTGTCAGATGGCCTCCACTGCCAGGTCATCGACCCAGAAGCCCTCTCCGAAGATGACCTCGCTTCTTACCGCGTCCAAGAGTCGCGCGAGCTTCTTGCCGCCGTCTATGGGACAAATCCGGAAGACTTCCGTCCGGATATCTTCGGGCGGCCTATGCTCGGGAAGAAGGTGCTCAAGCGCAACGACCTCGACTGCACCGTCTTCCGCATGCTGCTCGACAACCACCACTTCTTCAACTACTTCCAGTCGGTTTCTCGTCCCAGAGATCCCATCAACGATCCGTTCAGGAAGCTCGCGCAAAGAGTCGATCGCGTGCTCCGCAGATTCGACGCATACGCTTCTGATCCCGCCTCAGCGCGATCATCCGCAGAAACACTCCCTGACGCCTCCTGGGCAGCAAAACACCTCCTCGGATGCACCAAGCTCATCAAATCCATCATCTATACACGTGACCGGCCTCTCCAGCCCTCAGAAGCTGCCTCTGCCGCGCGCACGCTGGTGCACATCCTTTCCGCCGTCGTCTCCCGCAACCACGACGTAGTCCCATCAGGTTCTCTCACGGAGTCGCGCACAGAGAGAAATTTGTATCTGCGCCTCATCGGCGATAAAGACAGAGACTTTGTGCTGGCGGAGCTGAATCTGCTTCCCGAGGCGGCGAGCCAGCATCTGCATACCCTAGAGGCTATTTTCGAGGACATCGGGATGCACGGCGCGCCGATGACGTTCTTCGATAAGTTCAAGGCACTGCTGGGAAGATTAAGGACGCCAAAGAGAAGCTCTAGTTTGAAGAGGCAGATTGACGATGAGGGTGCCGCTTCTAGAGGCTCTAAGAGGATGAAGTAAAGGGGGGTATCTGTATAAGTGTTGGTTTTCATTTCTTCTCCCTTGTTATTTTTCACTTCCTCAGTCGTATTTTGCCGCATATGTATCACGCTGGCTGTGATATCATCGGTCCTACTATTTCCTTTTTTTTTCTTTTCTTTTTTTTCCCTTTCGATTTTCTCGATCTCCCTTGATTACGTTGGGGGCTGTGTATATGTACAACAGGACGTTGATTGTATACTACTACCTAGGTATATTAGCATTCACAGGATTTTCCCTAGACACGCTTCACAAGGCAATAAATGAAATTTCAAGTAAAAAACGGTCAAGATGAATAAATCATTGAAATCAAAACATAGCCAGCAAATCATTTCCTCGCGTGTATCTTCTTCGTGAGCTACATGCCAAACTTGGACTGAAAATCTACTTCCTCACAACGAGGGACTCTCCTGACTCAACCCCCCACAAGCGCAGACCACCCCTCGGATCACATGTAGAGCTAGGCGCCGTATGGAGTGACTAAACTAACAGGAATTGTTCTCCTTGCGAAACTTTTCCAGCTCCTCGCGGACCTCGCGCAGACTAGGTCGATCATAGTAGTTCTCGTTCCAGTCGCCCCTCTTCATGCCCTCGGCGCGCTCCTTGAGCCACGCCTCCGAGTCGGCGATTTCCTTTGCCCACCAGTCGCGTGCTGTGTTCTGGACCTCCTTCGCCGTGGACTCGCCCGTATTTTCAAACTCTCGCAACACCAGCTTGTCTCTGCGGCGGACGATGAGCCTGCTAAGCCCAGCCTGTCGGCCCCGGGTACAGCGGTCGATGAGATCTCTCATGGCGGGCGGTGTGCGAGTGTATCCGGGAAACTCAACCAAGGGCTCCCAGCGGTACGAAAGCCACACGGCCGCTCGCTGGGGTGCGCTGTTGGATTCGAAGATGCACCAAAGGACTCTCCCGAGCATGTACACCTCGCAGGCCTCCTGTTCTTTGGGGGTCAAGCACGCCCATGGCACGTTGTACCCCTCGGATGGCCAGACGTAGTCCTCCCCCTGGCCCATCTCCTCCCAACCCGGAAGCATGCTCGTCAACATTGCAGCATACTTGTCTACAACGTGCGAAGAGATCTCGTCGTCGATTGCCAGAAGTCGGATGTACTCGATGGCGTTAACTTCTGGAGCTGCAAACTCGCACCAGACGCCACGCTGCTCAAAGTCAACCATGACAACATCCCCAGATCCGGACAAGACAATGTTTTCAAGCCGGAGGTCCGGATAGAAGATGCCTGTTGTCTCACGCAGATGCACCAAGGCAGAAGCAAGTTGGACAGACCATTTGGCCTTGTCGGCTAGCGACACCTGGTCATGTACCTGCAAAAAGGGGATCAAGTCACGCAAGCTGCCATGGACGTGGAACTCCAGCGTGAATCCGATAACGGCCGTCTTGCTGCCAAAGGTGCACTTCTTTGTGATGAGGTGAACCGGCCGTGCCACAATGTTGGGGTGAGCATTGATGGAGAGGAGCTGTCGAAGCTCATGGTACAAGTACTTGGTGTAGCTGGTCAGGGCCTTGAAAATCCAGGTTTTGCCCTCATACTCAATGAGACAGACGCTGTCGTGCAACTGTGACAGATACACGACGTCGTGGATGTCGACAGTCGGGGGAAGGTCCAGGTGCGACCCCCAGAAGCTTTCAAATGATGCCACAGACAGCATCTGACGTTCGAGGTAATACGTTGGAGCGATGCATACCTGGACCTGGCTGACATCCCTGGGCAGGTTGTTGAAGACGATCCTGGAGCCAAAGGGGATGTTTTGATATATCTGAGGTGGATCATCTAGCGTCGACGTCCAGTACTGGAGCAGCCGGAGCACATGCTGGGTAACGCCAAGCTGTGAGATGCGGGATGCGTCTCTCGTGTAGAAGGCCACATCCATGTCGAGGACGCTGCGAAGCTCGGGAGAGAGCGTCGCTGGCTCGGGTATGAAGACATCAATACGGAACGGGGGAATCGATTCCATGAAAAGAGGTACGGCATAAAACTGAGTTCCAAATGCAGTACAGCCATCGATGCGCCACAGAGGCCGCGCTGGGGGCTCGAGACTGTCGATGCGGTTCTTGGGATTCAGTGGAGACTGGTCCCATGAGGTTTCTCTGGCAGCGTTGGCAGCAGCACTAGTGGCCGACTGCTCCCAGATGCTCTCGTCTGAGAATGCTGCCGTTGGATGGATGACATCGTGAATCGACTGTTGACTGAGCTCCATGTTGTGCAAATGGTATATGTCTCAACGGACAGGTGCAGCCTCTACCGTCTTCTAGAGAGGGCAGTGTCTTTATCAGTCAATTGGCACACATGAGAGAAGACGTAGAGAAAGCGACAGACACCAACCTGGCTCCTCTTCCACGTACGGACTCTTGTGCTTGAGCAAACCCAGGCGGAGGAGGCATTCAACTGCCTGCTCAGAGCCCAGACTGCTGCTGTTTGCCAGTCACAGGCGGCCCGTTGCGAGGCTAGCAATGGATTCGGTTCCTTCAACCCCTCCCAGCTGGAGAGACTGGCCGGCCTTCCGATTTGCACAGGGCCGAGGATTGCGATTGTGTCACGGCGTGTTGCGACTCGGGCTGCTCAGTTGATTTGCCATGCATGAACTGGGGGGTTCGTGGCCAACAGCCCGCTGCATCAGGCTTGATTTGGCTGTGCATTACCTTATGCCTGATCACATGATGCGGCCTCGAGGTACCAAGTACATTGGGCATTCTGCATTCTGATGTCGATATCAGACGGGAAATTGGCCATCGTCTTGAAAATGCTCAGGCTTCGCTGGGATGAATTGTGTTTGGTTTGCAAAGGCAAGGAGCCGATACAAAACGGCCTCCCACGCCGCACTTGCTAGACTGAGTTTTTGGCAGCTGGGGCTAGGGTCGTGTTTGTTGCCCAAGCTCCGCAAACAACTTTGAGCTCTCCATTGTGCAATTGCTGCGTTGGACAAGGACATGCGCTTCGGCAATGGATGGCTATTTCAGGAGCACGGCATGGGCTGAGATCCATTTCGTCATTGTGCCGATGGAAATACCCGTGGTGCGTCTGCCTGCTCTTGTGCTTAGAGAGCAGTCCCAAGCCTATATTTGCGAATCCTCATGGCTCATACAAACAAGAATAAGCAAGCTAAATTTGTGAAAGCCAATGGCTTTTATGAATCAATCGAACAGTTGGCCTCTAGCGTGTGCGCTTTGCAACTATGAGCGCCCGTAAAAAGAGTATAGACAGCCCAGCACCAGAGTATTGGCATGGCAAGAAGCTTCTGCAGCTGTTCATCCCGTCCACCAGCCTCTCCCTTTTCTAACTGCTCCCGTAGTGGGATTTGTTAATTTTGCTGCCTTGGATACCGTCATACATGCCGCCGCCACCGAGCGCTTCGTATACGAGCAAAGATAATGGCATTTTTGGCGAAGGTCATTTGTTTGCTCAAGCTGAGCCGAAGTGTAGGATTGGGTGGAGTAAGGAAACTTTGGCCCCCAATGCCATGGTCATCTGTCTCCCTTTTTCCTCTGTTCTAAACAGCCAATGGGGACAGAAAGCTATATTCGGGATACCCGGTGCTTGTGTTCCCCAAATATCGAACCGACCTTGACAGCTTCAACCCATCGGACTCCCATTCAAGGGGTAACTTGTGGCGTTGGTAATGACTCAGGCAGACCGTGCTGGGAACGCGCAGTCATCTTCAGCCGCAGCAAGCGACGATAGCCGTCTTCTAGATTATGGGAGACAGGATATTCGTACCGGCCCAGTATGCAGCCCATAGTGCTATCGTTGAGCTGGAGAAAAGCTCGACAAAACTGGGCAAAGCTACGCCATAGAGACGCAGCATAAGAGAAGCGGAGCTCAACGAATGACACAACAATGCATGGCATGGTCTCTCACGTACGACTATGGCAATTTGTCAGTGGCAAAGAAGCTCTCAAGCCCACTTGTTGGGATGATAGCTACGTAACAATATGCGGCCCGGACTACAGCAGGATATCCAATGTTACTTCCAGCTTACTTACACGTCTTTAGAAAGCAGCGCAATGTGAATGGCAGCAGGACGGACGGTCATCAAGATCTAAACTGATCGATAATTTCATGGAGAATAATGCATCTGCATCCCGACTTGCATTAATCGATGTCATAACGCATGTCAGACGCATCTTGTCATCAGTTGTGAACGGGTTTCCAGGTGTGAGTGGCCGTGGTATTAGCAAAGATGCTCACACCCATCCCACAGGCACCGCTCGCAGTTAGCTCATCCGAGGTTGCCAACTGGTCTCTCAATAGGCTATCGAAGAAGGATGCAAGTTTCTAAACGGAATCAGAAGTATCAAGCTCCCCACCGTGACTTGTTTGAAGTGGCCCGTGGTACCTTGCAGCCTGGTCATGATCTGGATAGCATAAGCCATGGCTCTCTCCATCTCTCTTCCTCTGCGGCCCAAAGTCCAAGTTGGCACCACTGCACCGAGCTAGATGTCTTCCTAGCCCCGACAGGGTCTGGACAAAAACTCAAGTGCTAGTGGCTTCGTGGCGTCATGCTAAATGCTCACCGGTCGGCGAGGGTTGTAAACGCCATCCGGAATGGAAAGCAGAACCCCAGCGTTTCTGCGTACCGTACGCAGCGAAGAGGCCGTTTGATGCGGCCATCCGCATACAGGCAGCTTAGCGGGCCAGGGAAAGTAACATGTAACACTGCTGCTCTGTTGTTGGCGGTATGAGCTATAATCCCTTGGTGCAACAACCACGACACCAGCACCATAGCCGCTTCGAATCATTGCTCCGTCCTCCCCATTCGGCCCCAGCTTCCACCTGGTCTCGAAGTGGACCACGAGAATACTGAGTCTGGCTGCATATGCACGATGCACCAAAGAACGGAGACAATCCGTAGACAGCCCGCGCGGCTTCTTGGTACCACTAGGTACTCAGCAAAGACGGACTGCTGTTATGCTGTGTAGCCTTGCGAGAACAGTGTCAGCTGGATGATGGGACGAGAGTCAAGCCTCTTTGGTGATAAGAAGACGGAAGAAACCAACCAGGCCAAACAGCGGTGTTGATAACGTGCGTGTACGAGTAGCAACGCGGGTGGTTCTGACAATTGCATTTTCGTAATATGCACCTTGCTGAGACATTTCAAAGCCACAGCATATGAAGACTACAGGCATGGAGATACAAGGTTAGGGTAGGCGATGATGGACTTTTGGAGGCCATGACGTTGTCTTGCATCGGCCCTGAGCAACTCCACTTGCCCGAACAGTTGCAGCAGCGGGGGAGAAGCAGAAGCAGGAGATCAATGGCGAAGGGAGTGGAAAGAACGAGCAATCATCTCCGCAGCACCTGCTCAGCAGAAGCTCATTGCAGGTACTAGGTAGAGAGGCTCATCAGAGGCCCATCAGAGGCCTTCCTGCCTTATATTGCCTCAACCCAATGGCACCAATGGCATCCCATCTCCGCGACGATGATTGGCTGGCCAAGAAAGCAGGCTCGTCTGGCCTTGGTGGAAGGCACGGGGCAACTCGTCCAGGCTTCCTTCCTGGCTTCCTTCCTAACTAAGGCACAGGCAGGTCCGACCCTCGCACGCGGAGAAATATGGAGCAAGGTACTTCAGCTAGGGGCCTTAGCAGGTGGATGCACACTGGTAATAGTGGGAACGGGGCATCTAGCCCGCGGCCGAACCACCGCCATTCCGCACCTTAAGTCAACATCTTACTATCGCCATTTGCTTCGCATGGCACGGCATGCTCGTCCTCGGGTGGCCAGCGGAGGCGCTGCGTCTCTCTCCGGAGAATTTCGAGCAATAATTCATGAGCCATGGGCCGCCAACCAGCCACAGTCCGTGTGTGCAATTTCGCAACGAAGGTGTCACAAATGCCGCCGAGGCGTGGGGGAGACGCAATGTCTTGTGTGACGAGACGAGACAGCCACGCGAAAACACAATGAACAGCCGCCCACCCTCGACCTCTCTTCCGATGGGCCGTGTCGCAGGAGAATCCGCACCGGGGCCTGGAGCTCGACCAAGCTGCTCGGCCTACGTCTTCATCCAGTGCCTTGGCTGCTCGTCAGGTTGGAGAGGGTTTCGAGATGCTCACACCCCCGGCCACTGAGCTGCGGCTACCGAGCCCGGATAGATCAAGATCCCCTGTGGTTGCGTGTGTATCTGCTTCATGGCTGGATTTCCCAAGCCGTGTGGGTGCAGTTTAATACGTGCCTGCTCACCGGTCCCCACTCCCTAAGCGGTTCACTCATGAGGAGCTTCCTGGTGTGGTAGCACCTACAGCTATTAGCTCGTTGATTAGTAGCCTCGAGTGCATTTCGAGCCCAGCACCAGTCCAATGCACAAGCACCACCAACCATTCCACATGGGCCTCGTCTGATCTCGGCTCTGTCTTCAGCATCTTGGACTGGCAGCTTTGCCACGCACCAAGACTGCCATTCGACCACTCGGCTCTTCGGCCCTCGAGAAATGTTTCCATGTGAAAAAAGAAAAACACACGACGGCCTAAAGTCTACCAATGCTCCAGACGGACAGTCTGTGGTTTGAATTACCCTGCTGCCGTGTTTTTTGAGGTGCAGGTCGCAGTGCATGTGACCCGCCCGCATCGAAATTGCAATGAGGCGTATAGTACAGTAAGCTGCAGTTGACAAAGCTCTTTGTGGTACCATAATAGCCTTGGAGATAAGACGACGTTCATTGGTCTGATTGCAGTTGGACTCCAACCTGTTCTGCCGCAATACCTTGGATTGCACACACTGACCGTCAGCTTCATTGGGCGCTACGGCTCACCCTTCTCCCGGCCTGAAAGACGAGGGCATTATTGGATGCGAGGGTCGTTTACCACGCCATATACACCTGGCTCTCCATTCTCGTTGGTCAAGCTCGTCACGATGGCTCCGGCGCAATGCATCATGCTGGAGTTTTACACATCGTCAGGGCCATGACTGCGCAATGACATTTGGGCCCATTCGTATCTCGATAGTATGTGCCCGCTATTTCGCAGCAGCTGTATGGAATGCCGGCCCGATCGGAGAAGCCCAGGCTCAATCTTTGCTTCAATGAGACCATGAGGAATTAATTGGGCACCGCATCCCAACTAACTGCCCCCCTGGCCGCGGCCGTAATACCCCTCAATTCCCATTAAATACACACAAGTTTAGCACCGGGATCCATGACTTTTTGCCTTCTCACCGAGTCGCTTCTCCTCTCTCTTGGAAAGCCAGCTATCGACGTCTAGCTTTGGACATCCAGCCACTTAGACCACAGGCCAGCGCCTATGCACACTTCGGCAACACGCCCCAGATTCTAGCCCGCGCTACCCCATCATCCCTGCTTTACGACGGAGGAGAACCCTGGGCATCGAGGATACAGCCGGCAGCACAGCAACAGCAACACCAGTGTCCCCGAAGCACATCCATCATCGGTCACCAGAGTGGCGGCAGCACGAGACCTCTTGGACAAGTGTAGCCCCGGCGGGTGCGCTTCGCAGGTCGGCACCATCATTGGACTGGGCCTCGCCAACCCAACGCTAGTTTGACTCCTTACTTACATGCCACCTCTGTCTCTGCCTCTCTTACTCTCCGGGCAGACTGTTCCATACACCGGTAAACGAACCCTCGTCTTGGATATTTGCGGCTCGCTGTGTTCCCGCTCCTTCTCGACCGGCGCTCCACCTATCGTTTTACATAGCGAAAGCCAAACGCTGCCCACAGGAATGGTTCCGGTGGCACCATAGCCATCCACCCCCTCCCCTGGCGTCACTCAACTTCACCCGGTGTCTTGGTGTACAGCTTTGGTGTACCTTGTTGATATTGCTTTGTCTCTGGAGTCTAGTTGATACTTGGCTTTCCACGTGCTGGTACATTGGATTCTGCTCCTGTTACTACGCCGTATCTGTCCAACACACCCCTTCTACGAACATCATGGTAAGCCGACTTCCTCACCCCACGGCGGTAGCCTGCATAGATATATCTGTAGCCGCTTCCCGTCATCCATTGCTTTGAGTTTCTTTTCATAATGCCTTCGCCACTTATGCTGTCTCCTCCCAATTGATTCCTGCTTATTTCCTCTCCGTACGACATTGACTTAACATTCCTGTTTATCTCTATTTATTTTTTTCTGCTCTATACGTGCGGTCAAGCTAATCATCATATAGGCTCCACGACGAAAGCGAGTCCGGTCACTGGGCACATTTGATGTATCAGTGCCTCCGCTGCCTCTGGTGCCTCTAGCTCCTGCCGTAAATACAGAGTATTCACAATTGCCTCTTAATGATCCACAGCTCTTGGTAGGACAAGCGACGGCAGCCCCCGACTATTCATATGGTTACCCTGAGTATTCAACTGGATATACATCAGGCTACTCACCTGAATACCCCCCTGTTTGCCCTTCGGATCCTCCAGAGCTTCCACATAAACGCAGACGACTGGAAGGCTTCTATCAGATGCCTTCTTTAGACGAGCCATCGTCATCTGCCGTTGGCTATCAGGAAAAGTTACCTGTAGCAGGTCCGCATGACCACCAGCAAAGCCATGACGCAACGTCGATTATACCGCGATGGGCACCCGCTATGCCTGATGTTCAATCTCTGAGCTCCCCTTTGACTTGCATGGCAGAGTCTATGCTTGCTTGCTGTAACTTCGCGTGGCAGCACCCTACCGGTATGCAGGCTCCCTTTCCTGCCGCCTTTTGGCTCCTCTCTAGCACCAAGGCGATGGCTAATGGCTGGAACTAAAGGATACCAACCTCTCCCAAGTCCGGCAACCGTGGTGTATGAGCCTCCTCAGCCGTACACAATGGAAGTGGTACCACCTGCGCCAGCTCAGGCTATTCACTCCATGCAGCACCTTGTACCAGGCACAGAAGGATTGCCGCAACATACACCAGCTCAAGTTGATCAGTTGAACTTGGATGCTTTGCCACTCGGCAGTTACCCCGTCCTTGGAGAAACTTCGTTGCAGACTTTGCTCCAGCCCGCGTTCCAACCTATCCTGCAGGAGCCCCCACCCCTTGAAAATGCTGGCAATGATCCTTATCTGGTAAACCAGACGGGGCAAGATTACCCCAACCAGCTTGCTTCCTCAGAGCTGTACAATTATCCAATAGTCACGGCGGCGATTCCGATGTCAATGCCGCTCATTGATGAGAATCCGATGGATGCGAATACTTCGCCGCTGCTGTATGATCCGGCCCCCCTTCTACCGCTAGTCCAACCTCAGTTGGTGACCATTGAGCCCACACACCCTGAGATGTATAATTGTTATAATGCTCCCGCAACGCAAAGCTTACCCCAGCCGGCACTACCTGAAGATAGTGGCAATACAGTGGGCCAGAGGCAAGATACGAATCCCGACGACCTGCAGCCCACTCAGCGGAATGGTAAGCGGGGACCCTTTAGAGACCAAAGCCTTCGAGAGCAAACGGCCCAAACAAGGAAGATGGGCTCGTGCATAAGATGCAGAATGCAGCGCATACGTGTAAGTGGTATCACCCGAAAACGGGAGGCGACGTACCCCGTGTCGTATTACACAGCAATGCTCGATGTGGTCTACGTAAGCTAACGCAACACCATCCTTTGCAGTGCGAGTTCAACTCGAATACTCCAGGCGGTTGCTGCTTAACATGTAAAAAGGTAGAAAATACAAAGGCAGCACGGTTGCCATGCCTCCGGTACAAGATCACCGATATGATACTCTATAAGCCGGGCGCAGTCCCAGGCTACGAGTGGACCCAAAGATGGAACAAGAACAACTCTGAACCCATTCAGCTTTGGGCTTCACGCGAAGTCAAAGTCATCCACATATCTGTGTACTTCTCAAACTCGTTTCTCCCGCTACATGTGCGCAAATTTGTTCCACAGGATGGAGACAAGCTAGAGCGGACATGGGATTACCAAGGCACCAAGAAGTCGGTCGCTATCCCGCCATACGCCCTAGTGGACCTGGAAGCTGGCAAATCAGCGTACACCAGATATATCCGAGACTCCATGACCGACATATTTCGGAACATGCTCGGTGACACCGATAGTCTCTTGTACAAGACGTACCTCCAAGCTTGGCACATGTGGAAAGACCCAAACACCCCAGTGGAATCGTTTGAACTACTTAATTGGACGCTTCGGCTGTGGATAGCCGTGCGCTTGTCAACCACATCGGCATTCATCGCCGGAAAGGAAAAACTTGGCATGTCCAACAATATCCTTGACCAGACCAGTCCAAACCCTGGAAAGATTCCACTGCCTCCTGTCTTGGGCGCACAAATGGATCTGATATTGATCCAACACATCCAGACCAAACTTAGACATGAGCTTTTGGATAACCTCCAAAAAGTAATGCTCAAGAATAAACCATCTAGCTGGCTGGTAACTTACTTGGTGACTTTCATCTTGCTTCACAATGTCGCTCTTATCACGAAGCACGATGCTAGCTATGCTCGCAAGCACGGCATGAAGGTGAGCTGACCCGATACATAGCGTGACATTGGCAGCAAGCAGCCATGCTAGAGGCGGGCGTTATCCCCTCGTCCCTTCCGGGTATGCTGTACTGGTCCTCCGTATACTGACGAGATTCCCCCTGCAGCGCCGTTATGCTCGCGAAGAAAAAGTTCAAGAATATCATCTGGGTGAGACCGGCCCCTCCTCCCGATATTGTATACACAGGTGTTAGTGGCTAACATTTGGGGTCCGACGGCGACGGCGATACAGGAGCAAATATTATTTTGGCCCACTTTCACTACTGCAACAAGGGTATCATGCCCTTCTCGGAAGAGTGCGAGGATCAAGATCTTCGGACGTTAGCGCATCTAGATGAGGATAAGATCATGTTTGTCCGTGCGACCAGGGCACACATTGAGCGGCACAGTGAGTCCCCGATACCACCACACTCCCCAACTGACCAGATTCCCGGACTGGCGCTAATTCTTGGGTTACTTGTTACAGAGAAGGATTGGGAGGATATTCGTGCCAGAAAGGAGTACGAGGAGGACTACTTCTTCGTCAGCCAGCTATTTGAGGAGAAATGGCAGCCAAGGACTACCGTCTTGTAATATTGCTTTTGCTCTTCTTTCTTGCTTTTGTTGCCACCAGGCAGCCCAGTAATACCTTGAGGATGTTGAAGCGGTGAGGTGTTGGTACTACATGTTAAGTCTGGATGAAGGGGCGGGCTGCAGGATGCAGGTACCCTGAGGCCGAGATTAGCTCTGGCAAGTGTCAGTCAGGATACCTTATTCCAAGATGAGGTAGTACAGGTATGGTGATCACCAGCCCAGGGGTATACAAACTACCTAAAGGGGTAAGTATTACGCTAGATGTTTCGCAGGTCTACACGGTCATGGGTGGTTGGAGGGGTACATTGTTAGCGGTATGATATGCTACGCACACGATTGATGCTCTGGAAATACGAAGCACGAGTAATGGATGAAAGAAGCACCCTAGTCACCAAGTTTGTTGTCTCTTTTCTCTCCGGCGATCACCGATCAATTATTGCCCGATTGGTATAGATTAGCGTCCGGTAGAGCAGCCCACGCGAAGCAATCATGAAAGTTGGCGTCGCATTTGAAGGCACTATAAAAGCAGTGGCCTCCCGCTAGCAGTTTCAGTTTCTCTGGCAGCAAACATTGAGGCAAAGAAGACGCTCTGTTGCTGCTCCTCATGCGGGAATGCCGGCGGCATAGCACAACGCACGCACTCTCCCGTCGACGCCAAGATACCAAAAATGCCCACACGATAGGGTAGCAGCATTGCAGCGGATATTTGCTGCATTGGGGACGGCAGACTTGACCGCTTGTTTTGAGCAACGACAGAAGGGAGAGGACCTTGTTTGGTTTGTCTTCTTTTTTTTGCTTTTTCCTGGTGGATGCCGGAGCTGAGCTACACACCTTGATAGGAAAAAGGAAAGAGAGACAGGGGGTACGCAGACTCGCGTAGAGGGGAAAAAAAGAAAAGAAGAGAAAAGAAGAGAAAAGAAAAAAAAAAGCGTCAAAAAAAGGAAAGAAGAATCTAATACCACAGAGTCTACCCTGCTCAACGTCCGGGACTGTCGAGCACGCTATAGTATAGTATAGCATACTTGGTTGGTGTCTTACCGTCCCCTACACCACTAAGTCCAATGTCTCACTTGGATTGAGAAGCAATCTAGGACAAAGGCGAGATGGGCCAATGCAAGGACAATCAATTGCTACAGCATATAGTGTGTTGACGGCTACGGGCCGTGAAATACGGCAGGAAGCCGAGGGCCGGCTTGCAAATCCGGGCTTCTGTCCCGCCCCCGGAACGAGTCCGCGGCCGAAGCGCAATGGACCAGGCAGGGACAAGGGCCAATATTTGCTGGTTTTCTTTGCTTCTTGCCTAGTCGAAGGCTGGATGCATTGTTTGGGCCTATCTAGGTTTCAGCGGCTCGTTCTTTCCTTGTAGGAAGCATGAGTGAGACATCCATTTGCTAGGAGAGAAGCGGTCTGCCTCGAGATATAAAACATGCCCTCTGTCGTGCTTTCCCAAGACCCTATCAAGTCACAATCTTAAGCGAATTCACACCGTTGTTTGACAATTGCAAAGTTTCTATATAATTGATCCCCAATCATCCCCAATCTTGTCTTCTCCCAATCATTTCTCTCACCAACCCACTCGTTCTTCTCGTCTGACTTCAGAGTCTTGCCATTCTTTGCCGTCTGCACTTCAATTCAGCCCGAATCCTCACTTCCAACAGCTACCAAATCACCAGTGATCATTCGCAATGGCCGGTACCGTTGTTGTCGACTCGAAGCTTGTTGCTCCTCACAATGGACTCAAGCTGCCTTCTCCCCCCGTCGAGATGTCGAGTCTGCCCAGTGGTTTTCCTGCTGTCTTGGCCTCGCCTTTGGCATGGACAGGCCAGCAGTTTGAACAGCAGCCTGACTTCATCCACCACCTGGATGCTGAAGAGCTTCGAGAGATTGACGCCGCTCTCAAGCACTTCAAAGGTATGCCAACTGTCATTGTCAATTGTTCCCGCCCATGCAGCTTTGCTAATGGAACGCAGCTCTGGAATTAGACGGAGATCTCGTCACCCCCGACACCTTCCCGCTTCCCACCGTTGGTCCCAACGTGCTCAAGGGCATGCGCCAGGACATTTACCAAGGTAAAGGATTTGCTGTTCTCCGAGGACTCGACGCCAAGCAGTACTCGGTCGAGGACATGACGACCATCTATCTCGGAGTTCAGGCTCACATTGCCAATCGCTGCGGCCGCCAGGACAAGAAGGGCAACATGCTGGGTAAGAATGGAGCAGCCAGGCCCATACCACGAGGGAGACTGACATGTTCTTAGTTCACATCATCGCCGATAACTCCTGCAAACAAAAGGCCGAGCACCATCGCCACTCCACTTCCCCCATCGTAAGTCACCTGCAGCATACTGCTCCATCACCTGATGACTGACACAAGCAGACGTTCCACAACGAGGAAGCCGGAGACATCATCAGCTGGCTCACGAGAAACGCTGCCAAGTCTGGCGGCAAGTGCATCATTGCTTCGACCTACACCGTTTACAACGTGCTCGCTGCTACTCGCCCAGACCTCATCCGAACCCTGGCTCGATCTGACTGGCCTTTTGCCCTGTAAGTGTCTTGAACTCTGATGGTGATGTGATTGCGCCGCGCAAGGGCTAACGTAGTCGTGTCTCATCCCCTAGGCCCAAGTTCCAATGCCGACCTGTGTTTTTCTACCAAGATGGCCGCCTGATCACCAACTTCGGCAGGGCTGCCCTCATGGGAAGCGCAAGCCACGCTCGGCCAGCCCACTTGCCCACACTCACTGCTAGCCAGGTTGAGGCCTTGGATGCGATCCAGGACATTGCCGAGGCGACCAAGTTTGAGTTCACCACCCAGCCAGGCGACATCCACTTCATCAACAACCTGGCGGTCCTCCACCGACGCGAGGGCTTTGTCAACGGCTCGGAGCCCAACCAGCGCAGGCACCTTGTGCGCATGAGGCTCCGCGATGACGAGATGGGATGGAGCATCCCCCTCGATCTTGAGAACGAGTGGAATAAGGCCTTTGGCCAGGCGGGAACCCGCGTGTGGCATCTTGAGCCGATGCCCTCTGGCTACTTCCCTCTGCGATCCCAGCCTAACTAGGGTGGTCAGCCAGCAATCGACTTGATCTCACAAGCTACTTGAGATGGTGGGAACCGGGGTTTGAGGCGAAGTGCCGCTAATGGATGGATTGGTGAGTGGGAATTGCATTGGTGTCGGCGTCCTGCGAAAAATGAAAAACGGAAAAAAAAAAGAACATAGACTGGGTTTGCATGGAGTTCTCGGCCAAAACTCATTCGGCTTGCTTTGTTTGCTTGATTGTTACATAGATAGAACAGGTCCGGATCAGTTCCGCAAAAGTTCAGTAATGGAGTGTCATAGATTAGAAACTAGGTAGTCAGATTGGAACAACATTTACATATTGCAGCACTTGATTCGCCTTTGCACTGGCACTTTGCAGCTGTCTTCAATGTCCTTTGCTCACCACAGACCAGTGCAGACGGGGAACCGGAGGCCTCTGCGGCTTGACCGCTTGACAGCTTGACAGCTTGACAGCTCCTTTTGCAGGGCAAATGCAACTATTTGTCGCGTCCAGCACTAGCCTGCACACTTGATGCCCGATTCGACGAGGCTGGCAAGGTGAGCGTTTGAAGCTTCAGGAGTCCATGATGTCGAGAGTGGAGCCCGCCTGACCTAGTTGACCCAGACCGTTGGGAAGCCGAGACATGGACGGGTCACGAGACTAGGGGAGTGATTCAGCCGCTGCCAGGACTGCCGTTTGTGTAAGTGTGCAGCGACTAATACTCGTATAATCAACTCTCAGCAGCAGGGGTAGGAAGCTAGACGCGGTAGCTCGACTGGATTGGGAAGCAGGGAGAGGGTAAAAAAAGAAAAGAAGAGAAAGACAGGCAATGGACACCGTTTCGAATGTCTTGGACGGCACATGGGGGGGCTCTTTTGCTCTTGGGGAGAGAGTGGCCGAGGCTTTGCACTGAGACGGGCTTTGCACTGAGACGGGCCTTGCACTGAGACGGGCTTTTTTTTTTTTTTTTTTTTTTTTTTTTTTTTTTTTTTTTTTTTTTTTTTTTTTTTTCAACTGGATGAAGCAAATATAGAGGCGAATGAATGAAGGGAGGGGGAGGGAAAGAGAGAAAAGAGAAAAAGAAAAGAAAGGGAGAAAAAAAGAAAGCTCTTGTTTGGAATCCTGTGATTTGAAGGGGCTGCGCTATAAGACCGAGATTGGTTGCGGCGGCCACGGCGTTTAGCCATGTTACACGGGCGGCTCTTTTTGTTTCCTTTTTTTTCTTCTTCCCGCGTTTCAATGGTTGGTTCAACCGATTTTGTTTTTTTGTTGTTGTTTTTTTTCTCCTATCCCCCTTGCATTGAGCCGTCCAGTGATTAAGATGCCGGAAGAGAAATATCCCGTGCTGTTTTGTGACAAGTCGCAGACTGAGGCGGGGACAAAGTCGTTCTCTCGACTCCCCCTACTAGGCTGTGGCAGTTGAGCCTAGAGCGTGCATCTATATCCCTGGGAGGGTGGCAGTGATAAGACACACGTCCAGACACAGAGAAAAGAGAGATCGAGGGATGGCGATCGGATGTGCGGCGGGGAGACATGGGATCGGATGCGGTTACATGGTATGTCACATCTCGTCTTAATGCAAGACGCGAGATGCACTGCATATATATGTATATATCTTGGGAGCATAAGCCATCCATACACTATGCATGTCATAAGCTACCTACCTGTGTAGTATATGCAGTCCATACAAATGATACTATGAGATGAGATGAGACGAGACGAGAAGACGACGACGACGAGGCAAGGGTACGACGCCAAGTCAAGGCTCTGACACGAAGCATACTTGTACGGCCTGTTTTGATTACGACCCATGGAGTTTTCCCCTTTCGCAACGACTCACTATTACTAGGTACTTCCATGTTAGTATTATTAGGTGCCTTAGTAGGTGAAGCTGCAGCTTGCACAGTGCCGCTACTGACCCGAAACGGCGGATAGCTTCCCCGTGACATCGCGACAACGGCCGCTGCACCCGCTGAACCCATGCTGCAGGCGCTAAATCACGGGGCCGCAATGCTTGCACAGTGTCTTAGCCACTGTCCATGCTTCCTAGCTCCGCCATTGGTAAACTCACATTCTTCCCCTGCTTACGTGTGGAGCCGCAAGCTAGCAGCAGCATGTCTTCAGCTTCATCCCTACTTTATCGTGACAAGCTGCTTGCAATCCATCCTCATTTAACGGCCGCTGCCTGCGACGCTCTGCAACTTGCCCAAGGCTCCGACGCGCGAATCGGCTCCGGCAGAGGGGACACGCTACGGTACTCGGCCCAACAGCATCGCATCGCCTTACATCGCCTTACATCGCCTCGCATCGCCTCGCATCGCATCGTACATCGCATCGCATCGAACCGTGCCGTCGGATTTGATTCGAGACAAGGGGCCGGGGCGAGGCCATCAACAGGCCCGGCACTGCTAGCACCTGCAAGTACGACGCTCATTTCATTATCCAAGTCCAAATACATCAGCCGCACGTCACGGGCTGAGACCTGGCGTCTCGTGATCTGATCCTTTCATCTTGTCTCCTCTCTCTTTGCTTCTTCTTCTGCTGTTCACCCGTGCTGATTGGCCCGCTCCCACAGCAGCTTGCGACGCGGGTCTCTCTCGTTTATCCCAAGCCCAAGTCGAGATCCATCACTCAAGTCGCCATGCCCGCCTCGCAGCCAATCAGCAAGCCTAGCCGCACCGACGCCTCAGACTACCGGCCAGTCCACCAAGACGACGACGCACAAGATACCAATGAGGAAGAGGGCGTGTCGCCCTCGGCATATCTGCCGCCGCGCAGGTCGCGCGCAGATCGCCGTTACCGCACCACCATCCTCGTCCTTGTTGTCGCCCTCATCGTCCTGCTAGCGTCCAACCTCTACCTGTCTCTGCCCTACTTCTTCCCCGGCCACGGCCCCGGCTCCTGTCCGGCCCCCAGCAAGGTGCCGCAGTACTTCCAGACATCGCCGGAGCTGTGGGCCGGCCCAACAGCCACCGGCAACGCTGCTTTCTTAGCACAGACAAGGACCTTTGATCCCACCGCGACCTTTGTGCCCAATGAGCCGCTGCAGACGGCCATCCCCGTCCAGGGCATGAAGCCAGGCAACGACACTATTTTCAAGATGATGGGCTACCTGTCTCCCTACTTTCCTTCCCCTGGCTTTGGAGTCAACGAGTACCCACTTCCCCCGGGAGCTGAAATCGTCCAGGTCCAGATGCTGTCCCGCCATGGCGCCCGCTATCCTACTACTGGGGCTGGCGTTGTCAAGTTTGCCGAACGCATTGCCAATGCCTCTAGCACCTTTAACCCCAAAGGGCCACTGAGCTTCCTCAAGGGTTGGGAGTACCATCTCGGATCAGAGATTCTAGTGCCCAAGGGACGTGAAGAGCTGTACAACTCGGGTAAGCATAACCTCTCGCCGTTGTGTAAACATGCAATGTGCTAGCCCTGGATAAAACTGACCTCAACATAGGAGTCCTCCATAGCTACATGTATGGCAGCCTGTATAATCCAAACAGCAAGATTATTGTTCGCACAACGGTAAGCTTGATACCTTGACAACCAAGCAGTACTAAAAGCTGGTTTCATTATGTGCTAACAACTCTTTAATTAAAGACGCAGGATCGTATGCTCAAGTCAGCTGAAAACTGGATGGCCGGCTTTTTTGGGTTGGAATGGTGAGAGCTTCAATTCAAGCCCGGTTCACCGTAGCCCATAACTTACAAAGCCTAGGACAAACAACGCAACTATCGAAGTCATTATCGAATCCAGTGGCTTTAACAATTCTCTAGCAGGGTCACTCAACTGTCCCAATGCTTACTCCAAGGTATCGGCCGACGAGGCCAAACAGAAATGGATTAACACCTACCTCCAAGATGGTATGCATTCATCTGATCTTATATAGCTTCAAAAGTGTCAAGACTGCTAACGCCAAGTAGCTCTTCATCGTTTCAAGGCGTTGACAGATGGATTCGATTGGACAATTAATGACGTTTACGATGCTCAGACCATGTGCCCTTACGAGACAGTAGCATACGGCTTCAGCATGTTTTGTGATTTGTTCACTTACGAAGAATGGCAAGGCTTCGGTTATTCGATCGACGTGTGGTTCTCAGGAGGCAATGCTTTTCACAGTCCTGTCGGAGTACGTATCTGGATCTCTCATATCAGCACAGGTTGACGTTCAAAACACTAATACTTGATTCTCTATGCAGCGAGCAACTGGCATCGGCTATCAACAGGAAGTCCTTGCTCGGTTGAAGAACCATACCCTCGGTTACTCTGGCTCACAAATCAACGTCACCCTGGATAACAATACAGAGACTTTCCCACTTAACCAGAGCCTCTACTTTGACTTCTCTCACGACACCAACATTGTTTCCATCCTCACTGCATTCGGTCTCCGTCAGTTCGCTGAGGAACTTCCGGCTGATCGATACCCCGGAGCTCACAACTTCACCGTCTCGCACGTCACCCCCTTTGGCGCCCGTCTTGACATTGAGATTATCAAGACACCGAAACCACTCTCGCCCAACCGCGACGGCTACCTCCGCGGCGAGGAGCAGAAATACGTCCACTTTATTCTTAACCAAAGAACGATTCCCCTGGGTCTAAGTTTCCCCGAATGCGACGCCAGCCGCAAAGATGGCTGGTGCGAATTCGACACCTTTGTCAAGATACAAGAGGGCATGTCGGCGAAAGCGAGCTACGACCATGCTTGCCATGGAGAGTACCCGAAGGAACCTTATGGAAAGGTTACCAATGGCGCTCCAAACTAAAAGAGACAATATATTACAGGGAAAAAGAAAGAGATTTATTACAAATTTTAATATGGCAACAGACTGCTATCGATTGGAAAAAGCAGAATATACGGCGCTCACGGAATCTTGGTTGAATTGAGCTTTTTTTCTTTTCTTTTTCTTTTCTTATTTTGTTTTCCTCCTTTGAGTCTTGGAAAGAAGGCGTGAGTTTAGTAAAGAAAATGGCGGAATCGGAAAGGCATGGCCCGTCAACTGTTAAATCTCGATATACAGTTAAAACTGTCATTGTTGTCATTTTTGTCATTTCAGCTTGTTCGAGAGAGACATCATAAAACTTTACATCTAAAGGTCTACAAACCGGCAAAAGATTGCAAGATCATCCATCTATCAATACAATTTGCAATACAATATCATTACACACTCATCATTATTTAGAGTTTCATTTTCGCAAACGTCTGCTTAAAGTAGTCTGGCGCTTCACGATGGTCAACGCGGGAGAGAAAGGTTTTGATTCAATTTCCAAGTATATTCATTGATAATCAAGTCATCCACGCTGGTATCTACGAAAAGAGTTTGCTCTCTATATAAACCACGCCATCTCGTCCATCCGACGGAAATAAACCCCCAAAACGCCCGCTGATATGTAAAGCCCAGATAAATATGTGTAACCAACAAATACAATGCCGCAGTGCATATGACAAATTGCGGGCAAATTATAATATCACAAGAACAAGGAATGGCTTTTGTGTAAACCCCCCATTCGGTAAAAGGAAAAACAAAATGAAACAAGACGTAGACACAATGAAGAAGCCTTAGTTGCGCTTCTCGTTGCTCTGACTGCCCTCAGTCGTTTCGGTACTCTCCGAGCGCTCTCTGCCGCTAACGTCGTACATGGATGCGGGCTTCTTTTCTTCGGTATGCGTGTCAGCCAAGCTAGCAGAGCGGGCCATGTTGGCATGCTCCTGGATGCCGTGCTGTGGCTCAATCATGATCGTGCTCTCGTGAGCAGGCTCATCGCGCTGGGGGCTCCAAGCCAAAAAGTCACGTCGGACTTCGACGTAGTCATATGAGAATTCGCCGTGCTGGTCGTCGTCCATACCAAGGAGCTCGGCTTCTTCGGAGGCACGTAGCTTAAGGCCCGGGATGAGATCGATGATTTTGGCAATGACGGCGGACATGACAAAGGCATAGGCAGAACCGGCGACAATAACAGCGACCTGCCACCCAAGGAGGACATAGTGGCCATCGACAAAGCCACCAATGGCGCCGGTGTTAACTCCGTCGAGGCCAATGATGCTGCCGCTGGCAAAAAAGCCGTTGAAAATGAGGCCGACCATGCCACCGATACCGTGCTCGGCGAAGACATCGAGAGAGTCGTCGATTCGAATGAGGAATTTGACTATTGAGCTATTGTTAGAATTGTCTCTACCTTCATTGACTATAAAAGCAAAAACTTACTCTTGGTGCCAAAGTTACAGCAGACACCAGCAACGACACCCAAGATGATGCTAGCCCACGGGGTAATAAAACCAGATGCGGGAGTGGCAGCAACCAGGCCGGAGATGGTTCCGGAACACCAACCGACCATGGACCACTTCTTGGCAAGGCGGAAATCGAGGAGACACCAAGTCATGGCGGCGAACATGGCCGTGAGACACGAGTTCCAGCAAGCCATGACGGCTCGGAGGTTGGCTCCGAAGGCAGATCCACCGTTAAAGCCCAGCCATCCGAACCACAGAAGAACGGTGCCGAGAGTGATGAGGGAGATGTTGTGGGGTCGGAAGTTCATCATCATTTTCTCGTTTCGGCGGCCAAGGACCCAGGAGTAGGCGAGGGCCGAGACACCGGAGCCGATCTCGACGGGGGTACCACCGGCATAATCGAGGACACCGTTCTTGAAAGCCCAACCGTTGGGGTTCCACACCCAGTAGGCCAGGGGGCAGTAGACGAGTGTGGCCCAGCAGAAGCAGAAAACCATGCTCGGGACAACACGGCCACGCTCAGCAACGGCTCCGACAGTCAGGGACGCGGTAACGGCGCAGAACATCATCTGATAGAAAGAGTACAGGAGGGCCGGGATCAGGGGAGAGCCAACGGATGGCGTGGCCAGGACCCTCTGGAGCCCAAAGTGGTTGAGGTTGCCAATGTAACCATTGTTGGAAGTCGAGCTGAAGGCTAGAGAGTAGCCCCAAAAGTACCACTGGAAGACGATGACACTAAAGGACATCATGGTCACCCAGAGCATGGAGAGGGCGGACTTTCTGCGAGCGAGACCCGAATAGAGAAAGGAGACGCCCGGAACCATGAGAAGCACCAGACAGGCGCTCACCAGGATGAAGGCCTGGTCTCCGGATTGAAACCATTGGTTCAGGTTTTCGGTCCCTGAAGCAAAGGCCTGTCAGTCACCCCGTGGCCATTGTTCATCTCGGCACCATGACTTGCAGATTTAGGAGATGGGGGAATCAGGTGCTACATGAGATACGGGGTAAAAGTCAAGGCTACTATCGTTACATACTGGCATCACCCCCGAGGGAGCCTGTCCCGTTAAACACGGTCGGTGCCCCAATATGGGCGTAGGACATGATGGGCTAAGCGAAATCCGGGGTTTCGTCGAGTAGATGTTGGAGAAGGTAGCCACGAGGACCAGATGACCGGGCGATAGGACGCGGAGTGAGATGAGACGAGGAGAAATCGAGGATAGGGCGGATGCCGGCACAGGCAGGGCGAGGATCCGGGGAGCCTGAGCTACGGCAAAGCGTTGTGATAAGGTTGCAGGAGTGAGATGCCTCTGAGGTTCGACCAGAGATAAGACGTGCAGGAGAGGGAGAGAGATGAGGAGGAAGGAAAGGATAGTAGGACCAGATAGGAAGAAAGACGGAGGAGGAGGAGGAGGCTCAGAGATAACGGACAGGCTTAGATCCGTTGTATATAGCATACACATCGCCTTCAACACCCGCAGGCAGTCCCCGATTTCGACAGCACGGCGACAAACCGGGAGCAAGGCCGCTGGGGCCATGTCAAGGGCCACCACGCCTCTTCTTTTTTTTCCTCATCAGCTCGGTCCTGGGGCCCATGCTGGAGCCAATTACCCCAGACAGGGTCGTCTGAGGCCAAAGATAAGACACCAGGGGTGGGCCAGCTGGCTGTTCTCTGTCGAGGAGCGCTGTGGCACGGATTGGGATGATCTCGGCGAGGCCATGGGGGGTGGCCACAGGGACGGGGGGGTGCTTTTCTCTCTCCCATCTCACGGTTCGTTATCTCGGGGCGAAGGTTGTGGGTGTTGGAACTAAGGGCTTAGTTCGAAGCGCGGCGTGAATCTGCATTGCTGAGGCATGGAGGCGAAAAGCAACTGAACAGATAAGCTGGAGATGGAATGAATGATGGAAGGTTCTTTTGGAGAAGCAGAAAATGGTTCTTCATTTTTTTGCTTCTTCGTTGGGAGATTCTAACTACATTACTTAATCATTGAACGATGAGGAACAAGGGCAGGAGCAAGACACAATGGGAAAAAAAAAACTTCGGGAAAGCGCAGCGCCACGAACACCGATTCTCGACCCAGAAGCAGCAAAAAAAAAAAAGATACAAAGTGACCTGGCGATAGTGAGGCCAGAGATAAGGTGGCGTGTAATAATCGAGGTACGTACGACAAAAGCCAAGATATGGTCATCGAAATCGCCAGGTACGTATCTTTTCCGCATGTGGGCATGTGGGCGGCCGTGATAACGCTAGTCGGCAAGCGCTCTAGCGCCGAGACAACAATAGAACATGCAAGTGCAGCACAGATTGCCGCGCAGCTCAAGTATCGGCTGAGTATCGGTGAGGCCGCAAACAGGGGAGTGTTTTTTTTTTTTCCTTCTCCATGTGTTTTGTCTATTTTGGCTGGAGCCGGATAAGCAGCAAATCTGCAACCCTGAACTTTTTCGTTGGATTGTTTCTGTTCTTTCTAGCAGCTGTTCTAGTCTTTGGGTTCCCACGCTTGATAGGTAATTCAAGTGATTGAAGGGACGGGCATTCATCCGGTGCTATTATCCATGAATCCACGAAACACAAAACGACAGCTTGCCTCTCTCTCTCTCTCTTCATCGGCAGGGGGCCGTCTTCGGAGTCGCCAGGCCGAGACAAGACACAACTCATGTTCCTCCACAAGACAAAGTGAGCCGACAAGCCGAACAGATAAGACAAGTTTTTTTCTTCTTCTTCTCTTACGGAGTACAAACAAAAGTATACGAGTAATACAAGCACACTCTGCAGCTGCCAGGGGGTCGCATTGAATCAATTGTCCCAGCCATATTACTAAGACGCTTCCTCCCGCACAGCACATGCAAAGGAATGTCCCATCCCTACCCTCTTCAGCTGGTGCTGAGAAGAGAAAATAATACTAGCACTACGACTTTACCGCCTTCCCCCAGCTCTCCCGTCAATGCCGTCACTTCATCATGTAAAGGCTGATAAGCCCACTCTTCCGACGGGAGCGAAGCCGGCATGACTGGGGCACAGCTGTGGGGGGAGCCCGCGCCCTTTGCAGGCGTACACTTGAGTACCTTGCCTCTGTGCTGACTTGTGTGTGTGTTGGTGGTGGAATTAATTACCTACGAGTACTGTGCAACTACAGTAAGATGGCTGATAGAGACTGGTGGTGCCTGGGTACTACCAATTTAAAGATAGCCAAGCCCCGTGATAGATACGATCAGGAGGGTCCTTGTTACGGCATTCTCGCTGTCAAGGGCGTTCGGCCGCTTCGGGCGACCCGCCGTGGGCATTTAGTGCCATGAGTTAGTTCCAGTGGCGCCCAAATAATATCGCTGGCTGCTGTCTGTCAAGTGCAGGCTGCGATGACCCGCGGGTTTCTGGGCGCTGTGAAGTCGCGTGTATTGGAGCATTGCCTGATGTTTCACAACCAGCACGCATCACGAGTCCTTCGAAGGGAGTCTTGCACCGGCACTCTGGCTCCGGGTTGAGACGAAACTCTCTCAGACACGCAAGGGAGAAGAGAAAAAAACAAAGGGGAATAGGGAAGAGAAAGAATAATACTATGTACGTACATGTTCTACCGATCTTCCGCAGAGGCAAACCCCATACTTTTCCACCAGACAACAAAGTAATACCTCACGTGCACTCGCCGATTCTTCCCCGTTGCTCCAGGAAAACCCCAAATCCCATCGACATACCGTTGCCCCCCATATTCCAATCCCGGGAAAATCTCGTGCCACCTACACGCAAACTCGGGAAGCACAAAGCAACAACACGAAAAAATCTCAAAAATCGCCCTACCCCAGCCATCCCATCCCTTCCCTTCCTAACCCACCCCCCTCTCTTTTTCCCCCCCATCGATCCGGTCAACTCTGAAGGAATAGATCCTCGGCTACCCGTGCATTGGCATGTTTTACTAGTCCCAGTAGCACATGAAAAAAAAATATTGATCCATCATCATCGGGGGGGCGCACAAAGTACATGAGCCCAATTTCGTTATCAGAGGACCGTGTGGCCAATGACAGGCCTGCTTGCTCATTACGTTCGAGAAACCCCGATTTGGCGATTTGCGGAGCAGCGCTGTGTGCGTATCGGATCATCGTCCCGCTGTACTGGATGCGTACAAGCACCGCGCTTGGGATCGACTTGGCGCTTTCTGGCTTGCGATGCTTTGCTTTGCTTTGCTCTGTTTTGCTTGCATTGTTTCGCTTCGCTTCGCTTCGCTTACAAGTAGAGGCGTGTCTTGGCGTCTTTTCGTTTATACGAGTATATATCTACACTTGAAGGTACTACGTACTGTATACGAGTAGCTGTAAACATAAAAGTAGGAGCAGGTGGACTGGAGTATGTTACGGCTATACTTCATCCATGGTAATCAGATGCTTACTATCTATTCCCTCCTCTCAAAACCCCTTTTCATTGCATAGCATCAGTCACGGCAAATGATATTACAATCGCTTTGCTCCTGTTCTCTGTTACAGAATTTTCAAGCACCCAAAACTCAAAATCTTCCTCTCTAATCGCCAGCCTTGTCTCTTCCCCTAGCATTTTATAAACCATCCTGATCAAAAGTAGTCAAATATATCGTTGATTATAAAGGCTTTGAATCTAACGCCGTGGTTTCAATCTTCATTTCAATATGACCGAGTGCTCCTACACCAGATCGTATATGCAATTTCGTTCTAATCCTTTTTCTCCCCTTCGTGAAATAATCGCTAAAGATGTTCCCCGATATGTTCCGGATTTTCCCCATTGTCAGGATACCCTAAAGCCCGCGAGTTTGGGAAATAAGCATACAAAGTCATTGCGATTACGGACTTACAAGTTGAAGTCAAAGCACAAGATTCTAACATATAGCCGACTGCAAGCATTTTATTCATGATTCGTTAAGCAGGCTATTGATTCGCTAACTTGGCAATCAAAAGATGCAAAGTCTCCCTGTTTGTTCCTCCCTCGTTATTTCGTATGTTAGGATATCGTGATTTCGATAATGCAGCATTAGTCTATACCGTTTTGGTGCCGTTGCTCGGCTTGTTCTGTCGCCATACAGCCGGTCGTCATCCTGTACTGGCCCAACCGCCAGCCCGTGCAATGGTCGTAACACTGGCCGGCATGCCTGCTCTTCTGATAGTCGAGGTAGAACGCATTCCACCCGAAGTCCGTGATGCCACATCCCCGCCGTCTTCGACGCAACCGGTGACCTGAGCTTTGTCGGAGTAACACAAAGAACCCGCCCAGTTGGTGACCCTACTACGACGAGAGACAGCTCAGGGACATGAAAAACCATGCTCAGGCGGCTAGTTGCGCGGAAGAACGGCCTGATACTTCGCTCCTGAAACCAGCTGAACGTGACAGCGTCGGGGCACAAAACACCAATCTCTTTCAAGCCTGTATCATATTCTTCCCGAAGACTTCTTAGCTCCACGTCCTTTTCCAATGTTCGGACAAAATGATATCGCTTTGTCAAACTTCTGAGGCGGTCTTCAACTAGCGGTCCCTTATTGTCATTAAACTCAATCGGTCTCTTTAAAAACTCAACAAGCTGTGTTGTTGGCCTGGGGATGGCTTGAATCTTTCCGCTATGTGGGAAAAATGCCATGTCGAGTCGAACTGGTGGTGTGTTGAGTCGGTTGTGGCTGCGCTGTCTCAAAGTCATGGTATCGGGGTTCTTTCTCTTTTCATCTATTGACATGACAATGTCTTGATCCTTTGAATTCTGTGCTTCGGCCAATGCTGGCTCAGGAGTGTCCGGGGAAGAGATGGCCTCTTGGAATTCCTGTACAGCGTAAGCAAGCTGCCCGAGTGCTTCGTCTAGATCATGTAGCGCTTGTTGGAATTGCAGTCCTGCTGGTGGAGGTGGAAATAGAACCGCGCTGCTGCCGTGGTCTGCTGCAACGATTTCAGGAATCCCCTGAGCAACAAAGTCTTCTTGAGTATCTTGTTCTTGTTCTTGTTCTTCTTCCTCTTCTTCAGATCCCTGACCCGTATCGTCGCCATCCTCCTCATCCTCCTCATCCGTCTCGTCGCTTTCATTTTCAGGCTCTTCTGGTTCGGCCTCACTTTCGTCGCTTTGCTCGTCGTCCAAGAGATTGGGGGCAATGGCATCGCCTACGAGAGATTGTAAAGATTGGTTATGAAACATGTTCAGAACGTTGGGGAAAAACTGACCCGCCCTGGCCCCAAGCGTGGGAGGGGGGCTTGGGTTGTCCGGGATGGCTGCGAGGCATTCTGCCACATTCACCATCGGCTGCGAGCATCCCGATCCCGGTTGGAAGATGCTGAGCGCCTCCTCGGGTAACCCAAGCATCTCCTCGAGAGTGCTGACTGGCACAAAGGATTCTTCGGGAAGAGCCAGTACACCCCATCCCCTAGAAAAAAGAAAACCACCATCAGAATCTTGCATCAAATAGTTGTTGCGCTTTCCAAAACCCTTGCTTACCGTGATGGTGCTGGCCAGAATTCTTCACTCTGTAGTATAAGATGTTTAGATGGCGGAATCTGAACTACAGGCTGGAACATTTTCCAAATATCTGCTATCCAGATGACCCCATTGATATCTATCGCGCATATCTTCTCAGCCTGGCCATCTTCACTATCGACAAAGCAGATGTTAGGGATGTTGGACGCTTTAGCCCCAAGAGCCACCACGATTCTCCAGTTCCGTGCCCTCCTAGGAATATTCGACCGGGTATTGTCGTTGCTCTGGCAGCAATCGCAAAATTCTCGTCTACTTTTTGATTTCTTCTGACATGTGGTGAGGGCAAAAGCAAAAACCGTCACCTCGAAGCGATTCGTGCTGACAGCTATGAGACGGGACTTGCGATGAATGGCTAACCCCCAAGCCGTATGGCCAACATTCTCGTGAAAGAAGAGCCGCGGCTGATGATTGGTGTGTGCTTTCCCAGAGCTCCTCTTAGTTCTGGAAGCCGAATCTGCAATCTCTTTGACATAGTACGCAACAACATCTCCATCATCGTAACAAGCAACTAGGATCTCTTCTCTCCCGAGGTAGCCTGTAATAATGTGATTGATAGTATGAGGAGTAACAGGGTCGATACAGCCTCCAATAGAAAGGGCCTCTTTACTTGGCCTGGGATATATTTGGAGGTCGGGATGTCGGGGAATCGTTTGTTTCGGAATGCTTCGAGGAGTGTAGGCGAATATATGACCTTGATATGCGACGAAATAGAGCTAACATCAGAAAACTCTCGTTAACTAGCTACACATATAGAGAGTTGGCTTCTTGCCCCCATGCACACACGTACATTGTAAGCTTGTGATAGTGCGGTCAGATTGTTTCGATAGCCCTGCATGCTTGGGACAAGCCGATATATCGAGTCGTTCGGATGGATTCTATCTTCCTCGAGATCCGGCATAAAGCTCTGTGGGGTAAATGGCCAAGTAAATGGCAATTCAAGGCCCTCCGGCTCCATCCCCAGCGCAGTTCGCTCTCGATCTCGAATCGCACCCTTGGCTTCATTCCCAAACTATGAGGGCATCCCTGTCAGCCGTCCGCATCTGCGCGTGTTTAATCTCTTCACCATCACAACGAAAAGGACTCACCCTATCCGTCGCTGTTTGCACATAGCATCTCCCTACCAAAAGCGTGCGAGGGCTAGGGGTCGGCAGTTTCCTCGATGGGCGATCCATGGCCGTCGAGTGGAGGGGAGCCTCGCCGGTGCGGGCAGACTGCGCGATCTCGGGACATATATATCGAGCAATAGCAGTGGATGTAGGAGGGGCGAATGAAGAAGGAGATGTTCAGCGCGGGCGTTTGGAGAGGAGCGAGGATTTGATTGCAGGAGGGAATATGGGAGGCGACAAGAACAAACTGGTGGGGAGACAATTTGAAGCTGCCAAGAATCAGAGCAGTGCAGTTGAGTACTACCTACATAGGAATGACCCCACATTTTAGCGCATCTGATCAGTATGGTGCTGTTTATCGATAAAGCACCTCCAAGCATCGAGATTACATCCAAGTCACTTGTCGTTTATTACTAAGGCAGTGATTACATGGAGACACAATCATGTGAATGAAATACAACAACAATACTAGGTAGGTCCCTCATTCACTTCCATTCATTCTCTAATATAGCAGCGTACAGGATCGTAGGGCAATGCGTGGTGATGCATGTCGCCATGAAAACAATTCCAATACCTTTGTCAAATGCCGGGCAACTCATGCCCATCCAAACGCCTCAAAATGTGCTCATCAAACTGGGTATGTAACCAAATAACACCAATGCATGAAAAATCCGTCAACAAACGATAGCCCAAGCAGAAAACAAAGCAAAAGAAATACCCTCTGCAGGCCTATGAAAAAAAGAAAGCAAAATCCCAGTTCCGGTTCATTGTCTCATCAGCTCCTGCAAATCCTTCATGCGATAATCAAGCACTGGAGTAATCCAGTCGTCGTGCACCAGTGAATAAGATTCCTTCTCGCTGTTCTTGGGCTTGCGCGGGTTCAAAGCCCAGTATCCAAAATCTCCATCAATCGACTTGAGATATTTGAGCAGATGTCTCCAGTAGCGCGCATCGCCGACAGTCGGGTCGTTTGGCGCTCCCAGCTCTCCAAACCAGACTGGCGCAATATCCAAATCAAGCAGATATGCCCAGTTGTGGCGCATCGTCTTGACAAACGACTTGTAGCTCCGCTGGGCAAATCGGCCCTGCCAGCTTCCCCAGCCAGACCATTTATAGCCATGAGCAGAGTATACGAGCCGGTTCTCAACATCCAGTCGGACCGGCCGGTCGAGAGCACCCGAAACATCGTTGGCCGACTCGGTGCCCTCGACAATGATGAGCCAGTCAGATTTCATCTTGAGCAGGCGGTTGCCGCATTTCTCTGCGGCGGCTGCCCACTTGGACCAGGGCATGGTTCCCCAGAGGCCACGGACCTCGTTGCGGAGATCAGCTCCAATGACCAGCGGATTGTGCACGAATCGGTCCATGACCGACTCCCAATGCTGAATCCATTCCTCCTCTGTCTGCTTGACGCGGCACAGCGGCCCCAAGTGATCGTTGGCCCAGCCAGCATCGCAAGGGTCTGCTCCACAGCACCATGTCGCGCTGGTGATGTGGTTGTTGATGATGACGGCAATTCCAGCATCTGTCAGGGCCGTTGTCACAGCTTCAAACACGTCCATGGCACGGAGACCCTCGAGATCCGGGTTCGCAAGCACCAGCCGTGGCTCAAGCACCGGATTATTCATGACAAGCTCGTCCGAATAGGGGAGCCTCACGCTGTTGAAGCCCATTTTCTTGATCGTCTCGGCAATGACGCTTCGGTGCTGGATATCCAATCCGCCCGGGACGAAGAGCTCATCGCTGGCCCCGTACCAATTGATGGACGAAAGCTTGAACCGATGACCGTTTGCATCAACAATGTTCCGTCCCTGCGTCCTCAATGGCAGTTTGTAGCTCGAGATCCATGTCCTCTCCAGGGGGGCGGGCAGGGGCTTCCGGCTGAACAGAAGCGACTCTCGATCGGGCCGCCACTTGGCATTGAGATCCTGCTCCCGGATCCACAGAACGGTCAGGTAGAAGACAACCGGAATCAACAGCAGAAGCATCGCCATTGTGAACTTTGCTCGCAGCCGGTACGAGGAGAGCCAAAGCTTGCGAGGCGATGCTCTCCCTTTGTTCGCCCAGGCCCGGCTAACATTGGATTCTGGTGGAGCATACAGTGGCAGGCTCTCGTCCGCGCTGGAAGCGTCCTCATGGTCGTCGCTTGATTGGCTCCAGTGAACATGGCGCTCGGACTTGTCGGCCTGTGACTGTGAGCCATTGCCATTGTCGATATCGCCGCTGACTAAGGCAGCTGGAGCGAGCCTGTCCGCCATTTGAAGCTGGTAGCGAAGAGGATTCTAAGTGGTGCTTACACAGCACAGCGAGGTGTTTGGGTGAAAAAAAAAAAAAAAAATAGCAGAGAGCTCCGAGGATCCCGCAAAGTGAGGCGGCGGGATACCAATCGATCAACGCTGCACCTTCTTTGCTATTCGAGATGCGCGTTCTTTTTGTATCTTTGGATCTTTCTCTCTCTCTTCCTTTTTTTATTTCTCTTTTAATCGCGTGCTGAGCTGTGTGGTGGGGTTCATCAACCATGCAACTGCTCCAGCTTAGATAGATGTCGCGTGCTCATATCCGTACCCAAAGGACCTTCGGAATCGTCGGGCAGCGTCGCTTTCTCCCCAATCAAGTGAATGTTGTAAATCAAAAAATTGTCACTTCAAGAGGATCCAAGATTGCGATCCCTTTGACTGGCCGTAGCAGAAGGAACCAGGAAAGCGAGAGAAAGCGTCAGGTCAGTAACACAGCCCGCAACGAGGGAGAAAGACGGAGGCAGGATTCAGGTTCTCGTCCAGGCACCAGGAAAGGAAAAAAAAAAAAACAAGTCACAGCTTTATAAACAGCTACGGCAGCGTTAATTCCGTTCCTGTCGCACATCTGGCCAATCGCACCTGCGGCCAAGCCCAAGGGCCGCTCCGGAGAACCCGGACAAATAGCCATGACCTCACCTGGAAGCCAAAAGCAGCTCGAGGTCGAAGCGCATCTTCGGCACTCTCGCCTGTCCGATGAGAGCAAAAGTCGTCCCACCGCGGCAGGTACTTGTAAACATGCCGTAATGCCAACGCATATACGCGTATACATTGGCGAGGGAGTACATGCGCCTTGGCAGGGCGCCACAACGCTTGACGATCAGTTGGCGTGACGCCCGCAGAGCCCATCTGTACTAAACTATACGAGTACCTAAGCGGAAAGCCAAAAACAATGGATGGAATTTACAATCTAAATAAGTACACGAGACACAAACATCACATCAACAAACAACGACGCCGTTTTCATATGGGTAGAAAGGGGTTTGACTCTTGAATTAATTACTAGGCAATCCGGACTCGATTTCTCCAGACTACTGCTTGGTATACATACAAGGGATATACATAAAATATGCTGCGTAGTGACTATGTGCGTTGTGTCGGTCGACCGAATGTGCCGGTAACAGGTACCTAAGCTGCAAGCCTCCCCCACACGCACTAGCACACCTTTTCTTTTCTTTTCCTCAGTTCCTGCACACATCCGATCCGCCGCTTCCGGATGCGCTTTTAGTTCCCGCGTTCCGCATCCCATCCATCATCGCTTCCCTTGAGCTACTCGTGACGTTTTACATAAAGGGTACCAGAAGATGCTGCCAAAGATATTCAACAGGCGCACGTGCAGATCCCCCGGGGATTTTTGCTCCGGCCTCTAGCCATTAAGGGGAGGGGGGAACTGGCATGGAGTGTGAGAACCGGCTCTCCAATCAAGAGAGAGGAGAACCAGCCTCTTTCTTCATGACAGCCGAACCCCCTTTTTTCTAAGGAGTGTAAAAGAAAAGAAAGAATATAGTCCAATATGTACAAACAAAAGATATGACCGTGGCGCCACGCTGTCCTGTGTCTTAGAGAGGATGCCGTTCGACTGTAAGCAGAGACCGCTGTGTCTCTACATGGTCCAAGGCTGAGGGAGAGGGAGAATTATATAAAAAGATTGTAAAAGAGCGTCATCGGCGCAACATCATGCCACATCGCGAGATGCTGGACATGTGGCGTCACCTCCAGGGTATTGTTGTTGATTCCATGGCTGGCCACGGAGTGGGTATATAAGCAAATGCTTCAAGTCGATTCGTTTGGCTGGTGGGAGGCCATTTGGTCCCCTACCTCCTTTGTTTCTGTCATCCCTCCTCTATTTTCTGTTTCTGCTTCGTGCTAGCGGATTGCTATTTTTTGGTTCTTTCTTCTTGGGCCGACGGTCGGCGTCTTATATTCGGTTCATGGCCAACGGGTTCATCTCGCGGCCTTGCGGGGCGGCATACGTTTGTTGCGCATTCCATTCAGGCCGGGAGCCCTGCGGCGGCCGGGGGTTCGAGTAGGATCGCGCCGGTGCGTTATATCTGGCTGTTTCGCCAAAGTAATCGGGGGCTTGAGGGCCCGCTGCGGATTTCACTGGGTCAAGTGGTGTTACCACGGCGCTCGTATCTCTGGAGAGCATCTCGTACGAACGTGTATCTTTCTGATTATCATATCGGGCATCCACCGATACGAATTCCTTCTTTCTGCTATTGAAAGGAGACTTTACCAAATCAATCCAGCCGGTAACCATGCTCCATCGGCCAAGGAGGAACAGGATCCAGATGCCGTTCAGCTAGGTGTCATCAGGTCAGTAACCAGGAAAGTCGGGTCGGCCAGGAGAGTCTTGATACTTACAGAGAGCAGGACAAGCACGGCGGATACTGTCGCTTCGCTGACGACCAACGAGCCGGCGTCCTTGAGGCACTTCGACTTGTCACCCTGTGCTCCAATGAGGCAGACGATCCACTTCTGAGCCACATTGGGGTCGTCGGCAATAGATTGAACAATGTTATCCTGAAAGACAAAGACAACGGAGAAGAAGATGACATCGGCAATGATAATGAGGACAATGGCAATGCCTCGCCATTGAAGAGCAATGACTCGGCGGACTCGGCGGTAAGCCTGACGGGGGGACATGGTGATGACACTGTTGGAGTAAGTCGGGAGGCTGGATCCTTCGGTTGAAGCGGCGTTGTCGTTCAGAGAAGCGAGGTAGACTTTGATGCAATAGCCAAAGGTAGTGAATGTCGTCACGACAGTAATGCTTGCAAAGATGAGAAGAGGGATCCAAAAATCTGCCAGGCTGTTCTTGTGGTTGATATGGCATGTTGCGCCGAACCGGAAGGAAACTCCACTGAAGACCAGAGCGAGAATGATGCCGATGGTAGGGATGCCCCATCCAGCGGCCTGGGCGAAAATCATAAAGTTGCGGCCCACAAGAACCTGCCAGCAGATTTGAAGGTGGAGGGAGAGGGAACGGAGGAACGCCCACATCACAGCGCACCAGCCTCCTAGCATCAGCATGGCGCCTGACGCTCCGCAAACGCTCAAAGTGTGCATGTCGTTTGGAGTGATGGCATCAAAGCATTGGTCCGGCTCGGCCGCTAGGGGAATGACGAATCCCAACTGAATTAGTAGTTAGCGACCAAGGCTCTTCTCGTGTAGACTACCGTCACTCCACCTACGTTCATGATCAAGACACCCAAGGTGAAGCAAATGCTCAAGTAGTGGCGGTTCGTCTTGTCCACTGGCAAAGCTACCCATGATAACAGCAGGAAAACGCAGCAGATGACACTGACGGTTGCGATCCAGTTGGCCACGGTGCCTATTGTAGTGAAGCTATCCGGGTAAACCCAGTCTGTCATGGGGCAGGGCAAGCAGCATTCAATCGTGCCCGAGATTTTCTGGCATAATCGGCCGGTAACGTCTGTATCTCAAGTCAACAGATCGATCCAATACCGGCATTTGGGCGTTCATTTCTACTTACACCCTCCACTGCCAAAAAGCTGCGAATCGATGAACGGCGCAGGGCAAAGGTTAATTCCTGTAATGTTGGTCATGGTGGAGGATGGTGTCCGGCAGCGGTGGCCGTGAACCTAGTCAATAGGGGGCCGTTCGTATATAAGTTGTGTCCCTTGGGGAAGTCTTTTTTGCTAATCGCCTTTCCAAGTTGCGTTTTGAGGCGTACAAGTTGTGGATAAATAGGTGGTCGTCGAGGCGCAAGATCAAAGAGAGTGTGATACTAGGAGTGTCGTAATGGCTCGCGCACGGTCGAACAGAAGCGTAGTCATATGACTCAATCGATCAGATAGTTCGAAACATTTAAAGGTTGCGTAAGACAATCGATTGATGCGATGAATCCTCTGACAAGTCGGCAGGCGTGGATTGATAGATAATAGAGCCGTCGTGATAGTATCACAGCATAGTGAAGCCAAGAAAGGATGTAGGACTGTGTCAAAAGGACGTTGTGTGATGAGGTTACTCAGGAGAGTAGAAGAGAGCGGTATTATCCAAGGATAAAAAAAGAACAAACAGACAGGAATACAGAATGCCCAAACCCAGACCTTAACACAGACGACGGCATTCAGGCATGAATGCGAGGGCATGCGGGTCATAAAGTACTACTCGGACTTGGGCTGAAGAGTCAGATGGACTTCGCAGAGCAGCTGCCAGGCAAGGAAACTAGTCTCGAATACAACGTTCAAGTCGTCCAAGAGGCGGGCAGACCCCTGTACGTGCAGAATGCCGGGGTCGTGAGTTTTGTGGAGCTGCATGGGCTCGGAAAGCTGGACAGGGGCAGCAATTCGTCGTCCGCACCGGAGCTTTGTCTTCTGAGAGGTTGCGAGTACATACTGTACTCCGGCCAACTGGACCACACAACCCTCGCTCAAGGGTACCTCCATAAGGTGATGAGATGCCACAGGGGCTAAAGCAAGGCTTGTTTGGATTGCTGGGGCCTAGCCTAAGGAAGCTCTCTCCACCCGTCTCTGGGATGTTTTTTTTGGCGAGATGCAATGGAGTCTCAAGGATCTCGCAGGCAAGTACAAGTACACTGCGGCTTGGAGCAGCTGTCCCTCACGATTGGAGGACCTGGCGGGGGCACGTCTTGGTTACTGCTTTCTAGTCACAGTTGTTTAGTGGCAATTAGTGGCGGTGTTGGTCAACTATCGGCAGGAGAGGCACTTGGCAGGGG